CCATTTATTTGTTTACTCTGCCGGGGTTGGCCCCTTTTCAGAGACGTAGATACCGTCAAGGAATTTACGCAAATCCTTGTGGCGGACATTGGTTGCTTGTTGGATTTGGGCGGCAGTCAACGAGACATTGGCAATATCGGTTCCGGAAAGTTCAAGTTGATCCTTAACATCGGCGGAACGGACATATTTGACTCCTGGAAGCAGCTTGACCTTACGAACCCGACGTTCTCCCAAAAAGTTTCTAATCTCAACAGAATCTCCAGAAAGACTAACGTTGATGGGGAAATGGGAATATACGAATCGCATCTTGTAGAGGAATCCACGGGTGACACCGATCATCATGTTCTCGATGTGCGAGCAGACAGTACGAACGCACGCAAGTTGCTTTCTGTTGGCAAACCAAAGGTCAACCTTAAGGAACTTCTTCTCGGCATTTTCCTCCTCTTCTCCTTCAACTTCGGCTCCAGTGACGATACGACAGTCCATGTGAATATGCTTGAAGTCACGCTCAAGTGTGCCAAGCTTTCCAGTCACAGTGACCTTGCGGGCCTTGACTACAACCTCAACTGAAGGAAAAAGGGAAGCATTCAGTCAGAAAATCATATCTCGACATAAATTCAAATTGAAAACTGTGGATCACAGCAGAACACTGCAGAAGCACATACCATCGTCGGGGATAGCAACAACACGGTCTGAAAGAACAGTCTTCATGGTTTCGAGTGGCTGTTTTTACGTCGGAGAGCGGGGACGGATATGATGTTGATCAATTCGTCTTGAAAACTACCAATAGTAATCCGAAAAGAGGTATCTAAAAGCCGGGTTCCTAAAGGTATGCCATACCGTAGGCAAGCGTGCATGACGTAAGACGGGTGGACGTCATCTTTATTCGAAGGGGTCGACTTTCAAACTTGGTTATCATTTTCAAATTTCGTCAGAAATGCAGGAGCCACAAGATGATGACCATGAAAGATCCTTCTTGCCGATTTTGTGGCACATTCTTCTTTCTCTGCTGGTTTCTGATTCAGAACTGGACCGCATCGCTGGCGACTTGTAGGAAGAAATCGGTCGCAGTTTGGGACAACGTCTTGTCAGTCGATAACCGAAATCAACTTCACAAAGCGACAAGCCAATTGGGTTCAAGTCGCCACTTCTTATTCCAAAGGCCAATCGATCCGCAAAAGAGCGGAATGATAGAAAAAACCCTTGATTCCATTCTCACTGAAATGGATGATGATTCCAAGTATGTCGAATTTTGGACTCGGCAAGAGTGGAGGTCAATCGAAGCCCATGCAGACGTCGACGAAATGCTTGCAAAATCGGAAGATGCAGAGGGGAACAGTCGGGACAAACCTTTTCGCTTTCCGATCAACGGACACGTTTTATATCTTCAAGTAGGGGATGAAGTTAGAGGGCCGACTTGTGTCTTTCCAGGTAGGCAGTCGGGTGGGGACTTGCTGACAGCTGCAAAAGGTTATGGTAATAATGATAATGAGGGAGTCGAACTGGTTTCCGTTCCTGCTGTTCCTGGACGCCTCCTTCGCTTCCAAGGAGATTATCTACATGCGGTCCCACGCCCACATGACTTGTGGTTTCGAAAGTTTATTCAAGGAGCCCCGAGCTACAGCCCTGAAGAAACGTGGGGTCGCAGTGTAGTTCTATTCAATACTTGGGGCGATGATCCACCTGTTGATGTGCAGAGCCGCTCGGCAATCGCTGGTGATGAAATTGTATCCAGTCACCCCCTCTGTGAATCTCAGTCGGCGTGGATTGATGCATACGATGAGACCGAAGCAAACTCCGGCGGCACATGTATTAATACAGATTCTGAAATCGAGTACGTCAAAGCCAAGATTTGGCTTCTAGGAAACGAAAGAAGGAGAAGTTACCAGATGCGGACAGTACCATTGCTGGCTCCAGGAGAACTAGCAGCAACCCTAGGAGAAGAATCAGCTGTGCGAAGAACCAACATGCAACAAAGCTAGTATTTGGAGAAACAATTTAGAGCTTGCTCTGTTGCCGCCGCTTGATACTGTTTTTGATTGCAGAGGCACTCTTAATTGCCGAGACGCCTGTGAGAGCCCTACCAGCAACAAGACTGCATATCTCATATGTTCCTTCATACGTATACGTAGCTTCGATATCAGCCCATTTGCTTGCAATACCGAAATCAAGAACAATTCCGTTTCCTCCTACGATTTCTCGGCAGAGTGCCACAACTTCCCTTCCCAGCTTTGTAGTATAAGCCTTCACCATGGAAATTGCAGGTAATGAACACTTTCCAGCAATAAAATCTTGAGTCATGCGCTCAGCAAGAAGATACATTGAGCATACGTGGGCAGTCATTCGAACCAATTTTTCTTCAAGAAACGGCGTTGAGATAAATGACACTCTGAAGCACAATGCACATGTCAACCAAGTGTGGCGTACCTTGTATGATTTGATTGCTTGATATCACCGCTCCAAAGGCCTGTCTCTTGGTGATGTACTGGATTGTTTTCTCTAATGCACCCTGACAAATTCCAACGGGGATCCATGCAACCGAGATACGGGATGCTTCCAATACTCGTCCCACAGATTGTGCAAATCCAACTGATCAATAAAGTTTTTGTTACTGACAATATTTTGTATTGCGTCTTCCACAACAATTGTTCCTTTTTTCACGTACCATGACCTCCCATCACATTAGTGTCCGGGCACCATGCTTCGTAAAAGTCGACATCGGCGTTCTGTAGAATACGCATACTGACCTTCCCTTCAATCTTTCGCGTTTGGATCGCACCTTTATTCTTTTGGTGACTTCTTTGTACGACAAATCCCATCACGGGGTGTCCTTCCACGCTCGTGTTTTTGGCCCTATGTCAAGACGAGCAACGTCAGAAAATTGGTACATGCACCAAAAGCCAGAAATATGGTTCTTAGAACCGCTCACCAGACTACAAATACTTCAGCAGTCAGCGCATTGCCAATCCATCGCTTGGAACCAGTAATACTATATCCACCGTCTACCTTGGTTGCCGTCGTCGTCAAATCTGATGCATCCGATCCAGAACGCGGCTCCGTCAAACAAAAGCAGCCCATATTTTCAAGCCTCGCAAGCGATGGGATCAACCGACGTTTCTGATCTTCGTTACCACAAAGGAGAATCGATTCGGCACAAAGTCCATATTGTACCAACAGCGTGGTGGTGAAACTAGCGTCGATGCTTGCTAGCGCCCTTGAAATATGCGAGGCAGCCATCAAACCATACCCTTGTCCCCCATACTGCTTTGGTAGCGTGTAACCGAGAAGACTCGGGCAATGATCACGAAAAGAAGAAAGAATATTGGGAGGGAATTCTGCCTTATCCCAGTATGATGGGATCAAGGGCTCCAGATGCTGGCTTCCCCAGGATCGAGCCAGAGTTATGAGATCTTTAGTTTGTGCATCCAAGTTGTTTTCAACGTCCAACACCTTCTTCATGTGCATATTTTCGCCATTAGTGGTACTGCCGTTAGCTGCAGACTTTTGGCTCTCGCAGACGCTGATCATGCTTCTCGTTTGACTACCGGTATTACAAGAAGATCGTCAACATGAACTCTGGCAGACCACGGGTCGTACTGGTAGGCGGGTGGGAGGGGCGGACGGGCGGGATGATTTGGTTCATTTTGTGACTAGTACGACTGAAATAGCAACCGACACGAAGTGACGACTTGCCACATCATCGTGAAGCTCGCGAGAGGCGAAAGAAAAGGGAAGAAACGATCAAAAATAGCGTCCCTGCTGTCATACCGGCGTAGAATAGTGTAGCAGACTTTCAACAGCACATCATGCGGAAGCGATCGAGAGCACAAATGGAAAATGGACACACAAAGAGCGTAGTGCTGAGGAGCGCGGTGCAAGTTGCTGTTTTAATACTCTCCTCGTGCAAACTTTCATCATGTTTTGTTCCTGACTCGACACGGCATACTTCAATACATTCTTTTATGTCGTCTTCCTCAATACGGTTTTCGACAGTCGAAGTCGCGGATGATTCCAGTGGTGTTTTAGTGCTGAGCAAGAAGAATGAAGAGAAAAACGATTATACATCCAGCATGCCTCCTTGGTTCCGGCGAAGTGAAGAATCTACGCCAGACATGATCGAAGCTGAAGTCGACTCCTTAATTATGACCTTGAATGAATATGACCTATCAGAACATGACATATCTGATATTGTCAAAGCAATCTACTTGACTGCCTCTGGAAACATTCAGCTCTTAATTGGTGCCATTGAATTCTGCAAATTGATCCTGAGGATGGAAGACCCGAGGGAAGGGTACACCAATGTATTAGTGTCGAAGGATCTCATACTTGCCAGCATAATACACTACTCTGAGTGCGTGGTGGCTCGTCAGGATGGCGTGTACCAAGATGTCCAAAAGGCACTTGGTGGAAGTCAGCCAGACTCTCCAATGGTTCTTGCATTCCCTGTGGCAATCGCAGAGGATGCGCCAGAAATAGAATCATTGAACAAAGGCAGCAACGATTTTTTCCCAAAACCGTCTATTTCATTGAAAAAAGAACGTAGCAGCAGCGATGAAACGGCATTTGATATCTTTTCGGTAGAATCTCTGCGGCTGGCGGAAGAGGCTTCCAGAGTCAAAAGAGCTGAAATTTTGACAGATGTTGTGTTGACAGGGAGGCGTGTGTTATCCAAAGGCGACTATGGTGACATCAGTAACTTACTACTGAGTGTATCTAATGATTGGAGAGCCCTTGCGATTCGATGCATTGCGAGCTTGTATCGTCTTGAAGGCATATTATGGGACATGCCTCCTGGAACTGGCGAGTACATGCGCCGTGATGCTGCCGCCACATTCAATGCGAGATACTCCATCCGTGTCTATGCAAATTTATCTCAAAGAATGGGTCTCCACCGACTCCAATCGCAGCTTGAGGGGGATGCCTTTCGCATTTTGTATCCACGTCAATTTTCGGCGGTTACGACGCTGTTTCAACAGAAGGAGGAAGCAATGAGAGCAGTCTCTACCTTCTTGTCATCGGAAATCACAAACTTGATCAATAGTGATCGAACGCTTGTAGAACAGTTGGAAAATTGTGATATCCAAGCACGGGTGAAAACGCCATATTCTTTCTGGAAAAAGTTGGTAAAGAAACGAGGACGTGGATCAAATGGTACAGTTGGTTTTCTTGCTCCACTGGCATCCATATCAGTATTAGACGTTTTGGATGGGGTAGCATTGCGAGTCATTCTCAAAGCTGAGACATTTCCTGACGACGATGACGACTTGATCGACGCCCGAGAACGAATGCTGTGTTACTACGTTCATCATTTGATTCGGTCTCAGTGGCCCGAAACGGACGCGAAGCGTGTGAAAGACTACATCAAGGCTCCAAAGCCAAATGGATATCAAAGCCTTCATCACACTTCGTCCATCATCTACAATGGACAGCAGATTCCATTCGAGGTCCAAGTTCGTAGTGAAAAGATGCATAGGATTGCGGAGTTTGGTATCGCGGCACATTGGGACTACAAAGCCAACAATCGAAAACTACCTTTGCTATCAGGTTCTGCATCCTCACAAGATGGTAAAACCATTCACGATTCCGAATACATTGGAGCGTTAGACACCGCCAGAGAACATTTACAGGGATCTAGTGTATATGTCTTCTTGGCTGGAACGATTTCAGATTTGGAAGGGGGCCTCCTTCTGTCCCTGCAAGCTGGGTCTCAAGTTGTGGACATTCTGAAAGAGTTGAGCAGTAGGTTCAACATTGAGACCAGCTCTCACGAGTTTCAGGTTTGGCGGAATGGTAATCTTGCGTCACCAGATGACTATGTTGGAAACGGCGATGTTGTCCTATTCCAGAGTCTATCTACGAACGGTAACAGCAGTTCTGATCATGGCAGTGGTGAAAAGAAACGTTTGAGTCTTCCATACATGAAGGCAGATGAGTAATCTATCGTCCACTTCTGGAACTGCCTTCTCTTTGACAGGCATGGTTCGATCCTTGATTGAGAATTTTTTGTGTAATTTTATAGAAAAACATAAGATACTTGCAACTGCCATCATCGTCTACAATGCAATGTTGTGATACCTACTACCCTATACCATTTATCATTGTGCGATATCCATTTTCAGCTTTTGGGTCTCCCTCAAGTTCAGGTGGGGAAAATCATAAGAACACTCCTCGTGTCGTAGGAATAGTACGTGCGCCCAGTAGGGAAATAAGCCAACCAAAACGTTTGGGTGCAGCGGAGCAAAAGAACATCAGCTCAACACAGAGCTTGATTTGATCGAAACCAGTCGCTCTCCTTGATAATACCCTACCCACTTCTTTTTACCAAGAAGCAGGGGCCCAAGAAGGAGATTGAACCTTTTTCTCCGTTGGTGGGTCCCTTTCTCAGTTTCAATTTTCGTTTCGTGTTTCTGGGAAAACTCGAAATTTGTGTAGCCATAGTACGTGTTATACACCGCAAGGTTGTTCGCAGCAGTTGAGCCTGGGGCATTGCAAGGGTTTGGTTGGAGCTGTAACAACTACCAGTGGAATTAATTCAGGAATCATGAGTTCTGCTAGCAAGGCCACGCAGCAGCTCGCTTCTGAAACGACAACCAAGAAGAAATTTGGGAAGAATCTGAACAAATTGACAAAACCCCCAGAGCCCAGTACTTCCTCCGCTCCGAAGCAAAACTCTGCTTCTCGCAATGGTCTCTTGTTGCTCTCGACAAAACGAGCATCTTCTAACACCGGAGCAGCAGCATCATCCGGTGGAATTTTGTCCAACAAATCAACTCAGCCGAATGCAAAGCCTCTTCCGGTTCTTGGACTTCAGTACGAATCAAACACATCGACTCATGACGCCTTACTTGGAGCTGTAGTCGGAGCATCTCGGGCAGAAACAGAGCAACCTGATGCATGGGGTGTCGCAGATAAGAAAGATGCATCCGAAGAAGGGATTGAAACAGCTGGAGGTGAAACCACGAAAACGTCGGGTGTAAACGTTGAGCCGGCAGAGACAATCACTCGAAATGCGGGGGAGGATAGCAGCCCAACGAAAGAATCCAAGGACAACGATGATGCTGATGGTCCAAATTGGGATGAATATGGTGGTCGGAATCTTTCTCCTGAGAAAAAGGCGCAAGGAACTTTGGCCAACACGGATGATGATTATCAGGTTTCGTACATGACAACAAGGGCTAAAGAACGTTCCGAACAACGTAGATCTGAAGAGGAGGCACGAATGAATCTGCAAAAGGAGCGTGCAGACCAAAGACTCAAAGAGTTGGAAGAGAAAATGGGCAATGGTGACACCGATGACGAACCGCCTCGCCAGAGGACGCTTTATGACCCCAACCGCCCTTACAACTCTGGTGGAAAGAACGGTCGAGACAACGGATCTTCCGATGTGGATTTTGTGAGGAGAGGAAGGGCCATGAGTGCCGCTTCTGACGACAGTCGTGACATGAAGGTTAATCAACAACCTGTGATCAAGCTCTCCAGTTATGACGACAGAGATCGTGGTTCAAGTTCTGGACCCCGAATGCTGTTTGACCCCAAAAGTGGTTCGATGGTAGCTGTGTCATCCAGAGAGGATTCCAACAAGGGCAGAGGCCGCAAAGAACGAAAGAAAGGAAGAAATGGACGGGACAAGGACTCCAAAGCAGAAGGTAGAGCTGAAAGTGACGTGTCAAAAGCTGCTCGAAAGGGAAAGTCGCGCAAAGACGACTCAACAAATCAGCAGACTTCTTCTTCCGACTCTAAACGCGGTCGCAACACTTGTGGCAAGAGACTTCCCCGAACCTGCGGAGTGTTGTACAGGAAAGACAGCAAGGGACATTATGTTTGCTCAGATGGAGCTGATGGCGACCTTGGTTACGGCGCGCACAGTGTACCAGGAGGAAAGTCGAGGAACCCAGATTCATATGCACGTGTGATGAAAGAGAAGAAACGCGCTACTGGGGAACGCAAGAATGTAGACAAGCAGGATGACTCACAACTTGATGACCCGGCCTCACCGGAAGCGAATCCAGCACCTGAAATTACACTGCAGACTGGGTTGACCACCGGTGAAACAGAATCTTTGCATGGTTGGGTATTGCCCAACGAAAAGATATCCTTAGTTACAGGACACGAAGAATCTCCTGTGCTCCAAGCAACTGCAAAGGCATGGGCGCCAAGTGAAGCTGCCCTTTCAGCAGCTGCAAAGGCTGCAGCTGAGAGAACTGTGACTGTCGGTACATCTGTTCAATCAACAGAGGAAGTAGTTGACGACGAAGACGACGACGATGTTCCTGTAAGTACTGACTATTTGTTGTTGACACATTTATCTCGAAGAAGAATTCAATCGAACTAATATGTTTCGCAGCTGGGACTTGGATTCGATCCAACCTTACATATGGATTCTATGATGCAGTCGCCGGCGGCTGAGCCTGCTGCTGATTTGGATCCTGTTGATTTTACTGCCCTTTCCCTCGAACCTGCGATGCAGACTACCGCTCAGAACACTCATAGCATTTTCGCGTTCGAGTCTGGATCCACATGGGGAACTGGCAACACAGGCGGTGCTCACAGCGATTGGGGTATGCCATCGTCAGGTGGCAATATCTTTGCAAACACTGATTCAGGTGGCGGTCCTGGTGTGCCGACTTCTTTCCTTTCCCTTGCAACTTCTAATACCTGGGGGAACGCTCTGTCTGGACCTCGCCTGAATGAGCACGCTGGACAAACAACTACTGGTGATTAATGAAAGTGTCATTGCTCAAAATATACAGATTTTCATCAGATCCACTATCACGGCTATGAATCAATTGCAATGAAGTTGCGACGGTTTCAAACAGTATTATTTGATGAATGGTCCTATGGAGCTCTTTGGGTGCCTGTCGACCTCTTTTATCAAACCGTTGGTTTTCGCGGTGTTTGATTGATCCATTATTTCATGCTATTCTTGGAAGTATCACCGCAATCACTGGTTATTGTCAAATGCACTGTTTCGGAAGTAAACAGTTGAGAAGACTTTACTGGAGTTGTGATTGTGGTAGCATACCAAACTTTTACTTCTAGGTCTTGTTATTTGCTGCCTTTTTCTTTGTTTCACTATGTTTGATGTATAGACTCCTTCTTTTCGACTACTAACTCGCGATAGCCAGTGGCTTCGTCGACTTCTCTTTTGAAGACCACGCCTTTGATTGTCCCTAACACTATCTCCATGGTGGTGAACACTTGGCCACTCATCACGTGTCCTCCGACTACAGTACCATTCTTATCCGACAAGGACATATGCAAATGTTTTCCACTTGATGAAAGTGTTCCTACCAAGCTCACCACCTCCATTCGTTCATTCCAATTTCTAATTTCATTGGAGGGTAATGTGTTGCCTCCATCCGAGCGACTAGCATTGGCCATGCGCAACGAGACCTTGTCCAACGAGCCCACTGCTGTCATGACAAAGGCAGACGAACTGCTCGATATTGACATGGCTTGAGAGGCAGCATTTTCAATTGCTGATACAAAGTCTTCTCCTGGCTTTAGGCGGATTGGGTGGGCGACGACGGCCCCATATGGAGTGCTTTGAGCCATCGGTGAAAGATTGTGGATGATCCTGCTTCCATCACCCAATCGCCGTTCCGTTGCGGTTTTTCTTACCGCAACAATAAATGATCTCTCACTTAATGGGCACGATAAGTAGCAGATGTGTATACGTCGCAAAATGTACTCAAAAGCAGCTTGCGAATCTCACCACGTAGGAAACATACTAGAAACTTTGAATTTTGCATCGAACTTTTGCACGCAACAAATTCAGTGTTCTATTTTGCTGTGCTGGAAGCAGCTCGGTACAACACAAGCATTCAAGCTCGATCTACCAGTACCTACCATCTTACCTTATCGAAACCTTGGTCAATCCACCAAGATCATTGCCCATCTCGCGTGATTATGATGTTCTGTAGACAGCTTAATGGAAACATGAATCATCAAACGGCAGCTGCTAGCATTTCCTCTTCAATGACAATGATTCGATCCGCAGTGGTGCAGAAGCGCGAGCGAGACGAGAATGATAGCCCTTCGCATTCGGTGTCCGTCCAGGCTGCGGCTCCTACACCTGCGCCCTCACCTGTTTATGAAGTTCCCTTGCAGATGGATCCATCACCAACTTCAAAGAAGTCACGTTCCAATCGATATTCGGCACCTAAAGTTGTAAAACCTTCTATTTTGACAGCGATGGGAAGCCTCGTGGGAGGAGGCGGTCTTCGAGATGTACCTATGCGAAGGCAGCTTTCGAGTGGTGCAATAGATTCTTTTTTGGGCAGACATGATAACATGCAAACTGACGAACCATCGGATCACAATGATTCGATGCCAAGAAGGATGAGTTTCTGAGATATTTTTAAAGATATTAGGATGTAGACAATTGTAATATATTCATGCGGAAGATTAAAATAATGATAGAATGTTGTCAAACTAAGAAATGAACTAGGTACAAAGGAACACTATATGTGAAGCTCAAGATTGTGCTTTTTGGAATCTTATTCCATGTTATTTCTACTCTATTGCTTCGCTGTGACTGGTACAAGGCTTCTGCTAATTGACTACGTAGTCTTCTGTCGCTTCAACGTGAAAGCGAGAGTGTTTTTTTTCATTGTGTGATGTTGCTAGGCTTGCAGACGACGTAATAGGTTGTTCCAAAGTGCCACGTAGTCAATGTTTCGAGTCGTAGACCTGCTTCTTCTAGGATTCTGTCAAGATCTCGATTCCAAACACATCCCCAATTCCTAGCGTGTCTTTCGGCGTTCTATCGAGGCTTTGCAGTCAGATTCATTCGACAATAAACAATCTATAAGTCTCGGCACGACTTACCCTATCCAAATATTGCGTGATGGAATCCCACGTCTTCGATCGACCGTGCTCCAACAGCAGTATCTTTCCATCTGGTTTACATACTCGTGACATTTCTTTCAATACGACAACTGGGTCATCGTAACTGCACAGACCAAAGGTGTCCACCACCGAGTCAAAGGAATCATCGGGAAAGTCCAAAGATGTACTGTCACCCACGACGCAGGCAAACTGTGGCTTTTGATCCTTGTACAGTTTCTTCTTGGCTTCCGCCAACATTTTGTCGGAAAGATCCATAAGGACTACTCTATCTACTGCACTTGGGTAAAAGTCCACATTTCTACCAGTTCCAGCTCCAACTTCAAGAACCAATCCTTTGGAATGGAAGTACAGCAGCGATCGCCGTAGCAGATTGATACCCATTACACTCTCGTCTCTTCCTATCTCCTTATCGTACTTGTTCGCAACATTTTGAAATCGACAAGCTCGGCACGGATCTGACACAAACGAAAAATTAGGATCTTTTTCCCGATGGGCTTCCAAATGTTGATTGGTTTCTTTGACGTTCTTGTTTCCCGAGTTGAAAACAGAAAAGGCCAGCGCACATGCCCCAGCATAAACAAGACCACCACCAACAATTAATGGTGCACGAGGTACCTTGTTGGCCATTGCTTAGCCGATGTTGAAAGGCCGATCACTCCAAATTGGGATTTGATGCGAATTTTATGCTGTGTTTTCAGCATTTCCGACACGTTAGACTTGTACTGACTGAGATGTTTAAAATATGCGCATATCTAACTACTCCAAAGAAAAAATAATATTGCACACTCTATATGAATAGCTATTAGGAGTGAGCAACCGTGATGGATGCTGCAGCATCCTTGATCGCCTGCACCCATCCATCAATTCCAGGCTTCTCTGGATAAAAGATTTTGCTTTCATCCCATCCGTGGTTTCGGCATGCCGTGGCGCTGGTTTCACCAATACAAGCCGCAATCACATTATTGTTCTCGTTTGTGTTTTGTAGCCAGCCCTTTATCGAAGAAGGGCTCGCGAAACAAGCGATCTTCACCTCTTCTGATGCCTTCTTTTTGTCATCCGACCAGTTCGCTGTGACTGTGTCGTAGGTGTTCAGTCTAGTAACTTCAACACCTCGAGCTTCTAATCCATTTTGTAGTGTTTTCTTTGCGCGGGCTGAAGCCGGATAGAGAAGCGATGTACTTGGACCATTCAGTTCCAGCTCGGCCACAAGGGTTTCTGCAGTGGCCTTACTTGGAGTGAAACAAACATCGATCGAAAACCCTTCAAGAGATCTTTCTGTAGCAACCCCAACCGCAACGACTGGGGGTGGATTATCGCGGACAATATCCCAAGCAGAAGCCAAAACCTTTGCTGCTTCGGGAGATGTCACTGCAACATAATCCCAGTCCTTTGATTTCAGAGTTGGTCCAAGAATGTCAATATCCGCACCAGAAGCATGCTCAATACAGGGTAGCTCCAAAAGTTCAGTGGTTGAACCAAGCTCCAGATCATCACTAATCACCTTTAACAATTTCGAGTTCTTGCCATCTTCACGAGTGACAGCAACGAGTGTCCGCCCTTCTGAAGCCGCAGTCAGTCCTGATGATTTTGTGGTGAATGATGGTGTGCTGAAGCAACTAGATTCCCCTGCCAAAATAAACAAGCACAGAGAAAGGAGAAGTCTGACTTTGCTGGTACCTTGGATGTGTTCTATCCCCATTCTTCTCCTCGTATGGTGTCGGTGAATGAACAAACTGGTTGAAGTATCGAAGGATCGAAGGATTCAGAGAATTCGAAATACACAAATCGGAGTGGTCGATGGAGTCGTGATTGAAGGTATCACGACTCCAAATTCACACGTCACCTCATCATCAATCATCAACATTGTGACTCATTTCTGGAACACAAGAGAGCCAGGAAGGTTACCATCGCATAAAACATCCTGAGTTCTTTCAAATAGATAATAGAATAATAAACAATGGGTCAAGGGCTCTCCAGCACACAGTTTTATGTCTTTGGCAAGAAGCATTTCACAGAGTACGTTAGCGATGATCCATTGTAACAAAATATTTTGCATCCCACATCCTTTTCATTTGAAACCAGGACCGGATATATCAAGCACATCAAGAAATACGCTGACCCCCTCCAGAAAGCAGCTGGAATTAGATTTGGAGCTGAAGGCGCTGATGGCGTCGATATGACAGGAAAGGTGGTGCTTGTCACAGGTGCGAACTCTGGCATTGGAAAAGAACTTGCAACATACGCAGCTGCCAAAGGAGCGAAACTGTACATGCTTTGTCGCTCGAAGGATCGAGCAGAAAAGGCAAAAAATGAGATCATGGAAGCAACATTGAATGACAATATAAATATTCTTCTTGTGAGTACGAAAAAATCTGGCCTGAATTTACAACAATTCCAATCGTCTGCTTACAGTTATCTTTGAACGAATTAAGGCTGACATGGGGGAGCTTGCTCAGGTTCGAAAGATGGTTGCCGAGCTGCAAGAGAAGGAACCAAAAGTCGATTGCCTGGTGTGCAATGCCGGAGCACTCTTCAACGATCGAAGAGAATCCTCAGAGGGAAATGAAATTACATTTGCTTCTCATCTATTGGGTGGATCCTACCTGCTATCACAACTCCTTTTGCCGCAACTGAAAGCCTCCGAAAGTGGAAGGGTAATTTTTGTTAGTAGTGGAGGCATGTACAACACTAAGTTCCCATCTTGGGAAATTGCCACAAATGCGTCGAAAGAAAAGTATGACGGACAATTTGCGTACGCATACGCAAAACGAGGCCAGGTATTGCTCGCAGAGGAGCTCGCAAAGAGTGTTCCAGAAGTTTCTTGGGTTAGTTCTCATCCTGGATGGTGTTCAACGGATGCTGTAGATGCTGCATATGGAGAGAACAAGAAATATTTGGAGCCTATGAGAAGTGCTTGGGAGGGAGCTGAAGGCATCGCTTGGCTAATGTCCACGCAATCAGGACTTGAATCGGGTGAGTTTTATTTGGATCGTTCTCCCCAGCCCAAGCATGTTGCATTCGGATCATTCACGAAGAACAAGCCTGAGGAAGTTCAAGAGATGATGGACAAGTTGAAGTCTGCTGCCGGACTGTAATCTATAGTTAAACTAGTTTGTTTCCCGATTCTGTTTACTCGTCGTCATCACCTTCGTCATCGTCATCATCTTCTTCTTCGTCGTCTTCGTCATCATCGTCGGGTAATTCCACGTCGTCCTCCGTTTTGATTGTAGCATCAACACTGACATCAGTCAACAGGTGTTAGCTATGATGTTTTGAAACCCTGGGTCAGCATCTTTCACTTACGTGTATGTGTCACCATATCTTTTCTTCATGACGTTGTTGATCTGTCGTTTTGACTGCGACCCAACCATCATGCCGACAACAAGGCATGCACCTGGTCCAACTACGACAAAGGTACCGGCTAAAAGGAAAACAGCCGTTGTTTCTGATAAACCCCTTTTTTGTAACAAGTTGACTGCGTCCAACAAAAGACCACCAATACCACTTGCGGAAGCTTTTCTTTCGGCCTTCACAACATCTTGTCCAAACACCTCTGCAGTAATCTCGTTGATCTTTTTGGGATGAGACCCCTTTGAATTGTCATTCATGGCCTCACGATACGTGGATTCAATGGGATCATATACATCGTCGTCAAACATGTGATGCTGTACGTATCGATCTACAATTTTATCTAATGAAGAGGAAATGGGCGCGCTTGGTTGAGTTGCTGGTGCGACATCAGCAGTTGATGCAATGGACGGTGTCGACCTCAACCCTGCAGCTCCAAACCAGAAAAGCACCGACGCGCAAAAAAATCTGATAGATCGCTGCAATCTTCGAATCGACCTTTGTGGTTTCTCTGGACTATTGTTGCAGCTGGTGCTTCGACGGCGAAAAAGGGGTGACTCCTCTTTCTCTGGCGTTGCTCTAAGCACTGAAGGATATCCAGAAGTGGTCTTCAAATTTCTGATTTGAGCTGATGGTGAAGGAGCTATGAAGGCTGAAACACCGACTATTAGCAAATTCAAGTAGATTGTGAACTTTATTACGTCTCTCATGGCTATGTTTCCCCTGGTCAAGATCTTGGTTGTCTTCGGTGATGGTTGTTTTGATTGCCTCTCGCTACTTTTGTTCCACCTGGAACAAAATGATGGCTAAGAAAGAGCTGAAAAAGGCCTATATGTTGAACGGTACAAACTACACCGGTAAAACACAGTACAGTATTGAGAAGGATATGGTTCTTGTTTTTTCAATAGGTGCTTTTCGTTTCTAAATGTGTACAAATGTTGGCTACGTCGAGAAGTCAAAGTGACAAATGTATGCAGGAAAAGAAATAGCTTATTTGTTGGTGGCTACAGAAATGATTCATTTTCCCCGTTGGAGTAATTTACATGCTAGCTATTTGATCAGCAGGTAGATGGGCAATGCTTGCTGTCAAATCGCTAGTCGAATCGGCAGCGTTCGATACAGCTTCGCCGACACTTTGCCATGGGAGGTGAAACTCTTGCCATTCACCAGATTCGACTTTCGGTGCGTAAATATTTTTACGGAAGTATCCAATAGAACCACCACCGATCAAGAATGCCCCATATGTACCAACTGTCTGTAGAACGTTTTCTTCCTCGTCATCGGAGAGGTCTGGTGGGTCCTTTTGGAATCGAATAAATGCGTTCACCATTTCAACATCCATCATGAATCTCGTAACTTCGGTCCTTGCTCTCTCATCGTCAAAGCTTGGATTATCCTCTTTGAATCTTTGAATCAATTCCTCTTTGCTGCAGAACATTGTAGGTGAATCGATCCAATATAAACGAGATGAAATGAGATGAGACAAAGGGACTGGATGTAGGAGCAAAATACTTACGTTCCAGCGTACTTCAAGAAATCTGCCTCGTTAACACCAATTGCCAACTCGTCCTGGGTGATTCCAATGCGTGCAAGAATTTCTTCCTCTGGGACATCAGTTTCAACCAACTCCTCTTTGGAAACGCTTTCTGTCTCGGTGACTGCTGCTTGGTCACTACTGGCAACAAAATTTCGGGAATTGGATACGACTTGAGATGGTCGGACTTGTGACGTCGGAGCAAAAGAGCAAGCAGGTGAAAGTAATATGGCGGTAAATGCTAGTGATTGGGAAAGCTTCATCTTTGTCCTTGTTCAATCTGGAATAGGATAGGAATGATGGTTGTTCTTGGAATGATGGGTGTTCTTCAGTCTCAAGTTTCCAAAATGATCTGTACAGAAGTTCAACTTCAGTGACACTTGGAAGCCAGTTTTGAGTCGGAGGTATCAAAATCCCTGTCCATCACCCGAAATTTTCAATCTGAAGTCAAAGACAAAGATTCCCAACTCGTCCGTCCGTCACCCCAAACTGCATCCCATCAACAACCAAGCAAGCTTTATGAAATCGAACATTTCGTAAAATCCTTTCAATAATGACCTCCATCGCCCAGGCACCAACCACCACCAATGATTTCAAGACTTCAAGCACTCTACAGGCGAAGAGACACAACGTTTCCTCCGTTACTTTGGGACAACAGGGAGCATCTGATCCAAATGAAGCAAGATATTGGACGCAGAAGTTGGGGTTAGGTTCTGGTAAATTTGACTCCTCAAACAAGAAATATGCCCACCCAAGAAATGTGAATCTACAGCCAATTGGCGCTTCAATGACCCATCAAGTTGTGTTTGGGCCTCCTCTCTCCTCTTCAAAACAACCAATAGCTGTCATCGGCGGACCCCGCGTTGGCCTTTATGGCACGAGTGCTAGTTCTTCCTTCAATAGAGCTATGGTCCGAAGTGTTGCTTCTGCTTCTCCATTTGAAAGCACAATCGAGCCTGATCGAAATGTCCAAACGGGAGGACATTTAGCGCTTTGTGGGTCATTTCGTAATGATGGTCGTTTGCTTGCAGTTGGAACAGACGTTGGGGAGATTCGAGTATGTGATGTTACAATGCGAAGCACGCTTTCCACCATGAGTGCCAACAAGCTGCCAGTGCGCTCTGTGGAGTGGTTCAGAAACGGTCAAAATATCTTGACAGTAGGGGACGATGGCGTATGTAGAGTATGGGACCTGGGTTCAACCGATAAGTCGAAACCTCAGTTGACATTAATTGGTCATGGTGATGTCGTTCGATGCTCTGCGCTCTGGCAAACATCCGAGTCGAAAGATGGGAAATCTGAATGGAAGCAACTGGCTTTTACTGGAAGCTATGACCACACTATTCGGGTTTGGAATGTTGAGAACTTTTCATCAGAAACCGAGGAAGATCGATGCATCTCCATCCTGTCTCATGATGAACCAGTCGAGTCGATGTGCATTATGGAATCCAACAATCCTAATGTACCAGTTTGGCTATTGTCCGCAGGTGGAACAACGATAAGGGTATGGAACCCAGTTACAGGACAATGCTTTGCATCTGTCTCTACACACCACCGAAAGACAATCACTAGTCTGCTGTCAGTTATTCGGTCAAATGAAAATGAAGATAAAACAAAATCCTTATCTTGGCGAATTTTATCTTCGAGTTTGGATGGCGTTATGCAATTTCACTCATGGGATTCAGAAAGTGGTTCCTTGGAGCATCTCTACAGTACCAATTTGAACTTATCAATAACCTGTGTATCTGCAGACAACTCGGGAGACCGTTTTGCAATTGGTACGAGTGATGGGAAGGTTCTTGTAAAGACCAAGGGGCCAAGCATTGAAGCCAAGAAGAGACTTCGTGATCCAATGGCCGGAACTTATGCTTTCTTTCAAAGAGGAATGAATGCAGAAGCCGGCGAAGGGGACTACACCGTAATGAACCCAGGCAAAAAAAAGAAGTTAAGAAGTTTTGATGTTGCCCTGAAGCAGTTTCGATATGGTGATGCTCTTGATGATGCCTTGGCGACGAGGAGGCCAATGGATGTCGTGGCCGTTTTGGAAGAGCTTGGAAAACGTCGTGGAATAGCTGCTGCTCTGGCAAATCGTGACGAAGAAATGCTTGAACCGATACTCTCCTTTACGATTCGCTACATCGCGAAACCTCACTTCACTGGACTGTTGATTGGAATTGCGCACATGTTAATTGATATATATGGTGATGTTGCTGGACAGTCAGAAACAATCGACGAGCTCTTTGCTAAACTGAAGAATCAAGTTGCCAACGAATGCCGAGCACAGAAGAACTTGGTTCGACTTCTCGGGCATATCGATGCTATCATGGGGAAAGAAGAGATGCACTAAATTGAGTTGAACAGAGCATCAAAGTAACCCTAACAAAATTGTAGTATTAGTGAGACTACTTTTCAAGTGCTGACAAATTTCCTATGTGTTGTGCAAATGAATCGAATGAATCAATCCGTCAGTCAATAAATACGGTCGTATTAGTCGATTGGTTCAATTTCACTGCATATTCATTCATACATGTACGACATCATACACACCTACATCAATACAACCAAGACTGTTTAGCTGAGATGGACTTTCCAAAAAAGCTTTTCTCCGTCCTTAACGATGTTGGCGAAAATGCATCTGTAAATGATGTTCTCACAAAAGTCAGTGACGACGTCGAGAAATTTTTGAGTGCCCCTCCACAAACAGGAAATTCGGAAGCAGGCATTTTACAGGATGATGTGTTGGAAGTGATGAAGCCAGTCTCAGTCTTGGTCCTCAAGGGACTAATCAAATCTGTGCACGGAAGCGACGCAGTGGATTTTGAAGACACAGAGAAAAAAACTTTGAAGGGTACACTGTCTGTAAAACAGATTTACCTTGATAACAAGGATGGATTAGATACAGGAGCAGTGTCATGCTACGTTCGCGCTGGAAAGAATCTACTTCGGTGGTATATTCAGATCTTCCTTTCGCAAAGAGCTCCTTCTCACCCTAGTCCTGTGAGCTGCCTTCAGAATAAAGGGACAGTTGAACTTTTGGTTTGCTTCCTCGAAAACCAAATGGAGAAAATGAATATTGCCAATCAAGAGATGGAGCGAGACATTTCGCTCTTTCTCTTTTACGCCACATTCAGCGCATTTCCAGGCGACGAAACATCAGAAGGAGCACTGTGTCACCTTATTTTTGACTTGTCATTCACCAGAACAGTACTGAAATTTCTCGTAAAACCGTGCTCTTCTGCTCTTTTGGTTGCATTGGTAAGAAACATTCACACCGCTATTGTTTCACTTCAAGGGGCTGGGAAAGAGGTTATGAACTGCAAGATCAGCTGCAATGAATCGTCGTCACAGACAGCCGTTTGGTTTTCGGATGATGCGTGCGAGGTTTCGTTCAGCTCTATATGTACAGACATCCTACACTGGGCTCTGAACTCAGAACCTGTTTTCCCAGGCGAAGCAGGGGATCGACGATTTGATCTCGTGCTAGAAATCTTGGGGGCGTTCTATGCTCTCAGCAGAGGGAAGCATTTGGACGGAAGTGAAAGTAGCAAGAAGCTGTTTCAATGCATCGTCGACATTCTGAAGTTGCCTCAGGACGAAAGTGAGAAAGACATGATACAATGCAAGACGTCTGTGGTGTCGCTGCTCATGGATTGCAGCCCTGTTATCAGTAAAGATCTCATCAGCAATGGGTGTCTTGAATCTCTTTTAGAGCTCATGGATGCGCAGGTGCGACGAATCATAGAGGGTGTTAAGGTTGATGACGGAGCTGCTGCTGCAATCCTTCCCGTCGTGATTGTTCTGAATAAATTTAGCACCGCAAATGCCGATGTTCGAAAAACAGCTAAGGATTTTGTTTTCCCACCAGAAGCGGAAGAAGCTTTCAGGCAGAAGGTACAAGAGCATGAATCCACGTCCAAAAAACGGAACATGGGACCTCTAGACGCACCGAAGAGAACTCTTCGTTGGAACCTGATTTCTCTACTGACCTGGCCGCAGGGGCACATCAAGCGATGTACAGGAGAGTTGCTGTGGACGCTCTGCTCGTTCAATGCAACTGAGTTTGTCCATCGAGTAGGGTTTGGAAATGGTATGCCGCTATTGGGTGCCAAAGGGCTTGTACGGATGCCTCAGCAGTAGAATCACCTGTGCTGGCTTGTGTCTTCTGAAGCCAAGAAACAAATATTGTGTCCGTGCCAAAGATACGTTTTCAACTTCGATTGAGTCTATTGTTGATAATCGACGCACAAAACCGCCTCGCAAACATGCCTAGGACAAAGTCTAAGCCCAAATCTATCACAACCAATATTACACTACACATCAATGAGGAAAGACAACTCATCACCTTTTCCCCTTCTTGCTGTTTGATGACGATGGCTGGACAAAGAAACGCTTGATACCAGACTCTTTTTTTGCAGGCTCGCCCACCCGAAATCTGGAACCAGAGGAAGAAATTTTCTCCTTGATGGAAGTTGAAGACGCCGAAGCGAAGAAAGATGCAATCGTCTTCTGAGACTTGTGCGGTTGGGATGTTCGGGTTAGTGGATCAGACTTGTCCAAGACAACAGATGGTGCCAAACATTCGTCATCCAAAAGCAGTGATATCGCAATATGGTCCGAGAAGGTCGGTGGCGTGTAGACTAATCCTGTGTGAGGCTCCCCAAATTGTGTATCCAAAACGTCTTGAGATGCCTCAACGATCCCACCACCTTGAAAGGACACTGCCTGGAACCCACCATTGGCAGTCGCGACACATGCGGCAGCTTCTTCGCTGTTTGGATCATCGGGACCAGTTGGGTGAACCCGCAATGATTCTGCATTTCCACGTTTGACATATTTGAATAAGGACTTGTCGACCAAAGTGTAATCGATTCTTGCACCTTCGTTGCAGTAACGACGATTTGTGTTTTGATTCCAGCAAGTGTACCGTCCTGCTGCAGAAGGGTATAATTGCCGCATTGCATCCACCATAGAATCTTCTTGGATGACTCTATTGAGCCAAATCCGAGGCGGGGCCATTCGGCTTGCACCGGAGCATTCACCGACTTGCCTTTGGGTAGCTTCGTCCCAAGTAATGCCTGCAAGCTTTCCCATCAATTCAGAAATAGTCTTTAACGGCAAGGTGAGTACGAATACAAGTAGAAGTTTCAATTCCTTTGCGAACGTACCGAGACACATACTACATTCTCCTCTTCCGCTGGAATGACCTCGTCAGTTTCTTCGCAAACGTAAGACATTGAGTCCAAGTTGTAACGATACTCGCAGTATCTTGGGTCACTTTCGTGAGATCCCAAATATACTGTCCTTCCATCTACATCGACCTTCATGCGATATTTGTCGTATGTTTTGTTGTTTTGAGAGTTGGTGGTTTTAGTCGGCACTACAGTCCTTGTTTGGAGTGCTCTTTGGATCTTTGGCCATGCACATGCAATTTGTCTCTTCCACTTTGGAAAATCTGCTGGTTCACCGGCTGCGCTTTCGCGTAGGATGTCATTGATGAAGAGAACTCTGTCTGACCAGAATTTGTCAAGCTTTGCGTGCGAGATATTGAGGTCCCCAACCAAAATAACTTCCTTTCCGACATTACGTTGACGTTGCATTTCCCGTCTTAGCGCATTGAGAAATTTCATTTTGTAGCTAAGCGGTTGTCCAGAACTAGCTGGGACGTAAACGTTAAAGAGAACGAATTTCCCATGGTCAGTCATGACACAGCGGCCTTGATCGTCCAGATCGGCACGACCAAGCGGCCTCGAGTTTGCAGATTTGACGCCCACGCCATTCTTTACATAAGTAACCACACCATTTAGCCCCTTCTTCTTCGTATCCGTACAACAAGACCAAAACGATTCATAGTTGTCTATTGACGAACATCCAAGTGGCTCGGACCGTGACGAAAGTTGAGAGCGGGGAATCTTGTGTTCTTGAACGCAAACGATATCCGCTCCATGACGGCCAAAATACTCCGATAGTACCACCGATGGTTTCCCTTTCCTCCCTTTTCCATACAAGTCGTTTATTTTGTGAACAGTAGTGCTTAGTCCAGCAACATTCCAGCAAAGGATCAGCATGCTACCGGTGGCAGCTTTTGAGTCAGTCAGTTGCGTCTTTGGTGATAAGAAGTCGAATTAGTCGATATCAGAAAATTCGTTCTACAGTGCTATCTACTGCCGTCCTCCGTGTGTGTGTTCGTAGTATTTTGTCTTGGTGTGTAGCTGGTGGGTTGTGGTGTGAAGCGGGTCGAACTGATCGAGTAATAGACTCGATTCGTTCGACCAATCTCAGAAATCCCGTGTGCGGTATTACTGAGATCTGCTTTCCTACCAGGCACCGCCGATATGGTAAAATGGAGGCGGTGCCCAACAGGGCGGGTGAGGTTTGGGAGAGAAAAATTGAATTACCACGACACAAGTGGGTGAATTCAATCTCAGTTAATAAACTGGGCATCATTGCCTCGGCGCATCGAAAACAACTTTTGACGGTCGAAGGCCGTTCGGCCTTTGTCCGTCTGTAACACAATGTAGTCAAAGAAATCGAACAGTGTGCCTGCGGTCTACGTTGGAGTATTATCCGTACTGTACCGTACCTGGTACGGAACCGGTAGTTGATAGCATGCTCTGCACCAGGGTACCTGGTACCGGTATAGTACACACAAGCATGCAAAGGAAGAACAGCTTCATATCGTTTCTCGAGACGCCCTGTGGGCAAAATTGTTTGGGTTAATTTAGTCTCTCAACTATCGATGTATGTTATCTCATGTATTTCTTTTTTGGGTGGTTCAGCAATGGGGAAGCTCTTCCAGACTCCAACCGAATAGAGCGTTGATTCACGCTTCATACCTCGAGGATTATCATTCAGAGCAAGCATTGTCCAAGAGTCAAGGGAATTCTTCAACCATATATGGAGCTCGTCACTCCTGGTGGGCGCTGATGGTAAATGGTTTGACCTTGAAATCGAAAAAAGGTGCGGCTACCATCAGTGGCATATGTTATCAGCTCCCACACTCCAAGCACAAATTATGTGATGCTTCCATATTTTATACAACTTGCAAAACGACAACTCATGTCCAGCACATGTTGAATTGACTATGCTCGGAGAAAATAAACAAGTTAGATCATGACGATGGAATAACAACTTGTTGTGGCGTAGAATTGTACTTCATTAAAGCCGCAAAATTATCCTCACAAGAAGTAAAACTACTTCAGACGGTAATTCCAATGATATGCATTAATCATGAGCAGGAAAGAAAGGTACCGGTAGGTAGCACGTCGTTCCAAACATACCTTTGTCAATTTATTTTTGTGATTGCTTGTGCCTGGTTTGGTGGAGGCTGGTGAGATTTTCGGAGCCCTTCAAGGATGGAAGGACTGACTGACGCTCGGTGGATTGACTGACCAAACTGAGGGACATTACCGGGTGTAAGTTGAAAGTTCTGGTACACGTGTACGTGTGTACGACTGACTGAATGACGGCTCAATCACAAGCTGCCTCAAATCGCAATTATGATGTGGAATAATGAAAGAAATCGAACATATTTAATGATAACGCGCATGCAAGGCTAAAAGTTTCAGGTAGGGCGACCACAGAAAAACCAGTATGTTGATAGTGTACTACCATTCTACGATGATCAAAACGGATCCTCTGTGCAGTTTTCAGCAGTATTCAAACTGCTGGGATTTCCGCTCATGAGCATGAATCCTGCATACCGACACACTTGATTGCTTGACATCATCAGCAAAGCAAAGAGCGGACACCAAGTATAGGTAGCCCGAGACTATATTAGAAGCAACTTCACGAGGATCCAAAACCAGTTTTAGAGTCAGCGGACTGAGGTGTGGCTAGGCCAGTTTTTTTTCTACACAAAGCCGCCTCTCGAGTCGTATTTCACCCTCCTGGCATCAATACAAGCTTGGGCACATCAGAACACAATGTCGAGGCGCAGAGGAGAGTTCGAACACCGCACATCCATCTTCGAGGGCGCATTCCGTGCCTGGTCCCACCTGGGAGGTCTTGATCCAGAAGATCTGGAATCGAAATCACAGGAATCACTAGATCCACTGAGCAATCCTATTCAGAACGATGTTCGAATGAGCAGCAAAATGAAGGATGCTGCCTCATCCGACCCCACCCGTCGAATGTACCCATATGAACCATTGCCACGCTCGGGTCTAGCTCACCCATTTGTACAAGCTATTCTGAGCCCTTGGTTGGGACCAGATGCTGATAATGATGCTATCCAGTTGGGTCTTACAACTCTTCGAACATGGTGGCAGCATCGCCGCAAGGGAGAAAGTGGCTCTGCCGTTGCTGCTTTAGGTACTGAAAAGATGAAGGGAGTGGTAGAGGGTTACACTCGCCATTTCTTTCAGCTGTCCCATTGCTTAATAATGAATGATAAAGAACAACCTCCACGTTCCCTTCATGCTAAAATGAAAGAACTGGACAAAATGAGAAGCAAAGGGGGGCGAAGAAAGAAAGACGATGGAACTGCGGCAATGTCGAACATCTCTAAGGGAGGACCTCTTGCAGCAAGTATACACGCAGATCTGACCAACAAGAATTTAACGCCATTGGAACAACTCCATCGAGCGCAACAGAGAAAGCTTGCTGTGGAAGGAGGTATTCAGGCTTGTCCACCACAGGCCATGTCGTCTTCCAGCACTGTCCCTATTATTGATATCAAGAATAAGTGTGTCGCATCAGCGGTGAACTTGCCGGCCGTGGTAGATGCTGTAAACCACGCGGCAAATCAACTCGCACACAGTGGAGCTGCCAGAGCTGCATCCACACCCAATGTTGTTCCCAGCGCTGTTCTTTCAGGAGGAGAACCGCAGCAGAACGGACAATACGGCGATCCCGATACAGTCCCTATCATTTTCATAAGCGAAAACTCAGACATCATGGTGGCCATGTCAGTCGATGGAATAACGTGTGCTCATTGTGTAAAGATCGTAGAGACAGTTCTAAAGGGATGCAATGGCAACAAGTCGCCCATTGACGGACTTTTGGATGCAGCTGCGGACCGGGTACTGTGTAGTGTCTTGTTGAAAATCGACACTGTCGCAAACGCGAAACGCATTGCTTTTGAAGCTGCCAGAAATCTTGCAATGGTTGGATACACTGCCAAGGCCAAGGAAATGAGTTCATCAATAGAACAAAACGGAAAGAAAACTGATGTCCCTCCAGACAAGTTATACAAGGCGTTCGCAGCTGTGGCACTTTCTGATCGAAAAGATGTTTTCGATTGGAGCGCACCCTGCACATGTCCAGACAACGGAGTGCTTCGAAATGATTGTCCAAGGTACATTGTTTCGTTAATGACAACATTGATGTTTTGATGTGAACAGAAATGCTCATCACTCTGTTTTCTTTTTTATTCATCCAGGCATTCTCAAATGAACACCAACATTTTTGAGGCGTTTGACAGTAGAGGACGTCTTGTTTCTCAATTCCTATCAGGTGCGAAGCTCACTTCGTCAGTACCGCCTCCTGCAGCAGCCCCAGGGGTGCAGTTCCCAGAAAGGCAGCAACAGCCACTTGTCAGTTTTGATACTTTTGCCATGCAGAATAATATGGGTGGAAATAACCAGGGCATGGGCGGAATGAACGGACGAAACAACATGAACCAAAACGCTGGAATGGACATGTTTCAAGGAAATTTGAATGATGGTGGCGGAATGATGCACCAACGTGCACAACGAAACCCATCCATCATTTCATTTGGTGGAAGAAACATGTCATTTGCATCAGAACGGTCGTATGGCCGAGCAATGTCTGGCCTATCAGCTTTGTCGATTGACTGGGAGAACATGGAAGACTTTGATGTGAATCTAGACCACAGTGCTCACATCAACAATAACATGCCGTCGAACAACAACGATCCACTTGGAGGAAACGATATGATGATGGGTCCACCTATTGGTGGGGGTGGTCGCGTTGGCAGACGATCCAGCTTACGGCAATCGTTCATGATAGGTGCCGGGGGCGCTGGTGCCAGCAGCAATGTCAATAACGCTTCCGACGGTGGCATTTAAAAGTAGTTTTGTTTTGTTACCTTCTCTTACATTTACTTCTTGCTATCGTTTGTGCTTCAAACTGTGTTCTGGAAGTGGAAATTGAATGATATCATTTTTAAGAGGAAAAAATGAGCTGAATTCCCACTCACTTGTGTGAATTACTATTTTCAAATTACATCTCAATAATACCATCTCATTACATGTTTTTTTAAAAAGTGGATACGTCAAGACTTTTCAGCATCGAGCGAAGCACCTCCGGAAAGGGCACCATCGATGTCTTCTTGTGTCATCAAACCATCTATAGATTCAGGGGACACACTTCCTCCATAACAAATATGCGTGCTCTTGGCTATTTCTTGATCATAAATGCCAGCAACGATATCACGGCAAGTCTTGTGGACATCTTGAGCGCAACCTTGCCGGTATCAATTGCCCAAAAAGGTTCAGAGGGGATTGCAATTCGCGACATATCTTCCTCACTGACACCCGTTAATCCCTCCTCCCTCATCCGACTCTTCCAATACAAAGCATGTAGGACATGTCATTTTCCAAAACCATTGAAACCTGCTTTTGATGTTTTCATGAGATTCACCAAAGAGGGCACGACGTTCCGAATGACACGGACTGATTGACCATGTCGACGGAAATAGCACCTGTGAATGCTCAATTTCCTTCAGTACATACAGCCTGGAAAATTAAATTATGAAATGAGATATCCAATGCATTGTAATTGTCATCACGCTATCGCTACATACCTAGGCACTGACGATCAGCTTTCCGTCGAAAGTTTTATCGCAGCCTCAAAGGAAACGTAAGAAACAAAAAAGAGCAAAGATAGCTTCTTCCTTAGTCTGAGGATTGGGTATGACGATAGCTGCATCGAACGTTTTTGAAGTTTTCCAACAGACGATCCTCCGATTCGGATGCAATAGAATAGACCTGCCCACGACGGCCAGGCTGTTGCTCCGTCTGGTCGTCGAAGTGGAGAAGCTGGTGTGATCTTCCACACAAAACTTTCATCACAACTTCCTGACCTTTTGGCTCACACGTTTCCGACAATGAGATCTGCTTTGCGATTATCTTCAATTTTGGCTCTTCTTCTTGAAGCCAGCGCTTTCGTCTCACAGTCTAGACAGCCAACCAGTGATGTTTCGCTTAAAATGGCTGGTGGAGACGATGTTTACGTCATGGTCAATGGGATGCCAGGACCAATGGCCACGGCAGCAGCTGAAGCTTGCCTTCGCAAGGGATTGAAGCTTACACCTGTCGCGATGACTGGTCCAGACATTCAATCGTCGACAATTACAGTGTACGACTCTGTCACTGGAAAATCGTCGGACGTTAAACTGATTCCTGCCAGCGAACCCGACGAGTTGAAGGCTTCAATAGCGGGAATCAAGGAATCTTGTGGGGAGAAGAATGTCTTGGCTATCGACTACACTCATCCATCTGCTGTCAACAACAATGCTCTATTCTATGCTGGAAACAAGCTGCCATTCGTCATGGGAACTACTGGTGGGGACCGAGAAAAGCTCATTGACGACATGCAATCGGCAAAGCATTTTGCAGTGATTGCGCCAAACATGGGAAAGCAAATTGTTGCCATGCAAGCTGCACTAGAAGATCTAGCTACCAAGTATCCAGGAGCATTCGCGGGATACAAGCTTGAATGCAAAGAGAGCCACCAGAAAACCAAGGCTGATACTTCTGGAACTGCCAAGGCCGTCATTGACTCCTTGACACAGCTTTCTGACGACAGCTTCACATATGACGACATTGAAATGGTCCGAGATGACAAAGAATCCATCGAATTTGGTGTTTCAGAAGACGCGTTGAAAGGACATGCATTCCACACTTACACTTTGACCAGTTCTGATGGATCGGTTCAATTCCAACTGAAGCATAACGTTTCTGGAAGAACCGTCTATGCCGAAGGCACTGCAGATGCAGTCAAGTTCCTTGCCAAAAAGGTGCAGTCAGAGAGCGAAGGAAAGGTATACAACATGATCAACGTGTTGGAAGAAGGAAGTTTGGAATAAGCAATGAATCGATAGTATTTATCATCATTGTTATGTATTGTAGTAGAGCTACAGTTTCATCCTTTGCTATTTGCAAGCTCGGAATTTCCATGGACGATAAATTTTCATCCTTGCACTACTAGCCAAATTAAAAATGGTTATGGCAAGGCTAAGTAGAACAACGTGGATCCCTTGAAGAAACAGCCGAGATGGGATTTACTCTTCCGCCAAACTGGGCACACCTAATAAAAACGTAGCAACCCAACTCTTGAGTGCATCGTCAGCAAGTTTTGCCACCTTCACGTCGCTCTTGAAAACAAAGGACTCGTCCTCCTCGTCAAAGCCTTCTCCTAGTCCACCAATCGGTAGCTGGTCAGATGATTTGGGTTCCTTGTCTCCTCCCTTTCGAGTCGCATCGGCAGATGACCAAGCATCCTGTGCTAGTGATATTGTGTCGTGAAAGTTATGCTGAGTCATGACATCTTGCAGCCGTAGAAGTGAGTTCCATACATTCTTTCGTGCTGTCTTTGGTACTTTTTTGAAAGTGCCACTATTCAGTTCTCCTTCAATCCCTTTCGCCTGAAAGTCCTTGAGCCAAACAGAAACCCCGCTAACAACAATAAAGTCCTCTGCTTTGGCATCTCCTTCGCCAATTGCAGTCATGACATCTTGGGCTGTGCATTTCCAGATAGCATCTTCCGCCTCTCCGATCGGAGATCCAATTTCAAGAGACTTCAGCCTCGGACTAGAGTGCAGCCACAGCAGATTCTCTTGTCCTTTAACGGCATACTGCCCTCCATAACGCATTGGGATTCGCACAACTCTTTCCGACCCAGTGTTCTTGTCCGAAACCTTGATGTCTAATCCTTTCGTTGAAGGCCTATTCAAAACAACGCCAACGGTTGCAGCCTCGTCGTCGACCAAAATAAGAACAATCGATTTGTGAAATTCCTGGTTCTTCAAAAGGAATGGACTTCGCTCGGTAGGGGATGCGCGAAGTAGAGCACCCTCATACCCTACTGATGAGCCTTTGTTTGCGCCGAGAACTCGCATGAGGTCATCAACTTCCTCTGGATTACTCTTGAAGTTGTCTGGACTACGCTGTTGTTCGCCTCCGCCACCACCAGAGACCGATGATAGCAAATTCTTGTACGCCCATTCCTTGAGCATCAAATCGTCAAAACCTCCACTCTTCTCCTTTGCGGTCTCCCCTCTGCCAATCATATTCATTAGCAAACCCCAGGTGTCTAAACCAGCATCTCGAGGCTCGGCGCCCTCTCCTTGTCTTGCAAGTTCCTTCAGGAGTGTCTGAGAATCGGTAGCAACCATATACCAGGAGTTTCGTTCCAGCTCTCCCTTCAATTGACCCGGTCCCCAGCCAGCATATCCCACAAAAACCCAGAAATCTCGAACATCGGCAACACCAGCTTGGACCAACCGCTTGGCATTATCGAAAGAAGTCCATTGAATGTCATTCATGACAGGAATACTTGCAGAAATTGCCTTTGGGTTTTGGAGAGAATGCAAGCAAACAATATCGGGTTTCTTTGCATCAAGCCCTTGCACATCTCCTCCAAACCATACACGCCACTTCTTGCCTGGATTAACATCGTCATCCAGCACCATGTCTGTTGGCCGGTTCAAAATAATTCCTTTTGTAAATGTGCTCTCCTCATGGTCAACAAGCAGTAGTACACACTTGTGGAAGTACTGCTGACGCAAGCCAAATCCAAAGTCTTGCTCAACACCTCCAAGAATGACAGAACCTTGTTCAATCATATCTCCAGAGTCGTAAGCATATTGAGATGGATCTAATGGCGTAATTCCGTCAGGCAACTCAAGTTCTTTACTTGCAACTGATGCAACACCTTCCGCCGCAAAGTCCTCCTCAAAGAGCGACCCGATGCCATCTAAATCTCCCTGATCGATTATTGGCTGTGTCGATTCTTCCGTATTGGATGAGTCAGTGGTGGATTCAGGTTTCTTCTCTCCCATCACTAGCTTCGCACGGAATGCTCTCCAATCTTGGTCCTTGATGGCTACATCATCATCTTCCTCCTCATCATCGTCCCAATCCGGCGGTTTGCTGTATAGTTGAGAGCCTATTGAACAACTTTGCGACGTGGGTACAGTCACTAGGAACGCTTCAATGGGTAACGCATTGAGCGAAAAGGAAGCGAAAACGAGAACAGCCAAAATTAGAATCTTTTCCATTGTACTGGTGGTGGTGGTGTGAATGTGACTTTGATAATTTCGACTTCAGTGATCAGTAGAAAAGGTGCTCAACACTGCAGGTACAGTAGTTTCTGATCTTTTTCAGGAGAAATGAAGTCCAGTATGTGAGGCCTGAGTTGATGTCTGGTACGTTTGTGGAAGTTGAGAATGAAGAAACAGATTTTCTTGGTGTGATCAGCTTTTGAAATACTCTGTTCCTATTGGCCATACAATGTCATCTGCGACATGGGAATGTGCTGGACATGCGGCTAATTGCAAAAATGATGGTTGGATATCACAGGAGCAGTCGCCAACAACAATCACACCAAGAGCCATTCACGACAAGTACGCTAAGCTTTAAAACGGAGCGTCTTCCGATAGATAGAAACAGACCAATTTCAGACTGGGACATTTCGTTTCCGGTGGTACAATCCAACCCAACTGACAGGTTGGCTTCAACATTGACATCATTCCAACCAAATCATGTCCGAAGAGGAACCACCAGGTGGATGGACTGTGGATGTATTCCGTCCGTATGTAGAAGACGCTTTAGATGAATGGAAAAGGGGCGATATGTTTATGAAAATCGGACTGGCTGAAACAGATACAATTCTAAAGGAAGGTGAGGCAGCTCCAGCGAAAGGTGACAAAGGACATCCTTTCAACAAGATCTTCAGCTTTATCATCAAGGAGATTGCTGCGAAATTCAATTTAGTTAAGCAGAAGAAGAAAACTGTGTCCATTTTGCTACGAAGCCTTGACAAAGAATGGGAAGCATTGGTCAAAGCAAAGCAAATTCAAAGCCCTATCAAGAAGAAAGGATCGGCAACAACGGGAAAAGAATCATCGGCCATGGATGCCAAGGACCAACCCGAAGCAGCAGAAGTCAAAACTGAAAGCAAGGAGATTGAAGTAAAAGAGGAAATGATAGAAAGCCCAGTCCAACACATGGATGGGGTTCCTATTGATCTCACGCCGAGACAGCTGCAAATGAAAGAGAAATTTGAGAAGAGAAAGCAAGAAGTATTGGATTCCCTTCCAGGAGAGGTCAAATCGAAGTTTGGGCAACAGTTTTTTGCGAAATGGGCTAAATCTCCCTTACCAGTTCTTGTATTGAGTCCGTACAATGTCCCACCTGGCCCTGTCAGAGACATGTGGTTTGACATGTATGAAAAGGTAGGTTGAACAATTGATTTGGAATCTTCAATTGTTCGAGATCAGGAGCTGACTTTTGACAATTCCCCAATTCCTTCACGTCGCAATCACAGGTTAAGAAACAAGGTAGGCTGGCATCAGCTTCCAATCTAGTCTATTGGTATGGAGCGTACGACGATCCAGCAAACGCATATTCCTTTGTCATCAAGAGCAAGTTAATACCATTTGCGATAGGGGAAAAGAAGGGACTTGGCAAAGTTCCAAATGCCATACGGAAGAAACTAGACGAAGGGAAGAAAATTGGTGGAGCAGACAAGATGCTGCTTCAAGGGATTGAAGAAATGGAAGAGGATAAGGCCAAAGAGCCGGATGATAGACATGGACGAATGAACCAAGTCTTCTTGGAAGATTGGGAGTTCGTGGAGGAAGAAGTGATTGTGCAGGAAGAGGAGAAATCTAAACCGAAAGCTAAACCGAAAAATAAGAAGACAAAGAAAAGGAAAAATAAGGACGATCAGGTCGATCCTGTACCAAAGAAACAGAAGAAGACCAAGAAAGCAGCAGAAGAGCCAAAGCAAGACGAAGAGAAGAAGCCAAAAGTAAAGGAGGGCGATGGGCCTGCAACTCCTGTGAAGCTAGAGGACATCGGAGATATAGGTGATAACGATGTGTCTTCGCATGATGATAAGGATGATTTAGAAGACGCCGAACCACCCAGTGAATCGGATGAAGATGATGAAGATTTTGAGTACGGAAAGGGACCAGTGAAGAAGCCGAAAACTCAAAAGAAAGTGTTAGCAGCTGCAAAAGCTCCTCCAAAGAAGAAATCACGGAAAACCAAAACAAAGGTCGAGAGAGGCCGTAAAGATGGCGAGAAGAAGGTGCCCGAGGGCGAGAGAAGGAGAAGGCAAGAACTTACCAGGTTCACGGCTTGTGAGGACAAGTATCTCAAGGTTATCGACGACTGGAAGTATGGCCTTGAGAATCAAAGCAAGGGAACCATCAAAGAAATTTACGTGAGACTGCTTGACTGTGTTACCAAGTTCTCTGCTCCCTTCATTGAAGCATATGAGATGCCGGTTCTCATGAAGCAATCGAAGAAGATTGTTGACGACGAAAACCGTTTGAAGCTTTGGAAAACAATGAAGGAGGTTTACCAGGCCAAGAAGAAAGAGGTTCCAGCTGGATTCGTGCCACAGAAACGAGTTCGGAATGTAGAAGTTGCTCCAGAAAAAGAGGTTATTGAAAAGCCAAAGAGAATATCTTCCGTCGAGGAGATTGCGGAAAGGGACAAAAGTACGAAGGTTCCAACCAAGACCAAGTTTGAGCGACAAGATGTATCGTCTTCAGCGCCTACGAAACCAGGGACTCCAGTGGCAACAACAGAAAAGAAGAAGTTTTCGCTGGGTAGCATAATGACAAAGCCAAAATCTACGAACAAACCAGGAGCAACATCCGGGTTGATTCGCTCTTTGTCTTCATCATCGCAATTGTCGAAACGGCAAGAAAACCCTCAATGGATCTCAGAGACGTCAATAAAGGATATTCTCGATGACGAGAACAGGTCCTTTGCACTAGAGTTTCTACAACAAGCCACTCCCTTCATTCCACCAAATGACAAGGTGAATTCAGACGTCATTGCCCGTGAGTTGGAAACATCCATTTTCGAATGGGCCGGTGGAAAAGACGGCGTAGCAGTCACAGATTGTTTTGTGAAATACTGGGATAAAGTGGATGACATGGTAGCAGCAATAAGCGGAGATGGTGGGAATGGGACCATCGCAAGAATGATCTCCCAAGGTCGATTTCAATCAGCTTCCGAAGTAGTGCGGCTCTCAGAGAATGACATTGTATGCTCCTACGAGGGACGGCCACTAGAAGACTTTAAATTTGAGTAGAAATGCTTAGTCTGTCGTGCACAATAAGCTTTTGAATTCCATGGTGCTGTATACGAGTACTCTTCTTTTTTCTCTGTTCTCGATTTGTTCGATTCGATTCGTATTTGCTGAGCATGGGTCACGGGCGGCGGTTTAATCATGCGCCATATGGTCATTGCATTGGCATTTGTATCCATCATCTAGGAAAAGAGTTCTTGCCAATTTGAAGTTGAAAGGGAGAAAAGGATTCAAAATGAGGATCCTATGCACACTGCTCTCTGTTTCCTTCGTGTATCTTCAGGTTGCGAGAGCAGAAATCGTTCCTTTGGATCTGGTTTTAGATGCTGATTCGGAAGAAGTCCATTACGTTCGCGGTGCGTCAATTCATGAGCGAAAGTGGACGCTATGTCCTAGTTTTGTACTGATGCTTTATCTCCTTTGCTTTTTTAGGTTGGTTGGAAGCACCTGCTTCTATTGACATTTCCAACGTTAAGTTTCTGACTTCTCCTGTTCCAACCGAATGGGAAACCGATGATGAAGAGGCTGACGACGATGAGGATGAATTTCCCTACGACGAGACCCCTGCCCCAACTCCATTTCAGGAAAGATTCCCCACCCCGTCTGGTGCTGGAACAAAATCTCCTAGTGCTCCATCCAGCGACTTTCCATTTCCAACTGCAAGTCCCAGCAATTCAACTTCTGATGGGGGCGATACTGGTGGTGGTGGTGGTGGTGGTGGAGACCTTCCATTCCCTGGTGACAATGGCGGAGATGCGTCTGATTTACCAACAGCAAGTCCCAGCAATTCTACTTCTGATGGAGGCGATACTGGTGGAGATGGTGGTGGTGGATTCCCTGGCAACAATGGCGGTGGTACGTTTGATCAACCAACAGCAAGTCCCAGCAATCCCACTTCTGATGGGGGTGATGCTGGTGGCGATGGTGAAGGAAGCGACTTTCCGTTCCCGGGTGATAATGGCGGTGATACGTCTGATTCACCCACAGCAAGTCCCAGAAATCCCACTTCTGGCGGGGGCGATGGTGGTAGTGATGGAGATGTGAACGCTCCTTCAACGGGACCAGTAGGTGACGGCTTCGGTGATGATGGAGATGGAAGCAGCACTGGCGGGGATGGAGCCTTTGGGGGCGATCTCGATGGTGGTGGTGGAGGCTTTGGCGGTGACTCTTCTCCAGTGCCTGCCCCTACTGGATTTCCAAGAGAGCTCCAGGGCGTCACCCAAAAGCTTCATTTCGTCCTCTTCGCCATTCCCGACAATTGCAAAGAAGACATGTTTGGAAACTGCGACTGGACCGCACTTGGAGTCGGCGCTACAGATTCTTTGGTCGAGGGTGACATCAGTTACTGTTGTTCAGAAGACACGGCAAGCCGGAATATTTGCGAGGAAGAAAATATTGGAAAGCTGATTGTTGATCCAGTTCTCTTTGCTGGCGAGGAGCGGTTCCTAGCTGTTCCACAGACAGTTAATACCCCCTTTGATTTTCCTGAGGGTGATAGCGTCTTTCATATCAAGGAAAAGGGAGATTATGTGCTGCTGATGGGCAATTGTTTTGACGATGGCCTAGATGTGCTTGAAATGGGAACGATGGAGTGGAAGGCGGAAAACAGAGGATATGTTCCAGGCCATTTGTATGGACTCATGGTTTTCTACGCAGCGCTTACCGTATACTACTTTGTGTTGGCGTTCTTTTACAAGTGTGGCATGCGAATGTTCCAGGATGCAGCAATTCCTATTCAGAAATACATCTTTGCGACAATTTTGTTGGGATTCCTTGAAGTATTGTGCAGGGCTGTCGATCTTGGGTTCTGGGATGTGCACGGACAGCGCTCCATCTATGTCCTTTATGCAGGTAAGAGAGCAACTGTTGGGTATTGTGCAGTGCCAAAGCCTATTCATTATCTCACGATGCTTCGTCGCAGCGCTTGGGTTGGGTGTATTGAAACGTGGAATCTCCAACTCTTTGGGAGTTATGGTTGCGAAGGGCTGGGGTATTGTCCGAGAAAGGTTCGTGGGCATCGGACGACGGTAGCAATTGTCACCCAATATCAATTTTCCTAACTTTTTCTTTGCTGACATACAGTCTCGGCTTGGCTCTGGCCAAAATCATCATGCTTGGTTTGATCTACACAGGACTGACTGGCTTCCGCGATTTCTCCCTTATAGTCGCCGAAGAAGATGTTGAAAAAATATCAGTTACGGAAGAGACTGAGCTCTTCGATATAGCTCTCATCCTAACGTTGGTTATCATGGTTCTGGATTTGATCTTCTACTTCTGGATTTTGGATTCGCTGAATGCCACCACGGATTACTTGAGAAATATGAATCAAACGTCAAAACTTCGCAGGCATCTGCGCCTCCGTTGCCTGATGCTTACGTCGATGTCCATTGCTGCTGCATGGTTGGTTTTCACCATTGTCGACAAGGTGATGGGTGGCATTCTGAGAAGAGACCAAAAGTGGTTCTTGGATGGGGTAATGCAATTGAACTACACTCTAATCATGACAGGTGTTGCATTCTTGTGGCGACCAAACGCAAATGCCAAGGACTACGCAATGCAAATGGAGATTCCTACCATGGGCGAGGATGATGAAAACGATCTTGAGCTTTCATGTGTAGTTCCATCCGCAGGTGACATGGACGATGGAAATGATCCAGATCACCCCAGTGGCATCAAAGCTAATATGGGCCAATATTCTTAGATATCTATTTCTCCCTTCGGCATTTGTCTGTCAAATTAGTTGGCTTCCAAATCATTATATCGAGTTGCGTATATTATCACGGAGCCCCCCCGCCTTGACCAGAGAGATGCCAGGTGGTGTGACGTGTGGCTTGATTGCTGCTACGTACACAAGGATTGACTGCTACTGTGAGACGAAGTTCGGTCTTTTATCTTATTGCTGGAAGCAAGATTCGACTTTACTTTTAAAAAAGGATTGGAGTATCAATACCATTTGTAATATTTATCTCTTCTCCTTTAGCATGATTGTCAGGGCATCGACGGCCTTTTGTAGCGTCTCGACATCCTTTTGAAGGCTGTCAACCTTCCCAAGCAAGAGCTGTAAATCTGATCCTCCAAGAGTGGACCCACTTCTACTACCAAAGGCGAATCTAAAAATTGCATAAGCAATCACCGGGCCTGCAACGGATATGGCCAGCTTTTGAACTAATGGTAGATCAAATATCGACGTTGTCGAAGTGGACCCGCCTGCTACTTCTTCGTCTTCGACCTGCTCCACCTCCACCTCCACCTCATCATCTGAATCACCAGACTCGCTACCGCCTGTGGTACAAACTTTCTTCACTGCCTCAAACAATCGGTTGTGAACACTCTTGGTTTCTGATATCGTACCTGTTTCGATCTTGCTCGAGAGCATGGTCCTCCTCTTAAAGTCAACAAATAGACCAACTTCTATCTTTACATCGTTGCTCCCTTCTCGGGTTGCAATCCAACGCACCTCGACCGCAAAACTATCTGCATACGGTATGCCGACAAAACTTAGACACATAGCCATAACACACCTGTCATTGCCTTCAACCCTACAATATTGCTGCTGAACCACATTTGCGATTGGCGGACCAATATACAAGTGGGTCGTGCGTTTGAATTTGAACTTGATCAAGCGCTTCTGTTGGTAACGTTCCTTATCCCATGGGTTCACGAAACCCACATCATCCGTTGCAAACTCCCAATTGCCAAGCTGGAGCTCGAAACAACCTTCTGTTTTCAGCCATTCCCCGTAGAACGGTTTTTCTGACGTTCTTTCACCTTCAGACCACACTTTCTCGTATAGACTCTTGATGGGGACACCTTTAATGGTTCTAGAAAGAACTGTTTCCATCTTTTTTATGGTTTTATCAGGAGGGACCGGACTGAAACTAGATCTGGAACTGTCGCTAGTAGCTGGGGCGTCTGGTGTCGCGGTCTCGCTCTGTTTTCGATCACGTAACTCACGAAAATGCTCCAGTGTCGCATCTCTCGACCGTAAACGACCAAGGACAAAGGCGAATTCGTTCGCATCTGGCTCCAGCTTGTAGGAGATTACGATACTTTTATCGTTGCTTCCAAGTATTCCCTTTTCCACTTCGACACTAGTAACCTTTGACCACAGTAGTGATAACTTTTTGCCGTCCAATGCCAAAAAGTAGACGCTATCTCCAGTGGTGAAAACTCGCCCTTGAACAGGCTGTATGAGGAATGATCCCTTTTCCCTCACCCTATAAGTACATGAAATTGTTTGTAGGATGACTGGGGCTTCCTCTTCTTTTTGCGACCAGAAAGCTCTGATGAATGACTGCCTCAACGCACTCTCTGAGTCATTTTCAGTTTTCGAATCATCGAAAGACTTCCCATTCTGTTTGGAAGGCTTGACTATTCCCTGTGTTGTGGATATAGGTGTCGTTAATGATCGGTGTAGCGCTTTGTGGCCGCTATTCTTTGCGATCGGCTCCTCGGATCGATCAGCTGTACCCTTCGTTTCGACTGCCTGTGCACCATTTGACGAGTTGTCTGTTCCTTTCTTTTCCTCTGGTCTCTCAGGCCACACGATTTGGCCAATGCCTAGGGTTTCTACGCTGTCTTCGCCCCCCTTTAGATTCAACAGCGCTTCAACAGGCTTCGATTCCGCCTTTGCAACACTTAGTGCGTAGCCTGCATCTGTGTCAGTATTGTTTAAGGTTACAAATAAACCATCTTGCTCGGCCTCAATGATTTTCGTTTTCGAAGAATCCAACCAGCCAGCAACATCATCTACCATCTTGTCGATTGTGAAGTTGTCGGATTTTTGTGTCGATGTGCGCGCAGCTTGTCGGCACTCAAGCAGTTTCGTAACGGTAGTGACAACAGATTCGAGTGTTGACTTGAGGTCTTCCCATCCTTTGCGGTCTTCAGTTTCGAGTTTTTCCAATCGCTGTTTTGCATTTGATAGATATTTTCCAAGAACATCGTCCTTAACCGCAGATGCCTCAGCCACTGCTTGCCGTTCTTTGCCCATCTTCTCATCTTTCAGTTTTGTAATTGTGTTCATAGCATTCTCTTGAAGTTTCTTTATTGCGTCGTTTCCAGCAAGCATACTTCCAATTTTGCTCATTCGCGAAGGTGTTCCCGCCGGCTTGTCATCAGGATCATCCACAGTTCCCGAGTCGCCATCATCGACTGGGGTTGCAACACTATCAGTGGATGCTGTGCGATCACGACCTCGTTCAAGCTGTAGCTTTAGTTGATTATACCGAGTTTCGGCTCTTGATTCTGACCGTGATGCTTCGCAAAGTTGTTTCCATTCGGAGTCTTCGGTCGAGATTATGGCTTCTAACCGTTGTGGTGCACTTGCCAACAACGGATCGAGCTTACCTCTTGCAATGTTGTTCAATTCGTCAACACATTCCAAGGTTGAAGTAGCCTCGGTTTGAAGAACACGCAATATGCCTTCTATCAGGTCGACACTGTTTTTCCCAATGTTATTCATTGCAACATCTAGCAATGACTCTGTTTCAGTAGGATTTCTGGGAAGGATTCCAGCACAGCCATCAGCTTCGAATAACAAAAGAAAGCCCATCAAATCGTTTCACTTACATCTTTCCTGTTTGAGTCTTCGTTTTCATGGATTTGGAAAACTTGGAGTTTGCGGAAGCAAATGCCTCTAAAACACTCTTCAACGCCTGTACGACCTTGATGCGTGAACTTCGGGTAGCGAAAGCAGTTTGGATCTTATCACGAAGTTCGCCAGTTTCCTGTGATAATCCAAGCATATCAGCCTCCATCGCTCCCTTTCCTTCTTCGTACTTCATGTTTTGCTGCTTGAACAAATTGTTCAAGAACAGTGCGCCGTCCATTTTCTCCTGCAAAGCGCTTTGCAAAGCATTAGGAGATTTTCCTTCGATCAGCCCAACAACCATCTCTCCTATGGCCTTCTCTTCAAAGACCATGATGTTGTGTCCTACTGAATTGACAAAAAAGTCAAATCGATTATCGACCACTGACTGTATCTCATCAAGACCCAACACTTCCACAGCTTGTGCCTCGTCTATGAGCTTGTTTTCTTTGACAACAAGATCGCGGTACTTGGTTTCACAGCTCTGGACAGTTTTCAAAAGTTGAATCAGAGAGGCTGTATTGCTTGGAACGTTTGCACCAAGTCTTGTTAGCGCCTTTTCCCAACCTTCCACATCGTCAGCCATCTCCTCAAAATCCGAAGCTAATGTTGGCGCAGTGCTTTCCCTTGCCTTCTTCCAAGACTCAAATGAAGATTCAGCATTCTTGACGGCCTTTAGGTATACTTTCCTGGCATTGAGGGCTTTAGATCTTGTTTCCTTACACAGTTGACGTACTTGAGTGTAGCGTTGGTTTGAATTAGCTATAATTGTTCCATTCGAATTCAAGGAATCCTCCAGAGGGATCAAGATTGTCACTTTTATGTACTCTGCGAGCTGTCGTGTACTCATGGAGTAAGTTTCCAGTGAGATTTTCAACTCATTCGACTCTTCTTGAAGCACTTTGGGAAAGAGAATCTCCTGTGAAGGTTGCAACTCTTGAAGACACTTGAAGCCAATCAAGCCCACTTGATCGTACAAGCTGGAAATTTCCGTGAGAAAAATGAGTAACCTATGTGCTACTTCGCCAATAGACCTGGATTTGGAAGAGGCTAGCCTCATTCCTAGAATAATGTGAAAAGCGGACATTGAAACAAGCCATCATTAGCAACGGTTCAAATACAATAAATGTGGCATTCGCGTTCTCGGATGAAGTGATTATTTACATACCAATCCCATGTAGACTATCTGGTTTTGAAAGGTCAAGCGATGGGGAGAAACATTCCGTGCCACGAGGACTCTGCAAGAGCTCGCTCCACTTTTTGCGTGACCGGTTGTCATCGACAATTTTTCCATCGGATCCTTCCTTCGATTCTTCCTCCTTCTCCTCCTCGTTGGAAGTCATCGAAGTCTCCTCTTTCACCTCCAACTTGTCATTGTTTGGAAGATCCGTTGACATTTCGGTGGAATTCCCGACAGGCTCCATAGTCTCTGACAGAGCCATCGTCAACAATGAAACGGAAATAAACGCGACAGCTCACAAATCACAACGGATGGATTGCATGACTGACTCATTGGACTAACAATTGACCTGTTTGAATGTTCATTACAGGATCCGAATGCTTGACCACCATGTGCATTGCTGTACAGTCATTCTAGTAAAACGCTTGAGTTGGAAGTTGGTTAAAGTAGATACGCGTCAGTGATAGATGGTTTTAATTATTTCCACTTTTATCCGAGGTCCATTTTTGTCATTCAATCAGTTGACGATGATGTACTGCACAGGACTCTTGGTGATTACAGTCTGCGATAGAAAAAGCTCGGTACTTCTATTTAAAAAACAATCCAAAGATGAAAATCCCTCCAAAACTTTATCAAAGAAGAAACAAGCCCAGACCTAGCTCCCGCCTTTTCGTTTTTGAGCTGAAATGTACAACACGTTGTTGCCTCGAATGAAACAGTCCCCATACTTTGCCTTTAATTGGCCATCAAGACCAAATTCTTCCGTCTGTTCCATTGCAATATTCAAATAACCATCCAAACAAGCCAGTACTCCTCGGTACTCAATCCCTGAGTTCAGCTTTACTCGGACTGGTCTTCCCAAGACAGACTTCAAAAAGTCAGATGGAGAGCGCTTTTTGGCAGTAGATTCCTAGGGTGAAAACGACATGACATCAGCATTGGTCTGTCGAACGAAAGTTTTGGAGAGTTCAGTTGATCGGATCACGTTATAATTCCCTACCTTGTTTGAATCCGTTGGTGTCGGGTCGGACATTTGTGGTTGTGTGTTTGCACTTGTTCGTTATTGAATTGGTTTGAAGTGAATCTGCAAAGAATGTTGATTCAGTCTAAGTTGAGAGTTCTTTGGTCCTCAAGGCTAATGGCAATTATCAGTTTCTGATGTTCTCGTTGGATGTCTTGAAGATAGAAATAATGATATTGCTGTTGTTATTTTCAGTTCGCGGAATCATCAATGAAAGATGATGAAGTCGAAGGACGGACCATTTCTGTCTGTCTGCATGCTCACTCACACTTCACCCTTGCAGTACCGGTACCGGTACAGTAATCCGTCAACATCGTCATCCTTCAAACAAAGGTCCAACTCCTATTCCTTGTACATATCCATTATGTCTACTTGCTTTCGCACCGCTTTAAGGCTATCACGATCACTTGAAAAAACTAGTGTATTCTCTCGAAACTTTGCATCGTTGGGATCATGTGGTGATTGGTCTTCCAATCCTTCTCATGATGCCATGGTTTCGTCGCCTAAATGGAATAACACACTATCAGCATCCACGAAAATTGGAAAGAAGGAATCAGCGGATAAGACAGATCTTCTTTTGGACAGTATCTTCTCTCGATATTTTCCTCTTCCACATGCCGATCACAGCACTCCAATGAATTCTGAAATGGCCAGCTCCTCACCTTCCACTACCATTCATGTTCCTCTATCGATTTTTGATCCTCTCGAGCAGAATGAAGCTATGCATGTCTTGAACAGAAATGCAAGAGGACCAAAGAAGGCCAACAAAGGCTCGAGACCATGCTCTCGGATTGCTCGGCGGAAGAAGAAGAATGCTATTGGAAAACGTAGACGCTAATCGATAGAGAACTAATCACTATCACAACAACCAAGAAACATAAAACCCCTTTTTCCCAAGTCCAAGCGTAGAAAACTCGTTTCAATCGACTTCAAGCATTAATCGATGTACAAGAAAACCACAAATCGCATAATCAACCCTCAAACTATCCCCAACCCCAGCAAAAACGTATTCCAACTGCACTACTTGGACACCAAATTCTAATCACCGTTCACGGCCTTTACAATGTTTGGGTCGACACCACAAAAGACAAAGCTTACCAGACATTGTCGAGGCATCCCTTTGACAACTCGAGGTGGCTCCAACATTTTGCCAGCAACGACCTTCCAATGCCCACCATAATACACATCTTCAGTGTTTCTAGTTTTCTTGGGAGCGAAGAAAATTGCCACTGGCTCCTGTTGTCGAGGTTGGACAAGTGCTCTCGCGGCCCTATCGCGAAGCGTTTCTTTTCCATCGGAAGTGTTGCTAACACCAATGTATAATTCCTGAACCTCGGATGTTGTCGTTGCCATTTTATTCCATTCATCATTCAGCAGGACGCTGGATATGTGTACTTGATTGGTTGTAGCATGTGTCTTGGTGCCCAGAGCTGCTTGATAAAAGCGTTTCGCCAATCCTAGGCTCTCTGCATCAAAGTTTGCCTCGTACCATTCCCGACTACGACCTTGGCATATTGCTAGTACAGGGAGATCCATATTTTTCGACTCGAGTGCAATCGATCTTCTGTGCATGGAAAAGGAACCTCCCACTACTGTACTCTTTCGACCGGCTGGAGAAACAAGAACCCTCCGTGATGATTTTCGACTACGGTGTGGAGTTCCTGGTGTACCTGGAACTAGTTCTGCCGAGTCAGGAATCGGCGCCATCTTTGGTTTGCGAGTACGATGCGGGGTTCCTAGGGCGCCAGAACCCTGGTCAGTCGAGTTTGGAATCGAAGGCAAGTTTGATTTCCGACTGCGACGTGGGGTGCCTGGTGCATCCTGTTCTGCCGAGTCAGGAATCGGCAGCATCTTTGATTTCTGGCTGCGACGTGGGGTGCCTGGTGCATCCTGTTGCGCCGAATCAGGAACCGGCGCCACGTTTGATTTCCTTGTGCGCTCCTGTGGGGTACCTGGTGCATCCTGTTCCGTCAAGTTAGGAATCAAAGGCACTAGCTTCCTGAGGTCGCTCTTCAATTCGTCCTCGTTCTGTAAGGGTTTGTATCTCCTGGACGGAGACACGTCCTCGGCTAAGTTACCTTCCTCATCTGGGAGGGCTGCCGGTGGATAGGGAGAGCTTTCTTCTTCTCGATTGGAGCGAACACTACTCTTTCGAACTACCGGTTTCTTGACAAGTCTTCGAGAGCTCTCTCTTTGAGGAAGAGGGACTGGAACAGGAAACTCAAGGTCGGCCACGTCATATTTCTTCCTCGCCTCCGCTAGCTGATCCCATGTCTCTGCTTTCATAGTCCGTGCCTCATCCCGTCGCTTCTTGGCAAACACAACGTCGGCCTCTGCTTCTCGATGCAGCTTCTCCGCAGCCTGATAAAAGTCAATGAGACTCTTCAAATGTTCACGAGCTGGAACCTGTGACATTTTCCGGGAAACTGATTCTATGTCGCTTCGTCGTGTTTCCTTTGTGCCCACCGTGATCTTCCATTGAACGAGGATTATTGATGGTTGATTTTATGATTGATTCATTCACTTGTTCGGTAAACAAGACTAGCTCGACTATTTTTTGGTCAACAATCAAAACGAGGAAGCCAACGCTTGCCACCTTATATCAGTGATTATGAGAGAATGGACAAAGTGACCGTACACGACTCTCAGCGAGCGTCAGAAGTTTTCTTGCACCTCTTCGTACATTTTCCAACAGGCACACTGTTCGATCACTTTGACTACATTGTGTTACAGACGGACAAAGGCCGAACGGCCTTCGACAGTCAAAAGTTGTTGTCGATGCGCAAAGGCAATGATGCCCAGTTTATCGACTGAGATTGAATTCACCCACTTGTGTCGTGGTAATTCAATTTTTCTCTCCCAAACCTCACCCGCCCTGTTGGGCACCGCCTCCATTTTACCGTATCGGCGGTGCCTGGTAGGAAAGCAGATCTCAGTAATACCGCACACGGGATTTCTGAGATTGGTCGAACGAATCGAGTCTAGTACTCGATCAGTTCGACCCGCTTCACACCACAACCCACCAGCTACAGTACACAGCAAGACAAAATACTCCGAACACACGGAGGACGGCAGTAGGCTATCTTAGATAGTGTACCATCAATCGCCAAAACTTTTTTGAAGCAAAATACAAAATTCACGGAGACTGATCTCGGGACTACCGCACGTGTACCGGCAGTGTATCATAAAATGCTGTAATCGGATGTCTTGTCTGCGTCCTTCAGCCACTTTATCCAATAAACAATCATGCCTTGATGTTCGCACGCGAACAATTACGTGTATGATTGGGCTGGGGGAGCGCTTTGGCTATAGCGGACATACCGGCATGTGCAGTGCGGTACTGAACTGTGGTAAAAGGATTCGCCTTTTCAATTCGTCAAGATCAGCACTATCACCACCCTTCAGACTTTTTCTTTCTTTCACCGCCCCATAGCAACTGATGTGTCTTTCAGGATTTGGATCAAACTGCGTCCGCGCATCCTCATCCACAATTCTGTTCCTTTTGCTACTGGTCCAGGTCTGCGTCTGTTCCACCAGAGCGCAGAGTGAAACATCTTCTTCAGCACCAGATATTGTGGCTATCATTCCCGATCGGTCCACAGCCTATCCCAATGGGCTTCACAATGGGCTTCTTTCTTCGGTACGGCGGTATAATGTATCACTGGAAATTCGCGAAATTGGCGACTTTAATTCCGAAAAGTCGCTTCTAGTCTTGCAAGAAGCAATTGACAGCGAGGTGCAGCCAAGAATATACTGCATCTGGCCAGTTGACATACCATCTCGGCAACTGATGAAGGAACTCCACGATGCACATGGTGTACCAATCATTCAATTGAATCAACTCCCCAGTGAAGAATCAGCTTGGGAGTGGGATCACTTGTTGGGATACGCTGGTCCCAGTGACGCGCTGCGAGCGAGTAACGCTGGTCTCATGATGATAGACTCTTTGATAGAGGAAAGGGGACTCTCGAATCCAAAAGTTGTTGCTCTTGGTTATCCAGGATCATACGGGGGATATCATCTATCGATTGCTGCATTTCGTCAGTCCATTGAAGATTCGAGTATCGAAATTACTCATGATCTTCCTTTGGACTGGGGAAATCAACCTGCCTACGAAGCCATGATACACCTGATGGATGAGCTAAAGACCACCGGTCAAGAGATTCATGGAGTATATGCAATGGATGATAATATATTGATTGGAGCCTACGAGGCATTGAATGATAGAGGGAGACTTGATGGCGAGGATGCTGTCACTCTTGTGGGAACAGTGTGCAATGGTCACCGTGACATTTTGGGTCAAGGAAAACAGTATGGAACAACGATTCAGTCTCCTTTTCTGGAAGCAGAACTCGCCGTTGATTCCGCGATAGAGTACCTTTCGACTGGAAATCTAACAACTATTATTCGATTCACGCCAAACCCCATTGCAACGACTGATACGTGGGAAACTATGCTTGTCGAGTTCCTGGGAGAAGCATATGTGGCTGATCGATTGTGCACATGGACACTACAACACGAACGAACCAATGGGCTCAAGAATATTGAAGATGCGGACGATCCTTGTGAATACGTAGATTGTCTCTTTACTCCAGAGGCTCTGTTTCTTGTTGGTTATGTTGTTGCGGCTATCAACTATGCACTCTGTGTTTTGGGACTCGCTCTGCTATACATGTACAGAAAGAAGAAGGTTGTTTCCATTGCTCAGCCTTTCTTCCTTACTCTCATCTTGGTTGGCGCTCTGGTGGACACAACTTCGATCATTTTTATGTCAAGAGATAATCTTGGATACTCGAAACAAAACCTTGATCGATCCTGCATGGCTTGGACCTGGCTGCTTGGAATGGGTCAAATGATGACAACAACAACCTTGGTTGCAAAAATGGCTAGAGTCAAGGCTGTGATAGGCATTGGAGAAAGGGCAGCAATCCGTCGTACTATTGTGACGGTTCGTGACGTTTCTGGATTCATTGTAGGAGGCCTCGTCTTGGACGCAATCGTGCTCACAGTATGGGCAGTACAGGACCCTTTTCATTGGACCATCTCAGTTGTTAGTCGAGACTTTGAAGGTACAATTCTGCAAGCGCGAGGAGAATGCAGCTCAAACGGAGAAAACTTCTGGGTTTATCCAGTAGTCCTTATTCTGCTTCATTTGGCAGTACTTATCTATGGAAACATCTTAGCCTGGCAAACGAGAAAATTTCATCAAATCAGCGACTCTCGAATGGTTGCAGTATCGCTTTTCAACTCCATCCAGCTCTTGATGGTGGCGGTCATCATGCTTTCTTTGTCTGGTGACAGTGTGGCCATTTCGTACGTGGTCCGTGCCAGCTACGCGTTCTTGAACAACGCCGGAGTCATTTTATTGATCGTTGGCCCCATCTTGTATAAATGCATGGTGGGAAAGGGGAATGTAATGCCAAATATTCATGACGTGGCCTCCAGGGCTGTAGGGAGTCGCGACAGCATCGAAGAAAGTCGCACTTACATCTCTGGATTTGCTATACCAACCTCTTCAGGAATTGGCCAAGGTTCGTCGAGAGCTTTCAATCCCATCTCGGAGACTGAAGTAGACTTGTTCGGACAAAGCGAAGGAAATGGTTTGTCAAGCAATACAGCATCTAATTTTGGAATGCCTGGTTCAAAACCAGGCATACCAGAGAGCGCACAAGAGTCAAAGTAAGTTCAGCGGTTTCTGGAAGCCGGAAGCAACCCTCTTTATCTTTCTATTTCTAACCCATTGTCTTTTTCTGTTTGCTTCCTTCTAGATCATCACGCGTCGATTTCACTGGAACCATTGACAACAGTGTCAACAGATCCCAAAGCACTAGCCAGTGAGTTGCGGTTTCCTACTACCATTCATCAATCGTCATGAGCTTTTTGTGGGAGTGCGTCCTGTTAGTTCGGTCAGCATCATTTATATTGCAGTCTACTTTATGGAAGCAGCGATACGGAATGATATCAACTTGAGGAGTGGCTACTGTACGGAGATCCTGTCTTGGAATTGGGCTATGCGCTTCGACATATGATGGTTGTTTGATAAAACTTGTCCGCTGTCATGCGAAACGCGGAATATGCGTCACGTTGATTGGATCGGACATGCAATGCACTCGTTTCGATTGCGACAGGATGTGGGATCTGAAGGACTGCGCTAGTACTGTAGGCCAGGAGTCAGGAGTCATGAATGACGATGCAGACTTCAGGTGCGAAACAAGCAGAAGAATGGTCACATTTTGAACTTCTTTCCGAAGCTTGCAGCTTACATGCAAGTACAAATGTACAGCGTTATTCTGTTAGTACAGTAGTGATTCCATATCAATTTGAAATTGTCTTTAAAAAAAGTGTACATATATTTTTATGCATCTCATTGGATTTCAAGTAAAGACATTACATTCTGGTACCAGTACTAGTACCGTGTACTGTGTACCGTAAGAGGTAAGATTGATCATCAAATTTGCATTCCGTTCATTGCAGAGAACTCCATTACCAGAAGAAGGAGTATTACATATATAAGTTCTCGTTTGTCGAACAAATCATCACTTCGGGATCAATAAAATACGCAAGACTCCTCGTTCTATCAACATTCCACAAGAGACCGAATGCACACAGCGAGCCATCACTTCGCGTCTCCACATGTCAATTGGTAGCGTACCGGTACAGTCTGTACAGTTCTCATATCGTGTACCAGTACACGTACGTACAGGCTGTTTTTCAGAACAATATAAAAAATATTATTTTATAATATATAAAATATTATTTTATATAAATACGGTATTTTTTAAATAAAAATATTGGGTCACGATATAACAGTTTTATGCGGGGTGACAAAAAGGAACCCTACATTTTTCAGAAACCAAGCTTCATATTCGAAACCTGAGTGGTACCGGGAGTAATTGGTTCTTGGGAAACAGAATAATGAAGAAGGCGGCAGCTCGGACGAGAAGCAGTGGCGGCGTTTGGTCTTTGTTGTCAACCACAAAGTGCATAAACATCAAATATCATGAATTGGATTCTAAGATTAGCTCTGCTCGGCCTCGTTACTGGGCATGACAACCACGATGCCTGGGAAAACTGGACTGCACACGAACATTGGCCACCGGGAGAACTTAATTGTTGGCATGGCTTTCGCACGTTTGATCCATTGACGCAACAAAGAGTCTATCGTATTGGTGTACATGCTCCCGCGGGTGTCGAGACAGCTTTGCGGGAGTATAATCTTACCTTTACGACCTACTTGAATGCCGTTGTGGGGAAAAGATTCAAACCCAACATTGAATTCACAATGCATGCCACTAGTGATCCATTGCAAGATTGGGTCGACGGCGGAGACACTAGTGTCGACTTTATGTATTCGGATACAGGGATTTATTCCTGTATTGCGACGGAAATTGGAGCACAACCCATTGGGACCACAGTAGCTCATCAGTCTGCCAGAGGAAGGGATTATGCGCTTGATCAATTTGCGGGTCAGTATTCTGTTTTATGAAAGCTCTCTTTTGTCTTTTCATTATGTTTGAATCCTAACTTTTTGCTTGGCGACTCAGGGACCATGCTGGTACTTTCAAGCAATGAAGAAATTGAAGATGTCGAAGACCTCAGGGGCAAGATAATTGCGGCGCAGTCATTCTCTGACTTCGCGGGTGCACAAGCTCAGTTCTTTGTAATGGGTGAAGAAGGCTTGGATTTTGTCGTGGATCCGAAGCAAGTCATCTTTACTGGTAAGTCATGGGTGTGTTTGGAAGGTCCATCACAACAGTTTCCTGATCAAGAGCGCGTTTATATCCACAGGAAACAATGACGACATCGTCAAGGGAGTCTTAAATGGGACATGGGATGTTGGCTTCGTACGCACAGGACAAGTTGAGAGAACAGTTGACACAAAAACTGGCGACCTTGTTAACCCTGACCTTTTCAAGGTCATCTCGCCAAGGATTCACATCCTAGACGAGGGTGAAATATTTCCGTTCCTTCACTCCACTCCTGTATTTCCAGAGTGGCCCTTGTATGTGAAACCGGGAATTTCTCGCATCGTTTCAGAAGAGGTAGCGGGTGCAATGATCAACTTTGAGTACCATTACTTTGTAGGAGACGCCATCAAACGCTGCAAGGAAGCAGCAAATTCGACGGCAGAAATGGATATATGCAACACGATGCCACCAGTCTATTTCGATCCTTTAGCGAGATGTGACACTACAAGAGAGTTGGCAGATCTCGCCCTCCAGGCAGGGAAAGCTGGGTTTCATACAGGATTTCGACCTCCACGTTCCTACTTCGGGGTTCGAACGATGCAACAAGATGCAGGTTTTATTGTTGAAGAAGAAACTGGTGATGGTATGTTCGTACAATGATCTAGATCATGAGCTAATGTTTCCACTGAAGTCTCACTTTTTTTGCTTTGTGATAAGGCAAATGGCACTGTGAAAGAGCTGCTTCTCTCTACGATGGGATCCGCTGTCCCGACGGATTCTATAAAGTTCCTGAGAATGCTTTTAAGAAGCAGTGCGACGTGCTTGGTCTTCCATGTCCCCAGGAGTACTCCTGTTTTTGTAGCCCGTGCATCGAGGCATTTGAAGTGAACGTTTTCCCATGGCACAACGATACTACGGAAGAATTCCTCTTTAGTCTTGAAAATGGTTGCGACAAAATGTCTCTGTGCTCGAGTGTGGAGCAGAGAACCCCTGCAATCTTCCGAGCATACGACAATCGACAGCGGTACAACGCTACCCTGTCCGCTTTGCTGCACATAGGGCAGCAATCAACTTGGCTTCATGTCACCGTACTAGAGGATTTCCTGTACGAATTCAGCTTCACTCAGCTCCAAAGAGGAGTTGCAATCGTGGAAGTTTATGTGGATGAAGTTCAGATCCCAGAGTCTCCATTTAGAGTTGAGATTATTGATAGGGACTGTGACATTGACTTCCATGCCCAGAACATGGCACCTGTAAGTAAAGAATCGCCCTGCAGTAAGTTTGTCGCCGCTTTGCTAATTCTGCTTTCAGGACGAGAATGGAATCTGTCAGTGTTCATCAGGAACAATTGAAATCGGCAGGGATTGTATCGAATCTGGTACCTTTGCCGCAATTGCGTCGTCCGTTGCAGTTGTGATACTTGCCCAGTTCTTCTTTTGCTACGTACGATGGAGGAGAAAGAAAAATGATGAAGTATGGCAAGTCAATCATGAGGAACTACACTTCAACCATCCAGTTGAGATTATAGGACAAGGTGCATTCGGTGTCGTCCTTCTCGCCGAGTACCGTGGAACCAAAGTCGCAATTAAAAGGGTTCTGCCAATGCAGAAAGTCAAGTCTAGGAGCGGTTCCATGAGCATGGGGAAAGGTCAAGAAACAAATCAAGATACAAGCGAAGAGGATGTTGAGAACCAAGCTGATTCAAAGTCTTCTCCTGCTGTTGAGGATTCGTCGTTGGGAGCAAGGCGCGGAAGCCTAACTTCAGGTAGCAGGACTTCTTCCAATGAACTTGATTTCTTGGGTGGTCTCAGCATTGGAAACAAGAAAACACTTCTCCGGCGTTTGTTTCCGTACCTTTTCCCTGATGAAACCTCTCGGTACAACCTGAATGTCCTAGGAACTGCTTCAGGTGGTTCGACTACTACTAAGTCTGTGTTGAGGATGTGTCTCCCACACTGCGATGAGGCCACTCGCCGACAAAATGAATTCATGGCAGAAATGAGACTTCTCTCGAGACTCCGTCATCCATGTAAGCCGAGGAACGAGAGGTTGTATGCTGTTACATTCGTTCGTCTTCTAATTGTTCTCTCGTTTCAGGCATTACAACGGTGATGGGAGCTGTTGTCACTGGCAATGAGCCAATGTAAGTTTTCAACAACATCTTCCTCATTCAACGAAACGACTATCGTGTCCTTACAACTCGTCTTGTTTCCTTCTTTGCTTTATAATCTCAGGATGGTGATGGAATTCATGGAAAATGGTTCTTTGTAAGTGAATACGCTTGGTCGTTCTACGTTATTGCAGCTGATAGCACTCACGCATCGTGTCGTATGAAGATACGATCTCTTAAGAAACGAAACACTCTACACTGGAGGAGAAATCATTATCCAGATTGTTCGCGACGTTGCCCAAGGTCTGCGCTTCCTACATGCGTCGAAGCCACCCATCCTTCATGGAGACTTGAAGGCGAAGAATATCCTCATTGATAGCAGGTTTCGAGCCAAAGTGGCTGACTTTGGATTGGCTACAAAAAATAATGGGCAACTGACTGGCACACCTTTCTGGTAAGTACATGATGGAATGATAAACATGTGAAACCAATTGAACAAATCTAACTTGTCAATGTAGGATGGCACCAGAATACTTGAGACGGAAATCTGAGTACACTACTTCTTGTGATATCTATGCATTCGGTGAGTTCGTTCCATGCCAGATCTTTTTCCATTGATAGCAAACATTAGAGTATGCTCAACGATTTGTTTACATACAAGGAATGATGATGTATGAGATCTACAGTCGTAAGATACCATACGAAGGGGAACATCCTAGAAAGATCCTCCGCAAGGTCTGTGATCCCAGGATCAACTATAGGCCCGGAATTCCTGGTACATGTCCAAAGAAGATGTCAGAAGTCATGCAGAAGTGTTGGAGTAGCGATCCTTTCTTCCGCCCCGAGGCGAAGGACTTGGATATGGTTTTTGCGGATATGAGTGCGAATGATGGAGAACCATTGATAGACGAAGCCAATACTCGTCTTAGAAAGATTGTTGCGACCGGTGACATGCTATATAAGGTATTCCCAAAGAAAGTGGCAGACCAACTCAAGGTTGGACAAAAGGTGGAGCCGTAAGTTCTGACAGATCAATTCTTGTCTTTGGTTGTTTCATCTACTAACAGTTGCCAAAACTTGAATAGTGAGACGCATGACAATGTAACAATATTCTTCAGCGATATTGTCCGCTTTACAGATATCTCTCGGGCGCTGACTCCTTTTAAAGTGTGTAACTTGCTGGATCGGTTGTACATGGAGTTTGATCGACTTTCGAGCGAACACCATGTGTTCAAAGTTGAGACCATTGGGGATGCGTGGATGGGCGTCACAAACCGTACGTTCCTGCTCTTCTTGTCGTAAGCTGCTCAAAGGTCGATAGCTCAAAACAATTTGCTTACCCTTTATAGTCGAGGGAGATCAAAACGATACTCATGTTGCCCGAATTGCAAGGTTTGCAGTCGACGCTGTTAGGGCAGCAAGCAAGATTGTTATAGACGAAGATGACCCCAGAGCAGGTTGCGTGCACATACGTGTTGGCTTCCATTCCGGGCAGGTTGTCAGCAATGTGATTGGATCATTGAATCCTCGCTATGGACTCTTTGGAGACACTGTGAATACTGCCTCTCGCATGGAAAGTCTCTCAGTGAGCGACATGATTCAGTGCTCCGATATCTCTGCAAAATTGCTCCGTGATCAGGCGCCAAACCTTCCAATTCGAAGACGTGGAAAGGTGGCTGTGAAGGGGAAGGGAAACATGACAACATATTGGATTGGCGAAACAGCACCTAAGACCAAGGTCAAGAAGGCACCGAAAAAGGTCTTTGATGATGAGAAAGTTGTTGCATTTAAGGATTCTCCTCTTTCGGCACAACCGACAACGCCAAGAAAACTGATGCAGGTGCAGTCAAGTGGGGACTTAGAAGGTCCTGATCTTCTCAACATGTCAGATAGCAAAGGTTTTCTCAAGAGTGATGGCTCAGCATGCAAATATAAGCGATCCTTGTCGCAGTAGATGAAGAGAAAATTTCATAATATATGAGCACGAGAGTTTATTCAATACATAAAACACAATGAAAAAAAGGATGGGACATTTGATTGCACCAGGTGTGCACGGTATGAGAGCATGTCGACAAGGCATGAATTGGATTGATAATATATAATATAGTTGCATGTAAGCTTTTTTCGTACGTGTGTGATGATAATAACTGTTTCTCACTAGAATACACGTCGAATACTTGCCGTGAAAATGTCCTCAGTTACCATACTGTCCTCTCTGGCGGCCATCAATGCAGTGCGTTGTTGTCGTTTAGATTTCCACGTAGAACATACGTACGATTCATTCATGAAACCATGAAAACTCAGCAACGCCGATCCCCAAGTCTTACATGCAAACGCGATAAGTCACGTATCGCCCTGCAGTTTCAGATGGACGAATAATCTTAACCACCATTCCTCTTTTCATTCCATAGTATCGTGCTACGGGATCATTCGTCTGAATTCGTGGTAATTGTGTCTCCTTCAATCGGTACCGTTTCAAGAGTTCTGCTTTTTCATTCTGCGTCAAAACTTGATGCGTCGGGACCAGTTGGTGCTGTGTAATATCCACCAAGAGCTCCGATTCCTTAAAGTGTTCAATTCTGAAACTATCGCTCATTTCAAGAACGGCTTGCTTTGCGAAAGGGGTGATGTCAACTCTGAGCACCATGATAGCATTGGACACATTCTCCGTCCTCATTCGGTCTGTGTAAACCTTGATTGGCTTGACTCCCACCTTCTCATCTTCAGGAAAGAAAACAAACAGCTGATTTGATTCGTCATCTGCCTTCTCAACAAAGCACGTCAAGGCTTCTCTATTTGGAAATTCGCCAAACTTTTCTCGAAAGCTTGAGGGAGTCATGTTGCGCATCTCGGGTGGGACCATGTATCCTCGTTTGTCTAGCATATTGGCGATTGTGCGGTAAACCCGGAATAAGCGGGAGGCTTCGGGATTGAGACCACCGCGAATGGTGGGAGCCGCAATGGCAGCAGCAGTTTCGGCATCCATTGGTTCCGTCATCTTGTGAATCAAGACGGGCGTGGTTTTGATCTTGATGGTTTGAGGTTCGAAACCTGTGCTGACGACATACGGACCAAAACAAACCTCTGCTTCTCCATTTTGGTCAAGGCCGGGAAATAAAGGTGTGCTCAGAACCAAAAATGAAAACAGATGAACTTCGAGATTGCGAACTTTGCCAACTGGAATGATTCTGCTGGAGACGCTTATGATCCTTCCAGCTCCTATTGGCAAACCAACACGTCATCGTCCAAGTGTTGAATTTTGTTCGGAAACTAGATACAAAGGTCAAATGAACTGAATCGCTACATTGTATCCATGAGCTGTTTACATTACAATTCCAGTGGAAGCTACACTCTGTGCCATGTCAGCTGCAACGGCGGCCTGAGGTAGGAAATCAAGAAATCCGCCCGACAAAACAGCATTCTGTGCCAAGTACGTGGCAATACCTGCAAAGTATCCCACTGCCGCTCCAACGGACGCCTTCTTGGCATACCATATGAAGTCGACCTTTTCTAGTCCCATTAGTGCTACGCCACTGGCAGATCCGATAACAAGGATTGATCCTCCAGTTCCGGCACATAGAGCAATCAACTGCCAAAGCCTGTCATCGGTACCATAGTCGGCAAGGTCATACATACCCATTGTCGCCGCAACCAGAGGCACGTTATCAATCAAGGCGGATGCAATACCAATGACCGTAGCGATGATATCCAAACTGGGCAAGTTGTCACTCAAGAATACAGCAAGTTCTTTCAACAAACCACTCTTGTCTAGAACACCAATACTCATGAGAATGCCCAAAAAGAAAAGGATTCCTGCTGTATCCAACTTTGCAAGGGCGACAGGGACCTTCAATTTCTGATCACCATCCTCGCCCATATGAATGATATCAGTCAATGTCCACATTGCACCGAGGCCAGTCAACATTGCCAAATAGGGTGGAAGTCCAGTCAACTCGGCAAACACTGGGACGATCAAGAGACTCGCAATACCACTCCAGAACACCAGTTTACCTCTCGGTGCCAATTCGGTTGGTTCTGGCATGGCTGAGTCTGCGAGCGAGCTGTCTTCTTCCACTTGACCGACCAAGAAGGCCAGAGAAGCGACCAAGCACACAAACGAGGGAAGGAACAATTCCGTAACTGTTGGAATAGTGGAAAGCTGGTTATTGATCCAAAGCATTGTGGTGGTCACATCGCCAATCGGGGTCCAAACTCCCCCAGCATTTGCGGCAACAACTACCATGGCACCAAAGAGCTTGCGATCATCGTTCTGAGGAATCAATTTTCGCAATAGGGAGCACATGACAATGGTCACGGTCAAGTTGTTGAGAATAGCAGATAGAAAGAATGTTAAGAATCCAATAGTCCAGAAGAGACTTTTCTTCGATGTAGTCTTGATTTGGTTGGTCACAACCTTGAATCCTTGGTGTTGATCCATTACCTCAACAATTGTTGAAGCAGCAAGAAGGAAGAAACAGATTTCAGAAACCTCCGAAAGCTGTTCTCCCAGTTGCGTAAGCACGGTGTCTGACGCAAGACCCTCACTTTGGAAGAAATCAGCATAAGTCACCCACAGTCCAGTACTCATGAGAAGGGCGACTGCAGCCTTGTCGAACTCGAAGACTTCTTCAAAGATAATACCAATGTATCCAAGAATAAAGATGGCAATCATGGCCAAGTCGGCATGGTCGTGCAACCATTGTGATTGGGAAAAGAAAAGACCTACAGTTCCAAGGGAAAGAAGCCCAGCTCCAAATTTGATAATATCTTCCTTGGCCGTCTCGGGATTGCTTGCGTCAGCATTGGCTTGGGACTTCATTTCTTCGTTCATCAAATCAAAAGGGTTGGAGATTCCCGGGTACTTTCTAGCCATTGTTTGCAAACTCAATCGTTCATCCTTTTGTACCAAAGACATAACATCTAGCATGCTAATGACACCCAAGACTGAACTATCATCGACCATTTGGCGATCCTTACTAGCTTTGTCCACTACCAACATGTGTCGCACACCTGCTTGCTTCATTGCTGCAATGGCAACATTGGCCGTATCCTTTTCAGAAAGTGCCACAATCTTCGAAGAAGGTGTGATGTAGTCTACTACAGGCGAGACGAGGTATTTTGCCGATTCTTCTTCATTGCTTGCAGATTTGGCTCTTTTCATTGAAAACTGATTATATGTGAGAAAAAAAAACCGATCCAGTGAGGAAAAGGCTCGTCAAATTGATTCCCTTTTGGTAGCTTCAAACTGCTTCTAGCTCTTACCCTTATGTAATCAGTTTCAGTAAAAATACCCAACAGCTTTGACGAGTCGTCGAATACGAGAGCTGCATCCACTTCGCCACTTGTGATTCCGTCCATTACATCCGCCACGATATCTGAGGATGCAGCTTTGTAATAGCCACCCTCTCTTCCAGCCTCCTTCAGTACGCGTCCAATGGAGCTTGAGAATCCATAACCTTCAGGAGTGATGCTTCGAGAGAGAGGAAAGGGGTCGGTACTTGCAACATTTAATTGGGTTCCAGAGAATTGAGATTGACCAAAACTTGGCGTTCTGGAAGAGAATTGCTGAACAGAAGAAAAACCTTCGACTACAGCGATGGTAGAGACCAAAGCTAGACTAGAGCCGAATCTGACCATTGTAGCAAAGAGCGTTGAAGACCAGGAAACCGAATGAATGGAGATGGATTTATTGAGCACTCTCAAATGAACAATGGATTTTTTATTGAGCACTCTCGAAGATAGCCATCAATGCGATCGGTGCGTTCCTGGTTTAACGGTTCTGGTTTAGTTAATGACGTCACATAGGACATAAACAAGTACGTGTTGTCGTCATCGGCTCGAAAGGGTCGGATTAGCAATCACATCCATCGACGTACGCATCGATCCAACAAATGGTACAATCTTTTCCGAACCCATAGTGCATGTCCTCATCGTGATACACAATGAAGTTGGTTTCGATAGCTGCTTTTTTTCTGCTCACCAGCCAGCAAGCTGATGCTTTTTCCTTGGAAAACTCTCGTGATGGAAGCACAAGATTGTCTTCCACCCAACTGAATATGGCCGACAAAAGACGGGTTGTGGTCACTGGATTGGGAGTGGTCAACGGTTGTGGAATCGGTCATGAGGAATTCTTCCAAGCATTGCTTGATGGAAAGTCTAGCATTGATACCGTGAAGCGATTTGATGCATCGTACATGCCTTGCCAGATTGCAAGTGAAATTACCGACGAACAGTTCAACCCAAAGGATTTCTTCATTAATCCGAAAAATGTCAAATCCAACGACCGCTACACACATCTAGCTGTCGCTGCTGCAAGACAAGCGCTTCAGGATGCTAATCTAGGGGATACTCCAGATACTCTGGAGGACCCAGACAGGATTGGGGTCATGGTCGGTACAGCTTTTGGTGGAATGGAAACGTTTGAACAACAGACTTTGAAACTAGCCAAGAACCCAACAAAGCCAAAGGTACGTGAAAGCGAGGGTACCAATGACTGTATATGATTATGAATTCAAGAAGACGGAGGGGAACTCGAAACGTTTGAGGATTAGAGGTATGAATCCATCACAAACTTCTTATGCCGAATGACCTCATCATTGCTTTCCTTCCAGGTTTCTCCATTCACAATCCCTGCACTGTTGGGAAATACTGCTTCTGGTGTGATTGGTATTGAATGCGGTTGTAGAGGACCAAACTACGGGGTGACATCTGCCTGTGCTAGTGGAAGTCATGCAATTGGGGAAGCGCTTGGCATGATTCAAGATGGACATGTTGACCGAATGCTTGCTGGAGGAACTGAAGCAACTATTACACCCTTGTGCTTTGCTGGCTTTTGTGCCATGAAAGCCATGAACACAAACTTCAATGACGAACCACAAAGAGGATCTCGCCCATTTGATGCTGGCCGAGGAGGATTCATCATGGGTGAAGGTGCCGGAGTTATTGTTTTGGAAGAGTTGGAGACAGCTAAGAAGCGCGGTGCTACGATTTATGCTGAGATGGTTGGCTATGGAGCTACTTGCGATGCCCACCACATTACAACACCGGCCCCCGAAGGACGTGGACTTGCGGCAGCGATGGAAATGGCCATTAAAATGAGTGGCATGGAGAAGAGTGAAATTAACTATGTTAACGCTCATGGAACTTCGACAGCATACAATGATAAATTTGAGACAATGGCCATCAAGACCGTTTTCGGTGACCACGCCTCTGCCAAGGATGGATCTTTCGTCGTTTCGTCGACAAAGTGCGTAACTGGACATACCCTTGGCGCTGCTGGTGGTCTAGAGGCAATTGTTGCTGTCCGAAGTATCGCTGACAATGTTGTTCCTCCAACTATCAACTACGAAACGGAAGATCCTGAGTGTGACCTGGACTACGTTCCAAACAAAAAGAGAGAAATGGAGATCAACGGTGCCATGAGTACTAACTTAGGGTTCGGAGGACACAACGCTGCTATTCTCTTCAAGAAGTATGAAGAGTAAATATTGAATAGATTGCTGATATTTAGAAATGCTACAGAAGTCACATCCATCATCCAGACCTCCATGATCTTTGAGCAATCCAACAAATCATCAATCGATCGAAGATGTTTTTTTTAATCGAAATAGTCAAACCGCAAACAACCAGAAATAAATAAAATACGAGGCATAGAATCATCAAACCGAGAAACCAAGTTGATAACCTCCCTTCAATACAACAAAGCCATGTCGACGCCTTCGAGCAGCGAGGAATTGCCTGGGAAAATGAATATACCAGCTGGAGAAAATGGATCCTTTGTTTTCTTTCACCGAGAGTCTCATCTGAAATACATTGCAAGTTTATCAGCAAAGCTGGACAAACCTTCTAGTTACGAGGGAGCAGTTACAGAGCACCTTCGCATGAGTGGGATATACTGGACGTACGCTGCTCTTTCGCTGCTTGTCCAGCGCCCAGAGGCTGATAAAGTACTGGGAGTCACATCTGCACCATCCGACGATCGCCCGAGCATCGTGGATTGGGTATTGAAGTGCTACGTCAAGGGGACCGGAGGTTTCGGCGGAAATCTAGGTCATGATGCCCATATTCTATACACACTATCTGCCTTGCAAATTCTTGTCATGGCTGAGTATGATCTGAATCAGCTTCATGTTGATGATATTGTCAAGTTCATTTTATCACTGCAACAAGAAGATGGAAGCTTTGTTGGCGATCAGTGGGGAGAGGTGGATACCCGATTTTCCTATTGTGCAATCAGCGCGCTTTCATTGCTCTCAAGCCTGGGTGAAATCAATCTTCCGAAAGCCGTGGAATACATTGCCTCATGCCAAAACTTGGATGGTGGATTTGGAAGTATGAAGGGAGCAGAATCCCATGCTGGACAGGTCTTTTGCTGTGTGGGAGCTCTCAGTATAGCCAAGTCCTTGCATGTGATCAAACACCCAGATCTACTTGGGTGGTGGTTGGCTGAAAGGCAATGCGATAGTGGAGGCCTGAATGGTCGACCCGAAAAGCAGGCAGACGTTTGCTATTCTTGGTGGATTCTGAGTGCGCTTAGTATAATTGGACGCGTTGACTGGATTAGTGGAGACAAGCTGGCCACTTTCATTTCCAAAGCACAAGATCCGGATGACGGAGGTATTGCTGATAGACCAGACGATATGCCCGATATCTTTCACACATTTTTCGGCTTATCCGGTCTCAGTTTGCTAGGAAAACTACCATCGGTATTTCGTCAGATTGATCCGGTATATGCGCTACCAGTAGATATCGTTCTGGAACAGAAACTTTCCGCTCAGATCATTGGAAGCAATGGAAAAGTGGAAGACAGGTTGTCGCATTATGAAATTGTAGAAAGACATAAATAAACAATACCTTCAACTATATATCTAATCCTTTACTTTTCGTACATTATGTATCACATGCTGCCTATGAAACAAGGCCGATAGACTGTCAGTCGGACGACTGAAAGAATCTGAAGCTAAGGCTTTGGATTCTTTGCAATCTTCGAGTTTGAACCTACAACCGAAGCAGTAATTACTTCGTCGCCATATTTTTTTGCGTTCCGTTGGAACAAATCCATGAACATTTTCCCAAGACTCTTGTCATTAGTTGTATCGAATGTCACTTGGTATGCAATCTTTCGCTTTACTTTGTCCCTCAATATAAACGTCAACATGTTTTCTGCAGGCTTGTTTGTGTTCGGTTGAGGAGACACAGTAAAAGAATATTTGTCGGGCTTTCTTGGATCTTCTTGTTCCACTGTAACGTCTGAAATTTGAATCGCATACAGGGGAAAGGGAGATGTGTCATCTGTGTACACAAGAATACAGTTGTTCTTGATAAACATATATCGAACTACCTCTCCGTAAGAAACGAAGTCCCTTTCGTCAAAGAAAAGTGGTAAACATTTTCGAAAGATATCCTTTTTCACTCCTCCTTGAATAACAGCAGCCTGTTGATCAATAGAAAAAGATGGATGGAAAGAAGATGGTGGATCATACAATCACAAGATGGATGGAAATAAGATAGTGGATCATACAATCACAAGTATTGGCTAGATCATGCATACCTTGGACTCGAATTCAATACCAGAACGCCTCAGAGCTTTAACAGAGAGATGCGATGCTTCTTCTTTTGACATCGGGGGTGCAAGCTTTTTGGGATCATCGACAGTCATGGCTGGTTCCACACTCCTAACGGATTGGACTGAGGCATCTTCACAAGGAGTAACAGGGGCGACTTCAAATGACGCAGATGGGATGGCTCTATCTGCTTCGGCAACTTCAACTTCCGGAGCGGGTGCGGCAAGGTGTTCCATGGCACTCATGCTATGCTTGTTGTGTCTGTTCGTTAACTGTGTGTTTGCAACTTTGTTGCGTGTTCCCTTTGAGTCAGTCACGCTTGCACGAAACATGCAAGACCAAAATGGGACTGCAACGACTACCAGGTAAGGTGAGCCGCTTCCTGTCGGTAAACTATACACTCATGATACTTGATGTTTATGATATTGCCTCTAATTGTTTAGTTATAGAATGATTTAAAAGTTAAATCTAATGACATCAGGCTTTGATGGGTAAGGACTGATGCGGATCTAGCGGGTAGAAAGTTTGCAAAAGGCAGTCCAGCCACAGGAATCACATTGTATTCTTCGAGCTTAAAGAAAGGGTCAAAAAGATAGCAAGCAAGCCGATAACAAAACACACCTAATGGGACAGCGATGCCTCTATCCGTGCTCGTCGACCATAAATCCATCCCATCCCGACTTTTAAGAACCCAAGTGTATTTTAGACGATTGGACGGTCCACAATAACTCCTGAACCCCCACTAGTATATCCCCCCTCATCGTCATCATCCACACCTCTTCGACCATGCGCATTAGGCATCTCCAAGTGATTTGGATCTCGGAGTAACGCATGGGCCATCACCAAAATCCCGCTCAATGCTATCACTGTGATTGCCGGACGAAGGCACATTGAAACAATAACCACAAAGGAAATCAACGTCAACGCAGTAGAGCGATGTGAAATCGAAACCAAAGTACCAATGTTGCGACCAAAAACAATGACTTCATTCGAGATCAGAAATTCGTGGAAACTCCAAAGACCCCAAAGAGTGACGATGGAAAAAATGATTCTGGGATGCATCATTACAACCACCAAGGCAACCCCTGCAAAGACTAGCGCATAATTTGATAGAAAAAAGGAGAGATTCAACTTGATTCTCGATTTCAGTTTTTCTGCGGTCGACTTGTCAAATTTTCTCACGGGGCTGGTAAATGCTCCTGGACTAAAACCAATCGTTTGGCCTGTAATCCCGAGAAAAACTGGTAATGGGCGGATTGTGTCTACTGTAACTCTACTTCGTATTCGCGACAAGCTGGTGTTCATGGAGTGGAAAGATGGTGAGTCTTCTCGTCATGGAATGATTAACTGGAAATCCCATATAAGAACAATTACAATCAACAACAACTTACATTGAGAAAAAGAAAGCTTGTGCCGTCTCAAAGTTCAAAATAATCTTGCGACCCGACGATCCACTAGAATCATCTTCACTTCCTTGTGCAACTGAAACTGACATTTTCTATTCAATGATATTCCAGGAGACTTTTAAAATGGCCGTGCTTCCGGATTATAGATTGCCTTGTTTCACGAGCAACGAAGAAAGGGGTTCGTGTCGTGTGACGAAACAGGGGGAGTATGTTGGGGAGTATCAAAATAGAAACGGGGGTTGTCATGACCTTGAATGATGAATGCGAAGAATTTCGATTACATCAAATGGTACCGGTACTGTTGGTGCCGTACGGAACCACCCATCATCCATCATTCATCGTCGAGACCCCTCCGACCACTCACATATCTTTCTTTCCTTGAACTTTCCTGTTATTTTTTCCGAATCGAACAATGGTTAAGACTACTACTGCTGCCCTCTCTGCCTTGGCTATCGCTATCAATGTGCCAGAAGGAGCCTCGTTCTCGCCTGTCAACAAGCTGGCGTTTGGTGGATCCAAAACATCATCTTGTCTTACGGCCATCAAGCCGGCCAAAGACTGGAAGCTTCCTGTCAGCAAGTGCTGTGGGCAGTGCTGTGGACAAGGTGGCATGAAGTCAGCAAACTGCGACTGCTGCAACAAGTCTAATGGTTGCCAAAAATCACCACTCGGTGGTGCTCCTTGTGGATGCAGCAACTGCACTTCGTTGTAGATCTTAAGCTAGATATTTGCTATGACCGAGGACACATTTCGCTGCAAGATACCTACCCACCCATTTCTTTACACCTGAGACTCAACCAATTTCCATGTAGGCCGCTGTTTCACGGTGTGGCTTGGTATTTCCCGCGTGACAGCGGGTTCTCATAGTTTGCGGTCTTGGAACTATGCAATCCTTCTTCGAGAAGCGACTCCTTTGAAGAACTACTTACAACTTTGTGTGAAAATATGAGCTTCGGGTATAGTTTCGTATGCCTACCGTTGAGGCATTATCTCATTATGCGCTAAGAAGAAGATGCCTAATAGAGTGCTGTAAGCTAGTAGGAGTGGAGCCATTGGACCGCACATGTACCTATTTTTTTTTGCTCTGCCAATATCGAAACCTCAATGTAGGGAAGGAACCATGGGAGCAGTTTGAGATCGAAACGATCCATCTTGCTGTCCAAGGTGGCAGGGGTGGTCTACTATTCGGTGCTTCCTCGCCTTCCTCCGTCCCTTCCGTCAACACTTTGCAATCACCCTGGGCAGAGATTTCCTTCTCTGTAGCTGCGAAATCATATTCGATGGTTCGTATAACTTAAATTTCAATGAGTTTGGTTATAGAAAGCTAACGGTATGGTACCCTTTGAAGCTCTTAACAGATTGTACGAGGTACCTGGTACCTACTGTATGGTGCTATTCCGGTTGGTTCGGAACAACTCGTGACCCAATAGACTGACTAGACTGAAAAAGAATCTCAAACACCAAACACAAGCCTTTTTATGTGAATGAATCATTTCAAATACAGTACTTGATACAATTAGTATGGACCGTTTCACGCAAACTATCGACTCAGCAATTCAAAGCAAGGACTATGCTACACTAGCAGGAGTCTTTTCTTTTGGACCCGATTCGTGGCAAGCAGTGGGCCAAGGGGAACAGAGAAGTTTGGCAGCTCACTTCATCAAATCCGCGGTGGCTGCACCAGGCTTTTTGCCAGCTGCCTTTTCTTCCGGACAAATGATGAATGTCATGCTGGAAACACTCAAACACCTTCCAAGCACAGTGGATGGCGCAGCTGACAACAAGCTCCGGCAAATGATATTTGACTACAAGGTCAATGAAGAGGGCGAGTATGCAGAAGCGGCACGAATTCTTGCTGGAACTAGGATGGAAGATAACGACCAAAGTGTTTACTACATGACTCCACAGGACAGGTGTGATGTCTTTGTAAAGATTGCAGAGTGTTTTCTCGAGGAAGACGAAATTGTGGAATCAGATTCGGCAGTGACCAAAGCCGGTGGAGTCGTGTCCGCCATTGCCAATCCAGAACAGCACATGACACTCATCTTGAGGTACAAATCGACCTATGCTCGAGTGTTGGATGCCAATCGAAAATTCTTGCAAGCGGCATCGCGTTATCATGATTTGAGTCAGAGTCCTGGTGAAATCATTCGTGCTGAGGATCTTCTTGGAATGCTTGGACGAGCTGCAACATGTGCTATTTTAGCTCCCAGCGGACCACAGCGGCAACGAGTCCTAGCTCATGTGAGTACATGATTTATCTCTTTTTTCATAGTTCCTTTTGTGTGTGGTTCATCAGACTGACTCTTTTGTCGTTACTTTTGTTCCACATAGATCTACAAGGATGAACGATTGTCTCAATTGGATGCCATTACAACATTTGAAACCCAATCGGTCATTCTTACAAAAATGTACAAACACCAGATCTTGCAACCGGAAGAGTTGAAAAAATTTGAATCCTCTTTGCAACCGCACCAAAAGGCCGTTATGGGAGATGGTCTTACCATTATGGAGCGTGGAGTAGTGGAACACAACATGATTGCTGTTAGCAAAATTTACGATTCCATATTTTTCAGTGAATTGGCAGCTGTCTTGGGTGTCAAACCGGAAAAAGCAGAGAAGATTGCCGCTAGAATGATAATGGATGGATCATTGGCTGGTTCGATTGACCAAGTAGAGGGGCTACTAGAATTCGAATCTGAAGACTCGGATCAAATGGTTTGGGATAAGGCGGTTTCAAACTTTTGTCAGGATCTGAATAAAATGACGGACGCAATCAAGGCTCTCTAAAATTTCTTGACACATAACCCCGTTTCAAACTCTAAGATTATATGACTCACTATTAATAAATCTAAGTTTACGTAGCATCCAGTCACACTACCACTGTCGTCACGTAAAAAACTTAAAACCATCCTTCAAACGTTGGATCTTGCGATCGTTTGTACCACTTGAAGGCGTTCAGTGCCGATGGGACACCAATCACTGCGAACCCTAAGTACACATTTGCTTCGTATGGAAAATCAAAGTACAACTCCCCATACTTGATGGCATAGGAAGCTGCAGCACATCCTCCAAAAAGCTTGATTAGGAAGGTATAATCGTTATCCCCTGCCAATGCTGCGCCCAAATCTTCAAAACCAACCAATGAGTCTGACTCAACAATTTTTGTTTGAAATTCTCCAGTACGACTTTTAGTGAGTTTATCCAACAATGGGATCACCGTATTCTGTATTCTTTCGTCTACGTCTGGCTGCCACCCATTTGAGCGAGCAATTCGATAGGTGGCAATTGCAGCTGTTGTATTACCCACACATGTCAGTAGGGCCTGCAGTGGTACCAACACTGTACAATAGTGAGAAAGCCATCATATCGAATACGAATGAATAGGCCGCATAGAGAAAGATCACTCACCGGGAATGCGATTGAAGAAAAGATGATATGTGCATGCAGTAATACCAGAACTGTGCAATGGCAACAAACCCCATGTAAGACCTTTCCATGTCGGATTGTCGACAATGTCAGCCCATCGCCAAGCAAATCCCATAGCTACAAGGAACTCTACGAGACTGGATACATGAATGATCCAAGTTGCAATAGTGAGTGCGTTCTCTGGTTCAGGGTTCGCTCCAAATCCGTCAAGGGAAAGCGGCAGATCCATGAAGCCGGCTAGATAAGGGGTGTGAACGGTGGGACCCAGGACAGCAGGAACAACCGCAGTGACAATTGCAACTCCGGTGAGACCAAGCATGAGTGATGTCATGGGTCCCCAACTGGTCGCACTTTGTGGCATTGGAAGATTCTTCTCCTTGGCTTCAAGAGCTTGTCGAAAGGCAATGACAGTGACCAAATTAGTAATCGTCAATAGAGACTCGGCAGATCCATGTAGCCAATCTGAATCTGCTAGGGAAACTCCATACAGGACCTGAGCCGTAATCGCTGCCGGGATGGTCAAGAACACAAAGAGGAGGCAAGTAGCAAAGCCTACAGTCACACCTTTCGGACAGTTGTTTTCCTTCACATTCAAAAAATACAGAAACGCCAAATATGGAAAAAGACTTGCGCCAAAGAAAGGACCCGCCAGAGCTTCAGCCTGCTCACGATCAATGTTCAAGCTTAAGGACGACAACAGCTCAGAACTCGAAGCAAGATCGACGGCCAGATTCAATGATGTTAGGGAAATTTTTTGGTCACTGTAGATTTTAGGAGCCTCTCTTGTTTCACTAGTGATTGTCCTTCGAAACCCATTGTTAGGGAGAAAGGCTCGGGACCCTTTAAGAAGAAGGAGGCACAGCAATCCTACCGGTAGATTGAATTTCCTCATCTTCTGAACTGTTTCGTGATGTTGGATTCTGGAGAATCTTTTTTTGATCCAGCAAGTCGAACATAACACGTCACTTTTTGTAACCTCATTCCTAAAATCGAGTGTGATGATCTCCACTGATGCTTCGGGCTTGCAGTATTTCTTTTCACCAATCGCTCAGACAAATGACTATGACAACATTATCTTCTTTGATTCGGACATCAGCCTTTTTGTCCCTTCTAATTGGAGTGCAGGGACTCGTGGGATCATCTCCTCACAGTAGTGGTTGCAAAGAAAAGAGTTCGTCTATCAGTCGACGAGATGTGGTTTCTACATTTGGAGGCCTATCGGCCTTCGCCCTCTTCCAACCACCAGCGAATTCATTTGACAATAAAATCTCTGACAAGTACGACGATAGACCCAAACAACGCGGAGGAAAGCCAAAGGATATTGGGGTCTCAAAGAGACAAGACATCGCTGGCGAGGATTACATTGGACTCCAACATTGCAAACCGAATGGAGCACCAAATTGCTTCTGCTCCACTGAAAATGCTGAAGATGACGCAGAGCATTTTCTCCCTGCTTGGGTGTGGCCAGAAAGTCTTGGAGACAAGAAAGCTGCCTTTCAGCAACTAGCCGATGTCGTGAACGCATACGAGCCAGGACAATCCGGTATTGATGGAGGTGGATTCAAGATTATCACAAATAACCCCGAAAAAGGATACATATATGCTCAATTTGAAAGTTTGAAGAATGGATACATCGATGACTTTGAACTAGCTTTCATTGATGGCTATGGAGATAGATCGGTTCAAGTTCGATCCAGCAGCCGTCTGGGATACCTCGACTTTGGTGTCAATGCAAAGAGACTGAACTATTTGGCAGCAAAACTTCGCGCCAAGGGTTGGGATGCCAAGGGTGTAGATCTTGATACCCATCAAAACTACGCCATTCAAAATCAGCTAGTATAAAAGATGATGATAAAAATGCTACGATAGACTATAATAGTCCTAATACCGGTATGAAATTACTCGTAGTAGGCTACCGGTATTAATACATCATCGATCACTTCGATCGATCAATATTCGACGTCAGCTATGACTACTTCGACCATGTCATTGCATTGATCTTAGGTTCAGGTCATTCAAGTCCATTGTCGTTGTGACAGAACACGCACTTGAAGAGCTTTTGACGAAATTCTTTTGAGTTGTCACCAAGTTCTTCAACAAAGAATAAAGGAGAAAAAAGGTGATAACAACGCACTTGTCCATTCAAACTTCAGTTGATTCGTGTTCTCAACTCACAGAATACGATTGGTACAAGCCTGGAGACACATTGTTGGTCACTTGCACATCAGAATTTCAATCACTACCGCCTCAAGGAAGCTTCAGTTTCTTGGTTCTCATTATTGTTACATCAAAACCTGAAACGTGCCGGAACAAGTCTTTCCGTTGAGTCTATCTTTACACCAATTCTGAGACACAACGCCGTGTCAAAGTCACCACGACGCACAGTGTTAGGCATCTATGCTGCACTGAGAGAACGCTAGAAGTTGAGAGAACATCGCTACACATTTTTTTAAAACGAAAACGACACTCTAAGTGACACGTCGCAACACAATCAAACAACAATGGACTTCGATGACGTTTTGTTTTCCTTTCCAAAGAGTGCTTCTGCTTCTTCGCTACCACCAGCTCAATCAAGTATAAGTTTGCCTCACCAAGGCTCACTATGTCGTCTTGATTCGCATGATGGAACGGAGTATGTTTTGGAAATTCTCCTGGAAGACAAATCGAAACACGAATTATGCTTTTCCAGAAGAGATTTTGAGTTTACGCTTCAGCTGTTTGCAATTATGGATATTGATTCGAAAGGACATATCTCCAAAGAAACGGTGAAGGAATTCGTCACCATTAGATGTCCTGTCTTTTGGAAAAGAGACGAGTACCTAAAACTGACTGAATCTAATGGCGAATCTCCAACGTTCGAAGAGCTCTGGAGATCCGTCATTATGTGCAGTTTGAACCCGACATTTGAAGTTTTTGATGATCTTTCATCGATTGAGTTGGGTGTCGAAGGATGGGTTGTCTTTTGCCGTTTCATTGCTCTCGCACAATACTTGGAAGCGAAACGAAGGTTTTCTGGACGCCATTTGCAGCAGACTCTGAAGCACCGCAACACAACTCAGGGAAGTGAAATGATTGTTGTCGATGTTCCTCCACCAGCAGCACCTATTTCGCTATCAGCAAATCAGTTGGCCGAGTATGAACGGGAAAACCATACTTGCCTTCCACTACCAGAACTTGATTTGGACCATTCACTCTTGGCGGCACACGATGTACTGCAGCGGAGGAAGGATAGAAACCATAGCATCAGTAGTGTCAAACTGGAATTGTTTGGACGGCCTCCGCTTGGTTTATCCTCCCATGGATCCAACCATGATATCGAGTTTTGCCTGACCCATTATAGAGATGACATGTCAGATTTTGTTTCAGTACGTCGATCGATGAAGGATATGAAATGGCTCAATGATACTCTTGTCTCGCAAAAAGTCCTAGGGGGAACTCTATGCGGGCGCATATTACCTCCATTTCCAAAACATAATTCGTCATATGGTGATGATTCCACGATGAGCAGCACGAGTGATGCTTTGACAGCCGCAGCTACTGCTGGTGTGGGCATGATCAAGAGTGGCATAAAGTCTTTTTGGGGGAGTTATACTACGACTACTCCAAAGCTGCAGTCCGCTTCCAGACAAGAGCGACCAATACAGACTATGTCCATCCCTGAAAGTTACTACAATCCCAATTCACCAGACAGCACTTCTAGGCAATTGCAGCGATATCTCAACTACCTTTTGGACCATCCTGCACTTTCAACGTCGTTTCCACTGAACACAATTCTGAAGGTACGATTTTCTTGTTATTTGCACGTTGTTGTGGATTCGTCGTAAACAATCTAATCTAATTGTTGCTTTCTTGGACACAGGCGAGTCAATCAGGTCTGGAAGCAGCCAAAAAGTCGCTGCAAGAACATTCCCGGGTATCAAGTGAAATAACGGAAAACATTCCCAAGTTGGGTTTTGGAAACAGCTCTGGTTCTAATCAACCAAATCTTTCTTGGGTAAGAACCGCTGCCCAAGCTGCTGTAGCGGTTCAATTGCATGGTGTTTTGGAGACTTCTGGACTACCAGCGGCTAGTGCCCGGCTTCAGCATGCGTCTCTTCCAAGTTTTGGGCATTCCAGAAAATCTACGTGGAACGAAGACGAAGGAGAGCAAACAGATCAGCTAGAGTCAACTGGTAACCCAGTTCAAGGACAAGACCAATCATTCGAAGAAGGAGTCATACAAGTTGGCGATGAATTGGAATCGGATTCTGCAGCAGAGGACCAATCTGGATACGACCTGTTGCCACTACCAGTGCCCACTCCAGAAAGAACAGTCTTCGCTGCTAGTGACAAAGAGGACATAACCAACGATGATGAAGTGCCAAAAGAGGCTCGGTTCAGATACGGAGGGCCTTTGGAAGAAAAACTTGGGGACAAAGCGGATGGCCAACCTGTGTATATTGGAGAAATGGCGGTTGACGAAAACATTGATAAACTCCGGGAAGTAATCGGATCGCTGGATAATACTTTGTCTCGCTCGTTGGCCAGCAGTGGTGGAATTGGCAAAGCGCGCAAAAAGAGACTCGAATTACAGCTTGATGTGCTGAGAGGGTTGGATTCTTGGGAGGGACTCCGAGGGAAGTTTATCGCACAACGCGCTTTGCTCAAGGGTGTCGCAAGTGTGGAACAGAGTAGAGAGGTGTTCGACGAAAGTGATCTCATGCTCATTGATGGTATGTGCAGAAGGCTTGTTTCTTTTTCTTCTAATCGCTTGATTCGTTCACCAGTTTGCTTTCAACAACAGATTTATCGTGGCAAACTTCGCTCGCAAGCTCCGCTGTATCGGCAGCTGAGGATGTTCGGTCAACGGTTCGAGCGGCCAGGACGGCGACAAGTGCGAAAGTTGCTGCCAGTACCGCTGCCTCTGACGCTCAAAAAGCTCTGGAAGGAAAGTTCGCATCGGTTGACGCAGCAAGGGCCGCGCAAACTAGAGCTTCGATTGCACAGAGTCATGCAATCCAAGCCACTGTAGTTGAGCACGAAGCAAAGACAGCAAAACGAAGGGCAACACTCGCATTGGCGCATGATGTCAAGTGCTGGAATGCACACAGAAAGCGGGAAGTACTTAAGACATGTTTGGCATATGCGAAATCACAGCATGAAGCTACCCGCCGTTCTGTGGACGCTTGGTCATGTTTCCGCGATGGCTTTGTCGGTCCTTCTGTATTTCCATCAACCCAAACAAAGCGATTGGTGTACAAGCCAAAACCTTCGTTTGTAGAGGAGGAGCCAAAAACAACTATTTATGGGCAAGAGTTGAACCAGGGTCAAGTAATTGTTGCTGTGGAACATGACCTTTTTCAAAATGTCATGGGCGGGCAAGAAATCTCTCCAACAAGTTTTGCTTCAGAGCCCGACACACTTCTTCCACTTGCTGTTGCATCGCCGATTCCGGAGGAAGGGGAAGGAGACAACGAAGAAGACGACGACATAAATATGGGCGCATTTGATTTTGGAGCTAGTGCAACTTCTCTTCCGGTTGCGACTGGGGGCGGTTCTCAAATCAGCGTACCAACGAGTCCTGCGTCAACAAGTCCATCAGCAACACAGTCATACTCCCAAAGTGCATCTTCTCTTCCTTCAAAGTCAAGAGAAGAGGCAGAAGTTTTGACAGCGTCGATGCAAAGCCTAGTGGATGGATTGATGAACTGGGGAGGACAAATCGAAGAAGAAGATTTTGCGCTGCCCACTGGCATGGCTGCAAGTATTATGCTAGAGGAAAGCAACAGCAATTTTTGAAGTTGTGACAAATGCAACTAACAGTTAAGAAAAGCTAAACGAAAAAGCTAACGGAAAACATAAAAATAGAAATGAATATACCACTACTACTTCTTTCCATCGCTTCCTTTCTTGGAACCTGACTTCTTCTTCTTAGAATTTGCGTCATCGTAGGAAAAACTAGCCATAGCGCTACTCAAGCGAGCCTGTTCTTCTTCGGCAGTGTCTAGTTTGAATCCCTGTTGCTCAAGACGATTATTTGTTTTGAAAGCCTGATCATTCATGGCTGTTGTAGCAGCGGAACGGGTTGCAGGGTCGCCTACATCTCTTCTTGGGTATGCTGACGCATCACTGACTCCGACGACAAAAGATGCAACACCTGATGCAACGGTTGTCTTCAAGAGGTGACGGCGAGAGATTTCGGTAGTTGTCAGACTTTGCGCGCCCGAAAAAAGGATGCAAATGAACGCTGAGCAGGTCTTGATTCTTGAAAACATCACTGCAGGTCTCGTTTCTGTTGTTGACTGAAGGATTGTAAAATTTGAAGTTCGTCACTATTGACTGATACTCGAGTCCCGCAACGGCCATCCGTGACCCACAGCTTGACAATGGGTACACGCGTACGAGTGTATGAAACAATATCTTTTGTTCTATCTAGAGGCTAGACTATTTTATTTCTGATTACACAATCCCCCTCGACTATTAATATTCTATACTCATATTGATATAGGACTACAAGACTAACTATCTAGTTTTGTTCATCACCATCATTGACATAGATTCTGCGCACACAGTGCTGCGAATCCAAGTTCACAGCCACAAAATCCGGATCGGCCAGGCTAGCCGAAGAGTTTGGATTCTTCGATTCGGAAGTCTTCAAGGCCTTCCGGCTCTTGGTTGGTTGGGACTTGCGGGCCCGTTTCTTCTTGGCAAATTCGACTGCTGCTTTGGCCACGACCTCGTCCGAGTCAAGGGCAATTTGACCATCGCCCGAAAGGCACTTTTTGGCGCGAACAGTTCCATCGGTCATCTCTTCGAGCGTAATCATAAAGTCCATACACATGCGCTTGCGACGGCGCCACTGAGCGGTCATGTTTTGGATCTTGCGCTTGGTACTTTGCTTGTGCTTCTCATTGACCTTGAGTTTCGTGGCTTCTTGGACTTTCTCCTGGAGCTCTTGAACTGCAGCGCTTTGCATTTCGAGTTGCTCGGCAATGACTTCGTTGGTTGGCTCGGAAAGAAGCTTGTCCGCTTGTGTCAAGGTGACCTTTAAAGTTTCCTTCAAGGTTTCTTCTGTAGCATTGGCAGTAGCAATATTCTGCAAGAGTTCATTGCGTTCTTCCACATCCAAGCCCTTGCGTTTATTGTAATCGATATAGTACAAGTTGGTGGCTTGGCTCTTACCAATCTTGGTTTGGAGTGACCCAGCATATGGATCACTAGTAGTAGCAGCAGCAGCAGCAGTAGTAGTAGAAGAAGAAGAGTTCTTGTTGTTGGCTGCCTTGGAACTGTTTTCCTCATCATCCTCGTCATCACTATCATCGGCGAATGGATTGCGATTGTCATCCTTGTCGAGTGCCATTTCCTGAAGGCAAGCACTCAAGACTGGAGAGGGTACGATTGCTTTCAATTCCTGTCTCGTTGTTGTTATTGAAATAGGAAAGAGAGAAGAAAGAAGTAGAATGAGGGAATGAATGAACCAATGAACCAATGAAAAATGCAATGCAATGCAATCAAACACCACTAATCACAATTCAAAATGCAAACGTACCTTGTAAATTTCGGTGATATTCATTGGCCGAAAGGACTCGTACAACAAATCTGCAATGAGTTTCTTGGCTACCGCCTTGCTGACCACAATCCGAACATCCTTGCCCCCAATCGCTTCCGCTGCCGCCTGCCATTTGTTGTGAATGGCTAGAGCCTTGGGGTTGGGTTGTTGTTTTGTCTTTTTCTGCTGCTGCTGCAAGGTTTGAGGAGGAGGGGGAGGAGTGACGATACAGTTGTGGTGAGTATTGGGTGCTGCTTTGGAGGAAGAATTAGTATCGCCCTTTTTGGACGACAAAGAAGAAGTGGGGCAAGGACTGCAGGCACCAATGCTGCTGCTGTTTTCCAAAGGAAGTTCCGGCAAGGAAGGTTTGCTCTGATTGGAACACTTTTGGGCCATGAGCTGCAAATGGTTAGGCACCAAAGACTTGAATGGAAGTTCGTTCAAGGGTGGCCAACCACCAAAGTCTTGCTCTTGACAATCGAGGCAGGAATACCATTTGGTTTTTGGATCAAGATTGGACACCCAGACAGAACAGGCTGCTAGAAGGCAATTCTCTGTAGAGCATTTGATGGTAGCATCCTTGTTTAGATTGTCAAAGGTGATAATCTTTTTAAGGTCCCAGACTTCGTCTTCTTCCGATTCGGCGTTGGAAGAATTTTCCTCTTGTTGGGGCGAATTAGCTCCTTCTTTTCCTGACTTTTGTGGAACCGGAGTAGTGTCTGCTGCATCCGAGCTCTCTTGAGTGGATGGTGCGGTTGGAGTTGGAGTAATGGTTCCTTTGTTGTTGTTGTTGTTGTTGTTGTTGTTGTTGTTATTGTTGTTGTTGGTTTGGCGCATTGGTGTTGGGCTGGTAGAATCCTGTACTTGGTCTACGGGAGATGGAGAAGTTGATTCGTTGGGAAGCTTGGTGTTCTCTTCTTCTGGATCCTGCTCCTCTTGACTCGCCTGTGTGACTGCTGTAGTAGTAGCTGTTGTTGTTGTTGTAGAGTTGGTGCCAATTGGAGGACTGCTTGGCTTGGTGGTGGTGGATGGGCATCGTGGATCGCTGGGATCGCTGGGATCTTTGGGTGGCGGAAGATCTTCGGGCCATCCGCCAAAGTCGCGCTCTTGGCAGGCTTCGCAGAGATCCCATTTGTCTTGTGGATCTAAATTGGATGCCCAAGTAGCGACGGCAACCTCTTGGCAGTCTTCGGATCGACAAACGCGCTTTTCTTCCTTCTTGGAAAGGATGCGCACGATATCCCAAAGTGCTTCTTCTTCGGAGGGCGATTCTTGTTCCTCTTGTGAAACGACGGTTTGACTAACCTTGTTGTTCTTGTTGGTAGAGGAGGATGAGGATTTGGTATTGGAGGATGATTCTTTCGGCATGATAAATGATGTAGGTACAAACAGCGACAATAATCAAGATGATGATTCAATCTTTTTTGGCATTGACACCCAAAAAGCAGCAGCTTGGAGTGAAATATATGATGGGTTTTGTTTGGAAAATGGAATCCAAGAATCGTCTGTGCGTCACACGACGCTTTCCGAGGGTGGTGTGCTTGTCAAAGAATACGTTGAGTATGTAGCAAAAGTACTAAAAGCCGGCCACCCCCTTCTCCTTTTCAAATGATCAATCTGACGTCATAAATACAGCATCATATGCGAATTGAACGATGGTTTGGTCGAGGTTTTCACAACCGACGTAATTTTTCAAAACCTGAAATCTAATCTGGCAAGCTCCATCATACTACCACCACTTTGATTGTACTGCTTGGCGTTTCAAGCTATCATTGTGGGTCGCTAGCTAGAGTAGAATGTCACAATACAAAACGCCAAATAAGCGAGGGTCGGTAAAGAAGGAGGCCCCAAAAGGTAGAGCCAAAGCGGTGGATTTGGTAAGATATTTCAGACAAACAAAACAAATGATGAGAGCATACCCCGTAGTATCCCTGCATCATCACCTTTTTCTAACTTGTTTTCTTCTTTGATTCGCAGGTGACTGGTAAAACCGTAGTCGAGTACTTTTTCGATCCAACCCTCGTGATTGAAGATGGCAGCAACAACAACAACAGCAGCAATAAGTCCAAGAAAGGTCAAGATCCAAACGACATTTTCCTGAATTCCAAGCATCTCTTTGTTCCATGCAAGGTTATCAAATCCCTCAAGGAAGATGACAACAGTAATAATAACAATAACAATAATAATAATAATAACAATGGAAACGGCAAGAAAAAGAACAAGGGCAAAAAGAAACGACAGTCCATGGAAGAAACCACAGACGTTACCAGTGGACCAGCCTTGGTCAAAACGCCGGATGGAACCTTGTACAAGGTCAAGTCGGTCAGTCAAATGTCTGCCTTGACGGCACCGGACGATTACATGGGCATGCAAGATGTTTTGCATCTGGCCAATGTCAGCGAAGCTAGTTTACTACACACTCTGCGAGTTCGGTACAAACGAGACGATATTTACACCAGCGCGGGACCCATTTTGATTTCCATCAATCCCTACAAAGCTATCCGAAAATTTGATGGAGAATCCTTGTATTCGGACGAAATTATGATGAGTTATAGGAGTGCAGATGCCTTTGCGGAGGAGGAACCCCACTTGTTTCAAGTTGCCGATCGGGCGTACACCCATTTGATGGATTCCGTCCACAATGTTCCACATTTGGAAGATGACGACCATGATGTCATGGTGGATGGAGATGCTCAACTTGGACAAGCCCCTGGAGAACCAAGGAATCAATCGATCATTATCAGTGGAGAGAGTGGTGCTGGAAAAACAGAGGCTACCAAATATATCATGAAGTATCTGGCACGGATTACAAAGAAAAAGGGTGACAATGAGGTTGTCAAGTCACCGGATGGAAAGATTGCCGCTTCGTTGGAGGATCGAGTCCTCTCTTCCAACCCTCTACTAGAATCCTTTGGTAATGCACAGACTCTTCGCAATGACAACTCGTCGCGTTTTGGAAAGTTTATTCACATCAACTTTAGCACCGACACTGGTGCCATTGTCGGTGCTCAAATTTCCAATTACCTTTTGGAAAAGACCAGAATCACCACACAAATTGATGGAGAACGAAATTATCACATTTTCTATCAACTTCTGGCTGGAGCAGGAGCCGAGACTCTTGCAAAACTTGGAATGGATGGTGGTGCTTCAACCTTTCGATACCTCGGCTCAAACAATGTGGTCGCCAGTGAGAAGGATGCCAGCGATTTTGCGGAAACATTAGAGTGCTTGGCACGGATTGGTCTTGCTACTGAAGACCATCAGACTATCTTTGGCTTGGCAGCAGCCGTTTTGCATTTGGGAAACGTCACTTTTGAAGAAGGCGAGGAGCATGTTGCAAAGGTGTGCGAGGATACCCTACCTTCCTTGCAAAAGGCTTGTGAGCTTCTGGGACTGGAGCAGGAGGCAGTCAAGGAAGCTATTTTGACCAAGAACTTGAGTATCAATGGCAAGACCATCAAGAAGCCTTCCACTGTCGCCATGGCGGAAGATAAACGTGATGCCCTTGCCAAAATGACGTACTCTTGTGTCTTTTTGTGGCTGGTCAAATCGATCAATGAAACTTTAACAGTTGCCTCCCAGAGCAATGGTGAGACAAAGGTTGGATTCATTGGTGTCTTGGATATCTATGGATTCGAAACCTTTGAAGTGAATGGATACGAACAGTTGCTGATCAACTACTGTAACGAAAAGTTACAACGCCACTTCAACCGTCACTTGTTCGAGGTGGAACAAAACCTTTATTCCTCCGAAGGAGTTGATTGGACTTATATTACATTCAATGACAACCGCCCTTGTCTCGAACTGATTGAAGGTGGCTCGGGAACCGTAGGTATTCTGAATACATTGGATGATTCCTTTGCTGGTATGGGAACTTCTGCCGAAAAAGATGGCAAATTTGTCAACCAGTTGCACAAGCTATTTGGTAGCGGAACTGGAACCCAAAAGAAAGACGGTCACAAATACTTTATTACACCCAAGTTTGGAAACGATCGCACGTTCATCATTGTACATTATGCAGGAGAGGTAAGCGACGCACTGTTGTATTTTGCTCTTTTGCAATTCTTTCTTTGAAGTCTGTTCTCACAAAAGGATCTAGGTTAAATACACTGTTGACGGATTTGTTGAACGCAACATGGAGAGCCTCACCAACGAATTGAAAGATCTTGGAGCATCCTCGACAGTGGAGCTTGCCAAGTCGGTATTTTCTTGTGCAAACAATGACCAAGAAGTCACGCAAAAGAATGACAGCCGCCGATCTTCCATTCGAGGATTTAGTGTTGCTTCACAGTTCAAGCTATCACTTCAAGCCCTTGTCGAAGATCTTGAACTCACACAACCCCACTACATTCGTTGCATAAAGCCGAACCTCAGAAAGGCCCCCAACTCTTTCGCAGCGGGCGATATCTTGAAACAACTGAGATACTCTGGAATGATGGAAGCAATCAGAATCCGTAGGGAAGGTTATGCCCTTCGAGAAGACCACCAGAGTTTCTACAATCGCTTCTCGGTGCTTCTTGGTCCCGCAGAAATTGAGGGCGAGGCTGGTATTGAGCAACTTGTCGATGTGCTTTCAAAGCGTCTGAACGTAACGGACGCAGATTGGCAAATTGGCCATTCTAAGATTTTTTTACGTCGTGAGCTATCTGACAAACTGGAAAGGCTCGCCGCTCTGAGAGTTCACTCGGCAGCTCGAACGGTTGGTAGGTTCGGAAAGTTCGTCTCGCATCGCCGCCTATCACAGCTCCTCGTGGCTTGGACTCGATTTCGCATTGTTATGCTCAAGAAATACAAACGCGAGAGAGCTGCGACCAAGATCGCGTCATTCCATCGTTCTAAAATTGAGGTGCAGAGATATAACGCAGAACGAAAATCTGTGATTACAGTGCAATCCTTGCAAAGACGTCGTGTAGCTATCCAAACGGCTCGAAAGATTCGAGACCCATATTGTGATATGACTTACCAAGACATCAAGGGTCTCCTCAAAACTGAGAAGGCAAAATTGGATGAAGCAGTTAATGCAAAAGACTTCAAGACAGCTGCAATGCTTGAGGCGAAAATGTAAGTGTTTCTACTTCTCAAACCTGTCGATTGTTATTGGCACTTACCTCATTCGGAATCATAGCGATGAGATCAATAAAGTTTTGGATGAGAGAGAACCCATGACCCGGAAGAAACTCGAAGGGCTGATTGAGAAATGCCAAATTAGCCTTGATGAGGCGCTGAAGCGCAAATCGTACACAGAGGCAGGTCCATTGCAAGAAGAGCTTGATGTGCTAATCGCGCAGCGAAAGGATCTTCCAACAATGGAAGAGTTGAAAGAAGCGGTGAAGACAGCTGAAGCACATCTAGCAGAGGCGGTGAAGAATCGCGACTTCGCAGGTGCAGCAACCTCCCAGACGGAATTGGATGAAGCAAAGGCGAAGTATGCTGCTGCGAAGGAAGCCGAAGGAGAAGCCGATGAAATTGGCGAAGCCGAAGAGGGAAAACAGGGCGTAGTTATTGAAGGAATCGAGTCCCGTGCTGATCTCGAGAAAGAAATCGGAAAGATGCAATCCAATGTCGACGAGGCAATCGCCAAGAAAGACTTCAAGGGAGCATCGGCATTGCAGGCGTCCCTTGATGAACGTCTGAAACTTCGCGTCTTCTTCCCGTCAGTCGGGGAGCTTGAAGAGCAAGTGTCCGAAGCAAAGAAGAAAATGGACCAATGTATTGCAAACAAAGATTTTGCAGGCGCAGAGAAGCTTCATGCTGATCTCGAAAAAGTCGAGAAACTTCTTGAAGCTGAAAAGGCGAAAGAAGCCGAGGAGCCAGCAGTATCAACGCCATCTTCGTTTTCGGTCACTCTGATCGATGGGGAAACAAAAGAATTTGATTCGAGACATGATTTGGAAGAAGCCATAAAGGAAACAAAGAAGAAGCAGAACGACGCCGTCTCAGCTAAAGAGTTCAAAAAAGCTGAAGCGATTCAGAACCTGATTGAATCTATGGAAAATCTTCGCACCCATCTTCCTACGATCAGTGACATTACGAATGATATCAGGAAGAAGCAAGGCGAAATGAAGAAGGCTGTTGAGGAAAAACGTTTCTCGGATGCCGAAGCTCTTGATAAGGCGATCACTGAATTAGAAACAAAGCTTTCGAAAGAGAAGGAAAAGCTTCCGGAGCAAGTTTCACCCGAAGTTTTGGCTTCGAAGAGTCCAAATGTATCGTCTAGAGCTTCGGTTAAATCGGCTACAGTAGTTGGTGGAGCAAAAGTCCCCAAAACACCAACCCATGCTCCTCGAGTAGTGGCAGCCAAGACTCCTTTAGGCCGAAAAGATGCCACAGATGACGTCTCCGATCTCACATCTGTGAAATCTTTGAAATCAAGGGCGAGCAAAGTTTCAAAGGCCCCAACGAAAACAATATCCAAGAAACTTGACATGATGGCTGAAAGCCGTCCCGTGTCGAAGCTTCGTCCTAAGAAGCCATTGATTTCATCCACAGATGATAGCGTGCTTGCTGTCACTCAGATGCTGGCCAGCAAGCGTGGTGACGCATCGTTGATCGTCAGCGACGAAGGTGGTCTCGCTGGAATCATCACTGATACAGACATCACGCGTCGACTCGTGGCAAAAAATCTCAATGCTGCATCTACAAGTGTTTCGTTGGTGATGACACCGAATCCCACTTGTGTATCCACAACCGACGCCGCTATGGATGCGATGTCTACAATGGTCGAGAATCACTTCCGACATTTGCCAGTTATTGATGAACAGGGAGGTGTCGTTGGATTGCTGGATATTGCCAAGTGTTTGAACGATGCAATCAGCAAATTGGAGAAATCTCAATCAAAGACTGACGACTCTGCACAGGTAGCCCTACAACAAGCGATGACAGCACAAGGAGCACAGGGCGCCCAAGCTGCTGCTTTGCATGCTCTTCTTGGTCCCTTGATGGCAAAGGCGTTTGGGAATCAATCAGCGCCAACTCTTCGTAGCTTGCTCGCTGGGAAACCAGGTACAGTTGTTTCCCCCGAGACATCAGTTCGAGATGCTGGAATGCTGATGGCTGAGCGAAGAAAGGCTGCACTTGTCGTTGATAATGGCGAGCTGGTGGGTATCTTTGGTTTCAAGGATATGATGACTCGTGTTATTGCGAAGGAGTTGTCTGTAGACTACACGGAGATCAGTAAGGTGATGACGCCGAATCCAGAGGCCGTATCTCCGGACCTGACTGTTGTGGAGGCACTGCAAACGATGCACGACCACAAGTTTTTGACGCTGCCTGTTTGTGAGGACGATGGTACGGTTGTTGGCTTGGTCGATGTAATGGATGTGATCTATGGGTGTGGTGGAGCCGAAGGATGGCGATCAATATTTAATAGTTCTTTGGAAATGGACGATCTGTCGGATACAGCATCAGTGCGGAGTGACAACCGAAGCAGTTCCGGAAGGTCTACTCGTTCCAAGAAAAGTCAGAGCAGCGTGGCCAAGGAAATTCGTCCGGTGTCCAAACTCCGCCCGAAGAAGCCTTTGATTTCGTCCACAGATGATAGTGTACTCGCTGTCACTCAGATGCTGGCCAGCAAGCGTGGGGATGCATCGTTGATCGTCAGCGACGAAGGTGGTCTCGCTGGAATCATCACTGATACAGACATCACGCGTCGACTCGTGGCAAAAAATCTCAATGCTGCATCTACAAGTGTTTCTTTGGTGATGACACCGAATCCCACTTGTGTATCCACAACCGACGCCGCTATGGATGCGATGTCTACGATGGTCGAGAATCACTTCCGTCACCTGCCCGTTGTTGACGAGCAAGGAGGTGTCGTTGGATTGCTGGATATTGCCAAGTGTTTGAACGATGCAATCAGCAAATTGGAGAAATCTCAATCAAAGACTGACGACTCTGCACAGGTAGCCCTACAACAAGCGATGACAGCACAAGGAGCACAGGGCGCCCAAGCTGCTGCTTTGCATGCTCTGCTTGGTCCCTTGATGGCAAAGGCGTTTGGGAATCAATCAGCGCCAACTCTTCGTAGCTTGCTCGCTGGGAAACCAGGTACAGTTGTTTCCCCCGAGACATCAGTTCGAGATGCTGGAATGCTGATGGCTGAGCGAAGAAAGGCTGCACTTGTCGTTGATAATGGCGAGCTGGTGGGTATCTTTGGTTTCAAGGATATGATGACTCGTGTTATTGCGAAGGAGTTGTCTGTAGACTACACGGAGATCAGTAAGGTGATGACGCCGAATCCAGAGGCCGTATCTCCGGACCTGACTGTTGTGGAGGCACTGCAAACGATGCACGACCACAAGTTTTTGACGCTGCCTGTTTGTGAGGACGATGGTACGGTTGTTGGCTTGGTCGATGTAATGGATGTGATCTATGGGTGTGGTGGAGCCGAAGGATGGCGATCAATATTTAATAGTTCTTTGGAAATGGACGATCTGTCGGATACAGCATCAGTGCGGAGTGACAACCGAAGCAGTTCCGGAAGGTCTACTCGTTCCAAGAAAAGTCAGAGCAGCGTGGCCAAGGAAATTCGTCCGGTGTCCAAACTCCGCCCGAAGAAGCCTTTGATTTCGTCCACAGATGATAGTGTACTCGCTGTCACTCAGATGCTGGCCAGCAAGCGTGGGGATGCATCGTTGATCGTCAGCGACGAAGGTGGTCTCGCTGGAATCATCACTGATACAGACATCACGCGTCGACTCGTGGCAAAAAATCTCAATGCTGCATCTACAAGTGTTTCTTTGGTGATGACACCGAATCCCACTTGTGTATCCACAACCGACGCCGCTATGGATGCGATGTCTACGATGGTCGAGAATCACTTCCGTCACCTGCCCGTTGTTGACGAGCAAGGAGGTGTCGTTGGATTGCTGGATATTGCCAAGTGTTTGAACGATGCAATCAGCAAATTGGAGAAATCTCAATCAAAGACTGACGACTCTGCACAGGTAGCCCTACAACAAGCGATGACAGCACAAGGAGCACAGGGCGCCCAAGCTGCTGCTTTGCATGCTCTGCTTGGTCCCTTGATGGCAAAGGCGTTTGGGAATCAATCAGCGCCAACTCTTCGTAGCTTGCTCGCTGGGAAACCAGGTACAGTTGTTTCCCCCGAGACATCAGTTCGAGATGCTGGAATGCTGATGGCTGAGCGAAGAAAGGCTGCACTTGTCGTTGATAATGGCGAGCTGGTGGGTATCTTTGGTTTCAAGGATATGATGACTCGTGTTATTGCGAAGGAGTTGTCTGTAGACTACACGGAGATCAGTAAGGTGATGACGCCGAATCCAGAGGCCGTATCTCCGGACCTGACTGTTGTGGAGGCACTGCAAACGATGCACGACCACAAGTTTTTGACGCTGCCTGTTTGTGAGGACGATGGTACGGTTGTTGGCTTGGTCGATGTAATGGATGTGATCTATGGGTGTGGTGGAGCCGAAGGATGGCGATCAATATTTAATAGTTCTTTGGAAATGGACGATCTGTCGGATACAGCATCAGTGCGGAGTGACAACCGAAGCAGTTCCGGAAGGTCTACTCGTTCCAAGAAAAGTCAGAGCAGCGTGGCCAAGGAAATTCGTCCGGTGTCCAAACTCCGCCCGAAGAAGCCTTTGATTTCGTCCACAGATGATAGTGTACTCGCTGTCACTCAGATGCTGGCCAGCAAGCGTGGGGATGCATCGTTGATCGTCAGCGACGAAGGTGGTCTCGCTGGAATCATCACTGATACAGACATCACGCGTCGACTCGTGGCAAAAAATCTCAATGCTGCATCTACAAGTGTTTCTTTGGTGATGACACCGAATCCCACTTGTGTATCCACAACCGACGCCGCTATGGATGCGATGTCTACGATGGTCGAGAATCACTTCCGTCACCTGCCCGTTGTTGACGAGCAAGGAGGTGTCGTTGGATTGCTGGATATTGCCAAGTGTTTGAACGATGCAATCAGCAAATTGGAGAAATCTCAATCAAAGACTGACGACTCTGCACAGGTAGCCCTACAACAAGCGATGACAGCACAAGGAGCACAGGGCGCCCAAGCTGCTGCTTTGCATGCTCTGCTTGGTCCCTTGATGGCAAAGGCGTTTGGGAATCAATCAGCGCCAACTCTTCGTAGCTTGCTCGCTGGGAAACCAGGTACAGTTGTTTCCCCCGAGACATCAGTTCGAGATGCTGGAATGCTGATGGCTGAGCGAAGAAAGGCTGCACTTGTCGTTGATAATGGCGAGCTGGTGGGTATCTTTGGTTTCAAGGATATGATGACTCGTGTTATTGCGAAGGAGTTGTCTGTAGACTACACGGAGATCAGTAAGGTGATGACGCCGAATCCAGAGGCCGTATCTCCGGACCTGACTGTTGTGGAGGCACTGCAAACGATGCACGACCACAAGTTTTTGACGCTGCCTGTTTGTGAGGACGATGGTACGGTTGTTGGCTTGGTCGATGTAATGGATGTGATCTATGGGTGTGGTGGAGCCGAAGGATGGCGATCAATATTTAATAGTTCTTTGGAAATGGACGATCTGTCGGATACAGCATCAGTGCGGAGTGACAACCGAAGCAGTTCCGGAAGGTCTACTCGTTCCAAGAAAAGTCAGAGGAGCGTGGCCAAGGAAATTCGTCCGGTGTCCAAACTCCGCCCGAAGAAGCCATTGATTTCATCCACTGACGATAGCGTGCTTGCTGTCACTCAAATGCTGGCTAGCAAGCGTGGTGATGCATCTCTCATTGTGAGCAACGAAGGAGGGCTTGCAGGTATCGTTACTGATACCGATATCACACGTCGACTCGTGGCAAAAAATCTCAATGCTGCATCTACAAGTGTTTCGTTGGTGATGACACCGAATCCCACTTGTGTATCCACAACCGACGCCGCTATGGATGCGATGTCTACGATGGTCGAGAATCACTTCCGTCACCTGCCCGTTGTTGACGAGCAAGGAGGTGTCGTTGGATTGCTGGATATTGCCAAGTGTTTGAACGATGCAATCAGCAAATTGGAGAAATCTCAATCAAAGACTGACGACTCTGCACAGGTAGCCCTACAACAAGCGATGACAGCACAAGGAGCACAGGGCGCCCAAGCTGCTGCTTTGCATGCTCTTCTTGGTCCCTTGATGGCAAAGGCGTTTGGGAATCAATCAGCGCCAACTCTTCGTAGCTTGCTCGCTGGGAAACCAGGTACAGTTGTTTCCCCCGAGACATCAGTTCGAGATGCTGGAATGCTGATGGCTGAGCGAAGAAAGGCTGCACTTGTCGTTGATAATGGCGAGCTGGTGGGTATCTTTGGTTTCAAGGATATGATGACTCGTGTTATTGCGAAGGAGTTGTCTGTAGACTACACGGAGATCAGTAAGGTGATGACGCCGAATCCAGAGGCCGTATCTCCGGACCTGACTGTTGTGGAGGCACTGCAAACGATGCACGACAATCGATTTCTCACACTGCCCGTTTGTGAGGACGATGGTACGGTTGTTGGCTTGGTCGATGTAATGGATGTGATCTATGGGTGTGGTGGAGCCGAAGGATGGCGATCAATATTTAGTAGTTCTTTGGAAATGGACGATCTGTCGGATACAGCATCAGTGCGGAGTGACAACCGAAGCAGTTCCGGAAGGTCTACTCGTTCCAAGAAAAGTCAGAGCAGCGTGGCCAAGGAAATTCGTCCGGTGTCCAAACTCCGCCCGAAGAAGCCTTTGATTTCGTCCACAGATGATAGTGTACTCGCTGTCACTCAGATGCTGGCCAGCAAGCGTGGGGATGCATCGTTGATCGTCAGCGACGAAGGTGGTCTCGCTGGAATCATCACTGATACAGACATCACGCGTCGACTCGTGGCAAAAAATCTCAATGCTGCATCTACATGTGTTTCTTTGGTGATGACACCGAATCCCACTTGTGTATCCACAACCGACGCCGCTATGGATGCGATGTCTACGATGGTCGAGAATCACTTCCGTCACCTGCCCGTTGTTGACGAGCAAGGAGGTGTCGTTGGATTGCTGGATATTGCCAAGTGTTTGAACGATGCAATCAGCAAATTGGAGAAATCTCAATCAAAGACTGACGACTCTGCACAGGTAGCCCTACAACAAGCGATGACAGCACAAGGAGCACAGGGCGCCCAAGCTGCTGCTTTGCATGCTCTTCTTGGTCCCTTGATGGCAAAGGCGTTTGGGAATCAATCAGCGCCAACTCTTCGTAGCTTGCTCGCTGGGAAACCAGGTACAGTTGTTTCCCCCGAGACATCAGTTCGAGATGCTGGAATGCTGATGGCTGAGCGAAGAAAGGCTGCACTTGTCGTTGATAATGGCGAGCTGGTGGGTATCTTTGGTTTCAAGGATATGATGACTCGTGTTATTGCGAAGGAGTTGTCTGTAGACTACACGGAGATCAGTAAGGTGATGACGCCGAATCCAGAGGCCGTATCTCCGGACCTGACTGTTGTGGAGGCACTGCAAACGATGCACGACCACAAGTTTTTGACGCTGCCTGTTTGTGAGGACGATGGTACGGTTGTTGGCTTGGTCGATGTAATGGATGTGATCTATGGGTGTGGTGGAGCCGAAGGATGGCGATCAATATTTAATAGTTCTTTGGAAATGGACGATCTGTCGGATACAGCATCAGTGCGGAGTGACAACCGAAGCAGTTCCGGAAGGTCTACTCGTTCCAAGAAAAGTCAGAGGAGCGTGGCCAAGGAAATTCGTCCGGTGTCCAAACTCCGCCCGAAGAAGCCATTGATTTCATCCACTGACGATAGCGTGCTTGCTGTCACTCAAATGCTGGCTAGCAAGCGTGGTGATGCATCTCTCATTGTGAGCAACGAAGGAGGGCTTGCAGGTATCGTTACTGATACCGATATCACACGTCGACTCGTGGCAAAAAATCTCAATGCTGCATCTACAAGTGTTTCGTTGGTGATGACACCGAATCCCACTTGTGTATCCACAACCGACGCCGCTATGGATGCGATGTCTACGATGGTCGAGAATCACTTCCGTCACCTGCCCGTTGTTGACGAGCAAGGAGGTGTCGTTGGATTGCTGGATATTGCCAAGTGTTTGAACGATGCAATCAGCAAATTGGAGAAATCTCAATCAAAGACTGACGACTCTGCACAGGTAGCCCTACAACAAGCGATGACAGCACAAGGAGCACAGGGCGCCCAAGCTGCTGCTTTGCATGCTCTTCTTGGTCCCTTGATGGCAAAGGCGTTTGGGAATCAATCAGCGCCAACTCTTCGTAGCTTGCTCGCTGGGAAACCAGGTACAGTTGTTTCCCCCGAGACATCAGTTCGAGATGCTGGAATGCTGATGGCTGAGCGAAGAAAGGCTGCACTTGTCGTTGATAATGGCGAGCTGGTGGGTATCTTTGGTTTCAAGGATATGATGACTCGTGTTATTGCGAAGGAGTTGTCTGTAGACTACACAGAGATCAGCACTGTGATGACCCCAAGCCCAGAGGCCGTATCACCTGACCTTACCGCTTTGGAAGCTTTGGAAACGATGCACGACCACAAGTTTTTGACGCTGCCCGTTTGTGAGGACGATGGTACGGTTGTTGGCTTGGTCGATGTAATGGATGTGATCTATGGGTGTGGTGGAGCCGAAGGATGGCGATCCATATTTGGCAGCTCACTTGAACTTGAAGATCTATCCGATACTGCGTCTGTCTTGAGCGAGAATAGGAGTACGTCCGGTAGATCCACTCGTTCCAAAAAATCCAAGAAGACTATTGTTGAAGAAATTCGTCCTGTATCAAAGCTCCGTCCCAAGAAGCCTTTGATTTCGTCGACAGATGATAGCGTGCTTGCTGTCACTCAGATGCTGGCCAGCAAGCGTGGGGATGCATCTCTCGTTGTGAGTAATGAAGGGGGTCTTGCAGGTATCGTTACTGATACCGATATTACACGTCGACTCGTGGCAAAAAATCTCAATGCTGCGTCGGCCAGCGTATCTGCAATCATGACACCGAATCCCACTTGTGTATCCACAACCGACGCCGCTATGGATGCGATGTCTACGATGGTCGAGAATCACTTCCGTCACTTGCCTGTTGTTGACGAGCAAGGAGGTGTCGTTGGATTGCTGGATATTGCCAAGTGTTTGAACGACGCAATCAGCAAATTGGAGAAATCTCAATCAAAGACTGACGACTCTGCACAGGTAGCCCTACAACAAGCGATGACAGCACAAGGAGCACAGGGCGCCCAAGCTGCTGCTTTGCATGCTCTGCTTGGTCCCTTGATGGCAAAGGCGTTTGGGAATCAATCAGCGCCAACTCTTCGTAGCTTGCTCGCTGGGAAACCAGGTACAGTTGTTTCCCCCGAGACATCAGTTCGAGATGCTGGAATGCTGATGGCTGAGCGAAGAAAGGCTGCACTTGTCGTTGATAATGGCGAGCTGGTGGGTATCTTTGGTTTCAAGGATATGATGACTCGTGTTATTGCGAAGGAGTTGTCTGTAGACTACACGGAGATCAGTAAGGTGATGACGCCGAATCCAGAGGCCGTATCTCCGGACCTGACTGTTGTGGAGGCACTGCAAACGATGCACGACCACAAGTTTTTGACGCTGCCCGTTTGTGAGGACGATGGTACGGTTGTTGGCTTGGTCGATGTAATGGATGTGATCTATGGGTGTGGTGGAGCCGAAGGATGGCGATCAATATTTAGTAGTTCTTTGGAAATGGACGATCTGTCGGATACAGTCTCGTTACAAAGTGGACGCAGAAGCGCTGTAGGCAGCCGGGTAGGAACTGTCAAGTCAACAAAGTCTAAGCGATCGAAGGACGAGAGAACAGTGTCGATGCTCAGACCTAAGAGACCAGTCATTGCTCTTTCAAGAGACACTGTGTCAGATGTTTGTAAGCTATTGGAATCAAAGCGTTGCGATGCTGCAATTCTTGTTGATGAGGAAGGTGCTTTGGCGGGAATCATCACGGATACAGATGTCACTAGACGGGTAGTCGCAAAACGTCTGAATCCAACCTCGAGCTTGGTAGAAGATGTAATGACACCTGACCCACAATGTGTGTCAAAATCTGATATTGCAATGGATGCCATGACGATCATGGTTGAAAATCACTTTCGACATTTGCCAGTTTTGGACGAGGAAGGAGCTGTCACGGGAATCCTAGACATTGCAAAATGCCTGAACGATGCTATTTCGAAGCTTGAGAAGCTGAAATCGAAGTCCAACCAGTCGACAGAAGTTTTGATCAATCAAGCTCTTCAAGGCAGCGGAAACGGAGAAGCTCTGCAGGCATTGCTTGGACCTCTATTAAGCCAAAAACTTGGTTCAAACTCAACGCCTACACTCAGAAGCATTCTATCTGATCGCCCGTCAACTGTTGTTACACCAGAGACAAGTGTTCTGAGTGCCGCACTTCTCATGGCAGAAAATAGAAAGGCATCCTTGGTTGTTGATGATGGTCATCTAGTTGGAATCTTTGGGTTTAAAGACATTATGATACGCGTGGTTGCAGCTGATCTGGATGTTGAGACTACCTGTGTTAATGAGGTGATGACACCAGAGCCTGAATTTGTTTCTCCCGAGATTACAGTTCTCGAGGCTCTTCAAGTGATGCACGAAGAAAAATACCTCACACTGCCGGTCTGCGAAGAAGATGGAACTGTAGTTGGTCTAGTTGACGTCATGGACGTGATTTTTTCGTGTGGCGGGGCCGAAGGTTGGCGTTCAGTGTTCGACAGTGCCTTGGACATCGCTGATGATGAAGCAACAGATAACCAATCAGTTAGCGTTCGTTCAGTACGTGTCAAGGGTGTGGGTTCTGCCAGGAAAACATCACCCGCAATCAAGGTTGCAAAAGACGCACCATTTGTCATGGCACAACTGCCTGGAAATATTCCAACTACCCTCGAGTTTACTGAAGACGATCATCATGACTTGGATGGTGACATAACGCTTTTGAGTGACACAAGAACATCGTCATCAACCCCTATTTTGCAGTTCAAGGTTGTCGATCCTTCTGGGCACACACACCGTGTCAAATCTGATAGCAAATTATCAAGCCTGATCGATGCGTTCGCTGAGAAAGTCAAGATCAACAAAAAGTGTATTCAATTCAAGTTTATTGATGATGAAGGAGATACAATCTTGATTACAAGCGACGATGATCTGGTTGATGCAATCAAACTCTCACGATCCGCTGGTGGTTCATCGGCGAAGGCCTTGGTCAAACTTACAGCCGTAGAGATTCCAGGAGGCATGGACTCCTCAGTTGTTTATGCTGGAGCGGCAGCTGCAGTTGCGATGGTTGGCTTTGTGGCTATGAGTTTCTTGAAGAAAGCGTAAGCTACAGTATGTAGAAAGCTTTGTTATTTATTGTTGGTACGAAATGCACAACGGTCAGAACAGTGTAGAAGTAGCACGGAGATTACAAACTCACCAGTAGCTACGCATGGTCTTGTAACGTGACTGACTGACTCACTGATCAATCACGACAAGTCACGTGGAAGAAATGAAAAATAGAATTTCCGATTTCACATTTCATCTACCGTACCTTTCTCCTGAGGAAAACATCGTCCTTAGTAAGCATGAGAACGTATAACCTCACTTTCGTCTGTTGCTTACTATCTTTGGTGACAAAACTCTGCACAGGATTTTCAAATCCTCAGTTGCAAAGCGTAAACAAGCCGGTTCCAACATGCATGTTCAGTGAGCGATTCAATCGAGATATATCTGAAAGGTCAAGAGAAAAGGCTCAAGGGCAGGGTGGTGGATCAATGGCTGCTGGAGCAATTCTTGGAGGCTTGATCGGAGGGCCATTCGGAGTACTATTTGGAGCACAAATTGGCGCGAACCTTGGGTCAAAAAATGCGATGAATCGGGCACGTGAAGAAGAGATGGAGCGACTTGGGATTACTCAAGACATGTTAGATGCGGCACAAGAGTGCGGTGTAGCCCTGGATCAGTCTATGGAAGCACTTCAAGCATCACAGGCAAGCTTAGAAACCCAGCAAAGTCTTGCAAGACGCCTAGACAGAGATTCTAATGAACTATACGAAAAAGCCAAGGATGCGATGACAAATGGTGATGAAGATATTGCTCGGTCCTTTTTGCTGCAGCGAAACCAAGCACAAGAGAAACTGAAAGGAGTACTCAGGATGTGTGCAGAGGAAAAGAAACGGCTAGAAGCGATGAAAGAGAATGTGGCTGCAATCGAAAAGCGAGCCCTGGAAGTGGAAGCAATGTTGCAACGAACAGTTAGCTCGAAGAGTCGAATGAATGCTTCAATCAACGCTGACGTTAGTGATTTCTCTATGCCAGCTGAAGATCCGCTGCTCAAAAAGTTCCGTGATATGGGCATTGATTGAACCAGTAGTGAAAATTTGAGGAAGCTATATAGACACTATGCGTCGATTATTCATTACAATGTTACCCGTACAGAGAAGCGTTAGGTGAAATATTACCATGGCGCGACGGCAAATAATTTGCAAGAAGATAACGCAAGCTTATTTCGCCACTGCCTTTTTTCGTTCCTTTTGAGCATTCTTGTGAAGTGTTCGATATAAGAAATCGTAAGCCAATGATGCCACAAATGCGTACTCCTTGGCATCGTCGGAATCGTTCTGCATCTCTTCATAGTAATATGCAGGCCACTTTCTCCCCTTGCTCAAATCCCAAAGTTTGTTCACCATTTTCCGTGCGTGGCCTGGGTGAACTCGCTTATCTCCACAGCTTGTGGTGAAGAGGATCGGTGGACGCTTCTTCACAGAGTCATCAATGTTGTGGTAGGGAGAAAAATCCTTGATAAATTTTTCCCAATCTTTTTTGTCTGGGTCTCCAAATTCTTCAACCCAACTTTCCGGACCATCCAATTCTTTGAACCTTTTTAGATCCAGTATTGGGAAGGCACAGTGTGCAGCCCCAAAAAGATCTGGTCGGCTCACATACACATTTGCAACTAGTAGGCCACCATTCAAACCACCTCGAAGACCCAACGTTTTTGGCCGGCATATTCTCGATGCTATTAAATCTTCTGCAACAGCAACAATGTCCTCCAATGATTTCCCACGCCGACCCCGCACAGCAGCCTATGTATTACAGGAGGTAACTTTGTCAGATTGAAGTTTCTAAACTTGGCATAGCCATATCGCAGCTTCACGTACCGAGTGCCATGTGGGACCAAATTCTCCGCCTCCTCGAACGTTGGCTTCAACATACACACCTCCACGGTCAAGCCACGCTATGCCAGTCGCTGGCGAATAATTCGGCCCCAGTGAAACTCCAAATCCTCCGTAAGCATGTAACAGTGTCGGGTTGTTCTTATCCAATTGAGTTCCTTTCTTCATTATCAAGAAATAAGGAATGTCGGTCCCATCCTTGCTCTTTGCGATCTTCTGCAGAACATGGAGGTCTGATGCTTCGAAAGCTTCTGATAAACCCTTCAGCTTTCTCACCATATAACCTTCCGACCCAGTTTTTCGAATCACCTTTTTATCTGAACTGTCCATCTTGGATGCATCCGCGAGCCACACGGTGCTTGGTTCCGTGTACCCATATGTTGTCAACCAGAATTCGTTGCTGGCATAAGAGTCTACCACTTGTACATGATTCACTCGGATCTGAGGATTCTTGTCCATACCGACGAGCCGAAGCTTGTTTCCATCCTTTTCGAGTTTATAGAATTCCAATCTGGATTTGATAGTGTCCTGAACCGAGCAGATGATGAAGTTTCGAGCTGCATGATATGAATCACATTTTGTCCCCTCCGTTGGTTGAAACATGACGTGATAAATTCTATCTGTTGGTCCGTATTTTATGAACTTGTGTGCATTGACGTATACTATTGCTCCTTCCGAGAATGTTTTGCCCTTCTCAGGAGACCACTCGGAATCGAGACTGACAACGAGTAAATTTCCAACAAAGTTAATTTCCGCATCATCTGGAACCTGTAGCTCTTGAAATGAAGGAGGATCAGAGACTCCTTTTCGGGCTGGATCGTCTTCTGACAGCGTGTGTTCTGGTTTTATCTTTCGCACCCAATATTTTGAAGCATTGATCCCAAGCCTTCTCATCTGAACCTCGAATATATCACCTTTGCGATGTCTCTGATCATCAACATAAGATCCAACTGCGATATCGGAGCTTTCACCTTGAAAGACAAGTTTTGACTTGCTGAAATCAGTGCCTCGTTTCCATTCTCTAATAGTTGTTGGATTCCCAGCCTTTGTCAAAGTACTATCTTGTAAATCTGATGAAACGAAAAGTACATCGCGACTCTTATAGCTGATCCTCGTTCGACCTTCTGGCAGATTGAATGGGTTGGTTTTCACAAAGTCGGATGTGAGGAAATCAAATTCGCGAATCTCAACTGTGTGGGTCCCCTCTCTTGACAGGCTGATTAGAGCTCGGGTTGTCATCGTATTATCCGTCGAAGCAGGATCTTGACCTCTAGGAAGCATTCTAGCTCCCTTCCATATCCATGATATGCCCTCATCTTTCGACAATTTATCGACATCCACTAGATCAGTCCATTCTGTATTATCTTCATCTTCGTACGACTCCAGAGTTGTCCGCCGCCAAACTCCTTTGGGGTGCTGTATGTATTTTCAAAAATTAAAAATGGAATAGACAGTGGTCAGTTAGTTCAGCATCATAATGAAAAATATTGACATTTTGCAGCAATGGACTACTCACGTCTGTATCATCTTTCCAGAAATTCAAGAGAATCCGTTTACCACTCTCATCTATTCCAAGTTGACTAATAAGCGGAATCTTTTCTTCCTCCTCCAAAACATCGAGAATCTTTGAGTACGTTGGTGACGTCGTAGGAGGACTACCAAGTGCAGTCATTGTCAGTCGATTTGCAGATTCTACGAAATGAATAGCGTCGGCACCCGAATCATCTTCGAGATGCTGATATGTGTCTTCATCTCCCATTTTGATACAGTAGCAATCCGAGTTTTCTAAAACAAAAAAAGACGTATCAATGCCTTCTAATGCATGGATTGATTTCTATTATAATGTCTAAAAAAAGAAGTTTGTATGCTCTATCAATGTCGATGAAGTAGTGGTACGAGCATGCCCTTATTTGACACCTGAAAGCTTTCCAACGATACTCTTGCAGATCTGGCATGGTCATAGATCTTGTCCGATGTAAGGTACTGTTTGAGTCCCCTTTTGAAATCGTTTCAACGTTACCGGTTTAGGTTATGAGCGTAATATCGACCAATACGACTGTAATTTGCTCACGCACCTCACCAATGCAATGGATGATGATTCAAATCCTGTACCGCCGGGACAATACCTGGTGTCTTGAAAGTCTCTTTGCAATTCGTTCTGTGCAGCCATAAGCCGTTGGTACATAAAGCTACATTGCCAGAAACGAACTGTTTGCCACAATCCAGCAACTGTTCGAAAAATGACATCGTTTCCTCTACAAGCAAATGTTCTCCTTCAGGGTCTGGTCAAGATGCCAGACCTAAATGATAAAAAGGGTGTCGTTAAGGGTCCTCTTGAAAACGGTCGACATCAAGTTTATGTTGAAGACATGTCGAAAACTTTTGCATTAAAACCAACCAACTTGAAATATGAAGGACGAAGTGCATCAAGCTTATCCATCAAGGAATTGAAAGCCGTCTTGGAGACACAGAATGGCAGCGATTCAGGTCTCACAGGTATTGACAAGTCAGAATTGCAATCCAAGGTTACGGACCTTGGATTTTCAGAAGAAAAGATTGCCGAAGTCTTAGCTGTAGCAAATGCACCTTCTCCTCGTTCTGCTGCTAGAGCGGCCGCCACACCAGCTGTGGACCCAACACAAGCAGCAAATCAATTGGCAAACATGTCACCTGATCAACTTCGCCAACAGGCTATGGCCATGAAATCAATGGATCCCAACACTCTTAGACGAGCAAATCCTCAATTCGCCAATCTTTCTGATTTCCAGATTAGGCAAGCCGCTGACCAGATGTTAATGATGGCAAACAACCCTGAGATGCTCAAACAAGCATCCAGCCAAATCAAGAACATGTCTCCAGAAGAAGTTCAACGCATGCAGAACCAAGTAGCAAACAATGGGGTACCACCGGCAGAAGGACAGAAAAAAGTAAAAAAGTCATCCGCGAAAGCAAACAATGGGCAACCGATGCACGCCCAATATCAAGAAGCTTCCAACAAGATGGCCAACATGACCCCTGAAGAATTGAAGCAACAAGCAAGCATGATGAGGAGTATGGACCCTGATACCATTCGAAAACTTAATCCCCAACTTGCGCACATGAACGACAATCAAATTCGGGAAGCTGCCTCACAGTTTGAAATGATGGCTTCCAATCCAGAGATGTTCAAGATGGCAATGGATCAAATGAAAAATCTGTCTCCCGAAGAAATGGAAAACTTGCAAAAGGGAATGCCGGCTGGTGGTGGAACAGGAACTGATGCTTCTGGTAATGGTGGGGCAAACGCTGAAATGTCAGCAGAAATGCTAAAGAACATGGACAAGAAGCAATTGAAAAGTATGCTAAATATGGTCAAGGACAATCCAGACATGTTGAAACAATTCTCTGGCATGTCGGGAATGAGCGAAGATAAATTGAAAGGCTTTATCGATCAATTCTCACAAATGGACGATGACAAATTGGACTCTGCCGTGTCCATGATGCAAAAGGCAGCAGCAGCAAAAGATCTATGGTCCAAGGCAGATAAAAAAACGGGCGGTAACTTGTTGAAAATTGTCATTGCATCCGCTCTACTCTTTACGTTCCTATTTTTCAAATGGTTGTTTGGTGGCAGTTCGGCTGTTTCAGAATCCAAGATTCTGAACGAAGCTCTGAATACGATGGAGGGCGAAGCTGTACCACCGGATAGTGAACCGGAAAGTGAATTTTGAACATCTTGAAGGAAACCAGATTCGTTGCAGCGTTAAGCTGCTTTTAAGTGACAAAAATACAGGCCACTAACCATTAGCGCACATATACATTTTTGCCCTTGTTGCTACATGGAACGAATGTTTTGGGGCATGGCTTCATCCTCACCATAGAAAGTCGCTTGGTCCTCATGCGCCTGCCTTGCTTCGGATACGATTCGTTGCACCAAGTCATTGACCATGGGAATGTCATCAATGAGTCCTTGACATTGCCCAACAAATTGAACGCCATTTTCCAGGTCTCCATTAACTGTTGCTGCTTGGATGGCCTCTGTGGCGGCACCAAACTGGGCAATGATAAACATTTTCTCGAATTGTGTCAACAAGCCTGGTAGCACCTTCCACAGTGGAATCCCCATTTTCAGTGCAGCTTGAAATGCCCGATGTGCTACTACTGGAAATGAGGGTCGTCGGTCCATTGCCTGTTGTGATTTGGGCGTTTTCAACACCCGAGCTGGGATGCCGTCAAATTTGGATCCAAACAGAGTTTCTGATTCGTCCGAGCTGACAATTGCCAATTTGGTAGCCTCAGCCAATGGACTTTCCCTCGTCACTGCCATGCGACTGCCCATGGCCACACCATCGGCACCAAGAGACAAGGCTCCAGCAAGTCCTTGACCTGTGGCAAATCCTCCGGCTGCTAGAATGGGAGTGTCCGGAAAGTGCTTGCGGAAGGAAGGAATCAATACTAGAGATGTAACATCGCCCCCATGAGCAGCAGCTTCATGCCCAGTCACCATGAGAGCATCGGCACCAGCCTCAAGCGCTCCCAGGGCGTGCTTTTGATTGGTCACTGTAGCAATCATCTTCCCTCCGTACTGGGCGAGGCCATCGGCGATCCAGGTTGCCTTTCCCAGACTCACATTGATAATCGGAACCTGCTCGTCTAGAGCTACCTTGGCGTTCTCTTTGGCACCTGGCATGAGGAGCGTAGCACCAATTCCAAATGGTTGGTCTGTGAGACTTCGAATCTTGCGAATGGAATCCCGCGTTTCTTCGGCAGTCAAAGGACCAGTGGCCAGAATGCCAACACCTCCTGCATTCGAAACGGACGCGACGAGCTCGGGATTGGAGATCCAAGACATGCCAGGCAAAAGAATTGGATAACGACAACCGAATATTCGGGTGAACCGTGTTGATATTGCTGGTGCTTGCATGATGTTTAGTATTGTCAGTTTGTCGCTGATGGAATGTTGAATGTGAAGGAAAGAGAAGATCAAGGTTGATGTTGTTGTTCGTTGGCGAAGTTTGTTCTTTCAAATGAATCGAGAGAGTCAGTTCCATCAATTAATTCATGTGGTGTTCGGATCGGATGGATCGGATAATATGATTTTAGTTTGAAATTTAAAGTCGCATGGAACACAGGACTGCCTGCAGTTCCTACAGACTACCATATAGCATAGATCGTTCGACGGAAGGTTGCTAATATACCTAGCAAAGCAAAGGACACTAATGGGTTAGTATGGGTCTTCTTTCCAATTTTACGTTTACCAATTGAATCCAGGATGCCCAGAGAAGGTGGTCAAACCATACGGGATATGACCCACATCCCCCATCATTCTTGCACTGACTGTCCCTGTCGGACGAATGGTCAGGTATGTTAAGGAGCAGTTGAATGTGCAAAGTCGAAGCCAGGCTTCGGGTGGCAATTGGAGAGCACTGACGATGAAGAATAAAAAAGATGGTGAGATTCGATCTGTACATTGTGAAGCACATAAAAGTACTAATGAAATACAGTAGTACCTACCGGCAAAAGAAGTAGCGAATGACGTTAGCATGACATACAATTACTTCAAACTCGTGCTTTGGTCTGTCGGCATCTCCTTCTTCTTCCTCTTCATTCGGTGGATCTGCTCGATAAAAGTACTTTTGAAATGACTTTTCAATCCGAGGATGGCTCTCATCCGTCTTCTTAATGGTTGAAGGGGAGGCTTTGCCACCTGGCACATTGTGTGCGGGGCGACCTTCATTGAGTTCGGGATCCGGTAGGGATCGTTCGACACCTGGCAAATGCGAAGCAATGATGTCGGCAGCTGCAGCAGGAACAACAACGCAATTGAAATGAGAAAAATGATCAATTTGATTTGGACAACAGCTCCATTCCACAAGCAGAATTTCACATTTGCTTACTTTCTTTGGCACGAGCCATGTTGGAAACACGGACCACTTTGATGTTGCAGGGCCCGAACTTTTCGTTGACACCGTCAAGCATTTCCTTCAATCGTTTTCCAGTATAGTCAGCTTGTTGCCGTCCAACTTCGGTAAGAATTCGCTTAGAATCATCTTGTTCTGACTCGTCGTACTGTCCATGTCGCACCAGTATAATGTGCCGTGTAACTCCCTCCTTGCGCAATTTTCTCATTTTCTTTCGGTCTTCTTCGTCATCCCCACTACGTGCTGGATTCAAGCCATCCCAATCCTTGTCCCACCACGGATACTCTTGTTTTGGTTGCCAGAGTTGCCGTCTTGGAAAAAGATTGTGAAAATCTCCCTTGGAATCAAGTTTCATTCCAGTGTAAGGCAAACCGGTAGTTATTTTTTCCTCGGCAACAGGAGCATCATCACATTTGGAAGAGGAAGAGAAAGACCATGACGAGGTCACGATTGCCGCCACTGCTGGAGAATTTCGAGCAAAGCGGAATGCATATGAAGACATGGTGAACTGATCTCTTCCAGTTCGTGGTCTTGGAAGCTTGGAGAGGAGGAACAAAGGTGAACAAACACGAAACACAATCGTATGAGGAAAATGTGGTACAATACTTTTGTGTATTTCAAATCTTGTCCTTTTGGTCCGATCCAAAAAGTCGGAAACGCCTGACGCCGTGCAGGCATTGAGATCCGAAACTGAAGACTGACTGACTACCTGGTACGATACGACTGAGTAATTTTCTGAGTTGGTGAGTTAATGATGTGCATGTTGTCACAAATAACCACCATGAGAAGTGGACTTGGAGTTTTCTTTTGTATAGCTGCCTCAACTACAAAGAGTTCATTTGGATTTGTCCGCAATCACTCAAAAACAGCGTCTTCCATTCTGAACATGTCATCTGACGAAGAACAATCTTGGCGATCCTTGTTGGAAGTTTCCATCGCCAAGTCCAGAAAGACTCGGGGTTCCAACTACGTCCAAATCTCTACTGTGGAAGAGGGAGAACCCCGCTGTCGAACAGTAGTCTTTCGAGGATTCCAAAAGACTCCAGTACATCATGATTTGTTTCATGAATTGGATGAGAAACCCTGCCTCTTCAAAATGTGCACCGACAAGCGTTCGAAGAAAGTGGCACAGAACGCCAAACAATCAGTTGCGGAGATTGTGTGGTGGTTCCCTAAATCGAGTGAACAATATCGTGTACGAGGAAACTTGATTTTGGTAGGTGGAGAAAATGAGGACCGTGCATTGGAAATTGCTCGCAAGGAATTGTGGGGGAACATTTCTGACCCGTCGCGAGAGAGCTTTCTGGGTCAAGTTGTACCTGGAGAGGCATACGAAAAGGACAATTCCATCATTCCAGTAGGAGGGAGAGATGATGATGGAAAGGTGTTGGTACCTCCCGACAACTTTCTGCTGATGTTGCTAGACCCAATGGATGTCGACTATCTGAGACTGACAGGAGACCAATATCGACAGGTGGATTCTCGTGGACCATCTGGTTGGACAAAACAACGGGTCAACCCATAGAAATACCGAGACATATAAGAATGATAATAGTGCAATAAAAGTTGCTAGCGTGCTTCTTTTCGCTACAATGGCTACAGCTTCATAACATCGATTCATCCCTGCGATGCATATTCCAAACCGTCAACTTGGCTACGAGTGCAGTTATTGGTCCTCAAACGGGAGATCTGCTCAAACATTCAAAGAGAAACAGTAGCACGTGAGTTGGATTGCTTCCTTCGTTTCTTCTTTTTCGACTTCGAGGATTTTGGTGATGGCCTACCTCGTTTTAGCGATGGGCTTCCATGATCCGAATCCCAATTGGCTTGTTCTTTTCGCTGTAGCTTTTCCTCCTTGCGCTTTCGTTCTTCGCGTTCCTTTTCAGTTTCTAAAGCTTCGTACTTCATGATGAAGCCATCCGCATCGTTCATTGCTCGGGCTCTTCGGTAAAGCTCTGGGTACTCCGTCTCTAATCGGCAAAGCCATTTCCATGCCATGCGCTTTCGACCCTTTCTTGCTTGGAGCCAAACCTCTTCAAATCTTCGGGGCGAACAAAAATTTTGCGTCACCGCCACAGTGTGAGTAAGGTTCAGGACAGCGTGCCACCATCCGTGTGGAATGTAGACCGTTTCACCTGCGTGCTGTGTGAATTCGTAGCAGCAAAAGTTTTCGTACTTTGGTGTGGATCGCAGAGATCGTGCTTCTCGTTTGATGCGAGGAAGAATGGTCATGAAATAGTGCACCGCTTCATCGTCTTCGTCTTCGCGAATCAATGTTTCTCCCTTGACCACTTTCTTTGGGATGTGAGGAGGAAAAAGTACCCAACGCTTCTGCCCCTCAATTAGTGTGTTCCAGGCACTAGTGCCCAATGGATCAATGTGAACACATGTTCCTGATCGTTCGGGTCCAACTAAGAACCATCGGTATGGCGGCCGACGGCTTTCGCTGACTAGACCAAACAAGTCATCCTTGAAGTAGGAAGGCACACGGTAATCCCGAAGAATGCTGTCGGCTTTTTTGTCGCCATCAAAGTTAGAGTCAAAAATATAAAGTGGAGAGTCATCCTTGTTGAATTCCGCGTAGCTCAAGAAATGGCTCAGCCGAATTTTGATATTGTGACCATCGTCGTCTTCCCCACACTTGAATTTTCGATCGATTAGCACTTCGTCATTGAGTAGACTCCGCAACTTCCACTTTTCAAGGGCTGGCCAAGCACCGACGAACTCTCCACCGTCGTGACCAGCTGGAATGTTTTTGATGACTACCGGCACGCTTTCTTCTTCATAGTTGTAGAATTCTTCCCGTGTTAGCGTAGCAGCATCTAATATTAGGGGAAGCTGTTGTTGATCACTCCCAGGCTCTGCATTCGGGTTGAAACACGTGGAGTTTGGAAGCTTTCGGATTTCCTCGCGAAAAGGAGGAAATCGGAAATGCATATTATCTCGTTCCCAATCTGTAAGGGAAGGCCGGTGGAGCTTCCGCGCCTTGTCCATTTTCTCTTCCCATCCTCCCATGATGAAATCAGAAGGTGTGCTCTAAGCAATTATATTCGGAACCTTGTCTTTCTTCAACCAATTTTTGGTGAAGCTGTTCCATGGACAAAATCCGAACCGGACGACTTGAACCAGTGGTGGGCGGTTGGCTGCTGGACGATGTGATGATTGAATCGAATGACTGTAGTGTACTCGTGACTTGCGTACGTGTACCAGTACAGAACTCGGATGAATCAACTTCCGCTCCATCCTTTTACATGATAAAAGGTATCAGTAGACTACTGTAGCTAGCAAGATAAATACGGGAAGTAAGATGTGATCAAAAAGAAATGTCTCATTGTACATCTACGTTACGGCATCGAAAAGAGGAGCGAATATAACCAGAAAAATCCAGCACAACAAACGAGTTCTCAAATGGAGCTCGAAGGCGCCGACTTCCTAGTGGCTTCAATCTCCTGACAATACTCTTTCCTATTCCGCCTCATTTTTGTCTTTCATTGTTCATAGACAGACACACTATACAACTGCAATTGCAACCAAACTAGCAATCAACCATCCAGCAAAATGAAGACCATTTACGTGACCACTGCTAGTATAGGTGCAACAAGCCTCATCGAGGACGGCAAGGTCGAGCTCTCCATTCGCAGTGAGTGTTGTACAAAATCCAGGTGTGAAATGTTGAAACGTATCGTATCCTTGTCCACAGGTCAAGTTTCCTTCGTCGGCAAGTGGAATGACGTCGCGCTTGACAGTTCCACCTTCACAAATATTGCACGACTTTGGAGGGGAATAGCCAGAACACCCGCAAATTGAAGGAGAAGCGAATAGGTAAAGCCCGCTAATAGCATCCGCACATGAAGCACCCGATGTTTTTCTCTCTTCGTTGATTGCATCCTGCTGTTGCGCACAGGTCAATTGGGCTGCGGGATCGTCACTACCTTGGATAAACAAGGGGATTGCATCTGGTGTTGTCATGGCTACATCAGCGCTGCCACAAATGTAACAAGTTTCACCTTCAGTGACGGTAGGAAGCTTATATTCGGATGTTGATGGGCAGCAAATAGGTTCATAAAGCTTGGTCGACGCACATCCTGTTTCGTTCGCTCCGAGAGCGCTACAAAAGACGACCATTTATATGTGTTAGATCCACAACCAAACAACAGCAGAACGCCAATCAGCCTTGCTCCAATCCGACTTACGCGAGTGAGAAGATGCCGCAGACAAAATTATCTTCAACCTCGACGCCATCAGGGCAAAAATCGCAAACATACTGCTCCGTAGTGCTTGGGCAACAGAGCGGTTCAAGCTGCGCAATGGCTTCGCACTCTTCGGTGGTACCGTTAGCATTCGCGGCTCTGATGGGATTAATTGATTAATAAATACAATATGAGTTATCGTGAGAGTACCGTAAAGGACATCATAATCGGCATCATCAAGTACTCACTCATTTTGGATGTCTTGGCAGGAAGTGACATTTGCTTCGGCATCATCCAGGAAGGAAAAAGGCAAAACATCCGACAACGAAATTGCTACAGTAGGATTGTCAAATCCAGCAGTGCAGTAGTCGCATGCACCTTGAAGAGGAGCTGTCTTGGCATTGACTAGAATAATTGTAAATAGAGTAGAGAGCTTCATGGCTAACGATGTCGTTGTTGGCTGTGTTGGCTAACGATGCTGTTGCTGTGATAGCTACAGTAACGATGTTGTTGGCTGTAATGGTATCTTAAAAAAAAAAGATTTCATCACTTTGCTACGTCAAATTCGCGTACGTTACTGTACTAGAAGCATCATTGGTGTCTAATTTTGAATTTGCTAAACGCAACGTTTGCTCGAAATCGTGCAATATCAATATAGAAAACGTAATCGATTATCTTGGATTACTTTTTCTTGCTGTCTTCAGGCTCTACGTAGTCTGGATTATTCCTGACAATGACCACACCTTCCAAGATATTGCTGACGCTGATAACCTCTTCGGTACCCAATTCAGCACGATCTGTTGCCCCCAATAGCACGGGCGTTGTATGCGTTTGAAACCCTGTGATGCGCTTTGGCTTTCCGGCTTGCCCAACAGTTTCCACTGCTTGACCAACTCGGACTGTGACAGGTCTCCATTCGATATCTTCGTTGACAGTAATGAGCATTCTAGGATTCATCGCACATGTCAGGTAATACAAGAGGTAGTGGCTCTTGTCCAGGAGCGTGCTCTTTAGATCCATGCATGAGTGCAACAAGACAAGCACACCACCAAGCGCTGGGCCGTTCAAAAGCATGCGGTCCGCATGGAATGGATTGATAGTCAACAAACCCTTCCCCATGTGCAATAGACCTTGGGCAATGCGAACGCAGAATACGTGTCCAGCTTCTTTGCTGTAAAATTCACCTAATTGTCGAAGCAGACCGGCAACACGTGAGTTGTTTGTTCCTGCACTGACAACTCCAAGGGCAATGATCGCATTCTGGGAGATTTCTGAATCGGGATCATGTGACAGCCTGGATAATTGATCAATAACGGCATAATCAGGATTGGAGATATTCAACACTGCCAATGAGAGTGGAACAGCCCTTTTGATTGGCAATTCACAGTAGTGTAGCAAATGGTCGAACGATCGCAACGCCATTTCGGAACCAACATCTTCTCCCATGGTGATCAAACCAATACCCAATACAGCGGCCATTTGGTGTTCCGCGTCTTCAGTCAGATGCTCTGCGCATTGGTGAAGCATCTCTTGCACCTTCAAGACATTTCCAGATCCTGCATATGCAGCTGTTTCCAACATGATGACGGCATACTTGGAGATTTTGTGTTCGATTGTTCGAACGGCCTCCATCATCGCGTCCGCCTTTTCCATTTGCCCAAGGAACAAGAGTGCAAGACCCAGGCAGAGGTAGCGAGCATGCGAGTGATCGAGCTCTTCATCAGTGGCCTCCATCAATCGTTGTACGATGGTGCCACCAACAGTGTCGTCGCACTTTCCGACGAAAATCATACCAAGAGCCAAGCCTGCAAGAGAAACTTCCATAAAATTGGTAGCACCACCTCCAGAACTCTCAACCACAGGAACAAGCATTTCCATGACGTCTTCACGGCCAGACCCGGCGTATGCAATACCAAGTCCAGTGCAGGCAGCGCACTTCATAATGTGGCTGTCACCCTCAACGTGCTCGCTAAGTAAGGCAAGCGCAGGGTCGGCATCGTTTCGAACACCACTACTCAAGATCCCCACGGCCAAAGCTGCTCCAGCCTTGACATACTCCTCGTTACTGTAGAGAAATTTATCAATTTGGGTCAATCCTTCTTCTACATTCCATAGCAAGATAGATCCAAGAGATGCAGCAGCAGCCATCATTCCATGTTCCTTATTCTTGTACAGCCATTCGCTATCGGGAGTCATCAATTTATCCTTTCCGAATCCAGCATTTACGAATGCATTGACAAAGGTGGATGCAAGATTAGCCCGGGCACTATCTACTTGAGCACCGCTGGTATCTCTCCGCCTGCTGAATCCACCAGTCTCAGCGAGATGAGACTTGTAGATATCTTCCGGAGTCTTGGGATCTAGCACATCCAAGTCTTGTGCGACCTTGAGAAAATGCTCACTTAGCTTTTCGTTTCCGATAAGCTCATTCAATTCGTCCTCATCTGGATCATCCTCAACTTCGTAATTTACTCTGTGTCGGCCCAAAATGAGGCACATTTGCTTCTTTACAACAACATCTTCGCACTCAGATAGCAAGCTTGGAATTTCGTCGAGTTTGTCCATCTTTAATGCAACGAGAAGTGCATCAAAATATTGCTTTTGCTTCTTGTAAATTTCAAAGGCGGTATCAAACATTTCTTGCAAGTCATCAGGATCTGACATGTAGCCGGCAGTCTTGATCAGGTATAGGCAGATTCGTTGGTAGTTGTGTTCATTGATGCTGTCAAGCTGCAGCAAGAACTTGAGCCTTTGAACCTCGATCAAAAGATCAATTGCCTCGGCTTCAGCGTTGTGGGTAAGATGAAAAGGGACAATTACGTGCACCATAGCAAGGATATCCTTGAAGGGTTCGTCACTATCCAGATCAGCGCCGTCAATGACACGTTGATTATATTCTTGTCCAATCTCTCCAGCTAAGCTACGAACAAACTCGTGACCCCAGCTCCCCAAGTTGTCCTCGGCATGTTTGGATGCCGCTCCCTTTGATGCCAATGTTTCGTAGTCCTTAGTTCCAGAAAGCTTGAAATTTAGACTCTCACGATCCTCTGTATATTTGAAAGTTCATGGCAATGAAATTGGTCAGATACAAGAAACAACTTCCGAACGGATTCTTCCTGACCAAAAACTAAACTTACGAGGCTTTCCCATTGTCATGGCTAGAACAGCAAGGACATCCGCAAGTCGTGCTCGAAACTCCAAGGCATCATTTGCTAGACCAGTAGAATTCTCCATTGTCTTGTACAAATCCTTGATCGATGCGAAATGAGGTCTCAAGAACTTGAGTGGCTTTGGCACGGAAGTCATGGACGCAGTGGCCGTTCGCAATTCATTGACAATCACGTCCAACGCGGTCAGGCGAATTGGAATTGTCACATTAGCTTCATTTTTTTCATTGAGGACAGTAGAGACACAAGTTTCGAGACGCTCTTTTAGTTCCTTGTCCTCTTCACTCAGATTGCTGTCATCATTTTCATCTTCCTTTTTCTTGAGTTTCTTTGGATCAGTCTCCTTTTTCTTCTCCGATTCAGCAGTGACAGTCACAGCGTTTGTATCTTTTGGAGCCATATTCTCGTTTCTATAAAGTCAAAGAAAGGTAAAGAAAAGGAATCCTTTCAATAGTGTATGTAACTAAGTATCAACCTGATGTATGATTGTTTTGGTTTGTCAATGGCGTGATCTGAAACTCGGATTGATCGGGTTGGTCCATCGCTGCGAGAAGATCGATGAAGGCAAAAGAAACATTTGATACTTTTCAAGTACTTTTTGTCTTCGACTACTCTTGATTGATTGATTCATTCGACCGTTTCAATATTTGTGAGATACAGTATGTTATTCGGACGAGTCAATGTTTTTAGTCCGGTTTAGCACTCTTTCTACTGTAAGCTACAGTACATGCAGTGTTTGAGATCTTGCCAAAAAGTATAAAAGGAAGAGCAACGGATAGAATTGATTGATCTTCATCACCAATCTCTCGACGCTGGAAGACTTAACTTTGAAAGGCAACTATCGTTTTATCGCCAGCTGCTTTGAAAAGAACATTCGTCTAGCGAAAAAATTGGAGCACCATGCTCAAAGCGGCAAAAAATGTATTCAAGGCTGATGAAGAATGCCCAGTGGTCCCATTAGAGCCTCGAAGAGCTAAAGGAAACGAGATTGCTGTCATGGCCTGCGGCGATTTCGTTGCTCCACAAGAAAAATTTCTCGAGGTACGTGCGTGGACGAACGAATGAATCAATGAATCAATGAATCTATCATCAGGGTAAGTATACTCGTATCTTTCGAAACCACAAAGACTGACATTTTTGCGGTCTCCTTCCATTTTGCTACCCCTGTCCATCCTTTGATAGTTGGAGGGAGTAGAGCGAGTACTCCGGGGATACACTGGTGGAGGAAAGGAGTTGCCTACATCTATCAAAATTCATGATCATACCGAAGCCTTGTTGATCGAATTCAATCCAAACACAATATCCTACAGCCAAATCTTGGTAGCTTGGAGGCAGTGTGTCGACCCATGGGAGAAGGAAACGACTCAGCACCGTGCTGCTGTATTCTGGAAGAGTTTATCCCAGCAAAACGAAGCCTTAGATTTTCTTGGCAGTCTACAATCCCAACAACCTTCTAAAAAACTGCATGCCGAAGTGGAACGAGCGCGTCGCTTCTTTCGAGCCCGACAACCATATGCCGCAATTCCAGTCGATCCAAAGCACGAAGACAACGAAGTCGCCATTCTTGCCTGTGGAGATGGGACTGGACCGCTAAATATGTTTCAGGAGGTAAGTGAAGAACCAAGCTGCCAGATGAAGGTGCACCATACTTGTTCCCATCTAACTCTAGCTAAACCCTACTCTTTGTTGCGTATCAAAGATCGGAGGCGTGCAACGTGTCATCACAGGCTTGACTGGAGGCAAACAGGAGAATCCAAAGGACGGCAAACCTTTGGATCATACCTGTGCGCTGATGATAGAGTTTGATCCGTTAGTGTTGTCGTACCGTCAAATCTTGGAATTGTGGCACGAATGTGACAAGTTCAAACAAGGAGAAATAACATTGCACACGCGATCCGCAATCTTTTGGAAGACACTTCCGCAGCAAGACGCAGCCTTGCAGTTCATCGAGGAGCTGAAAGCCAGCAAACCCTCCACAGAGATCTCGGTGGATATAGAACGAGTTCGAAAGTTTTACGAAGTGGAGGTTTACGACCCAAACGCAGCTACAATAGTATCGCCGCAGCATCAAAAGGCCAAATTTTCTCCCAGGAATAGTCCTGTTATTGTGCCTGGTCAGCAGAAACGCTTAAGCGCTAACCGAAAACCCTGCCTGAGTGAGGTTACAACACCGGTATGGAAAACGAATAGAAAATAGGTATGGAACAAACGCTCCTTGCACACGTTGAACGATTACATACAGAATATAATCCAAGTAAATGGAAGTGGCGTAACTCGATAAGTGACGACGACAAGCCACATAGCCTATACATAATACGCAAGAAAACGAACTGTAGATTTCGATGCAATCTTATAGTAGTTTATATTCATAGTATACAAGTTGCGGCGTCAACTTGAAGATAGACTAATGGTGTCTCAAGAAGAAGCGCTGTCCGCAATGTAGCAGAATTTCTCTAGGCAGAATCCGCGACCTCCGTGCTCCCAGGGTTCTCAGGGGTCTCAGGGTCGTCCATGTTTTCTTGCTGCGACGTCCAAAGTTCGGTTCCATCGGACTCCGTTTGGACAGTGCGCCGTGAAATTCCCTTGTGCCGTCTGTATGCATCGACATACTCCTTCTTGACACCTCCATCTGGACCTCCACCTTCGCCACCGTGGTAAGATATATCGAGACCGACGAGCTCTTCCAAAGAATCAGAGCGGAGCCATCCTTTGTAATTTAGCCAAACAAAGAATGGCAGCATCGTAACTAGAACCCACCCAAGAATGTACAATACTGTCAAAGTTTGGCACGCCAATAGAGTGGCATCACTAGACCCTCGTCCCCAGCTGTAGAACAAACCGACATGCTTGGATACGTTGAACGTCAAATCCAACTTCCGTGGAGACGCACAAAGTCCAACCGCAAGGAGTCCCCAAATCCCGTTGAGCATGTGCACGGGAATAGCATCCACAGCATCATCGATTCGGTGGCGAATTAACCAACTCGTACCAAAAATGTAAACCCAGCCAGCAACGACTCCAGTTAGAATGGCACCCCATGGTTCGAAAATAGCACAGCCGGCTGTAACTGCCACCAAGCCAGAAAGGGATCCATTCATTGCCATGACTAGAGAGAAATGTGGCTCTCCCGTTCGTCGTTCTTCAATAAATAGGTTCGAGAACAGTGCTGAAATGCCACCTGAAGCTCCCGCAAGCGCTGTGGCCACAGCTGCATTCGCAGCAATTTCTCCAATGTGATCACTATCCAAAAGCAAAGCAGAACCAGGATTGAAACCAAACCAACCAAACCATAGAACCATAGTTCCGAGAAGTTGCAATGCGATTGAATTACCTGGCATAACCTTTGGTGTGGCCAAAGGCTCCCCACGTGAGTCATAGAACCGACCTCTACGGGGACCAAGCACAATTGTTGCTAGGAGTGCTGTGACTCCCCCAGTAAGGTGGACGACTCCACTTCCAGCAAAATCGATTGCTCCGCAGTCGAACAGCGGGTGAGCATTGAAGTTGGACAAGAATCCATTGTTGGACCAAACAGAATGTGCAATCACAGGATAAATGAATCCAGCCAAAACCATTGAGTAGCACAAGTACGCTGTCATTTGACAACGCTCTGCTAATGTTCCTGCTACAATGGTGACAGATGTAGCAGAAAAAGTGTATTCAAAGAACCAGAATGCAGGTGATGGGCCAACGCTGGCAAATTCGGAAGTTCCGATGAAGGAAGTTACAGTACTTTCGTTCTGACCCCCAAAGGCAAAGGCATTTCCTGTAGCAGCAACAAAGTAAGAATGCCATATATTACTCGCATAAGATGTATGTATTAGAAATCATCGGATACTTACCAACAAGGAAGAAGGCAACGGCAGCACCGCACGCATCCAAAAGATTTTTGAGCATAGAATTCTGAACATTTTTTGCCCGCACCGCTCCAGCGCAAACCATGGCGAAACCGCTTTGCATGAAGAAGATCAAGGCCCCACTAAGGACAAACAGGAAATTCTTTAGATCCAGCCATCTAGCATTCTGTTCTTCTTCGAACTGATTTGCAACGCATTCCAGAAGTTGTGATTGGGTTCCGTTGGGATATATGCTGGCGCAAAGCTGATAAATGGTATTCGACATTATCGGCACTGCGAAGTTGCAAAGGCAAAAGGTTGGAAGTGCTTAGCAGCTGCCGAAAGTTTGGATTGAAGTGGTGGTGATAGCTTGATAGATGAATAACCTCTCAATTACTAAACAGTATTGGTTGCAGTTGGCTCACGTTCAACGTGGTTTGTTTGGTCTGTGATCCAGCAGAGGAGAAATTGAAACTTCCGCCATTCAATCTCGTTCGAAACGACCGACATTCGCCAGCAGAGTGACGTTCGAGGCCTGCGATTTTACTAAAGAAGCGATATTTTTAGGTAAGTGATCAATTAAGAAACGAAAATTTTAAAAAGCAATAAAATGTCGTAATTGGTGATTTATTCGCGGAATTTTAAAGTCGGTGGACAAGATTCGTCTGACAGACGACCGATTATGACCATCAATTCGGAGAAATTTTGGGGAACCAAAAAAAAAGACAGCTTTTACGACTACGAACCTCCACCTCAACCTCATGCAAGTGCAACCCAGGGAGCCAAAAGTCTTTTTTATCACCCAGCACCCATTCTGTTACCTAGTACCATCCAGTGCCAGGTATCTACTGTACAGTAAAATTATGAATATTAGCACCCAGGGATGGTACTTAGTACGATGCAATACGAGGTTCAAGGTTGTCTGGTAGGCGCACCAAATAATTGGAAGCCGCAATCTAGTACAAGTGCGAGTACCTATCTGCTGTTTTTTTTGTAGCTAGCAAAGATAAGCGCTGTGTTAATTTACAGCCTGAAAATCTATGGAAGATGGTAGCATTCTTTCGTCTTCATCTCCAACCGAAGAAATCGGCTGAGTTCCAGTCGAGTTGTCTTCCTTTCGAGCCACTAGGATTTTCTCGCAGACCAAACACACAGCCGACTGTTCATGTAAGTCAAACGGCTTCGGAAAGAACTCCGGAGCCAACGATGTGCGAGTGCATGCACTGCAGACATGGCGGCCACAATGACTACAATGAATGGTCTTTGCAAAAGGTCCCAGATGCGTCTTGCAATTCATGCATTTATTCCGCTTTGGAGCCAACGGTGTAGGATGTGAAATGGCCGCCAAAAGTCGGTACAAGGTGTTATCATCTTGCACCATGTCGAATGGCAACGTCTCAAGGGTTCCCATGTCACCCCAGAACGATGTCCAACGTGGAGGTTTTCTCCATGAGTGATGCAATTCCGCGCCACGATTGATCAACTGCAGTGCACTGTCAGCATCTCTATGGTACAAGCTCAAGTGCAGAGCTGTGCACCCCGTATCCGAAGTATGGTTGGGATTCGCTCCGCTGTAAAGCATGGCATTCACACAGTCTTGAAAGCCGTCAAATCTTCGAAGAGCTTTGTTGTGGCACAAGAGTAGCAGCGGTTGCTGATTTCGTTTGTTCGATATTCTTGGATCAGCGCCATTTTGAAGAAACGTGCTGATAACAGTACATGCTTCTTCGGTTTCAATTTGAACCGCGTAATGTAGCGGAGTGTTGCCTTCATTATCTTGGTCACTAATATTTGGCTTTTCTTTTGTCAAAGTGCAAAGCATTTCCACAATCATTCGTCGAGCTTTCATCTTCACTTCGTCTCTATTCCCATCTGGAAGGGCGGCAACGTGGAGCGGTGTGAACCAACGAATGAAATCTGCAGTATCTGCCTTTCCACCCTTCATTAATAGAAACCGCACCGACCCGACATCAAATCGTTGAACGGACATGTGCAGTGGGCAGAGTCCATCAATATTTGGAATGTTTGGATTTGCGTTCCCGAAATCCAGTAGTAAACTAGTCATTGGAGCTCCAAAAGCAAGGTGAAGTGCTGTTTGACCAAGATTGTCTTGCATGTTGACAAATGCACCGTATTCAATTAATATTTTTGCTGCATCAATGTTTTCTGCAATGACAGCGGCGTGAAGGGCACTATGCCCCATTCCATCAGCTTCGTTGATGAGAACATGGGGTTCCGATGTGTTCAATAACATCTGTTCGATTGTTCGAGTATCACCATTTCTTATCGCGTCATGCAGACGTTGTAATTCTTGACAGAATTCCAGACCTCTTCTTTCGGACAGAGGAAAGAGATCATTTCTTGGAACCTTTGCCTGTGGAGAGCCGGCCTGTTGGGTTTCCACAACATTTCGCAACTGATAGTCGGCAACATCATTGTGGTCAATTGCGTCAAGCAAGCTTATGCTCGATGACATTCCCGTGCTGCCGGTGTCGGGAGTCGCCGAAGTGCTTCGGGCCTTTTTTGGCGTCTCAAACAATTCATTGCTTGTTTCGTCGATGGGTTCTTCACCCCCCGTTCGTGAAAATACACGACGAATTCCAGGAAGGGAAAACGAACTCGCTGCTAACGACGCCACACTACCAGTCTCGGTTCCGCGTTTCGAGAACCAACCTTTTCCCGCTGTGGGCGAACTAGCTTCTGGCTTTCCTTGAGCTGCCAAAGCGGCTTGCAAGCGTTCAACTTCTAGCTTTAGCCGAGTCACCTCGTCATCAGCTTCCACATCAGGAACTGAAGTATTATCGATCTTTTGCATGTGAGGGACCTTCTTGTGCTGCTGCAACGTCTGTTGTTTGAATCTGCTGTTGCCCTGTGCCTGAGCAGCTCGGTTCTTCGCCTCGCGACGACGTGCATGAAGCATCTTGGTGGCAATTTTTCGTCTCCAAAGACATTGGAGAGTCACTGTCGCCCATTTCCTGTATTCATAATAGGAAAAATCACGGTACCGTCTCCAATATGTTTGAATTACAGTTGCCTGTTTCTCCACTCGCATAATTGCGTAAAGCTTTCTGGCAAGTACCCCACGCGCAATTGCCTGGCAGAAATGAGCAATCAATCTGGCGGCAATGAGTTCCGTTTCTGCAAGGAATCGACGCCATTGAGCTTGAATCTTTGTCACAGCTCGCCCGTAACGAATATTATTAATTGTTCGGCGCGCAATTATCCTTCTTGCGAAACATTGCAGTGCCAATGAACCGAGATACGTTTCAACATAATTCATCTGAGCAATGTGTCTTCGACCATATTTCTGGATGATCATCGCAGATTTCCCCAATTGTCGATTGCGGAGATACTCAAGCGTTTCGTAAAGCCGTCTTCTCAAAAATAATTTTGTATTACCCAGTTGCATGCCTAGCTCGACGGTTCTGTAGGAATAAAGGTGTTAGAATGAAAAAAATGAGCGAAGAAAAGAAAGCTTCTTTCAACGTACTCTCTCAAACCAGCGCGCTCCTTGATATCAGTTTCGTTTTCCAATGCTCTCAATACCACATTCTGTACCCCGTCAATTAGGGTCTTGCAGCGCTTCAGCGCTTGTGATCGAGGAAGACCTTTCAGCTTCGATTTTGCCAGCAGTCCATATCTCTCCAAAAAATGTTCGTGTGTGAATCGATGGGGGAAGCCAACTCGAGCAACTCGAATTGCTTCAAGAACTCCCGCGCATCTCAGTTGGTCTGCAATCACACGAGATTCGAATTTGTTTGGTACTAACTCGTCATTTGGCTTCAAGCATCGCACGTAGTGAGGGGTTGTGGCATCAACTCGATCCCTCAATTCTTGTAGCTGTGTTCTAAATTGACTTCCAACACTTTCGCGAATCATCGATCCAGAACCACGCTTTGCAGAAGTCGAAGATTCATCACTCAACAGGTCTCCAAGATATGCCAAAAATTGTACGGAAGAAGAAGATAGCAACTCTGTTGTTTCCTTTGGTAGCTCATCCTTGTTTTTCTCAAGAAAGTTCACACAATCATATTTAACAACTCCAGCATAGTGTTTAATGCAGAATTGCAAACTGGCCTTTTGTGTTTGACTCCCTGAGAAACAAGAATGTCTAGAATTCTTGTCGTAAACGCCACGCACAAACGTCGAGTCGCTTTGGCTGCTCAATCGACAGTTCTCGTCCAAAATGGAAAGTATACCCACTCGTTTCTTTTCAATCAAATCTAGGATATCCTGATTGTCAGGGAAATCAATGAAAGACCAGTCAATTCCTTCTGATTTGTATTCCTCTTGTTCCAACTTGAATACAAATCGATTGAACTGTTGTTGGAGAGCTTCGTTACAGTAGTTGATGCATAACTGTTCAAATGAGTTGATATCAAAGGATTCAAATCCGAAAATATCCAATATTCCTATCCTCGGCAGTGAGTGCATTTTCGTGTTTGAATTCTCTGCAGCAATGGACTTGTTGATCTGCATCACAATGTGCGTAAATAGTGCTCCGTAGGTAGCCTTAATGAGAGCTTCCGTAGCCTTTTCAGCTTGTCGGACTGATAGCTTCTTGTGAAATATCTCACCACGAGCCTCAATCGCACACAAACACAAGGCATTGTTGAGCGCTTCAATGGGAACGCCCAGCAACGCCAAGGCATTCTGCAAGTAGGGAGAAACCGCAAGTGCACTACCCTCCCCAGCTGTTGGTTCAAAAGAAATATTGGAAATGTGCAAGAGAGCACAAGCAACCGAAAGCATGGACATTTGCTCGCTCTTGGAAAATCCAATTGTATCCAAGGCACCCCTCAAGTCTTGGTAAGTTTCTCGATCATCCACACCATCTCTTCTATCAAATGTACCTGAAGATGCGGTCATGCGGAAATCTCTAGCTGTCGCTTTTGCAATTCTCAATTGGATTCGTTCCTCCGGTGACACGCCCGCCAAAATCTCATAAAAAATGTGATAGTTGCGCTCCCCAGGTGCTTGGGTAATGAGACGAACCTTTTCTAACAGATACGTTTGAATCGACGCGGATACCAGAGTTCCCGATGGTGTAAACAGGAGTTCCATGTACTTTCCAAATCGACTAGAGTTGTCATTTCGAACTGTCCTAGCATTCCCAAAGGATTCCAAAATGGGATTGGACTGCAATATTTGCGATTCTACTCCTTCTTTGGCACTCTGTTGATTGGCCTGCATTCGTTTGGATTGTGTCGCTAGATATCCCATAATGATCTTTGTCGTGACTGTTTTCCCAGAACCACTTTCACCCGACACTAGGATCGATTGATTCTCCTGCATCTCCAACAACGCCTTATAGGCTTCTTGTGCTACTGCATAGACATGTGGCGGCGGCCGTTCCATTGACCCTGCTGCCTGCTTCCAATACTGCTTCATGACTTGATCCCCATAAACGCCCTCTAGTACTTGGAATGGATTGAGCGCTAGAAGGATTTTCCCCGTATACGTATAAATGTTGTCATTTTGGTATCGATGTTGCAAGGAATAGACAACGGAAGGTTCGTGCAAATGTGTCAAGGAACACATATCGGTGGGAGCCTCTGGATTCTGTTTCTTCCACCAACTGTTGGCCGGACACACCGTCTCCAAATCTCCCGATTCGTAGGAAAAGGAAACTGTTGCATCCATCAATTCTTGCGGCGCAAAGGATGCATCATTCGCCTTGACCGATACTAGAATGGACTTCCCACTGCTGCTTCCTTTGAGACGATGTTGTCCAATCCCAGAGCCTCCAACGGACGACGATTGCACGACCTGCGCTCGCATCCAACCCCAAGCCAAATCACGACCTCGTTTTCGATTGGGAGTCCATCCGGAAGGTAGCTTGCCATGATTGTCCCAAATGGCTTTTAAAAGTTCGGTTCGTACCCATACATAACTATCGGCTGCCAACGGTTGGTGCAACGGACCTGCAGGCTTGGATCGACCAATGCTGTTGCTGTTGCTATTACTGTGAATGGGTGACGTCCGTATCGCTCCATTTGAAACTCGGCTCGTAGGCAGTGGTGGAACTGCTCTGGATGACGCAGGTGTTCTTTGTCTGGAAGTGCTTGTTGTTGCTGCTGTTGGTCTCGCTGTTGCATACGATGACGAACCGGTATAGGAAGGTTGTGGCCGGTGATGGGAACTTCCAGCATACGATGACTGTGGCCGTTGTTGCCCAGCAGTTGATGGAGACGTTCGAGAGGATGCATACGATGGAAGATTGTTTGTTCGAGATGTTGCTGGTGGTCTGGATGTTCCTGGTTGAACCAATCTGGATTGTGGTCTGGAATAACTTGATCCTGAAGCTGGCGGTGGTTGTTGTGTGGATCGTGTTGTACTACTATTGTACCCAGGTCTACTACTCCCTCCATCGTTGGTATTATTGTTCACACTGGGAGGAACAAAGGTTCTCATGGTGATAAAGGCCTGCTGTGAAGATTATTTTTTAGTGGCGAGTGCAAGTGTTGTTGTCGATTGACTAACTGTGTCGTTGTACTGTTGGGATTGATGTTAAAGCTCGATGATTGATTATACTATTCCATGCAACGTTCCCGATTCATCAACGCTTGGCTTTGTCTAAATACAATTTTCGTGCATCGAAACTCGACTCCATGTTCAAAACACGGCTTGTCGGATTTCATGCGTTGAGGAGTGGCGCGCGTGGTTATGCCGAAATTTAGTAGCACAAGTCTTGTAAACGGATGCTTTTTGCGGCTATTTAACGGTCACTAATTGGCAATGCAAACTTCTTGTTTTGGCAATGGAATGCTACTGTACCTACGAGTACAGAAGTAGCTTAAGTAGGGCATATTTTAATATCAACCTCGAAGCATCTAATGCGAGTTGAGGATTGTTGATTTTACCGTAACAGAAGTATTGCTGAACTTGGCGCAGCAGAAGTATCCTCAGAAGGTGGTGTTATAGTACTGCTGACTAGTACTACGACATCAGCATCGTCATGACGCATACCACGACGCTTTTAAAATTGTGAATAGAATGAGCAAGCTACTCAACTCTATTGCTAGATATGATACGAATTTGCAGTATGGTACGAGGCAGCAAACCTGAAGACAACCACCAATTGATGTTGGTCGTGATCAACCATCCATCCATTGTTGGTCAACGGAATTCCTCACTCCCTTCGACGGACAGACATTCGTATCATCCATCGTGTGCCAATAATTGTCATATTTCGATATTTCTTCGCTCACGCCGGCCTCACCGCTTCCGAACCAACCAGACTTCAGTATTCGCTTCCGACCTGAATTTCAAACTTCTACCACGCACCCATCCATCCACCGATTACGTGAGCACACATTATACAGTAATAACCAATACACAGTTGCTGTTGTCATTGCCATCCATCCATCCATCCATCCATCCAACAACATCATCATCATCATCATATCCGCTATCCAATCAACCTGCGTACCTACCTATCTACCTTCCTACAAATCCATTCCAGTACAAAAACAAATATGTGTCCCCACAGCGCAGTCTTATCAAGACCCAATAATATGGATGACCACAATGCCACTTACGACAAGCATTCCATGGCAGTCATGTCCAGAACTTCTGATGAAAGTCAGCACTTTTATTTTCTCAATGCCGATGCGAGAAAGAACCTGCTGAAGTATGAATACAAAGGAGCAGACAATTCGCTCCTCTACCAATACATCCTGTCTCCCTTTGCGCTCTTTTGCGTGGAGGAGTACGTGCCAGAATCCATTGCTCCCAATAGCATTACATTATTTGGACTGATGTGGATGATTACCTCCTACGTGGCCTGCTGGTGGTTCGTCCCCAATTTGCAGACGACGGAAGATGTCCCCTCATGGATCTTTCTATGGAACGCAATAGCCTTGCTGGCGTATCAAACACTGGACAACATGGACGGAAAGCAAGCACGAAAAACAGGATCGTCAAGTCCACTGGGACTTTTGTTTGATCATGGATGTGACGCTATTAACAGTATATTTGGTTCCGCCAATTGGATCATTGCCATGGGCCTCTCGCTAGAGCAAGACTGCTTTGCTGCGGCGGTGCTCATTTTCGTCCCCTTTGTCCTTTTCTACGTGGCAACTTGGGAAGAGTACCATGTCGGTGAATTGGTTCTACCAATTTTCAACGGTCCCAGTGAAGGTCTTATTATGGGTGCCGCTCTTCACTTGACTACCTTTTTCAAGGGGACCGCCTTTTGGCATTCATCTGGATTCTACAACTCGATCAAAGCATTCCTGCCATTCGCCATTCCTTTCGATCAACCTTTGAGGAATATGGATTTCATTGTCATTTTCACCCTGATGGGTGGTTTGCAAGAAATTATGTTGAAAACTACCCAAGTGAACAAAAACCATCCGGGATCTTTGTCCGGTCTCGTTCCCTTTGCCATATTTGCTGCCAGTTTCATCTTGATGGGAATCAAGGACCTCAATGTATGGACATCCATTCCAAGAACTGGTCTACATTTGGCAATGGTGCTCTTTGTGGAAATGACCACCGCACTCATGTTGGCACACATGACCAACCAAAAGTTTGAATACCTCAGATGGCAACAGTTGCCACTTGTGGTACTGACAATTGCTATGCTGGCCTTTGACATTGATGCCGATTTCATCAAGTACTGGATCAGCGCTTACGCCTGGAGCATTGGTTCCTACGTAGTCATGAAGTCGATCTTGGTCGTTCAAGAATGCTGTGCTGTATTGAATATTTGGTGCTTTGACATTGTCAGTGACCGCAGTCCGACGGTTTCCGATAGTGTCAAGGCAAATTAATAAATTATGTAAATGTAATACAATAAATCCGCTACTGTTACTTTGGTGGGTGCTACCTGTACTGCTACTGTGCTGTACTAGTTTGATGATGAATACATTATTTTTACCGGTATTGTTACCGTTTCTGGTACACGTGTACCGGTACGACTGTCCTTCTGATCTAAGGTTTTGGGAGTCTCATCACGGACGAGCTCCACGACTTAGATTTCCCCACACAAACACAAACATTCTGAGAATAGTAGTCACTTGATCGTGCAACAGGGCGTCATGTCCCACGCTTCATTGGACGTTCTGTCTGTCGAATTCTTCCAGTTATATGATTCACTTGCTGAAGATGCATTGAGAGTTGAAGAATCCACCACTGCGCTGGAACGAGCCAAGGCGGAACGTGATCTAACCCAAAGCGAAGTGGCAAAGCAACACGACGACCTACAGAAAACACGGGCGTTCATCAAGGAACAAAGAGAAAGAATCCATCTCATAAGGACGCATTGGTTCTATGGGACTACGCTCTTTCAAGTGAGTTCTACAATGCATGATGAACGGCAATCCAAATCCTCTGCATCCCGTTTCTCATCAAATCGAAACCGTTGATCCATTTCGTGGATTCTTTCTTGTTTTGTTTTCAGCCACAACTCTGGTTACGAGGAGGATGCAAAGGCAAGAAAAAGAGAGCCGAAAGGAAACTGATCGTCGCTACGAATGAAAAGCTCCCAGTCAGGGTAGCCAGTGTCAATGAATCAGAGAATAAGTTAAACCAAAGTCTCCAAGTCGTGGAAGAACAGCTACGATTCTTTGAGCTAGCGGCCAGTGCAGCATCGGAACGAGAGGCAATGAAGGCGAGAGCTGTATTTGAGAATCCATCGGATGAAATTCGTCGCTTGCAGCGGGAAGAGGCGTCTGCGATAGCGAGATTAAAAAACGCAAAGACAGAACTTGAATCGATTGACTCTGTCATCGTCAAGATTGGCTGCCGACAAAAGGAGCACAACGATGCCATCAAGTTCTTGAAGAATGCCTTGACTCACAGAGATCGACATGATGTGTTGAAGAACAATCCTGTTGAGCTGCCAAGACCAATTGATGTACTCCATCACACTGATCAACATCAATCTTCTTCAGAAGTATGGCTGCCAAATGGAACCAAAAGTGTTTTGATACGAACCAAGCATGACAATCAGAAGCACTTGTTCCGCGTAGATAAACATAATCGACTCTTGATGACCAACTCTCCTTGTCCCAATGGGTGTGGGTTTTTGGTTACATGGCAAGGAACCTACTGCTGCACCAATTGTGCCAGTGGTGCGAGATGCCATGGTGGACGGTGTGAAAGAATGCCACTTCAATCTCAAGAAGGCGCCAAAGCGAAACTTTCAAAATGGAAGGCAGCACAAAAAAAACGCGAGAAAGACCTGCATGGTGAACTCAGATCTTGCAATCTAAATGTGCAAAAGGCAAAGAAATGTGTAGAGACTGCTGATCAGCTGGGTGCCGAAGCCCTAGTAACCATCCCTTCTTCCGTTGTCGACCGACACCCAGGTTCAGGCAACTCGTTGCGACACATGGACCACAGTATTGCTACGAGTTTAAGTGAAGGAAGTGGATGTTCTCAAGTGGAATCCATCCATCAAGAAATTTCAGGAGTGGAACGAGCACAAGGCACTCTTACAGAACAAGTCTCTATTGTAGAACATCTTGCACACCTTGTTACAGAAGACGTTGAAAGATTGGAACAGGGCCTCATGATAGCGCAAAGTCTGGAAGAAGAGGAAAGAAACCAAATCTTTCGACGACTGCGAGAACAAGTCTGTTGCTCGGTTGCTTCCGTACCACCAGCAATGAATCCAGCGTTTATACATTTCGAGTCGTCAATACCATCGGCACACCAAAGCACTACTGCCATTCCTTCGGCACCCATGGAAGAAGATATCCTAGTGAACAACGTAGAAACATCATCGGACTTTACCGAGCCTCGTTCGGTCGAACCAATGCCCACAGCATCGACAATCATCGAAACTTGTTCTATGCCTCCTCGCGGCCCAAGACAAGCGATGCCCGTTCTTCATTCGCAAGCACCAGATATGCCAAGGGTACCCTATGTAGATGTGCCAGCATCACCCGAAGCCACGATAATTGGTGCATCTTCAGTTCCAGTGCAAGATGTAATTCCAATGGTCAATGCCACGTTGGTACCAGAAAGCATGTAGTCCTAGCTCTAGTCTTGTTAACATAATGTACATTTTTAAAACCGCTTCCATTACATAAACCCACAGTCTTCGATTGTTCCATAGTTTTCATTGGTTATTCCACTCCTTGAGTTGCACTGATAATTCATATTGAGTGAAACGATGAAATGGAACCATGCCGTTGGAAGGTACATAATATCGCCTGCCTGCATTATCACCTCATTCACATGCGCCCTAGGAAAGTTTCCTTGCTGCCATTCAGTTTGATTAGACCAATTGACCGAACTATGTCTCGCCGATGGATGTCCCGGGGGATATAGTTCCAAGTTGGTACACTGATTTGGGTGAGCCAAGATGTATCGTTTTTGCTATGATTTAAATAGTGTGAGTGGAGTTCAACGAATGGTAATCAAGGTAAAAGGCAAAAGTAAAATGAATGACACTCTTACCCCCTTTAACAAAAGGATAAAATTGCGAGAGAAGTCATAGTGAGCATGAGCAATAATCCCCTTTGCTCCAAGTCGACAATTTATACCCCGATAGTCATCCGGTTCGACAAAGAAGAAATTTTTCTTTGGGTAAAAGAACGGCAGGTCCTCAAAGACCCAATCGTTTTTTTCTTCTTTCCTATAGTCTGCGTTCAATCGGAAGTAATAGTGCTCCGTATGAATTGGATCTTCCAATGTTTCCACCTCGAGTGACTTGTCATACTATAGAAGCAAAAGCGAAAGCGAAGCGCAAAGAAAACGGTTAGAGTTTGATACAAGTGGGGGGTGTCAATGTTTCGACGTAATCAACTCAATTCGTACCCATTGGTCAAAGGTTAATTTCACATTGTCCGTGGGTGGAACAAATCCCTTCCATTTGCCCCTAATTTTGGCTCCTTCCAATATGGCATTTGGTTCCCGTTGGCATGTTCATTACGTGCCTTTCTATTTTGTAGTCGTCGGGAAAGATAATTTCTATCAGACCAGCGCTCTGCCGTCTCCCAGGTGGTCGGATGGTTTCGCACCACAAAGGGCATTTCTGCTTCACGATATTTTTCGGCAATTTCCCGTTCCTCAGCATTGGACCAATCAATTTCGCAGAATCCTTGGTAAATTTTGTTCGGTATGTTCATGTCATCAGGGTTCCAGTGCGACAGGACATCAATGATACTCCACTGCCTCGGATAACCGTCCGGTATTTCAGGGGGGCATTTGTGAATATTGTATGGCAAGGTTTCGTCAATTGTTTCGATTTCGTTTGGTAATCTCATCGCTTCTACTGTTTCAATTGTTGAGTTTGACAACTTGGATTGAGAAGCGGTTCCCTTTCCAACACTTGGACTGACTTCTTGGCGATGCCGAAGGGTTGGTTGAAGTGAAATAGATGCGCTTGAGCCCACCGGATTGGAATCGCTTTCCATACTCTCCAGAGTTATATAGGCTCCAAACACTGATAGAGTGAATATTGCCAAGGAAAATAGGACTATTGTGGCGAAGAAGTTTATTGGTGGCGGCCCCATGAGATGATACCGTAGAAAAAGGTTGACGTCTTTTTTGTTGTGAGTTTTGTTTGACGTTAGACTTTGGTATTTTGTTCGGTTTGAATCAGATGCGCGATTGTTCGCGTACCGAAAGGATTGACTGACATGACTAAGACTGACTCACCTGACTCACTCACAAATTCATCATGATTCATGAGTGACAAATAAAAAATACAACTCTGTACTCCAACGTAGACCGCAGGCACACTGTTCGATTTCTTTGACTACATTGTGTTACAGACGGACAAAGGCCGAACGGCCTTCGACCGTCAAAAGTTGTTGTCGATGCGCCCAGGCAATGATGCCCAGTTTATCGACTGAGATTGAATTCACCCACTTGTGTCGCGGTAATTCAATTTTTCTCTCCCAAACCTCACCCGCCCTGTTGGGCACCGCCTCCATTTTACCATATCGGCGGTGCCTGGTAGGAAAGCAGATCTCAGTAATACCGCACACGGGATTTCTGAGATTGGTCGAACGAATCGAGTCTATTACTCGATCAGTTCGACCCGCTTCACACCACAACCCACCAGCTACACACCAAGACAAAATACTACGAACACACACACGGAGGACGGCAGTAGGCTATCTTAGATAGTCCAACGTAGACCGCAGGCACACTGTTCGATTTCTTTGACTACATTGTGTTACAGACGGACAAAGGCCGAACGGCCTTCGACCGTCAAAAGTTGTTGTCGATGCGCCCAGGCAATGATGCCCAGTTTATCGACTGAGATTGAATTCACCCACTTGTGTCGCGGTAATTGGTCGAACGAATCGAGTCTATTACTCGATCAGTTCGACCCGCTTCACACCACAACCCACCAGCTACACACCAAGACAAAATACTACGAACACACACACGGAGGACGGCAGTAGGCTATCTTAGATAGTCCAACGTAGACCGCAGGCACACTGTTCGATTTCTTTGACTACATTGTGTTACAGACGGACAAAGGCCGAACGGCCTTCGACCGTCAAAAGTTGTTGTCGATGCGCCCAGGCAATGATGCCCAGTTTATCGACTGAGATTGAATTCACCCACTTGTGTCGCGGTAATTGGTCGAACGAATCGAGTCTATTACTCGATCAGTTCGACCCGCTTCACACCACAACCCACCAGCTACACACCAAGACAAAATACTACGAACACACACACGGAGGACGGCAGTAGGCTATCTTAGATAGAGTACAGTACCGGTACGAAAAATACGACCTGCAGTACAGTACCAGTACCGGTAGTCAGAAGGATTTTTAGTAAAACTCTGCATACCGTACCTGGTACAGTATGGATGGCGAACCCAATTGTCCTTTCACATCACATTATGGACACTCTGCGAAATAATATTTGACGAGGCACAAAGACTTGTAAATGTCGAATAATCAACCAGATAGTAGTAGCTTGTCCATCTGGACGTGAAGGGTATCGGAGATGTTCCTGAACTTGACGCAATTCAACACGAAGAAGTAAGTGATGAAGTAAAAAAGAATTTTAACTTTTACTGTAGAGTCAGTTCATATTCTATGGGCGATCGAGAGACTGACTTTCTGGCCTTCATGGGATTTCAGACATCGGGAAGTAAACCAGTACAGAAGAGAATGAATCAGTAATTCAGATAAGACTAGTAATTACAGGAAGGCCTAGCTGGTGGGCGCGTCAGAAGCCTCCCAATCTCCTGAATACACCCGAGACCCCAAATTTCTTCTGATGTTTCTGCGCTGTGACAAGTACAACGTTGGTGCAGCTGTAACGCGTTTATTCGCATCCTTGAAGCTCAGGTTTAGACTGTTTGATCCCCAAAAGGTTGGGAAGAGAATTATCAAACTGGACGATATGGGCGCAGATGACATGAAATGCTACACTGCTGGCTTCTTTCACCTTCTCCCGCATCGTGATCTCGTTGGCAGAGCACAATTTCTTGGTCTACCGCAATATGCAACATGGGAGAAGAGAGAAAATGGGGTAAGAGAATCGAGGTCTTTGTCAGGAATGACTTTAAAATTATGATGATGCTAATCGATTCTTTCCAATTCACAGCTGCGAATGCTGTTTAAAATTTCCTGTCAACTGTTGCCATGGATGAAGAGCTAGACATAGAGAAACGTAGCTGCCGCTATCACGCATTCAGTCCACAATGATTCTTCAAATTCACATGGCAACGATCCAATCTTTGCATGGTATTTTGTGGACCTGTCGCAAAAAGCATTGCCCTTGAAAATTGGGGGACAGAATGTTTGCACCCATCCCAACTCTATTGCTAGACCAGACTTGCACGACTACGCTTTCACGAAGGTAAGAAATGAAAAGGACGACCTAGACTTTCGTCATGCGTCCAGTGTCTCATATTTTTGTTGGAAAACAGCTCTAGACTTTGGAATCAGTAGCGTCCAACTCGTAGTTAAAACATTCGGGTGAAAAGAAGACGGATAAACACAAGGAATGTGTATCAAAACAGCCAAGGCTGTGGAACATGCACTGAACTTCGCACCGACGAAATTGATTGTGTTGGTGCCATCCTCAATCGACATATGCGATACCAGCACAGCGGTTTCTCCAGCAGCATCTATCGAAATTACTTTGCCTGTTGCAATCATCGTGGATTGGAGAATGCAAGGCTTGGATTGATTGTCGAATTGCAACTGATCGCCGATGGTGAAAATGCAAAACCAACAAAGTCGGCGGGAATAAGGATGGTGAAGATGAAGCAAGCTTGTATGCGATTTCCTACAGAATGGGTACTGGGAAGAAGTGTCATCGGATTACATTATGAAGGAGTGAGTGGGTAACGCATTTCGCACGATTCGCGATCGCCCCAAGCTCAGCCAGAGAATCCTCAAAGCTACTGTGGACACTAGTGCACGAAAACAATTTCATTCAACATTGGAGAAAGTGGTGCCTGAGACAAGAAGTTCCATGCACGTGCTGAGACACTCCAGCATATTGTTGTACCATAAGAGAAAGGAACATAAGGCCGCGTGCCGACAACAAAATTGAGTTCTAGTCAGTGGACGATCCATCGCAACTGGCACCAGTCGTTGCATAGTAATAGAGTAGATAGATCTATTTTTATTTACTTTCTTCATTACACTATGTAGTTGACCCATTGGACCCTACCTTGTTTTTTAACCGAACATCTTTTTGAATAGACACTTTCAACTTTGGTTCGAGCATCAATTCATACAATTCATTGCAACGAAAAAAAATGTCCACATCCAGCGGTACGAAGAAGCTGCGAGCAATTTTCGATCGACTTCGAAAAAGAGATACGAAGGAGGTCTTCCTTTTGGATGGAGGGACAGGTGAAGAACTCATCCGACGAGGAGTCCCAGACGATCGAAAAATTTGGAGTGCCACTGCACTGGTAAATCCACAATATCATGATACGTTGAAAGATGTCCATACCTCTTTTCTCAGAGCTGGTTCATTGGCTATCACCACCAATTCTTACGGCGTCGTACCAGGAGTTGGATTTTCGCCACAAGAATGCAAAGAGTACATCGCACTATCGGGAAAGTTAGGAAGAGAGTCTGTGGATGCCGAGAAAAGAGGATTTGTATTTGGCAGTCTTGGACCTTTGGTAGAATCCTATCGAGCAGATTCGATCAAGCAGCACGAAGAAGGAGTCAAAGATTACCAGATCGCTTGCGATGCATTGCTTCCATTTGTGGATGCCTATCTACTAGAAACAGCATCTTGTGTTGAAGAATCCTTACAGGTGATGGATGCTATGCGATCAACAGAGAGTCGAAAAGCTGTACCTCTACTGGTTTCTTTCACCCTCAATAACAATGGGAATACTCGTGATAATAAAGAAATATTGAAAAGCATTCAGGAAGTTTTAAGAGAATCGAAAGAGAAGGAGATCGAACGTGAGTGTCCAGGGTCATGATTGATTGATTCCAAATGCTCTAGGAGCTGACAACACCGTACTTTCCGTCAGTGCTTGGAATTCTTTTCAACTGCTGTAAGCCGGAAGCTATTTCTAAAGCATTAGAAAAAATTCGAGCTGATGGAGATTTGACAGCAGCACTGGAAGAAACCGGTGTTCTTCTGGGGGTGTATGCCAATAGACTGACAGATATCGACCCAACCTGGACGCTCGCTGATTCACAAGAATCACAGCCATTTCGAACGGATTTAGATGAAAAGCAATACTGGAGTTTTATACAATTGTGGACCGAAAGATTTGGTGTGAAGCTTGTCGGTGGATGTTGCGGTATTACACCTGTCTATATAGAACATCTGAAAAACGAGCTCGGGAAATTTGCACTTCAATGAGATCAATCGATACGATGCTACAGCTTATATACGCTAGACTTTGCTTTTGCAACCTTGGGTTTCTTCTCGGCTTGCGTTGATTTGCCGTGGATCGCATCCTGAGCCTCGTTTTGCAGCCTCTTGAAGAATGTTCCACTAGAAGCAAACTTCGTTTCGATCTCTCGCTCACCCATTGTGATCTTGCCTCTAGATCTGGCCACGTCCAACTCTTCTCGCATCTTTCGTTTCTCGTAAGGATTGTTCAATCCAAGTCCTGGCTCCAATCGAGAAATCAACTTATCGTCCGCAAGCTTCTCCTTACGAGCCTTACGTCTCTTGGCCTTCTTCGACCCTCGCAATCTCTTGCGATCTTGCTGGTCCATTTCGCTCTCATCACGAACAATACCTTCACGTCCTCTCTTGGTGGCGTATACCTCTTCTGGAGCTACTCCCCTAGCGTCACTTACATGCAATGGCAAGACCTCCTCCATGGCGATAGCTGGTGCAGTAACAGGACGAATGTCTGCTTCGTCTGAGACTGGTCGAGGCGCGAAGTGATAGTTTGACAAAGCATCCAGCTTACTGCAGAGGTTGGCAAACAACTGCTTCATCTCATCCTTTGCCTTATCTTCGTCTGACTTCTTTTCTTCGGCATCCACGTCGTATCCCACTGCCTTCTTCAAATATTCTCGCTCGTAAAGCTCACCAAGGCCAAGTTTTGATTTTTCTTGACTCACTTCAGGCAGCTCTCCACGTTTCTTATTCCACCCAACATCTGGTAGTTCCCGAGGAATAACGTCGTCCCAGTCTTCCGCAAGGATACGGTTCTTGATAACTTCTTCGAGACTAGCAGTTTGCTCCACTGTGATCGTAGGGGCTTGCTTACTCGCCATTTCAAATTCTGGAGTTTGTTCCAGCAAAGAGTTCAAGGGTCGGGTTGTTGACTTTGTCTCTCCTGTCATTTGCCATGGCTTTTCTGCGAGCATTTCTTTCTCAAGCTCCTCCGTCTGTCTGCGCAATTTAGCCAATTTCCTGCCATGCGCGGAGTCGTCAACAGATTGCTTGGTATCCTTCAACCCTTTCGACAGTGGTTCGAAGTCATCATCTTCCTTTTCGTCTGCTTTTTCTTCTTCATCGCTGTCCTCCACATGATCGTCTCTCCATCCTTCTTGGTCCTCTTTCTCGAAATTGTAGTCACCCCAGGAATCATCATCGTCATCTCCTTCTTTCGTTTTAGTTGGTGCTGATCCTTGCTTCGACTTGTTTCCCTTGTAGTACTTTTCATAGTACTTCATTTTTGGCTTACCGAAGAAGTCACCTGCTGTCATATTCGCGGGATCATCTTCGTCGTCTGACTCATCATCATTGTCATTTTCCGTGCCGGTAGCTTGATACAAAGTGTACAGTGCGTCGATTTCCTTTTCATCTCTGTACTTTTTCCGTTTAGTAGGTTGAATGTCCTCGTACATATCTTCAAAGTCATCATCTTCGCTATCAGAAGCATTTGCAAGATCGCCATCTCTTTGACGCTGATGAAAAGATTTCGCGTCTTTTTTCTTTTTCTCTTTCTTTGGCTGGCCAAAGGCCTCCTCCGGAAGGTAATCCTCTTCTTCGTCAGCAAAGTCTTCCATTTCATTCAAATCGAAGAAACCATCCTTCATTTGGTCGGCAACAGGGTCTACGAGAGATTCTTCATCTTCTTCTGATACCTTCTTTTTCTTTTTTCTCTCATCCATATCGTTATCACTGTCCTCATCGCCCTTGAATCCTTCAGCTTTGCCTTCGTCATCGTCCATCTCATCCATCTCATCCATAGCACGATCCATTCTTTCTCGGATCCGTCTGGTCTCAGAGTCGACACTGCCTTCTTCGTCGTCATTGCCTTCTTCGTCGTCATTACCTTCTTCGTCGTCACTTTTCTGGCTATTTTCATCCTGTGATCCAAGGCTCTCGTCATCTTCACTCTCGCTGAGGATTTGCTTCATGTCCAATATACAGACTTTTTCGGGCGCCTTCTCCAACTTCTTCTTCGATTTCTTCACGAGCTTGTTCACGGCTTTGTTTTGTAATTCTACCTGCCCCCACAAAGTCTCAGCGTCAATACTCTCATCCCCAATAACCTCAGAAAGACCCGAAAGACCAGTTGGTGCATCTTCTTCATTCTTCTTTGAAATCTCCTGGTATTGCTTGGCAAGTTTTTCAGTGCTCTGAAACAACTCCTTGATGATGTTGACTAGGTCCGCACGGTCAACCTTTTTGTCCTTGCTGTCGTGTATGAGTGGAAGAATAGTTTCTAGTGGGTCATCAAAGACTTCGATCAGCCGATCCAAGGCTGGCTTTGGATTCGTGTCGCTCATTATTGATTTTGTTTAATTTGATGATAATTTTGTGGAATCAAATTTTCGATGGCATCGGGACGATGTCGCGCATTCCTTCGTGCGGTTGAGGATCCATGAGGAGCGATGATGATGGGATCCGCTTCGTTGCAACAACCTTGACAAGGTATCAGTACACAAGAGACTCCCAATATCTCTATAATCATGGAGTCACTAGCAACAGTAAGTGAAGTTTTATTTTTCCTATGGACGTACTTTGCCTTTGTGATCGTTTGTCTCACCAATGATCTCTCGCTGTACCCACAACCACACATCCCTCAACTACATTGATTATGACTTACTATTCTCACCATCAGTCTGGGACTCCCCTTCATGCACCATACACCTTCTCCTTCATGAGGCGGGGGCGGTCGCTAAAGCCTGAAGAGGGAATGCCAACTGCAGCACAGCCTACAGAGCAAACTCCAAATCCTTACGAAAACTCGATCAAAACCATTAGTATTATCACAACCGTTGAGGAGTTTTGGTCCACTTACAACTTCCTTCGTAGACCGAATGATCTTCCCACTACCACGGATTACCATTTTTTCAGGGAAGGAATCAAACCAACTTGGGAAGATTCCAACAATGCAAAGGGTGGCAAGTGGATCATTCGATTGCCAAAAGGACTTGCGAGCCGTTACTGGGAAGAAGTGATCTTGGCTCTCATCGGAGGCCAGTTCGTTGGTGTCCCTGATGGAGAGATTTGCGGAATTGTAGTTTCCATTCGATATTCCGAAGATATTCTTGGTATCTGGAACAAAACTTCCACAGACACCATTATTGTTGAGCGCCTTCGAGATGCCATCAAGAAAGTCCTGCAACTACCTACCTTTGCTAACATGGAGTACAAGCCACACCAAAACTCCATTCAGGACAAGTCCTCCTTCCGCAACACTCACGTTTGGAAATCCAAGTCAGGAGGAGGAGGAGGAGGAGGATCAGCACCACCACCACCAGGACCAGACGCCCGTCGTTCCGGATCTTGGGGAGAAGATAACCGAAAGCCGCGCCGAGGTGGTGGCGAGAGTGATCGGGCTTGGCGCTAAATCTATAATAGCTCGTTCCTATTGTACCAGGAGACTAAATGCTAAATCTGACAGTTTTCTACTTCAATTACATATATCACGATTACTGGGTGGCAATAGTGGCCGCCGGGCTTGTGGGCATGACTCGGCGCTTTCGTGGACCACCGCCCTCGCTTCGTGTGCGTTTCTTACCACGCGCCTTCTTCTTGTCTTGGTTGTCAAACTGTGTCAAGTCCAGAGTCATAGTGCGACTAGAGTTGGTCCCAACATCCTTGCAAATGCCCACCAGCCCCTCGCTTCGTTCGTAAAACATGTCCTTCAAACTGATCACGATGCACTGGAAGTCCGATTGACTGCGTTGCTGAATGTAGTTGCACACTTTTCGAAGATTGACTGGATTAGAAAGCGCAAAATAGTGTTAGAAATGAAATCGCTTGCATCAAACTTTTCATCTCCGTTGACTTACTGTTATCAAGAGCGGCGTCGACTTCGTCCATCACAAAGAATGGTGCTGGATGATACGAGTGAATGGCAAAAAGAAGAGCAAGAGCAGCAACTGTCTTTTCACCACCACTAAGCTGTTCCATATCACGGAATCGTTTCATTGGAGGCATTGCGTTGAACTTCATACCTCCCTTGAATGGCTCCTCCGTATCGTCAAGACTCAGATAAGCATTTCCACCGAGAGGATGCTTACTACTCTTGGTCATGTCTCTGTAGATGGTCTTGAGAGATTCGTCAATGTGGTTGAAGGCCCTCGTGAATCGTTTTGTACGTTCATTCTTGATCTTTTGAAATTCAGCAGTGGCCTTTCGCGATTCCTCCTTGGCCTTGTCAAAGTCAGCACCGGTATCCTTCAGTTTTTGTGTCACGTTAGTGAACGCATCGGCAGCCTATTGCAAGAGTGTGAGAAAGTGGAAAAAAAAAACGTCTAGAGATGGACAGATCCCTCACTCACCTTCATATTGGGCACCATCCCCTCAATTTCCCCTTCGATACTTGTGCGAGCATCTTCGAACTCTTTCCGCACCTTGCGTTCTTCACGGTCACCAAGGCGTTGCTTTAGGTCTTCGCGCATCTTCGAGAAATCAACCTTTGAGGCTTCATTCATATCGGAAACCATTCTGGGATCGGTGTCATGAGAGTACTGTGTAGGAACTTGAGAAGCTTGAGACTGAGAGATTCTCTGGCTTTCTGACTCATCGTCGTCAGTATCCTTCATCTCTTCGTCACTGTCAGCTGAGATTTGACGGCCAGATCGAGTGCTTCTTCGTTTGCTATCTGCGCCGATCAGTGGTAGCTCCACCTCTTCTACACGAGCCTTCTGCAATGTTTCGTGAAGTTTTCCTCGAAGGCGCTCCAATGCGGCCTCCTCCGCAGCCACTGCCTTGCTGATTTCGACTCTCTCGTTCTGGAAGTCTTTGAAGTCTTTCTGCAACGCCTTGGTTTCGTCTTCGAGCTCCTTCTCCTTTTCGGAAGCTTCCTTGACGGCTGCATCGGCATCCTCCACATTCTTCTTGAGTGTCTTCATGTCTTTCTGCAACTCCTTTTGTCTCTTCTTCGCCTCCTTGAGCTTCTTCTCGTGTCCTTTCAGGCGATTTTCCAATTTTACAATTGGCTCCTGCAAGTCGCGATTGGTCTCGTACTCCTTTTGCTGCTCCAAATGAGTGATGTGTTCCGTGACTGTACGCTTCTTCTTCTTGTATTCGTCGCGACTTTGGCGGATTGCTCGTTCATATGCTTGCAAGTCTTTCAGACCAGTTTCGTCACGGAAGCGTCCAAGATGCTCATCCTCTGCGGCTTTGACAGCCACAATGGCTTTGGTGGCATCCGCGTCCAACTTCTTGATACTTTGTTCCGTTTTGGCGAGGGCGTCCTTGAGTTGGGGAATCTGAAGATCGACAGCCTTCAGCAATGTTCGCTTCTCGTGGAGTTGGCGTTTCGTAAAGTCCATATCACTCTTGGAGTAATCTGCACGATTGGTGAGAGAATTGAAGTTGTTGCGGAGCTCTTCAATATGAGTAGAGCGACCTATGGATGGTCGACCACTGCCTTCACCTCTGTCCAACCCAGAACGTTCCGTTTGTAGTTTCTCACGCTTGTCTCGCATGTCTTGGACAACCTTGTCATCCCATCGACCGGCACGGTTGCTATCCTCATTGGTAACACCACCAGTCATGGTTCCAGCCTTAGAAATCACAGCTCCACCGAGGGTGACAGCTTTGATGGAGGAGTCGTCTCCACCACGTCGGCGCCCTCCAAAACAGAGCTCTCGGGCAGCACCCAAATCATCACAGACAACCGTATTTCCGACAGCGTACAAAACTGCCTTGGAAATTGAGTCATCACAGGTGATCACATCTGCTGCGAGGCGGAACCGCCCATCCTGGGCCAACCGAGCACGAAGGCGTTCGGCAGATTCGGCGGAGGGAATGTGAAGACTATCCAATGGAAGGAAAGTAGCCGTTCCCACACGTTGCTCACGAAGGTAACGGATACACTCAATACCAGTGCTTCGAGTGTCTACTACAATGGCATCCATATCCTTTCCAGCGGCCACAGTCACGGCCAAGTTGTATCGTCGCTGTGCTGGTCGACACAAATCTACTAGACGACCCAATACACCTGGAAAGTGGGACTTGAGACTGCGAATGGCTTGCATCAATCGCTCTTCGTCTCTAGACTTGCGGTTTTCGTCACGGGCATCCCGTAGTGCAATGTCAATCTTTTCAATTTCCATATCGAGTTCTTCGCGACGACGTTCGGCGCGTTCGGCATCTCCCGAGGCCTTGCGCAAAGTCTCTTCTGCAGCCTTGCGATCGGCATTGGTCTTTTCCAAACTCTATCGCAATGGAACAGCACAATTAGTTAACGATTCCAAGCAAAAAGTTTTATTTCTCTTCCACAACATAAATTTCTGTACTCACCTTGGAAACGCGGTCACTTCGTTCTGCCAACTCCTTCAAATCGCGATTGACTTCAGTCCGGCGAGCCTGGACAGCATCCAACTCTGTTTGTACCGATGCAGCCTTGGCACGAGCTGTTTCCATTTTTTGGTTGATGGTAGCCAACTTACGACGGGGTTGCACACTTGCGGCGGCAGCAGCTTCCTTGACGCGTTCGTATTCTTCCTCTTGTGCTTGTGTCAAAGTGACTTGATCGGGAGCCGCATCCTGCTTTGCTTCATCATATTCACGTTCTAGATCTTTCAAGTCGTTTCGGGAACGGACAATTTCTTCGTCTAGTTCTTGGAGCTTGGCCCCATGCATTTCCGCTTGAGACTTCTTCTTTTCCACTTGGGACTTGTCTTGGGCAATTTTCTTTTCAAATGTCTTCATTTCTTCCTCGACTTGGATAAAGGCAGGTTCCAATTTGTCCATTTCGCCGGCCAATTTGACCCGCTTGTTGTCAGCCGCCTGGGTTAAACGTCTCGCTGCAGAAGCCTTTTTCTTACTCTCCTTGAGAGTAGCAGTGTGCTCTTCTTCCAATGCATGCTTTTGTTGCAACACTTGCTGCAATTCTTGAAGTTTCGATTCACGTTCTTCGCGATCTTGTTCCAAATGAAAGAGTAACCATAGATAGTAATCGGTCTGTAAGGTCGCCTTTTGATCAAGCAATTCGTGGAAACGTTCAGCTTCCTCCTTTTGCTCCTTGAGTTGTCGGCGTTCTCCTTTCATTCCCTTCTGCTTGTTGTAGCAAAATAGAGTCGCTGCTTCAGCTTCATCCTTGGCCTTGAGTGCTTCTTCGTAGGGTTCCTTCAATTCTCGACTTAGAGATATTTGCTCCAAGAGTTCCACAAACTCTGCAGGTGTTTTGCGGGCCAATGACTCGACGTCTCCTTGAAAGACGAGAAAGTTTCGTGCCTTGACCAAAACGCCAATCTTTGCTAGATTCTGTTCGTACTCCTTGTAGCCGACGACATTTCCGTTTATGCGATAGTCTCCGGTACCAGATGGCGAGATAGTACGTTGAAATTTGGTCTCTTCTCCCTCATCCGATTCGAAGTAAATGGCCGCACTGGCCCGAAGTTTATTCGAGCGCTTCTTCTGCCCGGGCGGACGGAATATAAGATCCTTCATTTGACTGCTGCGCAAGTCTCGCGATTGGACTCCCAATACAAATGAGAGGGCGTCCATGCAATTAGATTTTCCGCTACCATTGGGACCAATGATACTGGTAAAGGACTTGAAGGGTCCAATCTTTTGCAAGCCACCATACGATTTGAAATTTTCGAGTTCGAGATGTGTCACCGGCATGGTGATATTCTGGCTTTATCGTTGTTGTATAGAGGAAAACTCCGCTCCTGATCTCTATAAACTACTATTAGAGCGTCTGAAAGGTCCAATTGAAGTATGTAGTTGTAATTACCGTGAGTAGCAACGGTGCAATCAAGGATGGCAACAGAAATAATGATGCCGACAATTTGCTGGGTTTTGTGTTCGGACCAAGGTTTTCAGACATACATTTGCAGTAGAATTCTACGGAGGCTGTCTTACAGACCCGGATATAAAGCCATGGCGCGCATTGATTTCTAGTCGATGGAGTCAAACTGAAGTAGCAGCGCTGCGCGGTACCGCCCGACCCGGACGGCGGAAGGATTCTTCAGATGGATTCTCAGGCGTGTTTTGGAAAATGACCAACTGCATTGAGAAAACCAAATTCAAATACTCACAATAGGCGGTTGTCTTTCCTTGGAACAAAAGGCACTTGGAGATCTACTTCCGAACTTGAGATCGATTCCACTTGCTCAACATCCCCCTTGTCTGTGACTTCGGTACGGATAGTTGACTCATTCCTGGGACCTTGCATGAGAATTGATCTTCGATTCTAATAAACAAGGCACGTATCGAACCACCAATACGTGAATAAACCAAGACTTAAAACATGGCGGGAACAACGCCGACATTGGAGGCAGCAAGGCACTTGTGTCAAGAGGCGCGAGTTGTGCTGACATCTCTTCGTGGAGGACCTCCCAATGTTGCACGGGGAGATTTGGCACAAGATTTGATGGATGTCCGAGCTTTGGTCAACCGTCTGTTGCTAAACTCGACCTCGGAAACTTCTGCAACAGTCGCGACAACGATAGATACCACCAATGATGCTTCTGGTAGTACCATGACGACGACGGCACAAAATGAACAGCAAGCTGCTACAGGAGATGAGGAAGACGGAGATGCCGTCTTGGTCCAATCTCCAGGTCGCATATCCGCATCCCTGCTTCCCACCAATGAAGATGTTGGACCTTGTGCTCGTCCGTTCTTGGCTGTAGTCATGGATCCACGAGCAGCGGGTCCTCACACGCTAGTGGCTCTAAGATCTTTGCACAGACTCTTGGAAAAAGGCAGTCTGGTTCCAAATGCGAAACACTGTTACAAGGTGGGACTCGAACCTCTTACGAAGGGAGTCTTGAATTGCAAATTCGAACAGACGGATGCGGGAGCAGACGAGGCAGTCGAAATGGCAATTGCTGATCTGTTAGCACTCATGGTACAGATTGACCGAAGGGCGATTCGAAATGAAACGCTGATGGATGCTTTCAATACAGTTTTTGTCACAAGAAATACGTTTGTGCATTCACCTGCTCTATGTTATCATTTTGAGGACGTGCTGACGACCATGCTTCAGGTAGTATTTGAGGATTTGGATACTCTATGTGATCCGGCTGGGAAACTGATTTTGGAACTCTTGGTGAATCAATTATTGCACACACCCTTTGTGGGTGGAGATGACGAAGCTTCGAGAGAAGCACAAATGGCTCACGATGCCACGCGAGTCTTGTGCCTCAGACTGACACGAACGGCACTGCGGACAGGGTTTTCGACAATGGAAAGTGACAAGCTGGTAGCAGCCTTGGCCAAATTTGACGAGTCGGGTACCGACAATGATCGGAGTCTGTTGCATATTATTCAAGATGACTTGTGTCTCGCACTCTTAATGACTGGGCAAGCAATATGGGCCTTTGAAGGCAATAACAATATCAGTCCTGGCTTTATCAGTTTGGAGGTGCTCTCAGAAATCTGTTCGACCCTATCCACGCTCTGGACTAGCGTCAACCTTCGAAAGTATTTGGTTGTCCAATTCGAATCCATATTTACAGGCTTCTTCCAACGAGCCCTTGTGTTGCTCAGACAAAGGCAGATCCCAATTGACTCGATTTCCTTCCATGCGAATATTATCTTTGACGCGAGCACAGAAATTATACTGGAGTGCCTGGTGGATATCATGACATTGCATGATCACAGTCAGACTGTTGCGCAAGGGAATGGAGGATCACTGGAAAGTCTATTCGCCACATATGATTGTAATATGAGGCGGTCCGACGCAGCAGCAGGGTTGATGATTGAACTCTGCCGATGCTGTGGTTCCAAGGTAGACGAAGAAGGTGAAATCATATACACTCCACTCTCTGACGAAGCCGGTTCCGTCCCCGACGATACAACAATGGCTGCGCCACCCGCAGTTGATGCTCCAGGTGCCAGCGAGTCGGGCGATGGCATGGCGACTACCCCTGGCTTGCGACAAATACCTCCTCATCTCAAAGAACTTTGTGCCGAAGTCATCATTGGTGGTATGAAGTGCATGTTCAACGATGATCATCCAACTGAAGAAACGAAGCTGGAACGACGAGCGAGGCAATCTATCTTTGAAGGCCAACCCAAAGTTATGCCATCACCACAGTCAATATCCGACCTTAGCCGGGCACAGTCGGTACATTTGTTGCGCAGTATCAAATCCAAGAAGAGACTGATGAGAAAAGCGGCGCACTTGTTCAACAAGAAAGCTAGCAAAGGGATCGAATTCCTTGCCAACTCAGGTGTGATTCCCGATCCAGTGACACCTCGCAGCGTCGCTTCCTTTTTGCGGAATGGAATTGTTGTAGGACTGGACAAAAAGGCTGTGGGAGCCTACTTGGGAGAAATGGGCAAGTCGCCGGTCGCTGGAAAGTCACCGCCCAACTGGGAGAGAGATTTTTTCCACAAAGAAGTGCTGGAGACGTACTGTTCATTGTTTCGATTCGAAAATCAATCTCTGCTAGACGGGCTTCGCATGTTTCTCGCTTGTTTCCGCCTACCTGGAGAAGCACAGCAAATTGACAGAATATTGCAAGCGTTTTCCGATTCTTGCAGTCGGCTATGCGAAGAGGGTGGGAAGCAGTTGTTTTCCGAAGACCCCAAGCGTGCTAGTGACGCTGCCTATCTACTTTCGTTCAGTATCATCATGCTCAACACCGATCAACACAATGATAACATTCGTGAAGACCGCAAGATGACAAAAAATGATTTCATCAAGAACAATGCAGACTATGGCCGGGACATCACAGATCCCGGAAAGGAGCTCCCGAAAGAATACTTGAGTGCAATATATGACAGCATCCGTGAAGAAGAAATCCGAACAGAGGGTGAAGGTGCCGATGGTTCCATGACAGTGGAAAGGTGGAAGGATGTGCTTCGAGGGTCTGTCAACGATGAAGAAGATGAGGATAGGCTTCCCACTATTCACGACGCTGAGGATTTGACTGAGTTGGTTTTGGAGCATGTTTGGATGCCAATCATGTCGGCAATCAGTGCTTTGTGGGGTGTCAAACAGATTGTAGTCGATTCAAATGGTATGCCTACTGAGAGTGGACCAAACGGTATGCTTGCAGCTCAAGGTGCCAGGCTTGGCATGGATATGGCCTACGATATGATGGTTGGAGTGCGAAACCTAGGACGAACTGATGTGTTCTTGAAGATTTTCGACCGTGTCTGCATATACACTGGTTTGTTGACTTATACAGCAAACGCGTCAGACAGAGCGCGGAATTTCTCCAATTCTGTCGAGGCACAGGGGGCATTCATCTTAGCACTTCGAATTGCTAGGGAGACAAATGAGGATATTGGTGTCGAAGGCTTCAAGAAAATCTGGTCGATGATATTTGAGCTGAGAGACTTGAAGATGCTTGGAGGTGGTGTGTCGAAAAAGAACACTAGCATTGTGATGGAGAGTGATCCAGATCTCCTAAAGGAACGGGCACGAAAGGAGTGGAATTCAAAATTGGTAAACAAAGGTCGAACCCACGAACCTCAAGAAAAGCAAAACAGCGGATTGTGGAGTGCCCTCTTTGGCACTTCAGACGAGGCAGAAGAGGATGCTAATGCTGCTAATAAGCAAACGAACGGCCGTAATTCTATTCATGGAAAGGAAAGCCACATTTTGTGGGACGATGTGGCTTCAAACAATGATGAGGGTGAGAGAAGTGAGGATAGTTTTGGATCGAATTTAGAACCAAGCTCTGCTTCTATCGAACCAAGCATTGGTGCACACTTTGAGCGTCACTTGCTCCAGGAAGATATGCTGCTGAGCCAGCAACGCGAAATGCTTGTGACCGGATTAGAACGCGTCGAAGATACACAAGCGCTTGGGATATCGCCCAGCGATAGAGTCCGAAAGCGGCTCGAGAAATGTTGTGACTATGTCGGTCTTGTATCCGATAGCAGGTTCATGGATGATGGCGGTTTGTACACTCTACTACAGGCGTTGGTTGAACTTTTGCCTACGAGTGACAACATTTGCAAGTCCGATGATGAAGCGAAAACTCCAGATGTAACCCCGATCTCTCCTGCTTCGGCTGCTTTCGCTGAAGTCTTGATTTGTGAGATCGCTCTACGAAATCGTGACCGACTTACCATGCTATGGAGCAATGTATTACAGGCTCACTATTCATCACGCCTTAGTGCGATCGCTCACACGTATGCCGACAACGAAGACGCTCACTGGCAGATATTGAGCGGTGCAATTGAAAAGTCAATTACAGGTTTGCTTCGGATATCATGCTGCGCTGTGCAAAAGGGACAAGTCCCCAACGAAGTTTTGAGTACCTGGTCGATCCTCGAATCCATAGATAAGGGAGAGGGCAAATTGAGCCTAATTGACTGGTTTGAGTTGCACCTTGGTGAGGGTCTTTGGAGAATAACTCGATGTGTAGATGGTGCCACCAAATTAGAAGAATCTGGATGGAACGGGTTGTTCGCACTATCTTACTGGTGCGCCGATCGTGGACTCAGGTTGCCGCCTGTCCGATCTATCGTTATCGGACGGTCTGTTGGCCTTGCTGAGGATGACCCATCGCTTCAGGCGTATCGATCTCTTCATTTCTTGCTAAATGCATCAGAGGTGAAGGATTTCGTTCCGGCAAAAGGCATTGCTACTATTCGCTGCCTCACTGCTGCTGGGAATAACCGAAATTGCCCGAAACTAAGCATTGCAGGGCTTGACTTGCTACACATGTTTTCATCGCAAGGCGATGAGGCTACGGAGGCGAACGATTTCTGGAAACTCGTTTGGAAACCTGTTGTTGAGGGCATGACGGAAGCCATAGGACTCAGTGCATATACCGTAAGTATCTGATGGGAAGCTTGCAACGTATCCACAGAATCGACTGACTTATTCTTCTCAATTGCTTCTCTAGAGCGTTCGACAACATGCTCTTTCCATGCTGACAGATTTGTTTTTGGAAAAACAAGCTGGATTTATTCCAATCTCTCATCTCTGTGATTCGCTTGGCCAGCTATGTATACCACTTGCTGGGCGTGGTATTGTTGAGCTGAGAGAAGGTAGCATCAAGATTGAGAGCACTGATGAGTTGATGATAGAACTCGATCTGTGTATCGGTCTAATATTCAAGCCTCTCCGACACCACCTCAAGGATGTTGTCAGCGAAGGGGAAGAAGTTCTGCTGCTAGTATGGAAACCCATACTTGATGTCTTGAAGGATATTCTGAATGATCCAACTTCCAAAGGAGCCAAAGAAGCTGGGCTTCCAGCAGAGGCGCTACATTCCACCAACGAGCTCACAATAGAGCATCTGCGCAATGTCGTTCATGTGTTGACCGACTTTGATATCTTGAAGGCACAATCACAGTCTTCGGATGATATTACTCAGCTTACATGGGACGCAATCGAAAGCATGCCGCCGTGTAAAGAATTCGTGAAAGAATGGAAGCAAGGAACAGTGTGAAGGAAATATAATTGATTTTTAAGTAGCGAGTAGCACACTTTTTGCTAACTATAACTTCAGAGCTGAATTCCTGATGTAGTGTACCGGTATGCTCAACGATCGTTAATTTCAAAGCATAATAATGAGTTGAGCGTAGCGTGTAATTCGCATTACTAACTCAACCAATAGTACTCTGGAACCACTACTAAGCTTCATCATATTTTAAGATATCTTTTTGACAATTGTAATGGTACACTTTATGGTTTATCGAGGCAAATGATCTAGCTACTGATCCCTCTATGGTTTTTTGAATGACCTTGTTTGGTCGGAGCTATCCTGAACGGCGTAGCGATCTAAAAGAAAAAGTTCTTCGCTGGGCGGTATACCGGATTTGTATCAAACTAGCAACCTCCTCTTCACGATGACTTGCTTTGACTCCCAAGCACTTGGAAGAATGAGCTGAATCGCTCGCCGGAAGCCTTGGTAGCCAATCCCCCAATTTTTGAGATAATATCGACAGGGTTGCGGCCAACCTTACCAGAATCTCTTTCTGCAACCTCCCCTCGTTCACACCGAGGGTAGACGATGGGGAAGAAAGAAGATTTCAAGGGTTGCATGTCTTCCAATCCATGTCTACCAAGGTCCGAAAGCACACCTCCACTACCTCTCTTGTCGTGGTACTTGGCGCCCCCCTTTGCGACTGTTCCTCCCAATACTCGTCGGTAACTAGTCCAGATTCCATCAGAGGGTCCATCAACCTTGTGGACCGTTCTGGGGTGCCAGATCAACATGTCACCAGGCATGGTACGGAATTCAAGCTTCTCATTCTTGTATTCCTCCAAACCCTCTGCCTCGATATCGACAAAGACAGCTTGCTCATCGACAACTTTGTTTGTGTGGGAACCCTTTAGGTAGACTGGGGCACCATAGTCCTTTGGAGTCTCGTCCATGGTGATCCAGAATCGAAGTCCCTCTTCCCAAGTGATGGGACCATTTTGGTTGTCCTGATGCCACTTGAATCCCTTGTTGGGGTTGACCATCAACAAATCAGTGGAGACGCGGATTTCATCTGTTCTTCCACACTGGGCCAATACATGGCCCATGGCAGAGTGGTAGTAGAATCGTGCAAATGCCGAGTTTGTTTGCCAGACGTTTCTTTGGATGTAATCATAGAGTCTGGAGGCTGTTCCAGCAAATGCCCAGAAGTGGGGCTCTTCGACTTGGTGCTTCGTTGCTTGTTTAAGGTAATCTACCCACTCTTCGTCGAAGACACCCTTAATGTGAACAACACCGTCCTCTTCCAAAGTTCGGATTTGTTCCTCAGAGATTTCAAACTTCTCTGGCAAAGAGACATCCTTGATGATTCCATGCGGCAGCTTGATTTTGGGATCTTGTAGTCCAAAGTTGTATTCCCACAAGTTTGGTTCCTTCAAGATCTTTTCCTTTTGCGATCCAGCTACGGTAGTAGTCGTTGCTGTAACCTCGTCAATGTCCGTTGCAGCTTTGGTTACTTGGAGTGCCATGGATTTCGCAGCTCCGTGATCCTTAACCATGAAACCATTGACGGATGTCACTGCAACGAACAAGAAGGTAGCAATCTTCATCTTTATATTATATTACTGTGATATATATATATCTATGTAGAAGACACTTGCTATAGAGGAAGAATATTGGATGCAACCGATTATTACGCGAATTGGCAAAGATTGCTTCCTTTTTGGAGATATCGTGAACTCCTTCAACCTCAAAGTACGAAGCTACGTGGATGAAGATACCAAAGATTTGTTCAACAACATACGACGAACGAACCAGCTGCCAAGAATTTTCTGGTTTGATGCGATTTCACACCAAAGGCCACGTGTTCTCGGACACTATTAGTTTCGGAATGTCGAACATATTTTAAATGTGATCACATGTGTCCGAGACAATTTCAGGTCTGATTTATTTCCTGCCCATCATAAAATTATTCTTTGACCGAATATGCTGTCCTTGTGGATAGGTCTATTTGTAGCATACCTGTCGGCCACATGGATTTCCCTGCAGCAAGCAGTAAAGCCAGCAGTTCCATGCAGGCCAGGTTCCAACCAATGCTTTCAACCCTTGCTGTCGCCCTCTGAACCAATGACACTCGAACTTCGATTGTATCAGCCAAGTGATGAAGAGCAGGATAATTCGTACCGATGGAGAGTGGTGGAGTCCTGTATGCTCAACTTTTCTCTTCCATCGTCAAACTTTAATCCAATACATCTGACAAAGAATGAGACTTGTGAGGTTCCAATCCCCAATTTCGCTAGATTTCGGTCACCAGACGAGAGTCAAGTACGACCCTTGAAAGCAAGGTTTATTTTGCGACTGCAAAACAATTACATTGCAGCTGCTATCCCATTTGATCTGACACGGATCAACTTTCGGCGCGATGGGACTTATTCCAACAAACAGGCTCCGCGAAACTTGATGGAAGAGCCATTGGCTGCTTCGAATCGCACGCAAAAGGAAAAACCAGTGGGCGATACTTGGATCCCATACCTGAAGTACGGCAGATCCCCTGTCAGAATCCGCATTGTATCCGACTTTCGGGAATATGGTGTTTTGCAACGGAACGATGGGGCAAAACTTGAGGCATTCAATCGCACGGCCTACAGGCCAATGGTTTATGTGGACGACTTGGCGCTCCCACATTCCTCCCAGAATGAATTAGGGCCACCAGAAGCCAATAAGCCTCCAGTCAAACTGCAAATCAAGATTGGGGCCATCCCTCCGATGGTGGACAGCTTGAACCAGCAGTTCCAGGTAGCATTTGCAGGTGTGGAGTCCTTTCTCCCAGGCGAAGACTTGGACGAGATACGGTATCTGCTGCAAGATGAAAAGCTGTATCGTTTTGCCTTGACTCAGGTCATATCCTATATTCATATTTGGGTTGATTACTTAGCCTTTCGAGATGAAATTGGATTCTATCGTGGCAAGGAAAACATGTCTGGGGTATCATCGTCCACTGTAATTTTGCGATTCATCTGTTCTTTCATCATTTTGCTGTACCTACTGGATGGAGGAAGCACTAGCTGGGTGGTGTTACTCAGTCTTATTAGTTCCTGTACAATAGAGGCTTGGAAAGTATGGAAGTTGGTAAACCCACAACTGAGTCTCAAATTTCCCTTTTTGATATTCCAACCGTACCAAAACGCCAAGGCAAAGGAGACTGCCGAGTACGATCGCATGGCCACAAAGAATTTAGCGATGATCCTATATCCGCTTGTCATTGGATGGTCAATCTACGCTTTGAAGCATTACCAATACAAGTCTTGGTACTCATGGTTGGTTTCGAATTTGGCCAATGCCGTTTATACATTTGGTTTCATATCGCTATGCCCTCAGCTATATGTCAACTACAGACTCAAGTCGGTTGCACATTTACCTTGGAAGGTATTTATGTACAAGCTATTCAACACGTTTGTGGATGATGCCTTTGCCTGGCTGATCGATATGCCGTGGAAACACAGAATCATGACTCTGAGGGATGACGTTGTGTTTATCATGTTTCTTGTTCAAGTTTACTTGTACAAAGTGGATAAGTCGCGGGTCAATGAATTTGGGTATGCTTTCGAAGAATCCAAACAGGAGGAGCCTTCCAATGAGCAAAAGAAGAAAACAGACTAGCATGTCATTGTCAGATGAATCTCAATCAGTAGATCAAATTGCGATTCGATGTGATTTCCAGCTCATCATTGGCTGTCAATTTCTTCTTTGCTTTCAAGGTTGTTTTCGAGCATCAACTCCTTTATCCTTTCCGCGCGCTTATTCTCAATGTACAACTCAAGGGAACCAATTCCCATCATTACGGGTACGAAGTAGAATATTCCTTGACGTGGCTTCTTATGAAACAGATATCCGTTGAGAGCACCTCCAGCTACTCCAGAAAAAGCGTGCGATGTTAATAATAATCTCTTTTCTTGCTCGATTAGATCCTTCATAGCAACATAACCTATCCTCTCAAGACCAAAAACAACTGTCCCAACCATTGCAAACGATCCACCGATTTTCAAAGCCGTTGATCTCATCGGAAGTCCTCTAAACGTAGAGTACATGGTGCCAAGACAAAGTCCTAGAACAGCTGAAAAGCTTACTCTCGCAGCGACATGGTCAACGTACTCCAATGTTTGGTCAAGATATTCCATGGTTCAGAATGGAAAGGTTTGAATGGATGAACAGAGCGTTGCAAGGATAGGCTCTGTCAGTTTGATGTATTAATATGCGCATGTTTTCGCGCGATTTCTTTCACAACCAATAACCCAACCCAAAACAAATCCGATCCATCATCATTTGTTCATTACAAGCTACTTCATCTAAAGTCCTTGTTCAGAATAGGCTTCGAAGGAAACCAATTGAAGGGTCTTAAGAAAGAAGAATGCTAGTTGAATTGTCGCCGTGGAAGTCAGTGAGGACTTCACTGTCGGCACCCAAAATCAACCGACGACGAAAAAGAGATGAGGCGATTATAGATCTTCCAATTGTCTTTTCATCAGTTGTGACTGGATCGAAAAGAGGCTCTCAGAAAATGAAGCACAGCACTTTCGAATTTACTGACATGGTGCCTTTCGTGACCGTTACTTCAGAACACGAAATTTCTGTCATTGGGCAAGCGAATGACCAATCTTATCATGAGTCTGGAAGTCTAAGATACTCTACACGACCATTGAAAAAATACGCTTTTATGACAGTCTCAGAGGGAAAGAGTACAAAGATAAATCTTGTACGGATTCCTGCTATATTTGATACGAGAAGCGACAGAGTGTTTGCGTTCCAGGAAGGTAATACTTGCCTATGTGCTTGGAAGTCGTCAGAGAGTGGTCCTGAAGATAAGAGCTGTTTGAAGGTACAGCTCGATAGCCCCGCTCTCAGTATGACGATGTTATCCCTACATAGAGGGATAGTTTACGGCTCTTGTGACGATGGATCCATTTATGTTGGGCGGGTTGTGAGTAGCTCGGATGGTGGAGAGAAAATCATTGTGGAGTACGTTCCATCAGACATACGAAGAGGACTCTCCCACGTTGGGACTATCGCAAAACTTTCCCATAGCCAGCAAGCCTCAGGAGAAAAGAGGAAATCGGCTGGTTCTGGTTCTGAGTCTTTTGTGACCTTCTTCCAGCTATTTAGCAAAGACGATTCATTTTCTTTGATTTCGCACCACGTCTCTCTAGAGAAAATCTCACACGATGGGCGATTTGTCATGAGCGAAACGGCGTCAGAAAGAAAAGCCACTATCAAGCTACCAAAGACACAATCCCTTGGCTCGATCGAACTATTGATTTCGGCGTCTGGGTCGACACCAAAAGCTGCGATATACTACACAGCCACAAGTGGTTCCTCGAAGAACAAGTCCACTGACCAATGCTGTGCTTCGATTTCCCTTGACGACGGCAGCATTTCGCAATTACCAGTGCTCCTTCCTGCGACGACGAAAGGATGCGCTCTTGTTTCAGCAAACCTTCTCGCTGCCGCTACAGTTGACTCAGTGATCGTCTATGACTTGGAGACTGGATCGGTCCTTCAGAACATTGAAGTGGGATCTGTGGTTACCGATGCTGAAGAAAACTGGAAACTTGCTACAAATTCAAAGTCTTCGACATTGGCGATCTTGTATGCAAAGCAGGATACCATTGAGGCTGCTTTCTCAGTTTTGTCTGTTGGTGACGACAAAAGGATACCATCTCGTGGTCTAAAGCTAGCTTCGAGACTTGCTTCAGCTCTGGCTATGCCCGACGATGGACCATTCACGGTAGCTGTTAAGCCTCCATTGGTTGTGCGTGACCTACTTGACCTCGATCAAAACGACACGAACGCTTCTACCGCTGGATCACATATTCAAAAAGCCCTAAAAGCTCTTGATCTGGCAACTACAAAGATGCTGGAAGAGGGTGGAGAGACATCAATCTTTCTAGATACTTACGAAGGTTGTGTTTCACGCCTCATGAAGGATCTCAAGTTGCCGCTTCCTGATGGTGTCCCAGCTACTCCTTCTCGCGCTGGCAAAAAACAGAAAAGCAAGAATGGTAAACACTCTAGCGACGTTGCTATTGCAGTTACACCATCATCTCTTCCCCAGGGATTTATTGATGGGTCACTTAGGATCGTTCTTTATTTTCTGCAAAGTTGCAAAAAGTTGCGCAAATCAAGCGGTGGGCATCAATTTGCACTTGCATGTGCCGATGCTGGGCTAATAATTGATCGTCTAGTAGAAACTGGAAAAGTTTCTGCTCGATTGCACTTTGAAGATGCAAGTGCTACAAGTGGCAACCATTTGATGGAATCGGTTTTGAGCAGTATTGAAGTGTTTGACGAGAATGTGAAGCGCTCGTATTCCTCGATAACTCTAATCTTGTCGATACTGCGCAAATGCAATGATTTGTCAGAAGGAATCCTTGTTGCCATGCTGAACTTTATGCTTCGAAATTCAGTCGCTGATGATATTGCTGAAGCACTGAACGAGACAAAGGTGATTGCTGCTAGACATCCCTGCAAGTCACTTTGTCAAGACTATGTCTCGGCTCGTGAGAAATATCTCAAGCTCCGATTGAAAAGCGATGATACGAAGATGCCCCAAGATCTTCAGCTCCTCACTAGCAAGCTTCTCACCAAGGGCACAAGACTTGTGTTGGAACGAATAATTTCGTATTCCGATTGCAATCAAGGTATCCTCCGCGTTGCATTGTCGGAAGGGCTCGGCAACCATCACGAAGCCATTATTGTGGCCAAGATGCTGACAGAGATTCTGAGTGATGCTCCAAAGGACTCATCATCCGGGAAGAGTGCGAAACGAAGCAAGATGAAGACTACATGCCAGTGGATTACTGCTCTTTGTGATGGTTTTCAAGACGAACTCGCATTGGCAAAGGCACCCAGTGGGAAAAGTTACCTGGAATTTCTCCTCGAGTCAGTGAGTGCTGCAACCAAGCACTCAGAAGCCATCATTTCACTTCGCGAGGATGTTGATCGCAATATCCTGCATCAACTCGATCTGACGGACAAGGACCCTAAGGTTGTAAAGCCAGGGGCAATGAGAAGAGGTGTCGGTGACGAGAACTTGCCTGGCTATTCCATTGAGAGTATGGTCATCTAGTAGGATTCAATTGATTGATTCATTGATGATTCATTTCTTCATTCTATACTCTTGCTTTATTCGTGGCAATAAAGACTAATCTAGTTGCAAATTACTGCGTTACTTACGTACAACTCCACGTAAACCAGTAGAAAAATTGAAACCGTGTTTGTCGTTCGTTGGGAGTGGAATTTCGTTCACGTTCTCGCAACAGCAACGAGACCTTGAGTGTTGTTTGTAATAAAAAGGTTCGCTACATTCACTTGATAGCAACAAGGAGGCAGAAAGAAGATGGCTACTGATCTAGCTACACGAAGATTGACGAAGGAGTTGCGGTCTTTGCAGAAAGACCCGATCAAGTCACCAAAGATTACTGTTTCTCCGAACGAATCCAACATTTTGGAAATGCACTACGTGATTGAAGGGTCCGAAAAGACTCCATATGCTGGTGGAATCTACCATGGGAAGCTGAAATTTCCAAAGGATTATCCACTCAAGCCTCCCAGTGTTATGATGCTTACGCCCTCTGGGCGCTTTCAACCCAATCGGCGGCTTTGTTTGTCAATGAGTGATTTTCATCCGGAAACCTGGAATCCAATGTGGAGTGTGAGCACAATCCTTACTGGTCTATACTCTTTTATGCTCGAAACAAACCCTACTCTTGGCAGTATTGACACAACGTCTGCTCAGAAGCGGAAATTTGCTTACCAAAGTTTGGACTTTAACTGTCGAGACCCAATGTTCCGAAAACTCTTCCCCGAGTACGTTGAATTGCACAAAGAGCGACTTTTGGCAAAGCAGAAAGCGCTAGGCATAACAGATCCGCCTGCGTCACCTTCCTACGAATCTTCTGGGCAGATTTCGGCAAACGAGAAGGTCGATTTCAGCGGGATTTTTACCACTGCAGCTGGGGTTATCGCACTCCTTTCTGCAGTCTTTTTTGCTATGCGCTTTGCTTGAGAAATTCGTGTTCCCAACAAATTAAAAGTCTTGCTCTAGGCAAGGGCTTGGCGTGCAACAGGTCTGAAAGAGCAATCTAAATGTATAACGATGTACTACTATTTCATTACCATTTCAAAAACTGGTATCTAGCTAGAGGTTTGATCAGAAAGGCACAGCTTGTGATTCAGTTAGTCGTATGGGTCCACGATTGAAATGATTCGACTTACTTACTCCTCCTTCGAATCATTTTTCCATTGCAACCCTCCATCAAACCAACCAACCAACAGACGCATTTTGGCATGGAGTCCTCAGATCAGGCGAAACGGGTCAATGAACTTGAAGTACGTGTTGCACAGTTAGAGAGAGAAAATGCAGAATTGCGCTCGAAACGTGCTGCTGATGAAGTGACAGAAGCAAAACAATTGGATGACGACCACGACAAGAACGAAGATCAGCTGACGCCCGCACAAATCGAGAGATATTCACGACAGCTTCTCATCGCTGGTGGTTTTGGAGTCACAGGACAGCTTGAGCTGTTAAAATCATCGGTTCTAATTGTGGGTGCTGGTGGGATTGGTTCGACCGTAATCCTCTATCTAGCAGCATCCGGGGTGGGAAAGTTGACGATTGTGGATTTTGATGAAGTGGACATCTCCAATTTACATCGACAGATCATTCACAGCTCTGAAGACGTTGGTATGAATAAAGCTGAATCAGCACGAAAGGCTGTGGAAAGAATCAACCCTTCCATACAGGTCGAGATCCTCAAGATGCCTCTGTCATCGTCGAATGCACTACCCATTGTGTCGCAGCACGACTGCGTTGTCGATGCCAGCGACAACCCACTCACGCGGTACACAGTGAATGATGCATGTGTACTGGGCAATGTACCGCTTGTATCTGGTTCTGCAATTGGATGTGAGGGACAGTTAACCGTGTACAACTACAAAGGTGGGCCATGCTATCGCTGTCTATATCCAAAACAAAGTGTGTCGGAAGGAAGCAAGACTTGCTCCGACAACGGAGTATTAGGACCAGTTCCTGGACTAGTTGGGATTTTACAGGCCATGGAAACTATCAAACTGCTTACGGGTTTTGGGTATGTACCACCACGTTTTGTGAACTGTCGGCCTTGATGATTATACTTGCTACATTCTAACAACTGTCAACAGGCATGTAATGTCTGATCGGTTGGCCATGTACGATTCCTTAGAATGCTCCTTCTTGCGCATCAAGAAGCCACCGAAGCAATCTTCATGTGCCGTTTGTGGACCAAATGCTACCATCAAAACCATGGATGATAGCTACAACGCTTCATCATCTTCGCGAGGACCAAGTTGCGCAACCGCTGCCTCTTCGCCACCAGTGCCAACTTCAAACGATATTTCTTGCACTGATTATTCTTTGTTGCGAAAGAATAATCAGCCACATATTCTGTTGGATGTCCGCGTGAAGGAACAATATGAGCTATGCACCCTAGATGGAGCAATAAATCTGCCTTTGGAAGAATTGGAGGGGAAACTATCTTATGTGGAAAATCTCTCAGATGGAACAAAACCAATCTTTTGTTTGTGTAGACGAGGCATTGCCTCGGCAATGGCTACAAATATGCTGTTGGAAGCCCAGCAAAAGCATCCAAACCTTCATTCAGTGATGAATATCAAAGGTGGACTCAACTCTTGGCGAGATTCTGTTGACAGCTCCTTTCCCAAGTATTGATCGCATGATGCATCTAAGGTTTGATTAGCATCACGGATCTTGATCTTGTAGCTGCTCGTAGCGATATTGCTCCCGCTTCATAAAGCTGGCGAACTTTTGGGGCAGTGGAATAGAGGCCCGGACCACGACTGTTCCATCTGGAGCTTGCTCAACTCCCTTCATTTCCAGTTTCGCTGCATCGCTCAGGTTTGCAAATTCCGTGCGGCCGATTTCAGAATTATAGTATGGGTGTTCGAGGACAACGCTGTTTGAACAGAGGAATAACCCACGCTCCCTTAGGTACATTGCATCACCTCCACCGTCATATGTCTTATCCCCAACAAGGGGTCGTTCAGCCACCAATGCCTACAAAACGAGGGGTTTCAGTTACAATCAAAGCAAACAGGCACTGTGCACTTTTATGTCTTACCATATGGCGACGAAGCTGGTGGTATCGTCCTGTCTTGGGCTTAAGCTCAACTAAGGTGCAATAGTTTTGGTTCGCCTTCAAAGACTTCACATAGCGAATAGACCTCCACACCGTTACCGCACTTTTCTCATCTAGAGGTTCATCAATCAGTTGCCATTGGTACCCGTCTTCTGGATCGACATCTACATTCATACTGAAGGCTTCTGCCGACGAAATGGCCGTAGCCTCTGGTTCATCGGGAATGCCATTCACCAGGGCCGTGTAGGTTTTTCTTACTTTTCGATCTCTGAATTGAAGGGAGAGATGTACCATGGCAGGCTTTGTCTTAGCGATAAGTAGCAATCCACTTGTGGGTTTGTCCAGTCGATGAACAGGCTGTGGCCGTCTCAAAGTAGAAAATATACCTTCTTTTGGAGGCTTCAGCACAAATGGCAATCCAGCTCGTACTGTCATTACACCATGTCCGCCTTGTTTGTGGGCGTACACAACAATTCCAGCAGGCTTGTCCACAATGGCAAAATAGTCATCCTCATAGACAACAGGCAAATCAAAAGGAGGCTTCTTGTGGTTTAGAACAGGGTATTTTCCTGTCCCCATCCTAGTCTGCTTGGCAATTACGTCGCCAGGGTACACTCTGTCTCCAACCAACGCCCTTTCGCACTTGGACGGATCAAAAACTTCCTCGCCAGTAGTTTCATCAATCTTGAGTGGCCCTCTATGAATCATAATATTTGCTTTGCGGCAAGCTTTTCGAGCTCTGGACCTTGACGGATACTCGACCGAGTCCAGCAGCATTAGTGCCACTGGGACAGAAATATTATGTGCAGTCAAATTGAGTCTGTTGTAGTCTCCATCCCCAATTAATTCTTTAATACGCTCAACGTCAAACTCCGTGTCAGGTGTCTTCATTTGTGAAACGATGTAAAATCCTGGATTGGAACCTGGGGTCATTTCTTCCAAAGGGTTTTCGATTTCGTCCTGTTGTAAAAACATGTCAGGGGCACAACCATCATCCTCCCCAAAGGCAACTGACATATCAACGGCAGGCTTCTTGTGGTCTATAACAGGAGGGTATGTTTCTTTACCCATATAAGAAGTATGCTTGGCAAGTACATCGCCAGGGTACACCCTGTCTCCAACAAATGCCCTTTGGCATTTGGACGGATCAAAAACTTCCTCGCCAGTAGTTTCATCAATCTTGAGCGGCCCTCTATGAATCATAATAGCTGCATTGCGACATGCTTTCCGAGCTCTGGACCTTGACGGAAATTCTTTCGAGTCCAGCAACATCAGTGCCACTGGGACAGAAATATTCTTTGCAGTCAGGCTAAGTCTATTGCAGTCATCCCCGACCAATTCTATGATAAGTTCAGTGTCGAATTCCGAATCAGGTGTCTTTATTAGTGAATCGACATGAAATCCTTCCAAAAAGGTTTCGAAATCGTCCTCTTCGTAAAAATCGTCATACCATTCGTCGGTACCGGTATATGGAATCTCTTCAACATCAGATAGGTGCACTGCGGTACTAGAAAACCATCGGTTATCTTGGAGGAACGTAGATTGTTGCCTGCTGTACGCTGGGCCTTTTAGATTTCTGATTCGGAAAAGATGGGCCCCAGCTCGGAATGGAACATTTTGTGGTTGCCTTCTTATGGAACTACGAGCCATCAAACTGTTCGCCGACCTGCGAAACCCATTCTGCGAATATGCCTTGACAGTACTAGCCATCAAACAGAGAAGGGCAACAGTGATTGACAGAAACGTGGCTCGTCCCGAGAGCTGGTTTTGTCTCGTGTTGCACATCACAATGTGACGCAGTGTTTGTATGATGGATGATGGGTGGTGATTCGAGATGCGTGTCAAAAGAGATTCAATACGTCTGTCCGAAACATAAAACTATTCCACGTGGAAGCGAATCCATCATCAAACATCAACAGTATAAAATATAAACACCCAACGCCGATCCATACTGTCGATCGTTGTCAACATGAGGCCATTCACCTTTGTGCGATTCATCTTGTTTTTTGCATGCCTACTTGCATGTTCACCTATAGTTTCTGCACAAGCTGAGACTTATACTGATGAAGAATTGGACGCCATGTCCGATGAAGATCTTGAACTCATCTGCATCGTTCGTGGGTTTGAATTGGTCAAGGATCATGTAAACGAAGAGACTGGAGAAGTATATACAATACAACATAGTGATTATATAGAGGCTGCGAAACAATGTTTATCTATTGAAAGTGAAATGTGAGTAAAGGAGTGGATGGTTTGGTTTATAAAAGGAGCGCCAAGATTGATTCTCACATGCTTACATAGGAATGAAATTCTCGAAGAGCACCCCGAGTTGAGAGAAGAATTGGAGGAAGAAATAATAAAGATGCAACAAGAACAACAAGCACGAAAAGAAGAGTTAGAACATTTGAAGCAAGAATTGCAAGACAATGAAGGTGATGCCTCAGATTCTGCCTCTGAGGGTGCAGCCTTTATTGGAAAACCAAAAATGGAAGATGCGTCCGATTCTGCCTCCGAGGGTGCAGCCTTTGTTGGAAAACCAAAAATGGAACAAACACAGGAAGAAACAGTTGAAGAACCTGCTACACCTGAGGTAGAGGATCAACAAACAATCCAAAATGAAACGTTGGAGGAGGAAGTAGAGGAAGAAGCTTCCAATGCTGACGCAGAAGAACAAGAAGTAGATAGTACTGACAATATTGAATCTGGCACGCAGTCGACAGCAGACAAGATGGAAGGCCTTGAAATTTCTGATGAAGAGCGAATTCCCTTGAACGAAAAAGAAGAAGCTGCTTTGGCAGAGCAAGAAGAGATTATACCTGACGATCTGACTTTAGAATATTTGAGAGTGGAGTTTATCAAGTATGTCAAGAAGGATATTGAGCGGGTGACCCGAATCCTAATCCCCATTCTAAAACCCATGCTGAGCGCAGGTGATCTGGCGATCAGATACATTCGTGCAGCACTTTCAACACTCAAGGATGCCTATAGCAGTCAGCCCAATTCTACCGAAGAGAAAGCAGAAGCATAGGCAAAATAGAGATGTAAATAGACTTGGTTCTACCTATATTCATGTTCCAATTCAGTTTCAGTCTGCGTATCCAACCTCTTCACCGCTCAAGAAGTCTTCCGTGAAGTCTTGATTGTTGACAAAGGCACTTACTTCTTTTGCTCTGGCGGACTCCACAAACCCTGATCAGGACACAAACAATACTGTTAGAATCCACCCTTTAAATGAACATGATGAATTCCCTCCTGCATTAGAAACTCACCTTAAGGACTCCCTTGATTCCGCCGGGAGAAGTTAGTGCAATCTTACTCAGTCCGAGCAGAATGGCACCAGCAATTCCAGCATTGACAATGCGAGCTGGTCCCATCAACGATTTGGAAATCTTGGGGACATAGTCTGTTGCTACATAATTCATTCCAATCCACTGATGAGCCGTAATGTGACCAGCCAAAATGACACCCATGGCCTTGTCGACAAATCCATCCGTCATGCTACTTGGAATAAGGAAGTAAGTGGGAGCCACAATTGCCAGACTCATTGTGATCGTGTGGAACTTGTGGGTTGACAAGGGTCCCGAGTCGGCTGCTAGAGGGTTTCCAGAAGACATTTGCTTCTTGGAAGGAGCTGCTAGCCGTCTCGCCAGCAATGGGGCACGTGTGGAGAGCTTAGACCTGATCATCTTGTTGCTTTTGTTGTTGTTGTTGTTTCTGATTGCTTGACCTTGGGCTTCGGGAGTTGAGGAACTTGACGGGAGAAGGAAAGCGTTCGATGCGAACACGCAAAATCTTTGAATCTTCCTGCAGTCTGTCTGCTGGCCGTACTTTTGAAGTTGATACGTTTTCTGTGATCGAAAGTACGAAAAATCCCTATGTAGGGAAACAGAGAATTTCGGAGTTTCTTCTCCGCCATCAGTTCACTCTGAAGCTACAGTATCACAGAACCTCTGGAGCGCTTTTATTGTGCGTGCCATACGGTCTCCCTTCTGCTACCGTACGATGCACATCCAAAGAGAAACACGAAGCTGTACTGTAGAAGCTATTAGGACTGCTCTGCCGGTAGTTCACGCCCCTATAGGGATGTCTACTACCGTTAGGTTTCATTCTCTTGTTCAATTCTGTTACTACTGTATAGTTTTGGATATGTTCGAATCTATTTCCCCAAAGTACCGGTACCGGTACTGTAGGAATACTCTATAGTGCGTGAACTACATACAGCTTAAAAATGATTCGACCAGAACGACTACTAAATCCCATCGATTTTATTTTGTGGAACTTGATTGCATGAGAACTCTAAACTAGGTGGCTGCAGAGTGCCACTGGAATCTATTTATGGAAAGTTTTCCTTCGGCCTTCGACAAAGAACTGTCGGCTTCACCATATCCCGAAGACCAACCCGCCCATCAAAAAACATCAAACATTCTCCAAAAAAAAAGAAGCGAGTAAATAGATCAATACAACAACGACAACAGCAACTGTACAAAGCAAAAGCAACCATGGCGTCCTCAACATGGGAGTCCGATTACCTCAATCCTGATATTGACTTCACAATGGACTTTCGTTCATCCTCAGCCCCACCAGCCACCGGTCTGTTGTTTGCCGATGATGAAGACATACGAGGAGACTCCGTAAGTTTGTCATTTTCGTTTTCATTCGTCAAGTTTGCCATTCCTTTGTTTGCTCATTCTATTTTACGTTCTATACAACCTCTTCAATCCATCATTGCAGCACTATCTGGGAAGCTCGGGATTACACAACAACATTGGACGGTCCATGCAGAAGAGCCCTTTAGATAGACCGGCGGAAGGAACCAAACTATATGACTCCTATAGATCGGATAGACTCCGAAACCTACCACTCAACCGACCCGCACCCAGAACTGCGGCATCTGATCTTTCGTTATCGCCACCAGTAGACCGACGATTTTTGGGAGAGTTCCGTTCTCAGTCCGCAGCACCATCACTTCAGTCTTTGGGACCTCCTCCTGGACTTGAGCGAGAAAGTGACAGAGTTGGCACATTCTCAGATTCCTATCTAGGTTCGGATGAATCGCATATGCTGCTACTAGGACAGAGACGAGCGGCATCCACTGGCGTTCTCGGTAATAAACCTCCGAAATCAGCTCATGTACGCTTTGGATCCGTGGAAGGTGGTGGTGCCGTTCGACCCGGTGCCGTCCGACCATCGGCGAAGACGCTCATGGACTTGATCAAGGAAGATGTCGATTCTGAGTCACCCAATAGTAGAGGAGGATACCAAGATGATTACAACCACCGAAATGGCGACTTTCGGGAAGATCGACAGCAACAGCGATCGCAAATGTATAATCAATTCCCGGATGGTGATGATCCTTACCGAAATGGAGACAGTCGCGGCTATTCTAATGGGGATAGCCGTTATCCTGAGCCACGCAATGGATTGATGTCGAATGGGCCCGGCAATTTCGAAGATCCAATGGATCATGTATCCATGCGTCGAGGAGGGCCTAGAAATGCGTACGAAACAATGGTGAGTTTGTCATGTAACTGTGTCTGTATTGCTCTTGTGCCTGCCGTATGCCAACAAAGTTTGTTGTATTCTCTCAAATCACAGCAACCTCAAAACACGCGCCATCAAATGGCCCAACCCCAGGCAGCTCAACCTCAAATGATGTCTCGGGGACAAAGAATGCAATACAATGACAATAGAATGCAGGGCGGCATGGACCCACAGGACAATAGAATGCAGAATAACAATCGGATCCAAAACATGCAAAGACAACAAACACATGACGGGATTCGCCAGAACAATCCATACGTGCAGCATGTCAACATGCCCGGATCACAATACGAACAACAGCAGCAAATGTATGGATCGCAAATGCAGAGTCGCGTCCACCCACAAGTAGTACCCCCTGGTCATACCATCTTCATCAATCCAAACTCGCAACCCTATGGCTACATGCAGTACCCACAACCAGTAATGCCAGAAGGACAACAATATGTCAACATTATGCCAATGCAAGGAGGCGGAGGAGGTCAAGTGCAGGCACTTGGTGGGGCTTATGCTTTTTGGCAACCCGATGGACAAACTGGTGGACAAACTCTTACCATTCTAAACCCAAATGGATCTCATGGAGTTCCACTCTCTGTAGCGAATATCCATGACGATAGATCGCATGGTCCTCAGCACACTCCACCACACGGTCGTTCCAAGGAAAAGAATGGTAGCAAGTCGAGACGAGGTGGAGCCATCGTGGGGCCACGTGCACGAAACCAAGGCATTTCTACCCACGATTCGCTTTTGGCAGAGTTCAAATCAAGAAAGAGCCATCGCGACTGGACGATTCGTGAGATCACTGGACACGTCGTTGACTTTTGTCAAGATCAGAATGGCTCGCGATTCATTCAGCAGAGAATAGAAATTGGAGACTTGGGCGAAAAGGAAATTGTATTGCAAGAAGTGCTTCCCGCAGTTCGCGTTTTGAGGAATGATGTCTTTGGAAACTACGTTGTTCAAAAGCTGCTCGACTTTGGTACCCCTACTATGCTCGCTGAACTTTATTCGACATTCCAAGGAGAAGTGCTGGAGCTCTCTCTCCAGATGTATGGGTAAGTGTGGATTTGGTTTGTTGAAGTGTCGACTACGTAGGTTTGCGCATCTTCTTGATCCTTGCTCATATTCTTTTTCCATGCTACAGTTGTCGTGTTGTTCAAAAGGCATTAGAGACACTTGATGAACCATCGTTGCTTAACTTGCTACCTGAATTTCACAACAATGTACTTAGCTCTATCCATGACCAGAATGGGAACCACGTGATCCAAAAGTGGATTCAAGTTGTGAGTCAACTGTCCAAAGGTGCCCTTGCTAATGGTGATGGAGAGACTGCTGCGTTTTTCAACGAGCAAATCGATTTCATCGTTGATGATGTCCTTCGAAATGTTGCTTCACTTTCCTGTCATCCCTACGGCTGCCGTGTATTTCAACGCATCCTGGAGCATTGTGTTGAGCCTGATAAGAGTAGGGCATTGGATGAAATCATGGAGTGCCACAGAACTCTTCTTGACGATCAATATGGAAACTATGTCATCCAGCACGTTCTTCAGTATGGTCGACATGGTGATCGAGAACAGATTCTGCACTTTGTACTTGAGAATGGACTCCTTTTCCTGTCTCGGCAAAAGTTCGCCAGTAATGTGGTTGAAAAGCTGCTAAAGTATGGTACCGACAGCCAAAGAAAGGCTGTTGTTCGAGAGATGCTTAAGGTGCGATCAATTGGGTTGGTTTTGAGTTGTTATCTTGGCCACTTTGCTAATGTTGTTGCTCTTGCAATTAGATTGTCGCCGAGACCACAGGAGGCATGTCCCCAAACGATGTCGGTTGCAGCGTTGTACTACTCATGGTTCGAGACGCCTATGCAAATTACGTTGTTCAGACAACCCTTGATGTTATTTCGGAATCCCAAGAAAAAGTACAACTATTGGAGGAGCTGCGATCACACTCTGACGAGTTGGTAAGTCAAGATTTGGATTCTTTCAAAGAGACACAAATGATTCAATACTCTGACACATTTCCATCTCCAGAAAAGTTACACTTTTGCAAAACATATTGTAATGAAGCTAGAAGCTTGAAAAATTGAAAACCTATGCATATATAAAACCGCCAACAATACATAAATGAAGTTATAGAACTGATCTTTCCCCATGTAAATTTTGAGTTTCAAAGTGCAACATTTCAGGCCTTCTTCTTCTTTTTCTTCCGTTTCTTTCTCTTCTCCATCGCTACTTCGGCTGCTGCTGGAGGCGAAAGGGACTTCCCGGTGACGGTAGGCTCTTCTCCCGCAGTACTTTTGACAAAATCCACAATCCAAATCATTGGTGCGGCGATGGGGCTGAAGGCAGGTCCCAAGAATATGGGCAGCATTATGATTCCTGTCACTTGCATAAATACATTCATCACCAAAATTCCAAACGCTCTATTGTCCATATCCGGAAGCCCAAGCGTTCGTGGATCGACGAACGTGTACACGGTTTCCCTCAATGTCGATCCGATTGGTCCCTCGACATCATGAACAAACAAGTGAAACCAGGTTCCAATAAAAAAGGCTTTTTAATGAAAGAACAAATTTAGTTCAGCGCAGTGTGAATAGATTCATAAAATATATGAAATCAACATACCGTTTTGGAATGGCCAAGGGATCCCGTTCGCGAGATAACCCTCCACTCCACTTTTAAAAAACCCTCCCATGTTTCCAAGGAGAGCTCCGTACAAGATCGGGCCAATAATCGCTGTTGGGTAGTATTTCGAAGGTTTCAATTCGTTGGCAGCAACAGAGATGAATCCAATCGTTCCCATACTACGAAACATCTGTGCCATGGATGTTATCACAAGAGTGGCGGGCAAGGAAGTCATAATCTTGTATCCGATATCGAAGGGTGTGTAGTTCACAATGATGAACGCAATCATAGCTAATGTGACATTGACGTCTCCACTGGCAATCATAGATGTTGGTTTTCCCATCCAAAGCCCAGTGAACCAGCCCCCGGCGAAGGCAGCGATTGTTGTCATGGCAAAGGCGTGGAAAAAATGCATCTTCCCATCTTTATTTGGCCCTTTTCTGACTGCAATGGCACCTTGGAGCGCCATTCCGAAGGTGCGAATCTCAGCATGGTATGCAGATGTACCACAAAGGTACGCAAATAAAGTATCGAAGACTTCGCTCATGGTATGACAACCAGTACCTGGTAGTATCCGAATTGTGAGAATGTTGAGGTGTGAAAGCGAGAAGCAAGATTTTTGATGATGATATGATGTTGCTGACGTTTGTATTTGATTCCCAGGACCCGTCTGTCGTCTCCTGTGTCCAATTTTCCATTGCTACCTGACTACTTCGATTTTATGCCATCCGCGCGAGATAGACCTTTTCGACTCAACGGACTCTACTGTCACACTGCAAACGGGCCCCCAAGCAATGATAAAACGAAAGGAGCCACTAGCACGGAATTTTTGCGATCGGGTGGGTGAAGTCAAACTTTGAGACAAAAGAGGGCCATAGTTAGAATCATGCCAAGACAACAACTGAGTATTCATCATGCTTACATTGAAATCTTGGTTCCAATCTCGCATCATAGTGACAAGTGCACGATGATATCCTGGCATAACCAAGTGGTCATCTACCATCGTTCTCGAAATTTCAACGCCGTTTGCGAAGTAGCTGCAGGGTGTCACTGATCCAGTATACCCTACTCCATCTCGGAATAAATGGATGCAATTGCCTGGAGGTATCAATGAGATGGGTACTCGGTCAAATTTTTCGGTCGCTGTGTAGTTCAAAATCTCCTCTGACCATTTCAGCACATGACTTTTTGGTGGCAATATAGGTTTGATATTTGCAACGGGGGTCGTCTCTTCGATTCGGTCCATTGTGAACTTAAAATCTTCCCTTGCCATCGTTGTCCAGTTGAATCCAATCAAATCGAGTATCGCATTCACCATTGATGCTCCGCTCATTCGTGGGACAACATCCGCGTCGGCAACCACTGTTGTGATGTAGTCTTTGGTGGTCTCCGATAGTTCAGGCGATAACAGAGCTGGGCAGCCAAAACCGACCGCTTCGACCTCGACAAAGTCGTACTCTTTAAATTCCATAGCTGCAATCGCTCCAGCTCCTGCACCCAAACTGTGGCCCACAATATACAGTCGGATAACGTCCCTTCCAGAGTGCTTCAACAATTCTTTGAGTTTTGGAGCATAAAAGTCAACGAGGGCCCTACCACTAATCAAGATACCTCCATGGGCCTTTCCACCTCGATAGTCCTCAAGATCTAGTGTCATATCAGCGAGGATATCAGGAAGGTTCTTTGTTCCTCGAACGACCAGGGCGACTTGTAACTCGTTTCCCTTCTTTGACTCCCATGGCAATACAGATTCGAAGTACGCATCATGCAAGGGTGCTGGATTCTTGTGAACTAGAAGGAAATTTGCAGGTTTGGCAGGCAGCGATTCAGTACTTCCATAAGCCAACTCCCAAGTTCCATGTTGAAAATCGTGAAGCCCTGCCCGAAACTCAGATATGCTATTGACATATGCCAACTGAGATAGGTAGAGGGCATCGTGCAATTCTATTGCAACTTGTGGCGTGATCTTCGCATAGAATCTATGCTGTTGGCGTTTCCACGAGGGAGTGTAACTTTCTTCTTGATTCGCTATGTAGTAAATCAAGGCAATTGTGGTTGTTGGGCCTACTGAAGATAAGACTTTTTCGAATGTCTTGGTCATTTGGTTAATAGCATTGTCCACAGCCTCCTTCAATAGGCCAAGAACTTCTGGAATCGACGAAGTGACAGCATTCTGTTCCAAGAGAGTTGTTTTCTGAAGAAGTTCTTGCACAACAAAATTATTCTTTCCCCGATCACGGAAGTTATTAAGGGCTTTCATCGGACCACTGATTTTGTCTTTCTTTTCAGTGTTTCCAGCCTTATCTTGATTTCCATCCGGTGGAAACAGGTCAACGAAAAGATTTTTATACCAGTTCTCATCTTTTCGTCCAGTGGTAGCTCCATCGTTGTTCCCTGAAAAGAGAGTCAAAAATCCTGGAGCTTTCTCCAACTCTTGTACAGAGGTCTGTCCAAAGACCTTTTCTTTCAAGAAAGAAGCTGCTTTTTCACCAAGTTCATCGATCAAACCAGATATAGTGTCATTCTTGATACTTTCGGATTCATCTGATTGATCAAGGATTTCTTGTTCAGGTGGAATATCCTTTGAGCCTTGAGTGCTTCCCAAATGTCGTTGCGGATTGGAACCTGTCTTTTTCTGACGACGAAACAATTTCTGGAAAAAGTTTTGATCTTTCTCTGCCTTTTGCTCTTCTGAATCTTGAATCACAAAAAGTATGGATGCTTCAACGGTCAGCAATACAATCGAGCTGCATATTAGTAGACCGATAAGGATTGTCTGAAACTGGGATTGCTTCATTCTCGGTTGGCTTTGCTTTTGTGTCTTCATCTTGTGCGCGTGTTTGAACAGATCCTTGGTTGACTAATTGGACCCATATGAGACTTCATAAGTACCTGTTTCCCGCGCACAAACCGTTACTTTCAAAAAATTTGAATTGTCCAGTCGTTTTTTTCCTGTACCAACGGCCATGAACTTGGTACGTACCGGTACCAGTACTGTAACACCAAGCAGCAATCAAGGAGACAAACCATACTACCAGGTCCGATAGAGCAGAGAAACCAAAATCAACCCAGGCGGCGGCTTGATAAGCCTGCAGTATTTGAAAGATGGGAACGTGCCAGAGCACAGCAATTGCTCTCAATGCCTTCCAACAAGAGTCTACAGACAAAGTTCGCTCCTCCAAGGTATTAGCGAAGACCCGCAAAAGCCAAAAACTAAAAGTCGAGATTCAAAAGTATGATACGGCAGAACCGTCTATTTTCTCGCCGTCAGGGACAAGAGAAACGGATTCTACTACACCATCTTCCTTGCTTCCGTCACCTGCATTACATGCTCGTGCTGCTTCGTCCATTCAGATAGCTGCCACTGATCAACAGAACCAACAGCAGCAACATTCAAAAAATATGCGTGTGATGAAAAATCCAATTCTCAACTCATATAATGAAATCGAGGTCCAAATAGACCCCAACAACGTCAACTATGAGACGCAACCTACATCAGCAGTGTCATCCGGAGTTGTTGAACAGTTCCAAAAGTTAAAACTCCAAGCGCAGTTGGCAGATCGCTCCAAGCAAAGACGCAAGCGAAAGGAAAAGGTTACAAGTCGAAAGGCGATGGTCGATGAATACAAACACTTATGGAAGGAATATGAGCAAATTCAAGACAAAGTGAACAACAAAAATCGCTGTGGTGAAGGCATTCCCGAGTCAATATCCTTTTTAAAAGATTCTGATGCATGGTTCATTGACTTTCACGCGATTCACCATGGACAAACATTGAACAGTGGAACGAATGCTTCTAGTCCCACTGTTGCAAGCTTATCACTTTTGTCACAAACAAGCACTGAGGCGCAAAAGAAGTTCTTTCAAATGAAATCATATGAGAGGAAACAAAGGAAGAAGAGAAAAGAATCGTTGGAGCCAAACACAGCCAAGGATCAGTCGGCCTCTTCAAGATCTCTCATACATGCAACGTTGGGAGAGCGTGGCCATTGTTCCAAAAGGGTGCAAACTGTTGAAGCCATACGGTACAACGGCAATGATGATTACAACGTTCCCTACCGAATTCGTTCATCTCCGTCGACCGAAAATACCGAGTCCTATCTTGACCAAACTCTATCATACCTTGCACCTTCTTCTGAACCCGTAGAAAGCGACATGCCCTCCTCTCTTGCACTTGACAACAACTTACCTCGAAAAAGAAACCAAGATCTAAGCATCCGTCGTCTATACTGCACATCGACAAGCAACGAAAATCATGCCAACGAGGTTGTCGGAAAACAAGCTGCCAATTCTTTTAATCCCCCAATTTCTGAAATGTCGAAAGGATTTTTGATGATGTGCAGCCCCAAATCAAGCCTTACGGATGAAAAGAGCGCAGTACAGAATGCTGAGCGAAGTGCGAAAAGATATATGCAAGAAGGACAAGAAAGAGTCAATGCACATTCGGGCAATCAGATTTGGCACATGTCTAAGGATCACTTTATGGTGATGTCGTCTCCTCCACCAGCTTCGATAGAGACGGACAAAAGTGATAACTATTCGAGTGAAAGAGGAAAGGTTGAACAGGCTTCGGATAGATCACACCCAAGACCACAAAAGGCTTCGAATCAACTGAAACCTACTATTGATTACATGTCAAAAGCAGACTTTCTTCGAATGTCAGCTTTGCCTGAACCAGTCCCTATGTCGGCTTTACCGGACCACGTCCCAACGACGGTTGGCGATCCAACCTTCGATGATTCACAAGTAATGTCAAAAATATCTTGCGAGGACACTTTCATGTCCCAGGGTGGAAATCAAGAGGGAATAGAGGAGGATGACGAAAGTCCTCAAGCCTCAACGTCAACCGACGAAGACGAAGAAGATTACTATGCATGGGATGGACACATGGACGATGAGGAGTTCTGGGATATGGATATTCGACGACAATCTCTCGGCGATATCGATGAACTAGCTTCACAAGTTTCCAGCCGAATTTCGACGCTTCTAACGAAATTTCGGGAGGACAACAACTCGATTAAGACAAGAAGCGTCAACTTATAGTCCTAGCCTTTTCAACTAATTTTACGACTTTCCTGATTTTAATATATCGAATAAATGAACAACGCCATCAACTATGGTGACAAAAAGTTAGAAGCAACCTATTTTGGGTACTTTCGACAGACACTTTCGCAAACTGACGCGTACGTCTCAGGTAGCAATCCAAATATACGGGTGGCCTCTTCAATGACCTCGCCGTCGTCATCATTGTACAGTGCACAGTTGTCAAACATTAGCAGAAAGTCTTCATACAAAGTTTTGCACGCCTCTGAACCAGTGCCATATGATCCGTTTTCAATTTTGGACTCGATTGCAAGGATGTCAATTGGATTCTTTACCACTTCGTAGTATCCGGGAGCTTCCTCTTCATCCACTGGTTTCGCGAAAATAGAATAGCGATCAAGAATCGAGAGCTTTGACAACATCTTCTTCGCCACATCTTTGAATTTGGCGGGATCAGCGGAAGACGGCAACTCCCAGGCACCACGTTTTGTGAAGAATTTCCTTGCATCTTCAAAGGTATCACCCAAACGTTTCCTTTCACCTTTCAGTGCCGTACTGGCACGCTCGTCTTTTTCTCCTTCAATGACTGCCTCAGCACTAACGGAATCTGGATCCACCTCGTCACCATCGGTGTCGGCTTCTTTCTTCTTGCGACCTCGTTTGGTCGAGTTTTCATTGCCACCCTTGGACTTTCGACCACGTTTCTTTGGCATTGGCAGATCCTCCACATCATCATCATTGTCGTCCTCCACATCATCGTCGACAAACTCATCATCTTCATCGTCCTCCCTCTGCCGCTTCTTGCTTTTGGGCTCAGTCTCTTCACCGTCGCCTGCTGGAACAGAAATCTTGATGCGAGTCTTTTTCTTTCTGCTCTTCATTGAAGACAGTGGCATATCACCATGGTCGTCGCCGGAATCAGCATCATCAGCCATGCCCAGGGATTTCTTGGATTTCCGTTTTTTCTTTGGTTTCACGTCCGAGTCCTCATCACTAAGAGGCATCAATTCACCATCAGGGCCCCTCTTCCTACGTCTACGCCGTTTCTTTGGAGTTCCCGAATTCCCCGAAGTTCCCTTCTTCTTCTCATCATCAAGAATCTCAAAGACAGAACCATCTTCGGCCAGGAACAAGTCATGCTTCGTAGCAGCTTCTCTCAGCAATTTTGGTCTCATGAGAGCCTGCTCCCTTGCTTCCTTCACAATGTCCGAATCATTGGCATTAAATTTGAGACAATTCTGCATGACCAGAATGAAATCCTTTTGCATCGCTTGGGCAGATCGATACTCTCCATTATCCAGCTTCTTCTTCATTGTACCGTAATCCATGGGTTGCTTTATTTGTTCATAGTACTCTGGAAAGTCATCTTCGGGAACCGGAACCGAAAATACGCCACCGCTGTCCTCGTCAATTTTCATGACAATTTCCAAAAGACTTTCAAGTACTTTCGAAACCATAGTACGTGGAAAGACGGGCCATGGGCGGCCAGCAGCCGTCGCTTCATCCGTATCTGAAGCCCATTGACGTCTTCGGTTTGCCTCCTTGCGACTAATTGTATTCCTTTTCGTCCCGGAGCTGTCGTAAAGATCTTCCCCAACATCCGACCAGTCTTCTTCGTCGTCGGAATGCACCTTGTATCCGTCGTCTCCAATATTTGGATCTTCCCCTTTCTTTCGGCGCTTCTTTCTCTTCTTAACGATTCTCAGCTCTTCACGAATTTCAATGTCACCACCTCTATTCCGAGACGATGGAGTATGTCCCCGATCAGCGGCGTCGGATGTTCGGCAGCGACGGCGGCGATCTCCCTCGAGCCGTTTCAACATCGATCGTGCGATGTGCCGCTGCTCCTCGCTAAAAAGCTTCTCTTTTACGGATATAGTCAACAATAGTTTCGAAGCAACGGCTTTCTCTTCTGATGGTAAAGAGCCGTCCTCTACCTCGTCGAAGATACCTTCCATCATACTCTTCAAATCAGAAATGAACTTAGAGACTTTCTTCAAATCAGTTCTGGTAAGTTCAGTCTTCTCCTCCTTCTCCTCTTCGTCCTCGGCATCACTTGCTGTCTTGCTCTCTGTCTCAGTAGTATCTTTCTTCTCATCTCCGTCATCCTCCACCTCGATAGCTTTTTCGTTTTCGTCCTGCTCCTTTTCTTCTTCTCCAGCCTTCTTCCTCTTCCATCTACCTCGGCCCCGACCTTTTCCTTTCTTCTTGCCGGTGGTGCCGAAGATTTCATCGGATAAGTCCTCCAGCTTCTGGATCATGATTGATGGCGTCACGAAGTCGGGCATTACCTTTTGCCAGAACAAGGGATCATCCATATCTAGACCCGCAGTCTTGCTGTCCGATGAAAATTTGGATTTGCTCACAACCATCCCTGATTTGTTCAACCAGGATGCAGTTTTGGTACCTTCGACAACACGAGTACGTGTTCGCTTAGCCAGAATGTTGTCGATATCATCTGCGCAGAATTCTTTGCCAATTTCATCGTTCTCATCCTCCAAGAGAGCATAAGCGCCTTTCTTGAGGAGTTGCTCCATTTCTTTGCTAGTTGGTTTGTCACTATCATCTTGCTGATCAAAGGTTCCCAAAACCGCTTGCTCCAACCCCAACTTTTTGCTAGCCCTGTCGAACATTTCTTGTTCGAAAGTTCGACTTGTGACTAGACGGTAAATTCGGACATCCTTTGTTTGACCAATTCGATGGCATCTAGCTTGGGCCTGTACATCGTTTTGAGGATTCCAATCACTGTCGAAAATAATGCACACATCTGCTGCAGTAAGGTTGATTCCGACACCACCAGCTCGAGTTGAGAGTAAGAAAAGGAAACTGTTGGAATCCCTCTCAAAGCGATCTATAGATTTCTGACGCTCCGTTCCTCGAACTCGACCATCCAGTCTCTCGTAAGGAAACTTGCGGAATTCACAGTACTCGGATATGAGGTCGAGCATACGAACCATTTGGCTGAAGATTAGGATCTTGTGACCTTCTGCTCGAAGTTTTGGAAGTAGCTTGTCCAACAAGACCATTTTACCACTCGTCATTACATAGAGATGTTCGTTCAACATGTGCTGCATGTCTTCAGGAGCTTTCCCTTCGAACTTCCCTTCTTCTTGGTATTCCTTAAACTGGCGGTCCTGCTCACGGTGTTCAACTCCTTCGAGCAAACATGGGTGGTTGCACACCTTTCTCAACTCCATTTGAATATTCATCAGTTTTGGAGCATTAGATCGACTGGATCCCATGTTCAAGAAAGCGTGGTTATGCTCAAAGATCGCACGGTAGTATTGTTTTTGAATACTGGTTAGCTCCACATCAATCACGGTCTCTTCTTTAGCTGGGATATCCTTGGCAACATCCTCTTTCACACGGCGAAGCATGAATGGCGATATTTTGCCCTGAAGACCTTCGACCTGTTCCTTGCTTGCCATATTTCCATATAGGGCTTGGAAGTCGTCGAGATCCGGGAACTTGAACGGCTCAATGAAGTTTAGAAGTGTCCACAATTCAGTTAAATCATTCTGCAGAGGAGTACCAGACATCAATACACGGCTCTGGAATCCATATTGCATTGTTCCCCTTGCACTGATTTCTTTCATGCATTCGAGCAGTTTCCCCTTCTGATTCCGAAGACGATGCGCCTCATCCACAACAGCGGTTCTAAATGGAATTTGACTGATGACGTCAAAGTCACCGATGAGTGTATCGTATGTTGTGACAAGAACATCAAATTTCAGATAGTCAGAATTGTGCGGTCGGTCTTCAAAGTACCATTCGTATTCCCGAAGAACATCGCGCCACACACGCTGACGATCATGGTAGACACAGCACACCATATTTGTCCAGCCTTCGAACTCCCGTCGCCAATGTTCCACAGTGGAGAGAGGGACAACCACGAGATGGGGTCGTCGAATTTTCTCCACTCGATACAAGTGCTCTAGATAACATACAATTTGCACGGTCTTGCCCTGTCGGAAAAACGGAGTTAGAAGGTTCGGCACACATCGAAAATCGAATGAAACAATTACAAGGTCCGTACCAGTCCCATTTCGTCAGCTAGAATGCAACCATGCTTTTTGTAGTATGTACTAGCCAACCAATTCACACCCTCGACTTGATAGTCTCGAAGTTTGTTCTCGTTCTTGTACAGGTGCGGTTCGTTGGGATCGTACAGTCTGTCTCGGAATTGAAGCCAAGCTTCTTTTCCTTTCTTGCTTCCTTTTCCCTTGGACTCAGCTTTCCCTGCAGTGACGGTGGCACCAGCAAGAGCATACTGCCATCGGAATCCACCAATCTCCTCTTCCAAGTCTTCGTCGTACTCCCCACGAAGCACCTGTCTCAGCTCGTTAAGAGGAATTTGTAGTGTCGCAGCGGCTGCTTCTGCATTTGCCCAAACATTGATAACTTCGTTTGTGTCGACGTTAATTTGCTCAATCTTCACTGTAGACCTTTTCACTACTTTTTGTTCTGCGTCCACGTCCATTGCACTGACTGCAGGACCTGCTGCTTTCGCCCTCGCCAGCTCCTCACGCTTCGTGGAAATGTTCGGGAATCTGTCGAAGTCTTCTGGGTCGGGTGCTTCTGAAGTGAGATTGACTGCTGCAATCAACTTGCCTCGATCGCCAAGAGTGCTGAACTCGTTCTTCTTGACCGGCAGAGTCTTTGAATCATCCTTCACCCCCTTGGGCTTGGCTTTCTCGGTTGCCTCAATTAGTTCAGGTGGTATATCAGTTTTAGCTGTAAAGGTTGTGTCAACACCATCCAAGTAGAAGGCACAGTCCTCATCGCCTCCCTCATCGCTGCTGTATCCTACGTCCAAGTCAAGCAATCGATAGGCAAGAGAATGAGTCGTTTCGGCTCTGTGCCGTGGAAGATCCTCCTGGGGTTTGGCTTCCGATTTTTTATCATCCTTCTGCGGCGTTTGTGATTTTGGCTCGGGTTGTTCATCTGCCTTTACGTTCGTTTCTACATCTCTCATGTTTTCATCTACAGTAGCATTCTTTTCCAGAACCATATTTTCGTCTTCCTCCTCTTCCTTCTCTTCATCACTATCCGGTTGGAAGGAACCTTCGCTAGCTTCTGAACCATCATCGGACCCCCCTTCCCCATCGGCGTCGTTGGCTACTTCTTCGGTCTCTTTTTCTTCCTCCTTTTCTTGCATTCGACTGGCAAGAATTACCTTTCGATCCAGCGCGAACTTGTCTTTAAGCTCTTCGGTTGCGTAGCGTCCAAGTCTGCCAAAACTAGTCAAGTTACTGTCCCCATTGGTGAGCTTGGCTTCAAGGAATCGCATAAAGGCAAACTTGTTTTTGCCACTTTCTCGAAGGAATCCAATGACTTCTTGGAAGGTCTTGTTGATAGTGCTGACACCGTCAACGGCAATGATCCGATCACCGGCACCACGAATCAAGGTTTTGATTTCAGCAGGACCCTTGCTTCCATCAGGAAATTGGCGATAACCAAGAAAGGCAACCGAGCCGTTCACTTCACCAACATTCATCATTAGACCCTTTGCAGTTACTGGAATAATCGTGTCGTACTCCCCAGCCAGGAGAGGTGGCATCTTCTTCTGGTATTCGACAAGATTCGAATATGCACTCGATTGTGAAACTTTGTACGTCAATGAATGCAAGCACTCAGCTACTTCAGGAGGATACTTGGCCGAGTTGTGACTCGCTTGTGTCTTTGGTCCACACTCTGGAGTCAGTTTCTCTGGCAAATCCATTGCGAACTTGCAAAACTGAAAGGCTCTAGTTTGTGCGTAGAGCTGTGCTCTCATTTCCGGAATACAGTGATTTCCTCCCGCATTTTCCCTGCTAACGTGCTCAGCATCGTCAAGTACTTTTTGCACCACCGCCACGGGCATGTCTGGCTCGTCTGTCGATGCGTTGTTGAGTTTCTTGTACTCTGCAATAAGATCTGGTCTTCCAATATCGTCCTTCGTCTCCCAAGTGCAGTACTCGTATCCTAGTCCAACCCATTTGACCAGGTACATTGTTTGCTTGACGGTCTTTTTGGGAGTATCACCTAGTTCGGCTCTCTTTCGTGCGGCAGCTTCGGCATCGGTAATCTCGTGTTTGCCTTCCCACGGACGAGCACGTGGATCTGCCCATCGCAAATAGCGTTCCCGAAAGCCTAGAACCCACTCATGGTAGATCCGTTCAAACTGTTTGGACATGTAGTCTCCGACGTGCCAAATTGCGGATCCGTGGCGATTGTAAATCTTGCAGTTGTTCCAAACCTATCAACGTAGAAGAAAAAGACATGAGACAAAACTACAAAACTACAAAAGAAGCAAAAGAATAATCATTGCCTCGGAAGACCTACCTTTCGCATATCACGGGCAAATTGCTCGGGTGCTTGATACTTTTTATTTTTGAGCCTGGTTCGAATGGTTCCTAGATCCATAGGTTGATCAATCAGTTCTTCATAGTCTGGAAACTCTTCCAAATCCACAGGCTCCAAAAAAATGTCCGAAAACTCATCTTTTGCCAAGGTTTCCAACACCATCAGGCACCGCCGAATGGGTTGCCACATTTCGTTGGGTCGTTGGGCGCGTTCCATGAGAGCCCGTTCCTTTTCATATTCCTTGACTTCTTCTTTGGCCAGTTGAATAAAGGGAGCCTGTTCTTCTTCATTCATGGAATTCCATTGTTCCCCCACAATGGTCATGAGTTCTCCTTGAGTAGCCTTGGGGTTGCGCTTGGCAAAGTATGATCGCATGGTACATTGGAAAAAGAGATATGAAGCTCGAGGCTTTTTCGGTGGCTCTGTAATGTATCCGTCTCGGTAAGGATTATCACATCCTTCGATTTTGGGGTAATAGGGTCCATCCTTGTTGACAATTTTTCGAAGTTTATCTACTGTGAGTTGACTAAAGTCGACATCTTCATTTTCATCCCAATCTTCAACTTCTTCTTCTGAAAAAATGATTGGACATCGTGGTGAGTATTTTTTGAAAACGGGGAAGTATAGGAAAGCAATTCATATGCATTTTCATTCCAAGCAGCATTTTCATCAACCTACCTTCATGTTCTTCTGTTTTCTTTTCTCCTTCTTTGGATCCCTCCTTGTCCTTGTCTTTGTCTTCTTTATCCTCATCGCCTTCTTTCTCATCCTTATCTTTATCTTTGTCCTCATCTTCCGATTCGTCTTCGCTGGAGGATTCCTCGGCAATTTCTTTTTCTCGTTTTTCTTCCCACTTCATGAGTTCCTTATCGGTAAGATCCAGCGTCAATTCTTGTTCCGTTTCTGCCAGAATCTTTTGGGGCTCGGCATAGGACGGATCAAAGTTTGGGTCTTCAAAGTCTTCGTCGTGATTTCCGGAAGCCAACTTGCGTAGATAGCGACGGTACAATCCCTTGGCTGACTTGTTCATGGATTCTAAATCAGCACCCGTCTTGTATTCGAGGTGAAGGTAGGAGCGATTCTTGTACTTGACCAGATATTCGTATTCAATGGTGGACTCCTTCTCCTTTGGTGACGATTCTTTCTTGTTTTTCTTTTTGGTTTCCTTTTCCTTTTTGGTGGTCGAGCGACCCCTTCGCCGACCTCGTCTTCTGCCTCGACCGGCATCCGAGTCTTCCTCGTCTTCATCATCGTCTTCTTCCGTGTCAGCCTTTTCCTCGTTTTCTTCATCATCATCGTCGTCCTTGGTTTCCTTTCCATCATTGCCATCTACGGGTCGTCTTCCCACAATGAGTTCAATCCGGGGAGACCCATCTTCTTCGTATTCCGGAAGAAATGGAAATCGCTCTCGTATTGGCGGCAATGACGGATCGTATCCCTTTTCCGTATACATTGTCTTGGGAGGAACGTAGGCTCCTTGTTCGTCCGTTCCTTGTTGTACCAAGACGACCCCCTCGGCAGCTCCTTTGGATTTCCGCGGACGTCCCCGTTTGGGAGTGGGAGCAGCAATCACTGGCTCCTCCTTGTCCGAGTCTTCAAAGACGTCTTCCGCATCACTGAATTCTTGTTCGAGGGCGTAATTGACCACCTTGGCCCGGGCTCGTCGGGAGCGACGGCCTCCATCTGACATGATGTTGTGGAAGTATGTTTAGATTGAGTATAGTCGTAGTGTGTGTGTGTGCGTGTGCGTGTGTGTGTGTGTGTAGCAGTAGTAGTTGTTGTTGTTGTTACTACAGCGTGGAGAAGTGTTTGTGCGTGTGGTGTTGTGGTGTGTAATGAGACGCAGCACGTGTAGTCGTTCTAAAGAAGGAAAGTGTATGTGTGTGAGAGAGAAAAACGGTGAAAAGGTACTTTCAGAGATGATTTTGGAGGTTCTTTAGTAAGACGATATCACAAAATGACAGGAGAATCATCTTTTGGTGTGTGTGTTCGTACAACCAGTAGTAAGTTTGTGCTTGTAATGAACAAAGATGATTCTTATGCCTTTTGAAGGTTCCAATGCCTCCCATATCCTTGCCCGACACTCCCATTGCTTGTTTTGACCCACCAAAATTCGGTTTTGGGAGTGAAAAATGAAGAATCGCTTCTGGTTTTACGAATCACACAAATGCGCGCGTTTCCAGTTTCGACAAATTGGCATCCAGAAACCACAAGGATGACGGGAAACAAGGCATTGGCGGTCATGGAAGGTGTCTTCAACACTCTCTTTTTCACCCTTACAATGTAGGAAACGCTCAAATTCATTCAACGGTCACTTACGAGGAGGATCTACTTGGTCAATGATGCACTACACATTTCGCTCACTCTTGCCGGAGATCGATTTCCATCCTTGGCGCCGCTCACAAATTCTCGCTCGCTCGAGTGTGTCGACCCTGGTAGGTTTTTGACAGTAGCAATACATGTAGAAAACATAGCGCGGTGGATGGAGGAAATCAAATGAATCAATCGACTACCGAATCCCCGTTTTTATCAAAATAAAAAGGGGATGTATGGTCCAAGCATTGAGCATGGTGGTGGTGGTCCGTTGGATTTTGATATTTAGCTTATTTGGTCGCACGAACACAGATCACACAACGCAAGTCTTTCCGCATTGCAGTCTTTTGAACACAGCGTTGGACGGATCATAACGGCCAACCGAATACGACGACGAGCTTCTACTAACACTCTCACGACTTAACAAGCACCCACACACACGCATCATCTTATAGAAACAATACACTATACACACCACACCACACCACACCACACCACACCACACCACACCACACTACACTACACTATCCTCTATTCCAAACACAACTTTGTAGTAGAATGAGAGTTCCTTCTTCCCCTCCTCAGGAAGAGAAGAAAGAAAGCGGTATTCAAACACCCACACTGCGACGGAATATTTCCGTCCAACCAACGGTGTTGGAAGACACTACGGCCATTCAGAGGCTAGTGGAATACTTTGTAGTGATTAGTTGCCAACCAAGATGGGATGAAAATGATAATGGTAGTAGCAGTAGTCCGCAAAAGCAGCAAAAGAGACCACCCACTCCAGAAAGAAATAGATCAAGGCCTTCCACGCCAGAACGGAGGAGACCGTCGACACCCGAAAGGCGTAGGTCCAGGCCGTCCACACCGGAACAAGGTCGAACGAAACTACACCAACACAACAACAACAACAACAAGTTTGCCGACAAGTTTACCGAGGGCACGAAACGGTTCAATGAATCCTTTCAAAACACATTTAAAAGAAAGGAAGTCTCAGGAACGGAACGGGCTATACAACGGACCCTTTCCGCGGATGAAAGTGAATCGAGAGAAGAAACACTGAAACCACCCAAACCACTAGGGACTTGGAAACGAGAAGAATCCGAATACACAGATGGTAACATTCGCGTCCCAGAAGGAGCGTCGGAACGTAACACCTTTCAACCCAGAGTGACGGCGAGGTTTCCACCAACGGACCACGCGGACAATCCACTCAATCCCATGATTACACACTTTTGTCATCCACTGGGAGACGTAGTACTACCAACTACGGAATATCAAAAACCTAAAGTCCATCATTTTGTTTTGACCAATGAAAAGGGTCGGAAAGTGTACGGCACTTGCTTGACGTTTTACGAAGAATATCGTCCCGGTGATGGAGACATTTTACGGTCCAGGAGTCTGGTGCACGAAAATTCGGATCGAGACATTGAAGTGACGGTACAAGATGATGTATCAGAAGAAGAAAAACTTTACTTGCCCCGGTGCCTGTGTATATTGTCAATATGGCCCTATGTCAGAGCGTTTCGGAAATATTTGGCTCAATTGTATCGATTGGCCACGGCGACGGACTGCATGACGGCTCCCATTGAGCGGTATATTGTCAATATTTGTTTGGAAATTCCAGCGCCACCACCAGGGGCCTTTGAAGTGCAAGTCAACATTTTGGATTTGGTGATTCGGTTTTGGTCACCACCAGCTCGTCTGCCCATTGCCTATGTGGCCTTGCCGTACCAAACTCTCTTTGATTGCTTGGATATTGACACGATACTGCACTTGTGGTATTGCCTCACAATGGAACGAAAAGTTTTATTGGTCAGTAGTCAATGCTCCTTGTTGACGGTATGTTCGGAGATTCTTTGTTCACTCCTTTATCCAATGAAGTGGAGTCATTTGTACGTACCAGTCTTGCCACGCTTCTTGTGTCCCATGCTGGATGCTCCAGTACCATATCTATGCGGAGTCACCCGAGAAAATTGGAACCATACACAACAGTTTGTAAGCGAAGATACGGTAGTTGTCGATTTGGATCAAAACAGTCTGATGTTTGGACAGGAAACACCAGAGTTGCCAGCTGTGCCTGGAAAGAAGTGGATGAAGTTGCAATCCAGTTTGCATGAAATTGCTGGACATTTATTTTGGGAGACAAGGGGTCTGGAAAAGGAATACAGAGATTTTATGGATGACAATATTTCAGAAAGGAATTTTCAGAGAGTCGCGAGGGAAAGGGCCGAAGAAACATGGAATGAAAAGATTGAAACATACGATGATGCATTCAATTTCCAATCCACACCGGATGCTAGGCAGGCCAAGTCGAATGAAACCATTGAAAGAGAGCAAAGCTTGTGGGACAAGGTTCAAGAATGCTTTCTCCGTTTCTTTGTTGCAATCTTCAAACATTATCGGGAGTTCCTCCACGTTCCAGATGCAGGTGCTAGCACCCCATTAATGTCACCAAATGCCAACGAATTTCAAAAATGGAACAAGCGACGATACTTTGACCGAGATGGATTTCTAGGGTCTCAGAATGCGCTTTATTTGCCGTTTCTGTATGAGTTGTGCGCTACACAACATTTTGATGATTTTATCACGAAACGGTTATACAATCCAGAAATGCCGGAAATCATATTTTTCGATCAGAGTATCGATGCCAAATTGAATCGCAGTCGCCTGAAATTTTCCAAAGTGGACACTCCTTTTCTTCAGAGCGCCAAGGCGCACAAGGTACTCAAGTCTTTTGTGGCAGTTGAACCAAATGCCAATGACTTGCCCAGGAAAGGTCCCTTTGTCTACAAGAGTTGGCCAGAGACCTTTGATAAGAATTTGTTTTCCAAGCCAAGACCCATTCCAAGCATAATTACTGCCGAGTTCGATCGACAAGCTTCTCTATTTTCGAAACTGCGGAAACACCATTCTCCTGCCAAAGACAGTAACGGCGAAATGCTACTATTCTATGGAAGCGATTACGATATGCACCCTGAGGGCATGGCATTCACAGTCTACTTTTTTATATACTCTGCTGTGATTGGACGTGAATGGAGAGATTATCAATTGAAAATGAGGGAACTTGAAATGGCCGGTGGGCCAATGAAGGTTTCGGCATCGGATGCAGTGGAAATTGCCCCATACGATGAAGGCATGGTTTCTGATTTCACCCTCGGTGTGTTCGACGGTTGCAATCCAGAAGTGCGATTTGGGCAACAAGTCGTTGACTGTACTCCCTGTCCTCAATATGCCGGCCAATTGAACTCACAGGCGCAAGAGGCATATACTGTTATTTCAAAGTTTGCATTGAACCAAATAGAAAGGATGAATAAAGTGACTGGCAGCTTGCTTGACGATGATGAAGGCTTGGCAGAATATGAGGAGGCAAGAGATGTTGCTGTTGCCCAGTTGGACTTGGCGTTCGACTCGTTGAAAGCGATGGAAACCCGTGGCTTCTTGTCAGATCCAGATATTTTCCGATCCCTGATGGAAGCTTGTAGCCGATGTGGCGACACAACACGTGCTCTTGAGCTTATTGAAATGATGAAACGTGACGGAGTTGCAGACAAAGAAGTTTTGGCATGTTTTATGAGTGCCTTTTGCCACAGCGGAGGTGATGGAATGGGTTCAGTGCGGAATTCTACCGGGGGTACAGATGCTTACTCAGACCTCCTACGAAGGAAGCTGGAAGCAGTTGGTGGCACACCGAGAGGAAGCTCAATTCGTGGCAGCGTCTTATCGGAATCTGAATCGGAATCAGCTTTTAGTGATTTCTTTTCTGAGTCTGGATCGGTGTCGTCGCAATCATCAACTGCGTCAAAAAGATCGTCCTTGATGGAGTGGTTGGTACCTCCGAGTAACAGGAGCCTGATGAAGAAAAAGAAGAAGAAAAAGCGGCAAAAAAAGAAGTCAAAGAAACCCATGTCTGAAGAATGGGCGTTGACCGATCGTCTCAGCAAGCAAATTATGTTGGGGCAAAGTCTCTTGGAGTTTCTATACCCTGACCTCTCTCTTGACACAAATGGAGATGCTTGTCCAAGTTGCTCACACATTATGTCAGAGCAAGAGATTATGAACGGCTGGCTTCCTTGCGAATTTGAAGATTACAGAACAACTTGTTCTCGATGTAACCACCGCTTTGTTCCAAAATTCTCAGTTTCTTGCAGCGCTCCAACCTTTGAAGGTTCACAAGGAAAGGGGACTCCTTTATTTTGCGAGTTACTGTCGCCATGGGTTCTTCGAAAAGAAGTCCACCATGTTATAAAAATGGAAAATGGGATTGACACCATCCTCAATCCCAAGTGGCGGTCAGGAACAGATATCCAGGCAACCCTTTGGTGGAACTTGATTGCTATGCTACAGAGGCACGAACTCCCGTACTCGTTTTTGCTTCAAGGCAGTTTCAAGAATCGCTTGATCAATCCTGTTCCGCAGGATTAGATTGCAATAATTTTGAGCTCTTCACTTTGTTTTAGTGTTTTTGCTTCTATAAATGTCTGTGGTCTATGGTTGATTGCTGTCATTTCATGATTCAAACTTACTCGTGACTCAAAGAAGCCATCATCATCAAAACCATTGCTTTTCTCCATCAAAAATTTTAGTTTCAGGAATGATGACATCAGCGATCATGGCAAGAAGGTTGGGTTCTACAGCTGGACGACGGCATGCTCCTATTAAGGGAATACTTTTGGCTTTGATAGCAACGGTAGATGGCTTCTCTTATGTTAACACGGTTGCAAGAGAGCGACAACGAAAGTTGAATTCCAATATCAGGCAGTCAACAAGGCTATATTCACAACATGCCACTATTACGGATAGTATCCGGACGGCTTTTGAAGAGGACCAGACGGATGGGATCCTAAAACTCTCAGACTTGCATCTTGAGACTGATGTTGATACCCTGGTTGAAGCTACCCTCGATGCAATCGACGACAACCGAGGACATGTTGCTAGTATCCTCAATGGCTTCATAGGATCTTGCATGTTCATGGAAGATGAGGCAACGGCAGCATCAAAAGCTTGCGAACTATTGGAAACGTTTGAGCAGCTGGAGGAAGAGAAGGAAATCAGACCAGATACTGTAACGTATTCCTTGGCATACAATGTCATTAACAGGGATCCCGCCTCAGTTGATCTTGCCAATGTTGCCTTGCAACGTGCACAAAGGATGAGCAAAAAAGTGGCTGGGACAAAGAGAAGAAAGGCACTGGCCGCATCTCGCCGAAAGAAAGTAAGCGAAAGCTGCAAATCGGTTGAGAGTGACCTGAAGGAACTTCTTGGGGGTGATTTCGAGGTGCTCCACGAGTCAGTCGATGCTTTTGTGATCAACAAACCAAGTGGGATTTCTTGTTTTCACAAGAAGAAAACGACTGCTGGAAAGGTAAAGAAGGGGAAAGCTTCTCACAAGTCATCCGATGTCAGTCTGGAAGATGCGCTGTCGCTATGCGGGGTACCTTTGTCCACATTGAATCCAGACGCACTAGGCCTGGTGCATCGTCTTGATCGAGGAACATCAGGATGCATGGTTCTAGCAAAGACTGACCAAGCTCATGCAAGCTTGGTATCGGAGTTCTTTCTTCGAAAATGTGAGAAGCAGTATACAACAATTGTTGCACCAGCTCCTTTGTTTTCAACCCCAGACTCTGGATCTATTGACATGCCTGTGAACGGAAGACCCGCAAAGTCAGAATATCATATTGTGAAACGATACGATAGCACAGCTGCTCTGGTAAACTTCAAAACACATACAGGTCGAAAACACCAGGTTCGAGTCCATGCTGCAACTTCCGATCTTGCCTCGCCAGTATTGAACGACCATTTGTACTCCAGAGAAGACAGGATACCAGACCTTCCAGACGATGTTATCGAGAGCGATAATGCAAAAGCACGATTCTTTCTGCATGCTTCCTCACTGTCGATTCCACGGTATGAAATAAACTGCCAAGCTTCGCTTCCCAGCTGGTGGAAACCATTGCTTCAATCAATACAAAATACTTCCTCAGAAGACTAGACTATGAATTTAAATGTATCAGCTACGCTTCGATTTCTGTTGTAGCATTGTCCTTCGTTTTACTTCGTGCTTCGTGTGAAGATTCTGTTGCTGCTTGATCTTGATTTTCGTGTGGGGGAAAGCTGCCACTTGGGAGGATGATAGCGAGGAAGCCATCAAGCAAAGGATCGTCCTTCAGCACCTCAGGTGTTAGATTCTTATTCAACTCGATGATCGTACCAAACACACAGGCCTTCAGAGCAATTTTTTCGCCGGATTCAAGCTCCAATTCCACCAAAGTCGTAGAAGGTGAAACCGCGTCCTCCAACTTTTGCCCCTGCAGCATCTTGGTCTGGCGTTTTCGCTTTTGGGCAGCACTAAATGCAGGTGCTTCGCAAGCTACAAAATGTATGGACTTAACATTCGGCGGTATTTTTCCCCCTGCGGTCACTATGCAAAGATCATTGCGATGCTTGTGAACCACTTGTTGCATCTCAAATGAATTTCTGCAATCAGAAAACTTGATGTTATGTGATGTTTCAAAGAAGCTGTGTGGCGATCTCGGATGGTTGATAGGCTCTCTTTCTTCAAATTGTATAGAGGCATATTCTCGTTTTGTGATTTCTCCAAACGATCGTTTCTTGGATTTCTTGACCATGTTTGGTGTTGTACCGGAATAGTTGATGGTCGATCTTTGGGTGTGGCAATAATGGTTGGAGGTGGCGATGCCTCTTTTGTCGAATGAGTCGTCTTCCTTGGGCGTCAGGCCGGCGAATGCGTTTGGCCCAAACCAACGACTGAGTTGATCATCGGTTGAAACCCGTCTCTCAATTTTAACTGAGTGGATGAACAAGGCGAGGGGGAAGTCCGTCCAAACCCGCAACTTCTGACGCTTGCTTGGCTTCATTAATGTCTGCAGGAAACCAAAATCTGCTTTTCCGGTTGATGCTATACATTACCTTGTCGCATTTGAGAAGAATTCCGTCGTGCACCGCATTTCAAACCAGCTTCCAACCGACCCGTCAATCAGTCTCGAGACTCTTCGCTTCTGCCTCAGAAGGAACTAGATTTACTACTATGACTACCGCAAACAAGTCTGAAAAAGTTAAAGCGAAGCTGGTATCTGTGGATTCCCTAGAAGAATGTGGAGAGAGACTTCGACAAGGAGGTCTTGTTGCCTTTCCAACAGAAACTGTGTATGGGTTGGGTTGCAATGCTCTGGACCAAGATGCAATTATGAAAGTTTTCAAAGCAAAAGAAAGGCCATTGACTGATCCGCTGATCACACACGTGACAAAACACTCAGATGCATATGAACTGTGGAATGCGGAAGAGTCCTCCATCGAGGGCAAAGCATTACGCCAATTATGCGACAAGTTCTGGCCTGGTCCGTTTACACTAGTCGCAAAGGCAGCTCCTCATGTTCCACAGACTTTAATGGCAAACACTGGATTTGTTGCTTGTCGGGCTCCACAACATCCGATATCCATAGCTTTGATTGATGCTGCCAAAGTGCCCATCGCAGCACCAAGTGCCAACAAGTTTGGTCACGTATCACCCACCAGAGCCTCGCATGTTTGGGATGATTTGCATGCTGAAGATGTTTGGATTATTGACACGACAGAGAGCGACTCGGAAGTTTGCGCTGTTGGTGTTGAAAGTTCTGTCGTAAAGATGGAGTTGAGTGAAAATTCTGAGAAGGGAACGATTACGCTGCTGAGACAAGGTGCAGTTTCCGCCAGCGCAATCCAAGGTTGCCTGGAGGAGGCGGGAATAGCAGACAACTTTGACGTTATCTCAAGAACCAAGAAGGCTGTGGACGAGACAGTTGCAGAAGTTGCTCCTGGCCAAAACATTCGCCACTACTCTCCAAACATCGTCAGCCGGATTATTTCTCAATCATGTTACACCTCCAACAAAGACCCTACTCACGAGGAAGTTGAAGTCTTGTCCAAAACTGTATTGATTGACTTTGGTGGCAAGTTGTCATCTTGGGAGAAACATGCCATTGCCTACAGAGACTTGAGCAAAAGCGAAAATTCTGCTGAAGCGACGAAATCAGTTTTTGACATTCTAAGGTGGGCTGAACAAGTGGACGATGCCACACAAATCCTCTTTCCAGAGATACCGGATGGCCCATCTGTGGATGCGTTGACATTGGCTTTGAAAGACCGCCTGACTCGTGCAGCCAGTGGAGTTGTAATTAGTAGAATAAACTAGCAAATTTGAAATTACCAATATCCGTGTTCGTGACCGGACTGGACTGTCTGGCACCCGTTTTTCTATTGGTCTACATCATCATTCTCATTCACCGTCGCATCATTTCTTCATTGGAAATTCTCAGCGTACACCTCTAGGATACGTATCAGATAAAATAGGGTGGGTGAAGACATGGCTTTCATACTTCGAACAAATTCGCGGCACTTTGCTGGAGCCAATGCCACCAAGTTTTTTCAGCCTCAAGTTTTGGCTACCGGTACCAACAACTTCTATCGGTGGATGAGCACCGACAAGGAAATCCGAAATATTGGAATCAGTGCCCACATTGACTCTGGAAAGACAACTTTGACTGAGAGAATATTGTTCTACACTGGTCGCATCAATTCAATTCACGATGTTCGCGGAAAAGATGGTATCGGCGCCAAAATGGACAGCATGGATTTGGAACGAGAAAAAGGTATCACTATTCAATCTGCAGCCACCTTTTGCCAGGTAAGTTTGTTTCCTTTCTTGAATTTCCTGACTAGTCCAACCTGTTCACCAATAGAATTCTAACGAATATCATTGTAGTGGGGAGATAGTCATATCAATATTATTGACACACCTGGACACGTTGACTTTACAATTGAAGTCGAAAGAGCGCTTCGAGTGTTGGATGGGGGTGTGCTGGTTCTATGCGGTGTTTCTGGGGTCCAATCTCAATCTTTGACAGTCGATCGTCAAATGAAAAGATACAATGTTCCTCGCCTTGCTTTCATCAACAAGCTGGATCGTCAAGGATCCAATCCCTGGGGTGTCATTGAACAATTGCGTGATCAACTCAAGCTGAACGCAGCAGCTGTGCAAATTCCAGTCGGGCTCGAAGCCACCCACACAGGAGTCGTCGATATTGTTGAAATGAGATCTGTTCATTTTGACGGTGAGAAGGGTGAAAATCTTGTCTATGGAGACATTCCGGAAGATATGGTGGATACCGTTGAAGAAAAGCGTGCCGAGCTTTTTGAGCACTTGGCTGAGGTTGACGACGAAATCGCAGAACTCTTCTTGATGGAAGAAGAGCCCGACAAGGAAACCCTTAAGGCTGCGATTAGACGCCAAACCATTGCATGCGCTTTCGTTCCTGTGTTTATGGGTTCAGCATTCAAGAACAAGGGAGTTCAACCTCTTTTGGATGGTGTTATCGATTATCTTCCACAACCATTCGAAAAAGAAAACTATGCCTTGGACCTTACAAAGGATGAAGAACCAGTCAAGGTTTCTGCTGACGACAAAGACTCACTTTTGGCTCTTGCCTTCAAGCTCGATGAGACGCAGTACGGTCAACTTACCTACATGAGAATCTACCAAGGTATGCTGAAGAAAGGAAACTACATCACCAACGTGAATAGTGGCAAGAAGATCAAACTTTCACGCATTGTGAGAATGCACTCTGATGATATGGAAGAAATCGATGGTGCTGGCGCTGGAGAAGTTGTAGCTATGTTTGGAGTGGACTGTTCTTCGATGGACACCTTCTCCGATGGAAGCATGGATCTTGTCATGAGCACTATGTTTGTACCGGTAAGTGGGTGATATATTTGTTGCGCTTGCAATAACTTTGACTTTGGTAGACAAAATTCTCACGGTATTGTGTTACAGGAACCAGTCATGAGTCTAGCAGTGAAACCAAAGAAGACTACCATGCAAACTCAGTTTGGCAAAGCGCTCAACAAATTCTCGAAGGAGGATCCTACACTTCGTGTTAAGATTGACCCCGAGACGAAAGAGACAATTCTCTCTGGAATGGGAGAGTTGCATCTTGAAGTTTATATCGAACGAATGAATCGTGAATATGGAGTAGAGTGTACAACTGGTCAACCGAATGTCAATTACAAGGAGACTATCAACAAGATGATGAAGTTCGATTATGTTCACAAAAAGCAAACAGGTGGAGCTGGACAATATGCCCGAGTCATTGGGTACCTTGAACCCCTTTCAGAAGAAGGGCAGAAAGAGATTGGAAAGCCCACAGAATTCGACAATCAGTGCATTGGTACAAACATTCCACCCGAATACTACTCTAGTTGCGAGAAGGGAACTGATGATGCCATGGTGGAAGGTGCATTAGTAGGGGCAGAAGTCGAAGGTGTTAGGGTTGTTCTTAAAGATGGAGCTAGTCATGCTGTCGATTCATCTGATATGGCGTTCCGCACTTGCATGGCCAATGCAATCCGTGATACAATGAAGAAGGCCAACCCTAGTATCCTAGAGCCTGTCATGGCCGTAGAAGTAGAAATTCCTTCAGAATTTCAAGGTACTGTTGTGGCTGCCTTGAATCGGCGGATGGGAATGATCCAAAGCAGTGATGTGAATGACGATGGGAGTGGAATCAAGATAGTTGCCGAAGTACCGCTTGCCAACATGTTCGGATACTCAACGGAATTGAGAAGTTTAACCCAAGGAAAAGGAGAGTTCTCTATGGAGTATTTTAAGCACATCCAAGTTCCAAAAAATACTCAAGAAGACCTAATGAAGAAGTACATTGAATCCAAGAAAAAGGATGAAGAGGCTGCTTAGATGTCGACCTGTACTATCTGTTTACAATAATGATCTTTCTTAAAAATAAACTCTATTGGTGAAGCCTATTTTCTGCTTATCATGATAAGCACCAAACACTGTTTATAACCCGTTGAATGCACCAGAAGCAATCTTTGCGTATGATTAGAGTTGGTCTTGTGTATTGCAAAATGGTACCAATGTGCATCCAAGTTGCTCAGTTGTTTTCTTTGGTTGCCTCCAGTATGCCAAACAAAAGACAGTCGGGAGTGATATTAGTCATGATCTGAAAACTGCATCCAGTAATGAACTGCCTAGGGTCTGTAGACTCGCATGAAGGTGCACTCAACAGCACAAACTGGACACCGAATAATGTTGCGGCTGCAATCTAGGCAGCATATCTGATGTCCACATGGAGTTGCGACACAATTGATGGGGTTCGAGAAACAAATGATACACTGAAGGGATAAATTGAGAGTGAGTCATAAGCTTCATGGAAGAACAATTAATGTTGATCGAAATTACCTCATCTCGCGATGTACCGATCTCTTCTCCTACGTCAGACAAACTTGTTGCGGTGATCACGTTATCATCCTCTGTTTGAATCCCCTGGTTCCCACTACTTGATCTAACAATCGTACTGTCTATTGGTATAGCAAGATCTTCTGGAAGGGACGTTTGCTGCCTGTGGAATGCATTATCAGGTAACACTCTCAGAACAAGATCTAAGTTTTGCGTCAGAATTTCATTCGAAATCCCCTTTTCGGCCGTGAGCACTGGAGAGAAAAAATAAGAAACAGTCTCCCGAAATACTGTCGAACAATGCCAAAGACTTACTCATTCGTTTTTTCACCACCAAATAATGCACTATGTCAATATTTCTGTTTTCAAGTGCGATTCCCAGCAAAGATCTGCCTTTGGAAGTTAGAATTGGCGTGTACGTTCCAGCAGCATCTCTCTGTCTACAACTGCTAATGCGAATCGACCTTAGTGGGCAGCAGTGTTCCTCGATCAACCATTTTAAGAGCTCTAGGTTCCCTCCCAATACTGCGCACTGAAAGATGCAAGTGTTTGAGCATTAGAGAAAATAGGACAAAACAAAGCAACCAGTTCACATATATAGAATAACTTACGTGCACAGGATAGCTGTGTTGTTGGCAACCAGTGGGCAAAAAAGGGATACGTGAGACATACCAGTCAAACGTCACAAATCACAAAACTGCTACTTACAATAACTCTCCTTTGACATTTGCAAACGGTGTTGTAAGATTGATATTTCCAGTCGAGTGTATAGCTATTGCTCTATCCTTGTCACCGTCAAGAAGCGCCAATCTAAAGGAAGAACACAACCAATCGCATGTTTTACAAACATTCATCATGGACTCTTTCTTGATGTTGTACGTGATTGGCAACATCTTTTGTGGCCATTGAACCATACAATTATTGCACACACAGATACCACAGTTTCGACAATGTGACGCTCGTTTGAACACATTGAATTGAGAAGCACAGATAGTACAAGCTGGATTTGCTTCAAAGGCATGCATTTTTGGTGGGGACCAAGCCTTTGCCAAACAGACTGCCTGCTTCCTTGTTGGAACAGAGAACGCCCTGACAGACTTTGCGCTCTCTTCTGTATCCCTTTGCTCCAGAGCTTTTTGGTTCGTGTTGACTGTTGTTACCCACGAATTGGTAGCTTCTGAAAACAAAACTGTTGATGGAAGTAGTTCTCGAGGATATAACGATCGTGCAAGCTCGTCATTCGTTGTCACATTCTGGCACCTGAACAGCAAATCAATCACGCTGCTGGTACTTCTAGCCATTACATTGCTGGTATTCCTTGCAATAGAGCTTGGATGAAACTGTGAAGAGATTAGAAAGATGGCTTGGAGAGAGATCAGGCCTCGCCAACAGCCAATGACTTACCGACTGTAAACGAATACTTCCTGAACTTGTTGTCCGCTGAGAAGCAATTGCAATTGAATCCACACCAGCGTCTGCATCTACAGATCCATGGATAGCCTCAGCTGCTGGTGCAGAATTTGTCAGCATTGGTGAAGCCACCACATGCGAAGGGGAGTTGTGAGAAGATGCCGATAGATTACCTTGCGTGTAATGATGGTCTGAGTCCAAGGCTATTTCTTGGTGCACAGCACTCGTTTCAATTACAGCACTGTTTTGGTTCGCGATTGGTACCTCCGTTTTCCGTGCATGAAGTGCTGAGCCATCACTATAGTCAAAGTTCTCAACTGGTTCAGATAGCACAGTGACCGGCATGGGAGGCTCTTCGTTGCTAAATCTGTTGTCGTCTCCTACTAGCTCTGCCATCACTGCGGCATAAGCATCAACTTGAGTGAACTCTTGGTAGTCAATGAAGGTTGCATGAGTCTCTCGAGGTACTGCCCCAGTTTGCCCAGCCGTTTCAGTAGCAACTACATCCCCAACCGGGCCTTCTACTACAAACTCCCCGTCACCGATAGTTGCATCGTTCAAGCCTTGTGCAGCATTGCCCTCCTGTTGCATGTTTGATGCTACAGCAACAGCATAATTGGAATCTGTTCCCATCAGCTCAGCTTGTGCTGCATCTCCAACAAGCTCTGAAGGGTGGTAATTGTCGGTGATACCTACAACTTCTGCTGCTCCCTCTGCAATGGCAAAACTGTCGCCACTGCCATCTCTGCTTGTCCAATCATTGTCTTGCATCGGGACATCTTTTAACTCAGGTTCAAAAGTAGTGTCCCCAGGTGCATCATCCAAGACTTGGGCTTCCTCTACCTGGGTATCAAAGTTATTATCATATGATTCTTCGTGCTGGTGGTCTGAAGCAACAGCAATTGCGCAGTTCAGATCTGTTCCAACCAGCTCGGCTCTATTTACGCTGCACGCAAGTTCAGAAGGATGCACATCCTCAGTGATCCCAACAACCTCTGCTTCGCCACTGGGGAAAACAACATCGGTTCCAGAGGTTTCTTCTACTGCAGATACCACGTCCCATGCTTCATTCAGCTGGGAACTGTTGATCACAGTGGCTTCAGTCGCATTGTTCATTTCATCAGCTCTCACTTCCGCACTTTGTATTGCCACATCCTCGTGGTTGCTACCAGGCGGGAAGTCCGAATCAGCAGATGATGAGTGCTCATAAACTGCAGATGAACAAATGTCTTGACTGGACGATCGGAAGTCTTGTCCAACAAACTCTGCATGGACTGCGTTGGAAGCAATGGGGAAGGTTGACGGATGATCGTCGAACTCAAGCACAGTTGCCTCAGCTGCAGCTTCCTGCATATGACCTTCCTGTGCGTCATACGCTATATTTTGTTCTCTTGGGAGAGACCTATCTTCCACGGCAGGTGGCTTGCTATCTAAATCAACAATGTCCATGTTGGAATCTTCCAAGACCAATGCCTCTGTGGTAGTTGCATCCCAAGCATCAGCTGTAACCTTATCCATGGGTCCGCTCTCAATCACAGTTGCTTCGGTTGCATCTCCAGCAACCGTTGCTATGACACTCTGAGCAGTCTCAATGAACTCCGAAGCATGTGCTGTTACTGTTGTAGGTGGGTAGTCTGTGACCTGAGCCTGGGATGAGTTGTATTGGGAATCACCATGATAGTGTTCCTGTCCCACCAGATCAGCTTGAACTGCATGAACAGAGATGTCCGCAGGATGTACATCGTAGTCAACCACTGTAGCTTCTGCTTGTTGCGATGGCATGCGGGCAACTGGAGGCATACTTTCCCTTCCTCCTCCTCCTTCATAGGCAGCCATTTTCATTGCAAGCAAATCATCGTCATCATCTCGAAGTTGACCATGGCGATTGTGATGGTCGTCCATGTCATCGTAGTCGATACCCCGAGAACGTCTTGCGAGTGCGCGTGGGGGGGTGTTATGCCCGTTAGGGAATATGGAAGGATATAAGGTTGGACCACGCAAGGATGTCGCTCGTGCTGCTGCGTGTGGATTTGAAAGTGCCATGAATGGAAACTGATGATGTCGAGTGGGACTCATGTGCGGGTTTGAGGAAGCGCAAGTGCAGGAACTGCCATCGCAATCGTCGCAGCAGGATTTCATTGCTGCAGCTGCCTTGGTTTCTTGATAACTCATTTTTTGGGGTTCTGCAGCTGCTTTCCAGGTTTCTTCTAATTCAATTTGATTTCGAGCAATGGCTTCAATACTCTCAATAGGTGGATAAAGAGTGGTTGTCGACGAGGTTCTACGCTCCTCCATTGGTTGCGGTGGTGGTAGTCGGGCGCTTTCGAACTGCAATGGATTCTGCCGTTCGCTTTCGAACCGCAACGAGTCTTGCAATACTTGCATGGCAGCATTGGAATCATCATCATCGTCCTCATCATCACTAAGAATCGTCGTAGCTTGAGATGATACCCCATTTACGGATTGACTAATTTCGGTTTGCGACGGACTTGTTCTACCAATGCTAGATGAATCTGAAGCTCTCATTTTTGAAGATTCTTCGTTTTCTCCTGATTTCTGCTTGGTCATTTCTTGCCTGGGAATCTTCAATGGATTCGGAGCTAGGAATAGATTGGTACCACTGAATCCACCATTTGCTTTTCGCAATTGTGCCGCTGAAACTTTATAACGTAAACAAATTCCAGTGAAGGTGTCACTGGGCTGGATTTCGTGTTCGAAATAGTTGCGATTTTCAAGTCGTGGTTTTGGAGTAATTTCTTGGAAGAATGTATCCTTCTCAAGTTTTCGTTCCAGACTCCATTCTCGTGTGTCCTCATCCTTGATCCATCGCATATTCTCTGGTGGTTCAGGAAGAGGATTCTGTAGACCGGCATAGCTTGCTGGGGGCCCACGATGGATGTCCACATCTTGCCTTTTCCAAGGATAGACGCCACCTTCGGACATCATCTCGCTGTTTGGTTTTCAGTGTAAGGTTTCACTCAAGTTATCATGAACTCTGTTTATTTGCAACCGGAGAATGGGAGGCAACACTAACGCGACTTGTCTATAGCCTACTGGTGACAATGCATTGAAATTACAGTAGAGAAGGTTGTTGTGGATGTTGTCTTGGGTTCTTCGTCTTTCATTAAATTGGGTTTTAGTCGTGGGGTCCTGAATCCCATACACAGTCCCCCAATACGAGTTGCCAAACACTTTCCCCCAAAGACGAACAAATGACAACTGAAAAAAGAATCTCAGTGTTCCTTCAGGCAAACATGTCATCTGGAAGTTTGCCTCTTGCCACCTATCACCGGGCGGAATCATTGGGTGCTGGAACGTATGGATCGGTGGTTACAGTTTACAATGATGATGGAGAAAATTTTGCGTTGAAAATGTTCGATCAGGACGGGGACGACCAGGATAATGTTGGAACATCGATTGGAGCCCTTCGAGAATTGACCATTCTTCGTTTGTTCCGAGGTGAAAATGCACATCCAAATATCGTTGAAATGTACGATGTTCAAACGGGATTTGAGGAAGAAGAAGGTGCTGGAACTGGGGGTGCCATGGCGATGGCTATGCCAATCTTTCCTCGAGGAAGTCTGGAAGATTCCATTGCTTCATTTCCAAACAAGAAGGCGAAAATTGCAATTGCATACGGACTCTTGAGCGCCGTGGCACATCTTCATGAAAATGGTATTATTCACCGGGATATTAAGTGAGTGTACTTTTGTTGAAAAAATCCTGAGCATTCAGAAGAGTATGCTTGTTTCCTTGCATTCTATCATGCTCATCGAAACATCTTTCAACAAACAGGTCCGACAACATTTTACTACACGATGCAGAAGATGGTAGTCTTCAAGCAGTGCTAATCGACTTTAGTTTGGCCAAGTTGATTGATCCAAAAGCCATTATTACGGATGCCACAGGTGAATCATCATCACAAATTGAAACAGAAATGACACATACTGCTTCGATTGGTACACCAACGTATAGAGCTCCAGAAGTGATTGCAGAAAAAGGTTATGGTCTTCCATCCGATTTGTGGAGTGTAGGAGTATGTCTGCTGGAGCTCTTGTGTGGAAAATGCCTGGAAGCCGATAAAGATAAGAATGCCATTAAGCTGATCGAGGATGGGTTGAATACATTGCCTGACGCACCCTTTCCAAATCTGATTCGACGCCTACTGCAAAAGGAACCAGAGAAGAGAATAGCGGCTCGAGAAGCCTTGGATGCGCCGGTATTTAAAAAGTTTGATTTTGAACCACACGAGCGAACTTTTGTGAGGCTCAACATTAATGAGGCAATGCCTTTGGAGAATGATCCAAATGCTGCTGCTGCTGCTTTGCAAGCAGGAAGCAAAGAAAATCGACCGGTGGAAAACAAATCCAAAGGCAACAAGAAACAGAGCAAAATGGATCCATCCCTTGCGAAGCGATTCAAGTTGATCCGACAAATATGCGATTCAATGGAATGGAAGAGTCCAATGACAGCACAAGCTGCACTCATGTACTCAATAGCAATGTCGGAATTGGACGATGTTGACGACACTGCCAATTCCCAAGCTTTATTGGATTGCATTGTTCTGGCGCACAAATTCTTTGAGTTGGAACTTACTGATCTGAATGAGCTTTCCGAAGCAAGCAAACGATTCGAATCTTGGGATATTGACGAATACGCCGACAATGAGGGCACTATATTCATGATGCTCGATTTCTGCCTGCTTCCTAGATATTCGCTTTAACAATTAGAGAAACATAGAGAGCTCTTTGTACATACATGGTCCTATACGACAAATGAGAAAATGATAACAATAAGACGAGTTTGCTATAGTGTTGTTGTTTATGAATAATAATATTATCCCCTGCTTGATAATTGCTCACACGACGCCCCACTATGTTTTTTCAATGGTCTCGTACATACATGGTCCTATACGACAAATGAGAAAATGATAACAATAAGACGAGTTTGCTATAGTGTTGTTGTTTATGAATAATAATATTATCCCCTGCTTGATAATTGCTCACACGACGCCCCACCATGTTTTTTCAATGGTCTCAAATAAGTAGCGTCCCACAAAGTGTGAATCAGGGTATAGATACTGGCGAAAATTGTCCTTTGCTTAAAAAAGGACATACTTTCAGAACTTTGCCGTTTCCAAAACAGCATACTTGTTGTAGAAATGGATCAATGGAACCCTCGAGAACTGCGTCGACTTCCAACGGTAGCATCATCTACCCGACTCAAGTCTGCAAATGAACTTCCGATTGACATTTCTTCGTTGTAGGTCCCTGTGTCCCAACGGTGCTCAACAGGATCATCATGAATTTCCAAAACGTCGAGTGGAGACGGCAAGATGTGCAAGGCAGCTTCGAGTGAGCGCAATGCAGCCTTCAAATCTTTCGCCTCGTAAATTGAAACCGCACAATCAACGACAAGATATCTTATCATGTCGACATTCATTGATGCCATCGCAATGCTTAGAACTGTACGATCTTTCGATGTGCGAATCATCACATCTGACTTGTCCCCCTTCTTGCTTGAGCTGCTCTTCACAACGCGCTTTATTGGGCAATAGTGATCTTCTAGGAGCCATCGCAAAATGTTGATGTTGCCACCCTGTGCTGCGCAGTGAATCGGATGCATGACCTCACCTTTCTTCAATGCAGCTGGGAAGGGAACACGAAGGTTCACATTGCCACTGCCATACAAGGCGATAGCTTCTTCGTAGTTACCAGCCAAAAGTGCTTTCCTGAACGATGCGCTCATGGTATTGCAACTCTTGCAAATTTTGACCTGTGATTGCTTCTTGAGATTGTAAGTTTCAGGAATTGATGCGGAAGACCAGGAAACTGTACAAGAGCTACAGACGCAGGTACCACAGTTGCGGCAATGCGACGGTCGTCTGAACATGGAAAACTTTGTGTTGCAACTGAAACAGTTGGGATTGTCGGAGAATGGAAGCATTTTGGGAGGCGCATTAGCAATGGCTGACTCTCTTGCCTCTTTTTCAGTTCCAAAGGAGAAGGCTTTCAAGAACTTTGAAGCTGTGGAAGGGTTCTTCGAAACCCCCTTTTGATTTGTATTGATTGTAGCAATCCACAAATTTGTGGCTGTGTTGTGGTAGACTGTGGCTGTCAGCAATATCCTGGGATGGATAGGTTCAGGACGTTTGGTCAAAATAGCAACATTATCCCCGGGGCCAACGGGTCCGTTAAGTGAACGAGCTGACTTTGTTCTTCCGAAGCTAATGTCTCTGCCAATGTTGACATCAAATGACTTGAAGCTTGCATTGTCGTCCAAATGAGCACCATTGGGAGACGTCAGTGGATTGCTGTGACGAGGTAACCCAGGACCAACACTTGCAGAGCCTGATACAGTGGCTTTCACCAACCCTCTTGTCCGGGCAGTCGATGGTGGGGGTCTATTGCCGTTTGCCTGAGGACCGCTTCGTTGCTGTATGGTTGAGGTTTGAATCCGAGTCCGGCTGGACGATCTTGAGCGTCGCCTGTTCTGAGATGGATGCGCACCATTGCTTGTGCGGCGCTGTGAACTGGAGGAGCGACCCCTGTGGCTGGTACTTTGGCGAGTTCTGCTGGAAGAACGGTCGCGGTGCTGGACAGTTGCCTGTCGAGTTCTACTCGAGGAACGGTCCCGCTGGTTGGTGGTCTGGCGAGTTCTGCTGGAGGACCGTGCCCGGGAAGATGCTCGCGGAGCTGGTGCCGCTGGTCGTGATCGACTGGTTGATCTTCCACGGCGAGAAGTAGGTGGAGGTGCAGCTGCCCGTCCACGTGCAACTGGGCGTCCATCACTGGAAGAATCGGAAGAAGAGACCAATGGATGTGGTGAAAGACTCGTTGTTTGCATATGACGAGGAGAGGATGTAGGGTTCCGAGGTGGTCGATGTTGACGCGTCAATGCGATGGGCTCTCTTGATTCAGGTGGTGGGGCGACAGGAGCCCACGATGCATTGGTGTTGATGGGCTTCTTCATCCAACTGCTGGCTGTCGATGCATCTGATTTCATGTACCTCTTTGTTGGTGACTCTGGTCGATTTGGTGCAACACGCATTGGTTCAACCTTGCTTCGAGTAAACAAATCTATCCGAGTGTCACCAATGTCATCATCCTCAGCGAAGGCAACCCAGTCCTCGGTGACTGCATTGAAAACCATTATTGATGGACTAGTAGTAGTATACTGCTCTGTTTGTAAGGTTCCGTTGTGTTGTCAACAGTTGACACACCACGATGGAATGAAATGAGATGGATCTGATGAGCGAGAGGTCACAACTCAGTCAAATGAGAAGAAATAGGAGCTGCTCGAAGCAATTACGGTGCACTCCAAGCTGGGATGTTACACCAAAACGTGAAGATTTCAGTTTTTTTCTTTCCTAGCGACAGTTGTACTCGCTAATATGGCCGGCGGGCTCGTGAATGAAGTTTTTTCTCCCTAAACAAAATTTGCCGTACTCTGGCTAGCGAATCGGTCCAGTCACGAGCGTTGACACCCATGATTGATAAGTCCGACTAGGAAGTCCACGGTGGAGTATGAGGTGTGACGAGGTCACATAACTATGCAAGTACTTTTTACCGAAATTTTGCTTCTGACGGACTGGCCTCTGGTGAAACAAAAAAAAAAAACTCTTCGAACCATCATTGCATCTATCGGAGAAAGGCGCTGTATTGAACCATGACACGGTCCTTACGCCGCAGCCGTCGGGCACCCAAGACAAAGTCTGGTAAGTAAAAGCTGTCTTGAGAATGTGATTTCAATTCTTGCCTTCTAACATTTGATTCTTATGGTGAAGGCTATAACGTGGGCGATGTTGTTCAGGTGAGGCTTCATTGTTGATATCACTATTTTTATGGAAGTAAATCGTTTGAAACTGTGGAAATTAGTCTGGGGAATAGTATAGAAGCGTCTCACCATTTCTCTTTGCTCTGTCTTGTTTCCTTGCGCTTCAGATCACTCGAAATGGTGTCGTGCTTGAAGGGCGTCTTGCTCAGTTTTTGAGTGAAGGGTCGTCACCCAACCCGCGTTGGCTTGTTAAATTCGACGGGCAGCCTCACAAGGACGAAGAAATGTATGAACGATTGTTTGGGAAACTTTTGGCCTCCGTCGAAGACGAGGACGATCAAGGTGATTCTGGCTCGTTGCAGTCACAGCAGAAACGGTCGAAACCATCATTGCCGACACGAACGCTCGCCGCCAACACCAAAGGAAGCGAAGTATCCAGTGAGGAAGGGGGAATTGGTACTGGTGACGATTCCAGGGAGATTTCCAAAGCATTCGCGAAAAACGTTACCCCTTCGGTAGATGGGTCGAATGCTGAATCTGACACATCGTCAAACGTGGAAACAACCCGAAGTGGGAGATCAGGTCGAGTTTCGGCACGTGAAGCTCGCAGTAAGCGACGTCAGGCCAAGATCGATGTCGATGTTGATGGGAATGTTGTGAAGGAGGCTGTGCCACCGGCTGACGGGAAACGAGGACCCCCAATTCCTCAGGGAAATGCCAAAAAGCGTCAACGTGGAGAAACAGACGGGGGTGACGTCGTCAAAGTCAAGCTATTGACGGGGACGCTGTATCTTTATCGAGGACCATATCGCCGGGTTGAATTTGTCCGTCGAGTATGATGCACACTGTTTCTAATTATTGGAGTGGCTAGTTAAAATCAAATCACTGCAATATGAATATGAACTGTTTCCAAGTTCACTGTGTCGGAAAGGCGATTCGCTGCCAAAAGACGACTGACTACCAGTACTCCTGTTTCACTCAGATAGAAATGAAAACCATAACAATCATAATCCAATCAAACGGCATTATCTTTCATCCTTTAGATCGCGATGAATTATTACGTATTCTTCACTTGCTACAGTATTGACAACTTTTTTATCCTTCTACAGCAGCCTGGTGTCGTTGTCCTTCTTGGCGGGCACGAATCTCCATCATTTTCCCTTGCATGGTGACATTGATACTTTCCAGATTCTGTTGGGTAACTTGGATAATTTTGGTAACGTTTTCACTGTTGGAATCGCAAAGCTTCAGCTTCCGATCCAAAAAGGCATTCGTCTCCTTCGACGACTTTTCCACAAAAAATCCAGTTCCAATCTCGACCAAAAGTTTATTTGGATCTCTGATTTTTCCAGGAACATACACACTCTCTGTCAATGGAACCATAACTTCCTTCCCTTCGGATGCTGGAGACAGTTCCGATACCGCAGATTGGGATGCATTCAGCCTTGCGGCGGCAGCCCGGAGTTGTGCGTATCGACTCGAGAGCGCTTGAAGACGGCTCTCTTCTTGTTGTCGAACTTGGTTCAATTCTTCTAGGCTCATTTGATCAAGATTGATCGCTGAACCACCTTGAGGACCGCCAGCTTCTGCCATATCTTTTTCTTTCCAACTTTTTTTAAACTACCACTATTGTTGAGAGACACTCTACAGTATCTACCGGGTAGAGCGCCGATACGACTTGAGATGTTGGTGTGAAACCCGTTTTTGCCATTCACGCGCAGAAAATGCGCATTGTTTATCCGGTCATCGTAGTCCAACCCATCCAATGATGCAAAATTGAAAATGTCCAAGTACTAAAACCAAGTGGGAAGTATCGTACAAAAACGAGCGCTGATGATACCAGCGACCAAAGGACAGGAGTTTTCGGCAACCCAACCTCACGCAAGAGAAAAAAAAAGTGCTGTCACGTAGCCAAGCGTGTTTCTTGTGTGACTACTGTATTTGCCAGAGGAGTTAAGAAAGAAGGATTGGGAAATTAAGATTTCATTGCTCTCTCAATTCACTTCACATTCAAGCACACAATTCCTCACTTAAACCGGTAGCTCATGGCGAGCACAACGAACAGAAATGGATCAGAACCTGCGGAGATGATGTCGAGGCTGAACATCGAAGAGATGAAGGAAGGTAGATTTGGAGCGATCGCTCCTGTGAGTGAAAAAAAAACAGATGGAACACAACCTCCAGATTCCACAGCCGATTTACGAAAACAAAACGGTGGTCCTGCTTATGAAGCCAGCCAAGCTCTGCACCTACTGCAGGAAGCCGCTCCGGCACCTAGTACTAGAACTAAAGGGGTCTCCTTGCCTTCTAGAGGCACGGGTAAGGAGAGATCAAAACTGGGACCTCCAGATGAAGAAGATTATGTAGAAGAAGACGAAGAGAGTTCGGAAATGTCAGCATCTGATGAAGATGGTTCATGGATAACATGGTTCTGTAGTTTACGAGGGAACGAGTTCTTTTGCGAGGTTGACGAAGATTATATTCAAGTGGGTAAAAATATATGCATCTCCGCTAGTTTTTCAGATGAAGAGAATGATATTCTCACACTTGGTCCAATCTTTTGCTTTCAGGATGATTTCAACTTGACTGGATTGAACAGCCTCGTCCCATATTATGACTATGCGCTGGATATGATCCTGGACGTAGAAATGCCGATGGAAGAGTCTTTGACTGAAGAGCAGCAAGAAATTGTAGAATCTGCGGCTGAAATGTTGTACGGGTTGATTCATGCAAGGTGGGTGGATGTTTTCTTCCTCCAAAGATCTGATACACATTGTGCATTCTTACACAACTTTCTTTGATTTTTTTATTAATTCAGATACATTGTAACAAATCGGGGGATGCATGCCATGTTTGAAAAATATCGAACTGCAGCATTTGGGAGATGCCCTTCAGTATTCTGTCAGGGCCAACCAGTTTTGCCGGTAGGTCTATCGGACCTTCCTAGAAATTATACTGTGAATGTGTTTTGTCCAAGATGTCACGGCCTTTACTTTCCAAAGAGCACAAGACAGGCTAACATAGATGGAGCGTACTTTGGAACGACGTTCCCTCACCTCTATTTGATTACTCATCCGGTAAGTTTTCTCGTGCTTTGACCTGGTTGTCACATGGTATCCTTCTGTACTATTGTCCTAATGGTGTATTTATACTTTTTGATTCTAGGATATGATCCCTTCCAAACCAACGCAAACATATGTTCCGCGGGTATATGGCTTCAAGGTTAATGAAGCAAGTTTGTTTTACAGAAATCACGAAGAGGGACCACAACGTCAACCAATAGCCCCTCATCGGCAGAGTCGTCGATCAAGAAATAGAGGAGGAAGGAAGTAGCCAATTGACTTATGAACTATTATAAGGAGTGTACCAATTATTATGATTACGAATATATTCAAATAACCGTTTCAATACCTACCAGGAGCATCGCCGGCATTCAGTGGAAGACAGCTAGCGGCTACCGGTGCAGTACAAGAAGGTACTGTACTCTCAATTTTGCTCTCTATCGTGTTGTTTTTGAATCGTTCGACCTAACATAAAGATACCTCTATTCTTTGGCTCTGCGCAACAATGCGTGCGTGGCAATCATCACTGTATCTACTGGTACCGTACCGCACTGGTACGACGTACTGAAGCTGCCCCCTGGAACGCAAACTTGATGTGCGTCAGTTTCTGACTCTTTGACAACCACCAAACTGCAGCATCTTACGCATACCCACTTTTCACTCGACCTGCTTTATCAAGATGGTTTCTAAAGGATTCGTAAGAGCCGTAGCTCTTCTATCGGCACTCGCCCCCGCGACTGCCTTTGCGCCTGCTTCTTTGAGCACCAGCAATGTAAGATGATTAAAAATTTATGGCTTTCGAACTGTTCCACGAATCCGCCGACTAACCAACAATTGAATCTTTTAATTTTTAGGGTGCTTTGGCCATGTCTACCCAAGCCCAAGACGTCGATAAGAAGGCTGCTTCTTCGGCTCCTCAACGTGAGATCGATTTGGAGTTCTACCGTAACATCGGTATCATGGCTCACATCGATGCTGGAAAGACCACCACCACCGAACGTATTCTTTTCTACACTGGAAAGTCATACAAGATCGGCGAGGTCCATGAAGGTGGAGCCACAATGGACTGGATGGAACAGGAACAAGAGCGCGGAATTACTATCACCTCCGCCGCCACCACTTGTGCATGGAAGGACCACAGAATCAACATCATCGATACCCCAGGTCACGTCGATTTCACCCTTGAGGTCGAACGTTCCCTTCGTGTGTTGGATGGTGCCGTCGCCGTTTTCGATGGTGTCGCTGGAGTCGAGCCACAGACCGAAACAGTCTGGAGACAAGCCGACAAGTACAAGGTCCCAAGAATGTGTTTCTTGAATAAAATGGACCGAACTGGCGCCAACTTCTATTTCTGCGTTGACACTATCATTGAGCTGTTGGGAGCCACCCCAGCTATTCTTCAACTCCCAATCGGAGAGGAGGGCGACTTCCTTGGAGTAATTGATCTCGTTACCATGGAGGCCATCGTCTGGCGAGGAGAGGATCTTGGTGCTAGTTTCGATGTTATCCCTCTTGCCGAGTGTAACGATATCCCTCTTGTCGACGATGCATTGAAGGCCAAAGCCGAGGAATACCACGAAAAGCTCGTTGAACTTGCCGTCGAACAAGACGAGGATGTTCTCATGGAGTACTTGGAAGGAAACATGCCAGATGTTCCTACTTTGAAAAGGTTGATCCGTGCCGGAACCCTCAACCTTGCCATGGTTCCTGTTTTGACCGGAACTGCTTTCAAGAACAAGGGTGTCCAACCTCTTTTGGACGCCGTTATCGACTACATGCCTTCCCCTCTTGATGTGCTTGCCATTGCCGGTATCACTGAGGATGGTGAGGTAACCGAGCGCAAGTCTTCTGATGTCGAGCCCATGTCTGCTCTTGCCTTCAAGGTTGCCAACGATCCTTTCGTCGGTACCTTGACTTTCACTCGTGTCTACTCTGGTGTTATGGAGGCTGGAACCAGTGTCTACAACTCAGTCAAGGGAAAGAACGAGAGAATCGGTCGTATGCTTCAAATGCACGCCAACGACCGTACCGAGATTAAGTCTGCAGTCGCCGGAGATATCGTTGCCCTTGTCGGACTTAAGGACACCACCACTGGTGAGACTTTGTGTGACAAGAATAACGCCGTTATCCTTGAGAAAATGGAGTTCCCAGAACCCGTCATCAAGGTTGCCGTAGAGCCGAAGACCAAGGGAGATCAACAAAAGATGTCTGAGGCCCTTATCCGCCTTGCCGCAGAGGATCCTTCTTTCCGGTTCTCTCGTGACGAGGAAACTGGGCAAACCATCATCGAAGGTATGGGAGAGCTCCATCTTGAGATTATTGTCGACCGCATGAAACGCGAGTTCAATGTTGAATGTACCGTCGGTGCCCCACAAGTCTCTTACCGCGAAGCCATTACCCAAAAAGCCGAGATTGATTACACACACAAGAAACAATCTGGAGGATCGGGTCAATACGCTCGTATCAAGATCATCTTCGAACCCAAGGAATTCAGCGAGGAAGAAGGATCAATGGACTTCGAATTCGCCTCTGATATTAAGGGTGGATCTGTTCCCAAGGAATACATCCCTGGTGTCCAAAAGGGTATCGAATCTGTCTTGGGACAAGGTGTCATCGCCGGTTTCCCTGTCCTTGGTATGAAAGCCACCCTTGTTGATGGTGCTTACCACGATGTCGATTCCAGTGTTATGGCTTTCGAAATTGCTGGACGCGCCGCCACCAGAGAAGGATTGAGAAAGGCCAAGGCCCGTCTTATGGAACCTCTGATGCAAGTAGATGTCACTACTCCTGAAGAATACATGGGAGACATCTTGGGTGACATCAACTCACGACGTGGACTTGTTGGAGACTTGGGAGAACGTGGAAATGTCAAGACCATCAGTGCCCTTGTTCCACTTGCCAATATGTTCCAATACGTTTCTACTTTGCGATCGATGAGTAAGGGACGTGCCAATTATTCCATGAAGCTCGCCAACTACGATTTCGTCCCACCAAATGTTGAAGAAGAACTCAAGAAGGGTTTCACTCTTGCTGAAGAGGATTAAGTTAGATACGGTATACTATAATATTTTGTAACTATTAAAATGCACTGTTTGCACGACATTATTTGTCAATAATTGATAATTCTACTTTCAAAGCCAAAAAGTAGCATGGCTTTTGTACTAATCAATTAGCAGACGATCGTAGCGAACCCGATGCCTAGGAGATTACACAAGCATTGCACTCGCACTTTTCGTCCTTTGGTGGTTGTTCGTCACTGTAGGCATCGATTGATCTAGAAACGGAAGCTGCTGTGTCCAATGATTTAGAGCTAACAGTTGGTACCCCAGTCTTAACCTCTGGCTCCACTGAAGCTGTAGCAGTTGGAACCGAATTCTTAACCTCTGGCTTCTTTGAAGCTGTAGCTGCCTTCTCAGAGGTAGCCTTTTCTGTCTTCTTCACCGCTTGTGGATTAGACTTTCTTTTGTTTTGTTTTTTCGGGGATTTCTTTTCAGTAGGTGCTGATGTGTCTGGCTTCTTGGGCTGAGAGTTCGACTTTGCTTCCATCTTATTCAACTTTTGTGATTGCCCATTTGTGGCCTTCGGTGCCGTTCCAGCCGGTGCTGTTGTGTCTGCCTTCTTGGGTTGAGAGTTAGACTTTGCTTCCGTTTTATTCGACTTTTGTGATTGTCCATTCGAGGCCTTCGGTGCCGCCTTGGTTTGGGAAGGTTTCTGTAAGATCATGTATAAAACGTTAGAATCGCCGAATTCAGTGTCACTCTCCCTCTGAACCTCAGGGTTTCTACTTACGTTGTCCTTCGGTTTCTCCTCACCAGCTCCTGGTTTCGAGGGAATTGTCGGCAGTTTTTCAGGTTTCTTGCCATTTTGTGCTTTCTTTCCATTCTTTGGATTCGGCTGTTTTGGTTTTGTAGCCTCGTTCGCAACGGGTGCAGGGGAACTTCCAGTCTTCGATTGGGCCTGATCAGTTTTGTTCTTCTTCTTTGCGTTACGCTTTGCCTGCTGTTTTCCATTCGGAGCCTGCGATTTCTCTTCCGATTTTGGAGCCGCCGTTTCCTTCACTGGAGTACTCTCAATAGAAGCTTTATCCTCTTTGAATTCATTTCCATTAGAGTTTTGAGCTCCATTGTTGGGTGATTGGCTATTCTTCTTGTTGTTGCGCTTTTTTTTCTTCTTCCCGCTACCAGGGGTTGTTGGAGTTGTTGATGCTGCTTGAGTGCCCTCGTTTGGCGCTGCGTTCTGCGGTGCATACTGCGATCCAGCCTTTGGAACATTCTGAGGTTTGGAATTTTCAGCAGCTGCGCCTCCTTTCTTTCCTGTCTGTTCCGTCAGCTTCCTAGCCTCAATTTGCTTCTTCATCAGTTTACGACGCTGCCTCCGACGAGCACTTTTTGAAATCTTTGTACCCTCTTCTTCGGAAGCTCCTACGGCTGCGACTGTGGGTTGCGTTGGATTCTCCTTATCCATGATGAAAGCCTTTTTTGAATATTTGTGTGACGCTTGTTGGTGTTGCTGTTTTATTGCTAATAGCGACAAAGTGGAAGTCTACGCTTACGCTTGTCAAAATTTGCTGATGATGTTAGCATTCCAACGAGAAGATTTTTCACGAGCGCGCGAGACCATTTTTTGGCGGGAGAGCTCGTGAGCCGTACAATTTGATCATTAGTACAATGTTTTATAAAATGTGAGGCTAACGTTGAAAGAGTGATATCAATTACTAAAGATATAGAACGTTCTGCTTTTTCATACAATTGTACAGGTTATAATATCAAACATGCAAGGGTGTAGAGCCCCAAGTTAAAATTGAAAACTCTATACACCCTTTTTTCTTTTGTGTACTTGAAAAGATCCTTTTTTGCCTGAAGCCAATTGGAGCTGTTCAATTCGTTTTCGTAATAGTTGTTCATCATTTTGAGTTGCCAGGCCAGGATTGTCAGATGCTGGCCCTGGCCTTTGTGGCGACAGCTGCCCGCTGATGCCATCCGTTTTGGACCCCGTCGGGTTAGCTATTTTGGTTCTCGACAACGAACCAACTTCATCGTCCTCTTCTATATTGAAAGTGACTTCGGAACCACATTCGTCGAATTCTGGATAGATCGAATACCAACTGGTCACCGTTTCATTATCGTCCAAGGCGTCGACCATCATCGATCCTGGATCTGTTTGCGAGTCATCAGCGCTCATCTCATCCTCCGGGTACACGATTTGATAGACCAAATCCCAACGGATTGGAGTGCCAGTTTCTTCGCATAGGGTCAGATGGGCAAAGATGTCTGCCATATCATCCTGTGACAAATCATATTGATTGCGAAAAAGTTCTTGGGCAGCAGCTTTGCCAAGCGTCCCCGTCGGCGTAGCAGCTTGGCCTTTTTTTGGGAACACTCTTGACGGTGACATCGGAGGAAGATTTGATTGCGCGCCACCCTGCAGGTTCATCGCCTCCTCAAACGCTTTGCTTGTCTCATCATCGATTTCATCTGGATATACAATATCTTTGATCAGATCCCAGCGTATCGGCAAATTACTTTCTTCACACATGTTCAAGTGGGCAACAATCTCAGAGACTTCGTGTATCGTTAAATCGGCTTGCAGCAAAGATTGACGCACTCCCTCTGGTACCAACGATTTGTTTGAATTTAAAAGATTCTGCATCATCTTGTCTTTGATCGTCCGCTGAACTTTTGTTTCAGGTTGATTTGCTGATTTAGTCATGAGCAAATCAAGATCCTTCACAACCTTTAAGTGCTTCTCCTTTATTTTCGATGCGGGCATTTCCATGTTTTGGAAATCAACAACAACCCTCCTTTGACTCTTCAATGACGGTGTATAGGAAGCACGTGAAGCAGTTTCCATGCCAACTGACGACATCATGAACGAATCCGTTTCTGTGAAATCATCAGCTTCTGTGGCAGTGACTTCCTCATACGAGTAGTCCTCATCATCATCAGATCCTACGTGCCTCGAGCTTGATGGCGTATATTCTGAAACGACTGTCACTTCTTCGATGATGTCGGAATCATCTGCTGTATTAAGGTCAAGTGAATCATCTTCGTGGATCGGAGGTGGAGGAGGCTGAGGCATACTAGCCTGTATACTTTTCAATTGATGCGACTTGTTGCCATGAATAGGCGTCGGCCGTGAAGAGAATTGCTGAATCATTGATGTCACCGTTTTCCTGTCCTTGAGCAAGTTCATATCCTTTTCTCTCGTGACAGTTTTCTTGCCGTTGATGACTTCTTCACTTAATTCGTCCAACAATCCAAGCGAGTGACCATGGGAACAATGAAAATCATTAACATCAACACTTTCATGCTCAGGAAGCGGTAGGTCGCTGAGGGACTGGCGCCTCATCGGGAAGGGGTCTGACATTAAACTTTGCTCACCATCATTTGAATTCGTGCGGTCGGCATGGCCTGTTGTAGCATAGGCTGAATTTCTGCGGCCAGCATGACCCATAGTAGCATAGGGAGATGCCCGTTTGTCTTTAATTATCGACGTATAGGCGAATTTTGAAACCTTTTTCGGTTCTGTGGCAACTTTCTTAAAACTTTTGTTCGAATCCTTTTTCTCAATGGTTTTGGTAATGCTTTTGTTTGGATCCTTTTTCACAGCGGCTTTGGTAACGTTTTTGGGTTCATCCTTTTTCTGAATTGATTTGGTCTCGCTCTTGACAGCTTTGCTCTGCTTCAGTCCCGGTTTTTCTGCTTTTTTTGGTGCGAGGGCTCTTGGCTTGACTTTGCTTTTCCCGATTGCCGCCACTTTGCTGTCACTGGCGCTCGAACTTTGCCGATCGAAGAAATTTCTTTTTCCTGAAAATGAAGGTTTGAGGGCTCCTCGTGAAACGCCGTCAGCCTTTGATTCCGGACTGCTGCTATCCTTATCCTTCACATCCCGAGCTGCCTTTATCTTTGACTTACTTGCCGTCTTCTCATTATATTCGGTTTGTGGTGGAACGAATGAGTATGATATTGGCATTGTCATGCGTCTGTTCATGGAGGTATCCTTCGTCACAGATTTTGATAACGGAGGCTTGCTAACCTTTTCAACCATCTTCTTGGTATCCTCAGTCTCGCCATCTTTCTTACAAACAGGTATTGGAGAAATCCTTACTTGCTTTTGACTATTTCTTATGACGGACTTCTTGTGCGTTTGAAAAGTGCCTGGGCTTAACCCCAAGGTTGCGATTGTTCTTCTGCGCTCTTGTGACCGACCTTTTGGAGCTATTTCTTCAACCTGGGCGCCCTTCTCAAACATGGACTTTATCGTCGCAACGTCAAAATCACCCATGGCTAGATTTGAGGGTGTTGGGTGGGCTAGAAGAGCCCAAACAATCAATTACTTTTGATACTATTGGTATGAATGATGAGTTCCCTAACAAGTCCCAGAGGCAGGTGTGCTGATTTTCCAGAGACTCCTGTCGTGCCGGCTCTGCGCGACCATGTCAATGAGAAAAACTGAAAACGGATGAAGTCGTCGTTGTTGCGCGCAGTTATTGACTAGTCTGACTAACGTTCCACGTTGCAATTTTTTTTCTCTAACGTGATCCAACTTCTTGGCTGCTCATCAGTTGTCACACATCGGACAGCACGAAATTAAGACTTCACATAATAAACACCATGAAGCTCAGCCTTGTTGCTGCACTATTGTCATTGACCAGCATTGCTGGTGCTATCAGGCTCCCGTTTGCTGCTTCAGCTGGACGTTATCATGGATCGATGGCGCTGGAACAAGTAGTGCAAATCCGTGGAGGAATGCAACTATTTGTCAAGACGCTGACTGGTAAAACAGTCTCCATTGAAGTCGAAGAAGGAGAATCCATTGAAGATGTCAAGGCAAAAATTTCAGAAAAGGAGGGAATTCCACCAGAACAACAACGATTGATTTTCGGAGGACAACAATTGCAGGACTCCAAAACTTTGGATGATTATGACGTTGGTGATGATGCAACTCTCCACCTTGTTCTTCGATTAAGAGGTGGTATGCAACTGTTTGTAAAGACACTAACTGGAAAGACAGTCTCCATTGAAGTCGAAGAAGGAGAATCCATTGAAGATGTCAAGGCCAAAATTTCAGAAAAGGAGGGAATTCCTCCAGAACAACAACGATTGATTTTCGGTGGGCAACAATTGCAAGATTCCAAAACTTTGGATGACTATGATGTCGGTGATGATGCAACATTGCATCTTGTTTTGAGATTGCGAGGGGGAATTCTTGGAAAAGATTCCTTCGAGGTGGATGACGACTTTGTTAAGGAACACTTGAAAGGTTTGTCGGACGATGATCGCACGCTTATGGAATCATTTGTGTCTCAAAGTGTGGAAGGAAGCGAAGAAGCTGCATCGAACAAGGAAGTTCGCGTCCGAAGAGCCCTATTTCGAATTGGTGATATGAATGAAAAAGTGGGAGATGACAGCCCACTTTTCAACATGCTTAGTGCGCAGCCAACATCAGCTGGCGAATTTAACTACAAGGGCAAATTACTTGAGACGAATGGAAAGAAGCCAACCAAGTTGACGAAACTTTTCAAGCGAAGAGACAATGAGGGAAAGCTCCTTGAATCATTGAAGAAAATGAAGCTTGATGAACCATAATTATAGAACGATCTGTTTATAAATATTATTTGGCCTTGGCCACTTCAGAAGTGCTCTGTAAAGCAAGAACAACCAGAATCGAAACCCCGGCAACTCCGCTCATCCAAATTTCATCATTTCGTTGTTGTTCTCGAATCATCGTTTTCCGATTGGGATGTGGTTCTTCCTCCTTTTCTTCTTCGGCAAATTTGCTTGGTTCCTCTCCCATTCTCCACCTGTACAACATGGACTCCGTCGGAGCGGAAGGTTCTGGTACAACGTCCTCGCTTCTCTTTGCCTTGACGGCATCCAAGACTTCTTGCAAATCTTGCTTTTGCATGGATAGTGATTGCATCAGTTCAATTGCATCCTTGTAGGCACCCATATCTGCTATGGACTTGTTGTTACCAGTGGCCGCCCCGTTGATGGGTATTTGCTGAAAGGCATTCGTTAGGTTTTGTTCCACATTCCAAGCGTCCCAGGCTCCCAACTTGCCAGTAAAATATGTTTTGTACATGCGCTGAAAAAATTCCACCAACTTTGGAAAGGAAGAAAGGACCACAACCAAATGTATATCACAAAGAGCCTCGCTTAAGTGGGCCCACAAGACAATGTCCACCATGCATGGTTTGTCGGTACCCAAAAGGTATGGTTTTGAATGGCTTGCCAATTGCTTTTCTAATGTACCATACGCTTCCTTAGCAATATCAATGGCCCGTTTGACAGAAAGCGTTTGGTAAAATTCCAGCCCTTTTCGGCGAGCTGCGGCGCGTTCCAGCATGGCCTGAAATCGTCCTTTCAAATCCGATATCCAGGAATGACGTTGTCTGGATGCTTGTAGATACCGTCCTCTGTAAACTTGTTCCCAAGCATCATGGTCTTCGTACCTTAAGAAAAGTAGTATTTGCTGGAGTTCGGAATCAATCAGGTGCAATAGACACTGCGACATAACCTTTTGAGAATCCGTTTGCAGCGCGGAATCCAAATTCAAACTTTTGCTGGATTTCAGATAGTCTAGAATGGAATTGTAGCCTTTTGATTTGAATGGAGCAATGTTGGAAGGGTGATGTCTTCCTACCAGTGCTGGAGAATCCGCATTCAAGTCTCTCAAATACGGCAGAGGACCGGTTGCTTCATTGGAAATGTAGGGTGCATTTAGCACAATGTGCGGAATACCAGCTATTCGTAGAGCCAACTGCTCCAAAAAAGCAGGCCGAAACTGCGTCAGCACCAACGGGATTTGTGGATACGGCGTTGCCAACATTAATTCAATCGATTTCTCATCGTATTGCCAGTGCTTGGAAGAACTACTATCTTGCACTTCTTTGGATCCCCAGGCCTCGGTCCATCCTTCCTCCCTCGTATCTAGCGGTGCCGCACAAAATCGGTCACTGTACAAGTTGTAAACATTTTTGGCTAGGAACGCGGGTATTTGGATGGATCCAAATGTCATGATGATGATTATAGATGATGGGCAGTTCTGTTGTGTTGGATTTTGTTGGCAGCATTCGATTCAGCTTCGGATGATCGATCTGACATCACAAAAAGCTATGTCTGTCTTATCAGAGTGAAGTTCGAAAGTGCTCATGCTTCCACATGCTTGAAAAAGCGCTAAAATAGACTCCACAGAAAACTCTACGAACGTTGGTACGGTGCATTGGATCGACATTTTCAAATAACTACTTACTCAAGGCTGGCGCGCGAGTAGGAAATCCGTTACCTCAGTCAAAGTAGAAGCATTGGCTCGCAGTCCGCTCGCTTCGCCAACTGGCTTGCGTCAGAAATCAAAAGGAGATTCGAGTTGTCCTTGTTTTTGAACATCTGTAGTACGAGCCAAGGAAACAACAACTTCATTCAGCAGCATTGTTACCGAGCTAATAGCCATGGCGACTTCCTACGAACGGGAGCCCGAATGGCAAGAGGCACCTGCTAACGATGCTTCGAACTTTCGTAGTGTGACACCCGCCATGAATAATATTAGACGAAACGCTTCTCCCGCAAAGGGGTTTTCGGACGATGGCATGCCAGAAGAAAAGAAAGGCGGACCTTCTTCTAGCGGTTTGATTCGTCTTGCACTTAGAAAGCCCATGGGAATCGTTTTCGAACCCATGTACGATCCCAATTCTCCATCGGTTCAAAGAGGCGTTCGTATTTGCGATTTGCCGCGCACTGGAGCGGCTGCATTGTCTCGCAAATTAGAAGTCGGAGACGAGCTGCTTTCGATCAATGACAAAACCATGTCTCGTTTGACGTTTGATGAAATTATGGATTTTATCATTGAGGCGGATCCTGAACAAGTCAACCTTCTATTCCGTCGACCCAGAAAGGAAGTTTTGAACGCGCGCAACGGCAACAAGCCTCCTTCGGGAGGGCCAGGAGTCAAATGGGTGGACGATGATGAGCCAAAGCCAGAGAAGAAAAAGAAGGAGAGAAAAGACAAGAAATCGTCACGTCGATCTAGAGGCAAAGAGGATGATGAGACACTTCAGACAGAAGATGATATTTCCTATAGAAGAAGTCGTCGCGCTAGAAGACGTCACAATCCATATGAATCAGAATCCTTCCTCGATATTCTCATTGATACCATTTGCGCAAATCCTGACAGCGTCTGTCGGGACCGCAGAAAAATGGGGGATGATGAAACTTACTATTCAGAGGATGATGAAACATATGCTTCTCGAGATGATTCTACTTATGTTACCTATGAGTCAGAACCCCCAGCGCGAAACAGCCGCAAATCTAGGAAAAAGAATAGTCGCAGGGATGACTATTCGAGCCAAGGAGCTGACGAAGATACTCAGGAAGAAAAGCAACGTAGCAAGCCAACTCGGGGGCGCGAACGAGAGCCCGAGGTCAGACGGCCTTCACCTATGCGTGAACCCAAGAGAGACATGACCCCAATCAAGGAGAAAGCCTACGAAGACGATGGCACTCTTGAGACTGTCGACTCGAAAGAAAGAGAGAGAGCCATGCAAATGGAAGCCCCGGAACCAGAGCCTGTTCCAGTACCTCCTCTTGGACTTGTTCCAAACCCAGAGCCAACTCGTGGCAATCTTCCTCCTACTCAAATTGATGAGGATGAACAAACTAATCCAGCTGCTCCAATCAGGGCCGTCGAATTCGATGAAGATGCCGACGTCGGTGCTGACGTCTCTGTTATGGAGAGTCTTGGTGGACCGTCACTCTTGATTGAAAAGCAACGTCAAGCACAGATTTTGGCTTCCAAGCCGGAAGTGACACCACCTGTTCCAAGAGACATTGCGGATAACTTTGGTTTGGATTACCCACTTGACTTTGGATTTTCAAGGGAACAGACAATTCAAAATGATCCTCTTCGGTTCTACTCTTATGTTGTCAAGGCACTACTACAGGAACATGAACCTGAAAAGGTTCGTCTCCTCGACAAACTCCTTGCCAAGTACAAAGGACGCGAGGACCATTTAGTACAGAAGTTGTCGGTTCGTTACAACACGGAAGAACCTGCTGACGAACAGGCTGCAGCACCAGAATCTGAAGAGCAAGGCTTTGGTGAACCCGCTAACTTTGACGAGGCTGTTATCAAGGCCAAGGGAAGTGCACATTCCATGGAGAATATCGAGACAGCTAGAGAACGAATGAATTCCTTCAGTCCCACGAATGAATGGCCAGAAAAGGAAACGAAGGAACAAGAACCTCTTGATGAACCTCCTCAAATGAAGGAAGAGCAACCCGAAGAAGGAGGCTCTCACGACTATTCCGACGAGGACATTGATGGAACTTCTCCAGCTGTTATTGCCCAGGTGTCTGAATTATTGAACTATGTATATGGCAAGACCTCTGTCCCGGGGCAAATTGACCGTGTGTCTACTATTATGCGCGCCTACGAAGGCCGCGAGGCTGTGCTTTTGGAACTCCTTGAAACAAAGGCCTTAATCAAGGCCAACCGTGAGAAGGAGAATGCCGGAAACCTTCCAGCATTCTTGAGAAATTCCATGAATGCTCAAAGAGAAGTGGACGAAGATGCCATTGCTGGTGGTAATATGCCTGCCGTGACACCAATGGCTATGGAAGGCCGACCTGCTATCAATGATGACATGTCCTCGATGAGCGGAGTAGCGCCTCCAGCGCCTCCGGATATGCAAAAGGGCGTTTTGAATGCTCTTTCGGTAAGTTATTCTTTTACAGTTTTTCGATTCGACCAAATGCACCTTGAACATATACCTGACTTTTTTTTCTTTTTTTTAGTCTCATTCTGAAACGCAGAAACCGAAACCCACCAGAGCGCCCGAGTCCAGCGCTTATACTGGCCCAAGTGCCGCATCACCGCCAGCGGACACTAAGCAGCAAGTGAAGACACGATCTCCGACTGCTTCCGCTGCTCCCCCTATGGACTCGAAGAAGAAGAAAAAGGGATTCCTGGGCGGACTTTTCAAGAAGGGAAAGAAAGATTCCAAAACAAGGGCCTCTAGCAATGGCAGAAATCTACGAACTCCAGTGAAGCATACTGAGGCTTCCATCTAATTCCAACACTTGGTACATTATGGTAAAACTCATGTTTTTGATAAAGCGTGTTATCATACCATCAATACATGTTTGTTGTAAGGAGCAAATGTACAGTATAAATTAGAATCACCCTTATGCCGTATTTCCTATATCAATTGTTCTTAAAGAATCTGGCCATATCTTCAGGGGATGCTGCCACTGTCTTGATCATCGCATCCAAGGTACTTTTGCAGTGGTATAATACCATGTATTATTACGGTATAATACCAGTATTTCACACATCCAATGGCCAATATTGGCCTCATGAAAGGTTATGGGCCATAAAGGGATGGTGGTGAGTCGCAAATGTGCATTAGAACATCGGTAGTCCTAACCTTAGTATATTTTATAATATGCAATAGCTGATGAAGTCAATAATAACAAAACTTCCACTCGTAATATTATAGATGTTATTGATTTTGTAAAAGTAATTACAAGTACTGTGACCGCAAGTGTTTGAGGTTGGGATAGCTTGTAATATGTCTTTCGTATGGAGCAGACGCTCGAATCATTTGTCCTTCGATCATTCGCAAAAAGCTCTGACCACCCTTTGGAGCTTCTACTCCCTGTATACGGAGGCAGATCCGATGCGGTGAACAAATGTTGTCCATCATGTCTTCGATAGACGATTGGTCAAAGGATGATGATCTCTCAATGAAGAACGGCGTTTCATTACCACCAGTCACTTCAGCAACATATCCGTGTTGACCCTTGGCAGGCATTTGAGCTTGCATTCGCTCGATTTCTTCTCGTACTTCACTAATGGTGAACCGATCGTGGGGATCTTGAGCCCATCCATTTCGGCACAAATCTTGAATGCCTTGTGGCCACTCTTGAAAGACTGGCGGTCTTGCACCTTTTTCGCACACCAGATCCTTGTAGTGAATAGCATCAAACATGTCAAAAGGCTTTTGTAGAGACAGCATCGATTGGAAAACAATGGTCCAGCTGTACACATCAGCCTTGAGATTGTAGTGTTTTCCGAGGAAAACTTCAGGAGCCATGTACCTTTTGGTTCCTACTCCAGACATGTGGAATGTTTTCTCTTCAATGGGTTTTGACTCTGGAAGTTCTCTACAAAGGCCAAAATCAAAGAGTTGAACAGTGTTCCCTCTGAAACCAATATTGTCTGAGATTAGAATAGAAGCATTGAGTTAGTGTTGGACAATTCAAAGGCGAACCAATACATAGATATTTTGGTGAACATACCTGGCTTGAGGTCTCTGAAGATAATGTCTCGGCTATGCAAATATTCTAGACCACTTGCAATTTGTCTTCCAATGTTCAGCTTCTCATTGTAGTCGCAGAGATTTGGTGAATAAACAGCTTCTGAAGCTTGAGGATTCATTTGCCACTGAATCATTTTGTGTGATAGGGTTAGATCCAGGCGATCAAGAACCAGAAAGCATGCATCGTGCGTGTTTCCGTGGTATGCAGTAGTCGGGCCAGACCAAGCATGAAGCTTGATAATGTTCTGATGATCAAAGTAAGACAAAAACTTGGCTTCCATTACGAGATCACCAGCAGCGTGAATGAACTTGTTGGCACCGCGATGATGCAAATCACGTCGCAAATGTTTCAACACATAAGCACTTTCTCCATTTTGATCATAAGTTGTACTACATAGCTCCAGTCGAGCTCGTTCTTGCTTTGGGTCTCTGCTCCCAAAGTTCGCTAATTGAAATCCCCACACTTGATGTACTTCAGAAAAGGCTCCATTCCCCAGGAACTCCCCCGCAAGCACTTCATTCCTATGAAACACTGCCAATTCATCTTCGGCATTCGTTTCATCTTTAAACAGCCTACATTGAGAAGACAGTTTGATGACTTCCTTCTCAATGAGGGCATCTATTGTCCCTTCAAGGTTCACGACTAGCTCCACTCCAGCGTCTCCCAGTGGCTCTATTTCGTCACCTTTTTGTGCCTCTCGCTCTATGTACGTATCTGTCTGCGTAGAGCTCTGATCATTGTTGTCTGCTGACTCTTTCTTCATGGTCGTTTTGTGATTTTGGCTATTGATAGCTACCATTTGCATTGGATATCCAAGAGTATGTTTAATCTTGAAAAAACGTCTACAGCTGTTCAACGCATGGCTTTTTGCTCCCTACGGAGTGTCCGTTGTTACGGCCAACGTATAATCCTACTTACGAATGTTTTGAATATCGCAAATTAGAACCTTCCAGCGCGCGTCGGCTCGGACGAAAAAACAATTTAGCCGCGCGTTTCTACATTTTTCTGTGCTTCGGTACGTCAAAATCGAGAACTTTACATAGTGTCGCATTGAAGCAAGACCTCCGTTATGTAATGTACTCATGCGTACACTCGGTACTGTATCTACGTATATACGACTACAACGACTTGTCCAAATCTTCTAAATTTGCCCAAACGAACTTGAAAGAACTGAGAAAAAGTGATCCCAAATGATCCCTTCGACCCAAAGCCTTGCGGGCTTCCACTAGCGATACTCTCAACTGCCTGAAACAACATCTAACGCTTTACCGTACCAAAATATCATTCCGACCTCCTTATCTTTGCTGTGGGGTTTCAGTAACGAGGTGGGAAAGAAAGCATCAATCCGAAATTTGATCCTTCGCTTGTGGCTTCAGTTAAGAAGTGGGAAAGCTCCAAGAGAGAGAGGGCCCTTTGTTGGGCTATTTGTTACCACCAACATCCAGGAGCAGGAGGATGGAGACAGAATTCTCACCATACGGCACACTGTCGGAATTCTCGTGGCCATCAGCGGTTACCAGCTTGGAAGTCGAACGAGCCACATCCGATGCCTCCGCAATCACGCTGCCCATCGGGTCGAGACGTCAAACCCTTGACGACAGGTCGTTAAAGACAGTAGATATGGCTGGACGGATATTGAACTATTGGCGGCCAAAGAATGAAGAAGGTAGCGAAACATTGTCACCGTTTCCAAATGTGGTTCATGAGCCACCAGAAAAGCAAGATCACGATTCTGTATCCAGCGCGGAGACTGAGCCTTTCGATGTGATCAATGAAAGGAAGAAGAAAGAAGCTGAAGATGCAGCCAAAAGTCCAATTAAAAAACTCACCGAATACCTTGTTGACAAAAAATCACCTGATGGTGGCTTGAATATGAGGACGCATTATCCAGCTCTGAATTTAGATGCCCTCCCCTCTAGGAAATACAAGGCAGATCCATATGACAATGGAATTGATGCGACCTTGAATATAGATGCACTCCCTTCTCATTCCAAAACATTGGAGGTGGCGAATCAGTCTGATGATACTACGAGCGAATTCTCAGCCTTTAATTTTGCAGAGATCTCCTCTGCAGGTCCTGGAAGCCCAAATTCAAGCTATAGTGGATCCAAGAGTGATCCAGGGACGCCCGATTCTGAATTCCAAAGAAAGCTGAATCATCGAAGACGTTTGCAAAGAATACGAGTACTTGCTGCATTGCAGGATGACGGAAGTGACGCTTCTTTTCATTCCACAGGAACACCAACCAAGTTACGGGAACGTAGAGATCGAAAGCAAAGGGATGAGCAAAGAAAGAAGTCCTTTGGCTTCGAAGATCCGCTGATGAAGACACGTGAACCGCTTGTGGGTTTGCCCGAGGAAGAAGTGGTTCGCGACACGACACCAGGACTCAGTCTTGCAGAGGATGAGTACTCCCTGTTCAGTTTTGAACAGGCCAATGAAACGCAAAGCCCTGAGGTTATAGTACCCACAGCACCGAGTCATGGAGCGATAAAGCCTGGCCCTAGTCTTTGTCCTAGCGTTGGCCCGAGCGTCACAAGCGTACAAACTCCAACGATCCATGAAGACAGAGAACTTCATAATCTGCCAGAGAACATGAATCGAATAAAATATGAAAAGATCGTTGGAGATGAAGCGGTGTTTTCCTCTGCAAGTACTAGGCACGAAAACGATACCGCGAGTGTGAGGATGGATTATGGAAAGAAGACATACGCTAGTGAAGTACAAGGGGCGATAAAGGATGTCCTTTTCCTTGGGAATGAAGCTGAAAACCGACCGGGACGAAAAAAGAAAAGTGATAGGAGGAAAAAGAAAGGAAAAGCCTACTTGAAAAGCCAGAAAAGTCCGACCAGAAAGGGGGCTCATCGAAGCCTTCCAGGCAAAGAGGTAGAAGCCCGGAAAGGCGACATTTGCCAGGATTTGGCATTCACATTTAGATTTTCGCCATCTAGTGACGAGGATGATAATGGAACCAAAAATACGGAAGAAACACGATCAATGGTTACAAAATCGCCTGTTTCATTTCGAGACCCATTGGAACTAGCAACATACAACAGCTCGACTCCACCCGAAAGACAAGAATTCGGAAACAATGTAAGTACAGCAAGCATCATATGTACAATTTAACTCACAACGAATTGGCTTACACATTCATGATCCCCCCCTCTTACCTCAACCATGCAGCATAAATCTGCAGCCTATATTAACCAGCTACAGAGAAGACAACAAGGGGCTCCAAATCCAGATATTTTTGAAGGCTTTCCTTTTCCCGTTTCATCTCTCAATTCCGATCAAGACTTTGTGTTACTTGCACTTTTCGCGGCTCAGGCCGTACACGAATTGCAGGGTGTTCGATTTGATGACTCTTATCCGCTGGACATGTACGAAGACTTGAAGATCAGCGTCGTTGAATTGAAGTTGCCTTTAGGATGTATGTATCTTTCTTGCATATCGTGTTTGAGTAGTTTCGAAACGAAGTACTGACTTTCATTGTATTATTCATAAAGTGATTCTCATGGAGAATGCGGGAGGATGTTTCGTCAACAAAATCGCTGCAGATGGCAGTGCCACTCGCAGTGGTGGTGTAGAGGTGGGCGATCAACTTGCCGCAATCAACGGCCAAAAATGCCTCAAGATTAGGGTTGAAGATATCTACAAGATTGTTTTGACGGCTCCAGAAGCTGCTGCACTGCAGTTTGCCTTCATTCGATATATTGGGCCCTTCCGACCGGAGACACAGATCATCGAAGATGATAACTCTGTAATTGACAATAGTAGACCACGGCAGACGATGAGGGTTGTAAAGGATGTGTCACAGAAGCAGACAGCTGACGGAAAGAAGCTAAGAAAATGGTTCCGAAAGCTAAAGGGGAAAAATGCTAAATAGATAAACGGGATTAGAGTAATCAAGTGTCCTTTTTTTTAAAAAATTGTGTAGTATGATATAGACGCCAATTGGGGGATTTGTCATCTATGAACACCTAGAATAGTCCATGCCACTTTTGGAGGGCACAAATTTGTGCAACAATAGTCTCCAGGTGAGGAACATCGACCCCCAAGGAACGAGCTCTTTTCAAGGGTTCTTGAAACAGATATTGAACCTCCATTGGCCTTCTTTCCGTCAAATCGATCATGGTGCTTGTTTTGTATGGTCCCATGTTATCACTCAGATCGAACATCTTCTCCTTATCTTCATCTCCGAGAAAGAGAGACGAGTCATAGCCATGCTTCTCTAGTTCAGCATTTGCGATTGCAATCGTTTCATCCATGACTTCGTAAGCTAACTTTCGCAATCCTTCATCTTCAACCACTTTGTCGACTGTTATCCCTCCCATTGCCACGCTGATTCCATTGAATGGTAAGTTCCAAACATTCTTTCTCCATCGACCCCCAAGCAGCGACAGTTCTAGGCGAGTCTCTACGTTTTTGACAGGTTTCCAAAACTCTTGACAGTTGTCTAAACTCTCCTTAACAGTCGTGTCTGCCGAATGAGCCGCGACTCCATAGGATAAAAGACTGGCAAACGAGTGTTCGATTGAGCCAGGAGCAACACGATTGGAGCATAGGAGCGCCATCCCTCCGTATAGAGCTTTACAAAAATTCAGTTCTTCATCGTCCACGTTTTCCCCGTGGAATTCTTTTAACATTTTTATCAAGTCATTTTCAATCAAGCCATTCATAATAACAATGATTCTAGTTCTTTCCGGGTCCAGCAGTGGCGAAACTAGAGAAGGTATAGCATTCAAAGATGTCGATTTTAGAGCAACAACTACCCAGTCCACCTTCCCTATTTCACTCGTATCCGTATACGCTTGAAGCTGATCGGAAGGAATATGGATGTCGCCATGTACTGATTTAACGTCGAGGCCGTTCTTTTTGCATTGTGAAAAGTTATCTCCACGCATGTGAAACTTGACATCATAGGCACCACAATCCCACAATCTCGCCCCGTAATATCCTCCTACTGCACCCACACCGACGACGGCCACTGATGGTTTTGATTCCGCCTCGAAGATTCTTCCCGCATCACTCGAATATAGAGCCGATTGAAAAGCTGCTGTTGGCCTGATAAATTGACAAACACAAACTGTCAGAGTTTTCGATATTCTGAAGTAAGATGCCCTCATTTCTTTGATCGATACGTGCGTTGCTAGGAAACAGAAACTATAATATTATTACGTCTCTTTCCCTCCAATACCGGTAATGTTGTGATCTTGCGATTTTTGAATGAGTACCACTCGAACGAATCAATCGAACAGGGATGGCATGGCTGCCTCGTGAACTCATTTCAAATTTCCCATCACAAACAACAAGAACGTTTCCAAAGAACATCCGACCTTGTGGCACGATGGAAGTAGAAGCAAGAGCATGGACAGCGCAATTGGCCAAAGCAGAAGCTGATATTCTACAAGCTTCGCAAAAGCTAGAGAAAGAATTCAAGGAGAGAAACCGAAACTCTTTGCAGAATGGGTACGAACAAACAGCATATGATCGTTTCATCGTTGTGACATGGGGTTGTTCTGCCGCTAACGCTCTCCCACTTGAATTTATATTACAGTGGACAAGAAATTCCGGATCCTATCAAATTAGTACGTCGACTCACAGCCCTAGAATTGGCGCTTGAAAATTTGAAGAATGACTGCGAATTCATTGCCACGAAACGAACTGAGATTGTAAAGTCAGTCATGGAGACGCAGGTCAAAAATGTGACTCAAGTTCAAGAGGTAAACAGTTGGATGCCGAAGAAGAGATTGAAAATGATACGTGTCTCATTGTCTTTTCTATCTCTCGGCTGAATATAGATGCTAGGCTTGACTGACCGCAAGACCATGCCATTCCGACGATCGATTGAGGAACCGGACGAGGACGATGGGACTCTCGCAGATTTGACGCAGAAAATGACATATCAATGTGACTTTCTAGTCGACGCGAATGAGGCATGTTGAATTATCGAAGCGTTGGACAGTATGCTTCTCCAACAATGCACCAAATAGCTAGGTGAAGAGATGAACGAAGCAAAGAACAACCACAGCATCACCAATAGTAGATCGAACTATCAGCGTGGTCACGGAAAGGCGCGATGTAGTTCGGCGCTTTCCAAAGGACTGCTATACTGTAATAGTGGTAGATTCGGCAAGGTAAACTTGACTAGTTGTCAAGGTGAAAGATCCAAGGCACTATAAAGAAAAGAGATGGAACTTCAAACGCAGGCAACATGATCTGCGTACAGTACAGTAGTATTCATTCGTGTCGTCGACTAGTTAGACTTCGTTTGCCCACGTCACCACCTCATGCTTGGAGAAAGAAAACCAATCACAAGATAAGAACAAAGAGAAATACACAGATCAAGATGCGATACAGTGTGTCTATCCTATTGCCAATTGCGCTGCAGTATGCTTCGCCTGTACTGTCATTTACCAAAAGATCCGGGTCCATGTCGGCGCCAAGATCAAAAGTGTCACAACAGCACATGGTGCTCAAGGACCCCCAACAGACGGAAGAGACAGCAAACTGGTGGATGGAATATGAGTTTGCACATGCGGATGTGGCTCAAAAGTGTCGACCAGATTTTAATATTCTTTCTACTACTACCATTGGCGAGAAGAAAACGCCACTAGTATACCTCGACTCTGCAGCAACCTCCCAGAAGCCAAAACAAGTTGTTGACAGTATATCACAATACTACGAGAAAACGAATTCCAACGTGCATCGAGGTGCACATACTCTATCTCGACAAGCAACAACGGCTTATGAAAATGCTCGAGATTCAATTGCATCCTTCATTAACTCCAATTCCAGAAACGAAATTATCTTCACAAGGGGTGCTTCCGAGGCTATCAATCTAGTTGCTTCTTCATATGGCCGAGCAAATCTAAAACCCGGTGACGAAATTGTCATTACAGAAATGGAACACCATTCCAATATTGTTCCTTGGCAAATGATTGCGAAAGAGAGTGGCGCTACTCTGCGATATGCACCAATCGATTTTGAGAAGGGAGGCATGGACGTTGATCATTTCATTTCGTTGTTCAACGAAAAGACAAAAATTGTGGCATTCCAACATGTTTCCAATGTCATGGCCTGCGTAAATCCAGTGAAGGATATCGTAAAGGAGGTTCGAGCAAAAGCTCCCGAAGCCGTGATTCTACTTGATGCTTGCCAATCGGTCCCGCACATGAAGGTTGACGTTCAAGATCTGGGAGTTGACTTCCTTGCTGCTTCTGGCCACAAAATGTGCGGTCCAACTGGTATCGGTTTTCTATGGGGAAAAGAAAATATATTGAATAGTATGCCGCCATACATGGGAGGTGGCGAAATGATTGATCAAGTTACAATGGAAGAATCTACATATGCCCCAGCACCAGCTCGCTTTGAAGCAGGGACTCCTCCAATTGCTCAGGCTGTTGGTCTTGGCGCTTCTATCAAATACTTGGAAGATATTGGTATGGATAATGTTCAGGCCTATGAGCATGAAATTGCTGCCTATATGCACAGACGGATGAGTGAGGTCGACAAAGTGAACGTTCTTGGTCCTCCAGTTGGTGAAGATCGAGCTGCCGTGTGTGCATTTTATGTGGATGGTGTCCATCCAAGTGATTTGAGCACGTTCCTAGACATGGAAGGTGTTGCCATAAGAGCTGGTCATCATTGCTGCCAACCCTTGCACCAAGCCAAGGGAATATCTCATTCAGCACGCGCCAGTCTCTACATTTACAACACAAAAGAGTAAGTTTTACGTACGAGAACTTCGTTTGCGGTCAATTTGAAGCCATTGCTAACTTAATATTGTTTCAAAGGGATGTGGACTACTTCATTGAGAAGTTGGATTCAACTATCAAGTTCTTTCTAGGGCTTGCAAAAGGGGAAGGCGGAGAGGATCAAGGCGATGATGAATTTGTACCATTCATTTAAAGTATCGTAGTAGTTTCTCTAGTTACCTTAGATATTCCAGTTCTGGTTCTTACCTACAGTACCGGTACTCTAGCTAGCTAGTATTTTACATACTCGTGACTCGTGACTGATCTTGTTACATGCTCAAGAACATACAAACGTCACAACCAAAAATAAAGATGTCAATCAACATGATGAAGCAAATCTTCTGGCTGCTTTCAACAGCTTTGCTGGTAACATCCTTTTCACCTGAAATAAAGTGCCCGAAGGCATCGCACCCGTTACTCAACAAACTTTGGGTCTCCAAAAATCCCTCCAGTCCAACTGATGATGCTTCTCGATTGACGCTCCTTGAGAACGCAAAACAATTCGATGAGAAAATTGCCAAAGGCGACCGAACAGGGACATATGCTCCTGCTGGATGGTCCAACCGATTAGGAACAGTTTTGACACCAGCTACGGCTGATATTTACACGGCCGACCGCCAATTCATTTGGAATAATATCGATGTTGGAGGCAAGATGGCTGTCGTCAAGCTAGGCAACGGCGATCTATGGGTTCATTCCGCAGTCGAGATCGACGACGCTTTGAAAGAAACGTTGTCAAAGCTTGGCCCAGTGCGGTATGTCATGGCCCCGAACTATGAGCACTTGAAATATGCCGCCAAATGGCATTCAGAATACCCTGATGCTTATATGTGGGCATGCCCCGGATTGATGGAACGACTACCTGATATCAAATGGGCAGGAGAGATCCCTTCAGGCATTCGTGGTGAGGATGGAGTTTTCCTTGAAAATTGTTGGGACCTTGAAGAGCTTCAAGCTCTTCATTTGGACGTCGAAGCCAACCCATTCACCGGTAAACCTTTTTTCAATGAAGTCATCTTCTATCACAAACCATCGAAGGCATTGATTGTTACCGATGTATTTTGGAACTATCCAAATTCTGATGGAGTACCTAACTCGCACCTTGGTGGAGAGGAATGGGAACTAGCACCTTCGGTGGAATCTATTCCTTTTGGAAGCAAGCTTTGGAAGTTTGGAATGTGAGTATACACGGTTGTACGCCAAGCTGTTTGTATCAGACCTATAGAGTCTAATATGTTTGATCTCCCGACGCTGCAATCGAAGGGACAAGGTGTACCTGCCATTCTACAAAAAGTTCATGATCAATGATGAAAGGAAATACAGCGAAGTGTCGAAGATAATACTCGACGAATGGGAAATCGAGACACTTATTCCTGCTCATGGAGATGTAGTGCGAGGCAAAGAGATTGTGCGGGAAGTCTTGAAAAGTCACTTGCGACGTGGATAAGAAACACTACACGTTTACTATTGGACAATCCAAAGTAGGTAAATATTGGAATTTAGGAATATGCCACTAAGAAGGTCAATATTGAATTTATGCCATTCTAGTACTTTATCTAGTTTCCTTGGAAATCGAGTGAATTGTTTACCAGTCGGCAGTTCCTTCGAATTGGTTCGAGTTCTCAGGGGTGATCCCCTTCGAGGCAAGGAGTTCTGCAAGAGGGGAGCCAACCTTAATCTTTCCGCTCATGAATGGATAGAACTTTCCTGGGGGACCAGGGTTTTTGGTCAATTCCTCCTTGACAATGTCCTCAATGACTTCACGTCCGTGGGCAATGGAGTAAACTGTCTCGGCAACCTTTGCTGGAACAACCACAACACCGTCTTGGTCTCCCACGATTGCATCACCAGGGCGGACGGTGACTCCACTAACATTAATCACACCATTGCACTCCCATGGTTGCATGGCAGCTGGTCCTTGGCGAGCAGTGGTAGAATATGCGAAGCATGGGAAGCCGTAGTCGATGATTTCATCGGTATCTCTGACACTTCCATCAGTGACGAGTCCCCCAATTTCGAGTTGCTTCAATCGAAGGAACTTGATGTCTCCACCAACACTCTGAAAATTTGCCAATATCATCCACGAAAGCGTTAGGACTATTCTATAGAAGCTGCAAGCGAAGAAAAGTGAATGGTTTCACGTACCTCCCATGGTCCGACAGAAGACATGACAAGAACTTCATTTGGTCCGCACTTCTCAAAGGCTTCGTATTCTGGAGATTCACCGGCAGGAGGCTTGTCTTGAGCAATATCAGGACGAGCTGGAACAAAGTTCAAGGTAACAGCACGGCCAACACACTTCATTCCTGGTGCAAGAGCACGAGCTCCATCGATTTGGGCAGATGGCCATCCCATGACCCAAAGACCATCAACCAATGCTTGGGTGGACAAGCCACCAAGCTTTGCGAGAAGATCGTCGGAGATCTCTCCACCAGTGGCTGGACCAGTGGCGAAAGACCGCATAGCGATGGGCCTGATGACTGAGGTGACTTTACGGAAGGAAGAGGACAGCATGGTTCTAAGTTGATGTTTTTGTCGTTGTGAGATTTCTGGTCCATGGTGATTTTTTGAGGAATTTTCGGATGTCACGCATACGTCATCATTTGTTCATTTGGAATAAAATCGAATCTTAGACCCATCAGAAAAACATCAAGGATGTGACGTTTGACACTACCATAATCATTTTCTTCGATTTTCATTCAATTGTAGTGTGAAGGGTAGAGAAACAGAGCTATGAAGATATTACGGCGTGCTAATCAAGCTATAACGCACATTGCAGGCAGCATACTACTGTCTTCTTGCTGTAGTAGTCGTGTTTAGTTTAAGTTTCCAGTTTTTAGATTTGCAGTTGAGTTATGAAATGACATTCTTCCACAACATCGTTTACTTTTTGCGCAGGTATGGTCCGGCCTCTTTGACATTGGCCATGACCTTCTCAGCGTTCTGGGCAATGATATCGAAGTCTCCGTTGGCAATGGCCGTTGGGTCAAAGAGAGGGGCGACAAGTCCAACTGAGGCAGCTCCGTTTTTCAAGAACTCCCCGGCGTTGTCAAGGTCGACTCCAGATGTGGGGTTGATACTGAGCATAGGAAGAGCAGAGCTGACGGCCTTGACCCACATTGGTCCTCCAGCAACCCCAGGAAACAACTTTTGAAGAGGAGCTCCGTGTCTGTATGCGTTGAAAAGTTCAGTTGGTGTTTGACATCCTGGGACGCAAACAATGTTTCTCTCAGCACACCATTCGATGACTTCCGGAAGCATGACAGGAGTGATAATGAATTCACTTCCGGCATCGATGGCGTTTTCAGCATCTGTAGTGTTCATGATAGTTCCGCATCCAACCATAACATCGCCGTCGTACTTGGCACGGAAATCAGAAAGGTGGGCAAGACAGTCTGGGGTAGTCAGAGTGAATTCAACGATCTTGAATCCTCCATCAATAGCGGCTTGCATAGCCTTGGGGCAGGCCTCGGAAGTGGCAGTTCGCAATACGGCACATGCACGAATCTCAGCGAACTTGTCAAGGACGGCTTCGAAGTTTTCAGGGGTCTTGACGCGGTCAGAAACCGAAGACATTGCTCTGGCAGAAGAGCTGGCGCGGGAAAAAACCCGAGATGCAGAAAGACGAAGGGCCATGGTTGTTATTGGGTTAGGATGTCAAAGCAGCAGGTGAAAGGACGTCGAACGTGTTTTGTGAATCAAAACACAGCGAGAAAAACGGAAAAATCAGATTCAAGATGAAGATGACGTAAGCATCCCTCCCCACAGAAATCTCTACGAGTGGAACCTACTGAAATCAAAGTTTTGATCTGTTGTCATCTGTGAACATCTGGGGGATAGACTTTGGTATGGTGTTGTACCGGTATGGCACTAAATACCCCCTTTTACGCAACGGATACAACGGCGGATTCAAAATGCAAAGAAAAGAAACTTCTTCCGAGTCATTCACTTCTTCAACTGCAAGTCCCTCTAAACAATGATCTATCGCTTGCTTATTGCTCTACCCTTTATCGCCGCTCAAGGTATGTCAGAATGAAGAATCATGCAGTCCCAATCGTCGTTCGTCTCTTACCTGTTTTTCCATATCACAGGAGGTGTTGCGCCACCAAACGACCGTTGTGTCAATGCTGAACCATTGGTTGCAAATGAACCTACGGATGGAGATACCAGCTTTGGCAATTTTGACTTTAACGCACAGGGAGTATGTGGCGCTCGAAGTGATCGAGCGTCTCTTTGGTACCGAATCACAGGTACTGGAAGAGAGGTCACTGTTCAAGTTTGTACAAATAATGGCAAGATCACAGATTACGGTGTCTTGACTCTTTGCAACAGTCAAAATTGCCAGGGTTTCCCAGCGGTGAATACTGGACTGATTTACGATTGCGCACAAAATAATACTTTGGATTATAGGTTTATCGCCGAAGATCAGGAGTGGTACTATGTTCACGTTCGATCAGACATCGGTGATATCAATGCTCGCAATGGAAGCAAATTCACGGTCCAGTACCTAGAAGATGAGGACGACGAACCCGTTGCCACGCAAGGTGACTCTGCAATGGGACTGTCAGCTATGTTTGCCCTCGGCGTTTCATCAGTCCTGGCCCTTGTATAAGATATCAGATTAAGGTATTGCAGTAACTGTTTTTTATTGATTGTCATTTCAAGACTTGCCTGCACTCGTGTGTCAGCTAGAATCAACATCTTTTGGAAGTTTGTACAACTCGTTTCTTCTACTTACACCAGGTCAAAGACTAGAAAAGCGATAGTAATATGATAATGAAAGCCCCATTCCTCAAGCCGCAAAGCAGCTATTGAATTCTAAAGATTAAGTGAATGTACCTGATGTCGGCTGTTGATTTTGTTGCTGAGAGCCGCCACCCGCTGCCGTCCGTGTAACGAATCCCATCACACTGTTTTGCACCGTGGTGGCGCCGTTTTGAAACATAGCCATGGTTCCAGCTCGGGCGCCATCTTGCATATATTGCTCAAATTTGGCCTTTTGTTCTGAACTACACTTGTAATAGCCGTAGACATTGGACCCCGACAGCGCAAGTGCGGTGGCACAAATTATCAGCCATGAAAACTGAAGTCTGAGGATTGCGAAGAAGGCCAAGACTCCCCAGACCACAGGGGCAGCATACAAAACTGTCCAAAATACACTCTTGTCGAAAGCATTAATTTGTCGATCTTTTGCACTCTCAAAGATCCACCTTGTTTCGTCATTCTCCACTTTATTCCACCAACGAAGTCCAACCAAAAGTCGACCTGTCACATTCTTGACAGTCCAGAAATCAGCCGATAACAAGAAAATACAAATGACGGTGACAACAATAAAATTGGCGCCATGATTTCCACCATTCTTAGATTTTGAGAACCATCCTCCAAACAAATACATAAGCAGGGCCAGGGACTTGAATAGAAGATGAAAAATGATCACAAATGGATGTGATGATTGTGATAGACGGCCCCAATTCTGATTGGCACCAGGTGTTCCTGGAGCTGCTGGGGAGTCGTGGTAGTTTGGGTCCTCCACACCATTTTCTGATACGGTGAAGTGAAGATCGTTCGTCTGCATTTTTTTTCCCGGATTGAAATATTCTTGCAATTTCAGGGTTGCTGGTCTGTTATTCTAGGCTGAATTCAAATCGAAGAGAGGTGCTGTAGGTAGTCTAAAGTGTTCAAGATGACAATCGCAGACCTGCAATGCTCTTAAAACTCGTAGCTTGTGGTACATTTCTACGCACCATCGTGACCATGGAAGTTTCTTCCCCAAATCGGTGAAATTAAGGGGATTTGATGGATGTTGTTGTGCTGAAGTTTCCATGCAATGATTGATTGCGATGATACTTGTACAATGATACAATATACAATGATACAATTTACAATATTAAATCACTATGTCTACAGTGCCTTTTATACCAATTCGAGGTTCGAATCGTTGCTTTCGAAGCTACCAATTTCATCCCGTTGGACCCGACTGTAACCGCGACGGCGAAGTCGGCCCACAGCCCCAGAGATACGCTGCCGTCTGGGGAGTGCATAGACATCCTTCGGCTTGTACAGTCGCAGTGCCAAGCTATTGCACACAACACTGACCGAGCTCAAAGACATCGCAATAGCAGCAACAGTTGGCGGTAATCTGGCGTGAAAGATGGGAAAGAAGACCCCAGCAGCGAGAGGAATACCAAGGACGTTGTAAATCATTGAAAATACAAAGTTCCACTGTATCCGACGAAAAATGACCTTGCTCAAATCCAGTGCAACGCATGCATCTGAAACTTTGCCGCTGACGAGGACCATATCACTCGCTTCAGCTGCAATTTCTGCTCCAGTACCAATGCTCATTCCAACATCAGCTTCCGCAAGAGCCGGCGAGTCGTTGATTCCATCACCAACCATTGCAACAGTGTAACCTTGTGATTGTAGCTCTCGAACCATTTCCACCTTTGAAGATGGAAGTGCTTCGGATACCACGTGGCTCAAGGGAAGGTTTAGTCTTTTTGCAATCGCGACAGCAGTTCTTGTGCTGTCGCCAGTCAACATCCAAATTTCAATGCCCATGTCGTGCAAGGTACGGATCGATGCCTCTGCTTCCTCCTTTAGCTCATCAGCAACGCCAACCACAGAGCAAACTTCACCATTCAATCCGGCAACAATTGCAGTTTTGCCATCTGCTTCCAACTCACGCAGTAGCTCTTCCAGCTCCTCGGATATTTCCATATTCTCATGTTGAGCAAACGCTCGGTTTCCAATGGAAACCTTTACCCCATTGACTGTTCCTGCTGCTCCTCGACCAGTCAATGCGACGAAATTTGATGGCTGGACGAAAGGTTTACTGTCCAGAAAAGAGCCGAGCTTTTCTTCTGCATGGGACACAAATGCGGATGCCAGGGGATGTTCCGAGTTGCGCTCTACCGAACCAAACAGCCACAAGAGATACTCGTCTCCGTCCATCTTTATAGGTTCGACTCCAGCAATCTTTGCCAAAGCGTTATCATCAATTGTTCGAATCATGTCTGTTACCACAGGTTTTCCTTTTGTCAAAGTTCCTGTCTTGTCAAAAATGACAGCATCCACTTTACTTGCGATCTCAAGAGTTTCGCCGCCCTTCATCAGAACACCACACCTTGCTGCAACCCCAGTGCCAACCATGATCGCACTCGGCGTCGCTAATCCAAGCGCACAGGGGCAACTGATGAGGAGTGCGGCAATGCCAAAGAGTAGAGAAAATGTCATTGGACTTTCCCCAGCGTACCACGACTCTGGGACAACTCCATTGATGCAACAGATGTACCAAACCAAAAATGTCAGGAAAGAAATTGCGACGACGCAAGGAACAAAGACTCCTGCAATCGTGTCGGCAAGGTTTTGGATAGGGACCTGTCGAGATTGCGCTTCCTGTACCATCTTCACAATCTGAGCTAGGGCAGTATTGGATCCCACACCTGTGACGCGGACAAAACCAGCCGCTACTGTGTCAATAGACTTTACGACGCCACTTCCAGCCTCGGCACATATAGTGCCTCCGATGACTTCTGAACCTTCAAGTTTCAGCACTGGGATCGACTCTCCAGTAATCATTGACTCGTCAACACTCATTTCACCGTGTATCAATACACCATCAGCAGGAATGGATGCACCCTTGAGAACCTTCACGATGTCTCCAGGATTGATATTTTGAACAACAACCGTCTCTTCTTCATAACTATCAACAAGTGGGTCCCACTTTCCATTTTTCATAGAAGTTGGAGTGATCTTCAACGCTGTCTTAGCTTGCAGTTTCATCAAATGAGTCAAAGCTTCACTTGTTCGGCAGACTGCCATGGCATTCATCCATTTTCCAAGCAGGACGAAACAGATGAGCACCGCTGAGGTCTCAAAGAATCTGTAACTAGGATCTCCATTCCACGTTGCAATGACGGCATAGATATACGCTGATGTTGTACCCAGTGCAACGAGGACATCCATTCCCAAAATCCCTTTTCGAATTCCGTAGAATGATGTCTTGTAAAATGAATATCCACAGATGAATTGCACCGGTGTTGTAAAGAGCCACAGCAAGAGAGATTCCGACACAAAACTATGATTGAGAATACTAACTTCCTGGTGCAAAGTTTCTTCAATTGGACAGTGCTGGCCTCCAATGCGCGGAATGATCATTGTAATGGTCATCACTGGCACGGCTCCTACACAACTCAATAGGAAGCTGCGCCTCCTTGCTGCAAGTTGCAAGTTTTGCTGGCGTGTGATTCTGTCTAGGCGATCCTCGATTTCCGTAATACTTGGTTGGGTGTTATCTTGGCTGTCACCAATGCCCTGCTCCTCGTCACTTTCGTCTAGGACGTCATTTACGTCATACCCGATACATTCAATCGTATCTACAAGACTCTCTGCGTTACATTCGGGTGATGGCTCAAACGTGATGGTTGCCAAGTTTGTGGATAGAGAAACATTGACTTCCTTGACACCAACCAATTCCATCAGTGCCTTGTGAACAGCGCTGCTGCACATGCTGCATGTCATGCCACCAACAGCAATCGCAATCGTCTTGGTCCTAGCATTTTCTATTTGCGGCAAAATGACGTCGTTGACATCATATCCGATGCATTCGATTGTATCCGAAAGACTTTCAGGGGTGCATTCCAATGACGGCTCGTACTCAATAGTTGCCAGATTCGTGGACAGTGAAACGTTGACTGACTTGACACCTGATAATTCTGTCAGTGCCTTGTGAACTGCGCTGCTGCACATACTGCAAGTCATGCCACCAACTGCAATTGCGACAGTCTTTACTGGGTTAACCTTTTCAGTTTTTGGAAGTATTATATCATTTACATCGTAGCCAATGCATTCAATGGTATCCGATAGACTTTCAGGATTGCATTCCGATGAAGGCTCATATTCAATAGTTGCCAGATTTGTTGATAGAGCGACGTTAACTGACTTGACACCGGGAGTTTCAACTAGTGCCTTGTGAACTGCGCTACTACACATGCTGCACGTCATTCCACCAACGGCAATCGCAACCGTCTTGGTCTGTTTTGCGGCCCTTTCAGAAGGAGGTGATATGATATCGTTTACATCGTATCCAATGTCTTCAATGGTCTCCTTCAGCGTATCAACCGTACATTCAGATGAAGGAACGAATTCGATTTGTGCCATATTTGTTCGCAGCGAAACTGAAACTGTCTTGACTTCCGGCATCGAAGAGAGGGCCTTTTTCACAGCATCGCTACAACGGCTGCAAGTCATCCCACCGACCGCAAAGTCAACCACCTTACAACTAGCGGACACCATAGCTACTTGAAATTCGACAGTGTCTTGGCCTTGATCACAGATTTGCTTTTGTATTGCTCTCTTGCGTCTACGGAATGAAATAGATTGTCACGGATTCGATTCTTGCATGAGCAGTCTCGTTTCCTTTGTGTTTGCTTGAGCAGGAAACTGAAAATGATTCATTCTTTCAGCGCAGTCTTGAAGTCGGAAAAGTCAATCGGGCTTCTTTTTTTGTCACCTAAGATGGTCTGTCCCTCACTCGACTTCAGTGGAGGTATTTGGTCCGTCCTGCGCCTTTGGTGGCAGAAGTTTCTCTTTTTAAATACATCTATCTAAGATAGCCTACTGCCGTCCTCCGTGTGTGTGTTCGTAGTATTTTGTCTTGGTGTGTAGCTGGTGGGTTGTGGTGTGAAGCGGGTCGAACTGATCGAGTAATAGACTCGATTCGTTCGA